CTCTTCTCACCATCCCCAATCCAGCAAATGTTTTTCGACCGTCTAAGCACTGAAAAAATTCCCATGTTTAGTCAAAGCTTTCTTCTTCGTATGAGGTGGGATGTTGATCCCACAAAGATAATTGAGGCCATTCATGTCATTGTCACTAGACATCCGATGCTCCGAGCAAGATTTAGTCGAAATTCCGATTCGGCCTGGTCCCAGCGAATAACTGATGATATAAAAGGTTCCTACTACCTTAAAACTCACAAGAGAGCTATCGAAGATGAGATAATTCCGGAAATCATGCAAGAATCCCGGCAGAGGCTCAATGCTATTAGTGGGCCTGTTATGACAGGTGATATTTTTAGCTCTTCTGGGGAGAGTTGGCTGTTCCTGGCTGTGCATCACCTGGTTGTCGACTTAGTTTCTTGGAGAATTATCCTTGACGAAGTAGAATCTTTACTTTGTGGTTCCCCTCTAGCTCCGGTCAGTTCTATTTCTTTCCCAGAATGGTGCTCCCGGCAGGCTGAATATTGTGCCACAAATATCAACCTTGATCAAACTTTCTCAATAAAACTCCCAGCACCAAACTATGACTATTGGGGTATGACGGATAAGCCGAATACCTACGGAATGGTGGAGAGATTGACCATTACCATTGACAATGTAGTCTCTTCGCAAATCATCTCGCTTTGCGCAAACAGCTGGAGGTTAGAACTTTCCGATATTTTCATTGGAGCGCTGGTGATGGCGTTTCATCGAGAATTTTCTGATCGGGAAATTCCTGCTGTCTTTGTCGAACATCATGGTCGGGAACCATGGGTCTCAGACATTGACATTACGGAAACAGTAGCATGGTTCACCACTCTATCACCGGTCCTTGGGATAACACTCGAAGGTTCATCCCAAGCAAACTTCACAGATATCCTTCGACGCACACGAGATTGCCGCCGTCAACTCCCGGCTAATGGCTGGGAGTTCTTTTCTTCGGCCTTTTTGACGGCGCAGGGAAAGGAACAATTCAAAGATTCCATGTGTCCCGAAATCATATTTAATTATGAAGGAATTTTCCAACAGCTAGAATCCTCTGATAAGCTCTTGGAGTTAACTCCACAAGTTGATGGGGATTTAGCGGATATGGCTCCAGATACACCACGACTGGCACTACTCGAGTTTGCGGTGCAAATCCACCATGGAACCATCACGATTTCCTGTATGTATAATAGGGAAATGCACTACACCAACCGTATCAAAGAGCTTGTCTCAGATTACGGACAGATTGTTAAACAATTTTCTGATATATTTCGGGATGAGTCGCCGCCCTATTCACTGAGTGACTTTCCATTTATTTCTCTAACCTACCATGGTCTCGACGAGTTGCTAAAATCGGTAGATGGTGAGAGTATAGAGGCAATATATCCTACCCTACCCACTCAGGACCTCATGATTCTTCGGCAACATGAATTTCCCGGCCTATATGTTCCTCGAATTGCATTTGAAATTCATACTACCGGATTTCCTCTATCGTCTACGAAGGTTGCCGATGCCTGGAAGGAAATTGTCAGCCACCATTCAATCTTGCGCACTGTCTTTATCGATGACCCAATAAGCGATAGAAGGCTCCAAGTGGTCCTAACACACCTAGAGCCAACCATCCGCTACGTCCCAGAAATGCCATTCATATGTCCGCAGAACCCACAGTGGCCACAAGGCAAAGCGCACCATACGCTTATCATCTGTGAACGGGAGGACAAACCCCCATCATTGCTGTTAGAGATTAGTCATACCCTCGTTGATGTCAGAACCTTGAATATCTTGCTCGGTGATTTTACGAAGGCGCTTGAAGGGAATCTATGCTTCGCTACTACGTCCTCAGGTTTTACGGACTTGATTTCGTATACATTTGCCCCGTCAAATATATCCTGCGCCACTGCATTCTGGCAGAGTAAGCTCGTAGGAAATAAAGATTCCTGCATAGGCCTTGCGCATTTAGAGGGTGAATACGGTGATCTCCAAAAGTACCCAGTGTCGATTGAAGATAAAATAGACGGTGGCCGCCACCTCCTCCAGAACAAAGAGGTATCGATTCCTAGTGTTATTCGTCTTGCTTGGGCACGAACGCTTCGCCGCTATCTTGAGTCTGACGATGTCACATTTGCTTTTGTCCTAAGCGGTCGAGATATCGACATTCCCCATATTCAGGATGTGGCGGGCCCGTTCTTGAACTTCGTCCCATGTCGACTATCCTTCAATTCCTCATCAGCAGGAAACCCTCCAACATTAGAGATGTTGCAGCGTCTGGACCAAGATTATCTCGAATCCATTGTCTATCAATCAAATGCTTCCACCATACCGTCTCGGCCATTTGATACAATCGTCAACTTTCGAAAGCACAAGGCAGACGAACCAGACACAAAGGCCGGACAAATGCAAAAAGCCTGGTTAGAAATAATCGACAGCATCGACCCTTATCATGTAAGTGATATACAAGACCATTGACCTATTTTTGTTTTAGCTAGCAGTTACTGATTGTTATTTTCGTTAGTATTCGATGGTCTTAGAGGTGGATAGTACTGAAAGGCAGCTCGATGCTACTATCACCTTTTGGACTGCTCGTGTTACAGCTGAGCTTGCAACACAATTCGCGAACTCCTTCGCACAGGAGATAGAAGCTATTATCGACGAGCTCTAGATATATGACAGGCAGGTGTTAGACTAAATACACTGTACCCGCTTCTCGCCCTGCGTTACATCACTCATCATTTACTGGTTATCTTTCTATATATTACGTTACACTCTACTTAGTATCTGACATACACCCTTGTACCGAACTGAGGACGGTTCAAATCAGGGTGCAAACAGACTGTTACGATTATATGTCTGCAAATTGAACTAGTATGGTTACCCATAAGAATGGGTTACGCGCCCAGCCTCAAGACTTCTACTCGTCCAACAAGCAGGTCGCTTCCTTGAGTAAAATTGCCCGCATCGCTAACTGCACAGCGTAGTAGCCGTATATCGAAGAACTCCTCTCCCGCCCAATAGTGCGGGTCCATCTCTTTGGCCGAACGGCAAAGCTTTTGACATGGAGTTAACACGAGGTAGAAAAGGGCGAGGCTAAATAGTGATATGTACATACAGCCACTCTTCATGCGCGGGCTGGTGGATTGCTCTATATACGGTATTACTAGTTATTCTTATTCATTGCTAGCCCTTTACCTATATCAAGTCAAAGGCCAGAGGGCCTAAATCTACCACTCATAACTCATATGTTCAGCAGCCTCATATCCTCCTCGTATAGTTCTTCACAAGTGCTATATAAATAAAAGGCTTTAACTATATAGAAAAGGGTAGAGACTGAAGCATGAATTATAGATTGGTGGCCAAGTTATTAGGCCCTGACTAGGTGTTTCCTCCACCAATGTTCTTGTACAACAAGGCTCCGACTTAACGCTTCTCCTTTCCAATAACTATGCCCTTCCCTGGGGAATAAGATGACATTGGCGGTCTTGCCAAGTTTCTGTAGAGCTTCACCCATCTTTAGTGATTGCTCAGGCCTGACAACCCAATCCTCTGTGCCATGAAGGAGGAGAATTGGCGCCTTAATGCGGTCTGCCTGGTGAATAGGGCTCCGTTCTTGGTGGATTTGCTTCTCGTTCTCAACCCTACCATGTTCACCAAATAGCAGGGTATCAGCATAATGACTCTCAAACTTGTGGGTAGTCATTGCAAATTCTAGTGTATTAGAGATGCCAAAGATTGAGACACTCGCAGCCCAGAGGTCCGGTGCATCGCAAGCTGTCTTCAGAGCAAGATATCCTCCCGCACTAGGTCCAACGATACCCAGTCGTCTCCTATCAACGACCTTGTTACTACTCAAATATAAGGCTGCGCTACATGCATCTGCAGAATCCGCAATACCCCATGCAGCATCAAGGCGACGTCGGTAATCCTTGCCGTAGCCAGTTGAGCCCGCGTAATTTAGGAGTAGCAGGGCATATCCTCGACTAGTCCAAAATTGCGCTTCTAGGGAACATCCAGCGTTGGAATGGTTTGTTGGTCCACCATGAGCATACACCAAAAGTGGTGGCAAAGTCCCAGAAGGAGCCACGTATCCCGGGTTAAATGGAAGTAGGAGGAACCCGTGGACAAGGCCATCAAGAAAGAGACCTTGGGTTCGGGGACAGGTAAAAGGTTGAGCGGTAGCAAATATTTTGGGAGGAAGGCTAGTGGGTATGGATGATCGTAGTTGTACTATTTCGTGGGAGCCGCTCATTCCCAGAACCACGAGATAGACAGCAGTTGGCTCGGAGAGAGTTGCACCCACCAGAAGGAACTCATTCTCACTGACTCGACGTACACCATCCAGGTGAAGGTGCACCAAGGGAAGATCCAATGTCCTATAAGAGTTCGTTTCTGGACACAAGATAGCAACGTAGCTCATAGCATGACAGACGTATGAACAAACGATGTTGTCGCCAATAAACTGATAGGAGCAGCTGGCTCGGGCAAATAGGTCAGCCAACGAGTATACTCCATACAGAAGAGTATATAATAAAATAGAAAATATATAAGACAAACCTGCCCAAGCTGAATGACAAGGATCCAAGGCAACAGTCTTCTAGCCCTTTGATGTAGACATGCTCAGGAAGCTCATACGGCGGCCTGAGGACGTAAATCTGCCAAAACCCGGAACGGTCATCGAGGAAATACAGGGACCCGTCCCTGGCCCACTGTGGCTGGCTAACACCTCTTCCTGCCAGGGATTTTTTGTTGGTGATACTGCCGTTACTCTGGAAGTGAGCAGTACGCAGAACTGCCCCGTTGAAGGGCATATATGGATGATCCCAGGAGAGCCAGCAAACCCCCCGGCCGTCGGCTGAGAAACGCATGTTTGCGTAGAAGTCATGCTCATCATCCAAAATATTCACTCGACCCTTTTCCACATCAATAAGGACCAGGCTATGCCGGACCTTGGATGGAGTAGGGTCGCTGCGGTCCTCCTGAACAGCAATTACCCAGCGCGAGATCAGAGGGTGGGCATCGAAATCGGCAAACCTCAGCCTTGGATCCCCTAAGACTCGAGTCACCGTCGAGAGTTGCAGGTCAAGGATGCAAACCGCATTGGTTGGGCCATCAGAGAAGATGACTCTGCCTTCACTATCGATCGTAAAGGCACCGCCTCCGTACTCGTATACTTGAGTACCAACACTGTACGGAGCAGGAAGCACATCTCGAGCACGATCTCCGGACTTATCTAGCTCAACAATGCGATTTCGAGCATCGAGTCCGGCTTCTAGGACGAAAATACATCCATTCCTTTCCTGGCTTAAAGTCTCAGTAAGGAGTATTCATTTTCAATCACAACAACTTACATCGACGCGAGGGGTTGCCAATGTTATCTGACTGGCCAATATATCCGTTGTTAGTGAGCTCTCCCACAGTCCATACATTAGCTCTTTTGGAGGGCTCATCTTTGATAAATCGTTGCACATAGGACGACGTTTGATGCACAAAGATAACGCATTAGTCTGTCTCGATTGAAGTTACAAATAGGAATCAAACTGTAGGATGTTTCGGGTTTCATGGGACTTTTCTCTCCCAGCTCTCTCTTACCAGGCCAACACCGAGAGCCGTAACCTGCACAGTCATTGTGAAAATCGGAGAGAATATGTAATCATGATGGACCCTCGGATGACTGTGCATCTTTTGCTTAATCTCATGTGTTGAAAATAGTTCATTATCTTCAAACCATGGTTGTCACTTGTACTATCTTTCTACCCATCTTTTTGATATTGTTCTGTCTTGTTCTGGCTATTTGCCCAGGCCCCTTGCGAGTGTGGGAGAATACAAGAAAGCCCCCATACAATGTCCCTACCCCTACCCAGTTACCCGGATGTATGTACGGAGTATCTCAGGATCAAACTCAAGGAATAGGCCGAGGGCTAACGAGTATCCTTTGCTTTCTAGTATTCCCGGCTAATTGTTATGTCAACGGTCTATAGCAGCCTCCAACCAACTCAGTTAACTCCGGCAGTAAACCTAAGCCGACGAATGGGTTGTGAGCTCTTCTTCAAACGTGAGGATCAGCAGCTAGGTTTCAGCTCACACATGCGTGGCATCTATAATCGGTTAAACCAGATCTTGCTTGAAGATCGATGGAGAGGTGTTGTTGTCTCTGATATAGGTATTCTCCTCTCGACACTGTTATGGGCGGTTTCTCACATGGTCCAATAGGGCATTATGGCAGAGCAACTGCCTGGTCATCACAGCTACTCAAAATGCAGGCAGTAGTCATCGCTTCGACCTGCATGTCAGATAACGAAGCCCATGAACTGCGCAAGATGGGATGTGCTGTGCTGCAAACTCTATCTCCGGCTTCAATGAGCCCTGTGTCTTCAGCATTCAAAAATAAGGCTCCATACATAAATCCATTGAATGACCCGTACGTTCTTGCCGGGATTGGAACAGCAGGCCTCGAAATTTTGCAGCAGATCAAGGATACCCCAAGCCTTGATTCGATTTTCTGCAGTGCTAGTGCTGGGGGTGTCCTGGAAGGTATTGGCCTGTCGGTTAAGCAATTTGCGCCGCATGTGAAGGTTATTGGTGTGAATTTACTATCGACAAAACAAACATCACAAGCGGTATTGCCTCAGCATGCTGAGCCGGAGGGTTTCGAGTTGGTAAACAGCTTGATGATGATGCCAGAATGCCCAGAGCTTCGCCGCGATAGCGAGATGAAGACAGAAGCGGATCGCATTCACCCCACGGTTGTGGATGAAGTGATCGTCGTGGAACCTGAGGATGTGCTGACAGCAATCAAAGATGTATTTCTCGAGACCCGTGTGATTATGGATTTGAATGGAGCGTTGGCAGTGGCTGGGATGAAGCGACATGCATTAGACGTAGGGTCGCAACGGAAAAGGAGGTCATTGGTGGCCGTTATATCAAGCGCAAATATCACTTTTGAACAGTTGCACACACTAGATAGAGATAAAGTGGTCAAGTTATAGGCAGGACAGCATATCCTCGTCCGTTAGCTGCGTGCACATGGGGCGTATATTATACATATATATCAAATATTCCGCCCTTCGTCCAAAAAAAGCGGAAAGAGACTGGTTATTCTTTGATAATATGTCTCACACTAGCACCATATAGGCTTCATATCTGGTGGAATAACCCGAGCCGGCTCCCTAGGTCAGCTGGGTTGTAGTCACTATAGCATGGCACATATCGTCAAGATAGAACCATGCACACGAAACAAAAAACTCACCGGATAAGTGCCGTTTATTTCCAACACAAGACTTCCCCATGCAGCACTCCAAACCACGCATCCTCATCCTCCACAAACGCCCTCCACCCCAAGGCGATTTTCTCCAAGACTTCCTGAGTCGTAAATCCTTCTTCAATTGCCGTGACCGCAAACCCAGACGACCGAGTTCTCTCTTCCATCGAGCCACCCCAGTACTTCCGTTCATCAGGGCTGCTAAAACACCATGAACCAGCACTTTTCCTGATATTCTCCGTAGGAAAGCCCGCCTCCTTTGCCCAAGTGTGAATAAGCCTTCCAGGCTCAGGATTGCCGCTTTTTTCTCGCCGCATGCGTTCCAAGAGCTCATGCCATGCGGTAATCCCCTCCGATTCAGGATACCAAGTGAACGAAGCAGACTCACGCACCGCCACGACTCCGCCTTGCTTAACCACACGCCGCATCTCCTGGAATGCACGGACTGGGTCGGCGATATGCTGTATGACCTGATGTGCGTGCACAATGTCGAAAGTGTTATCCGGGAAAGGCAGATCATGTATGTCGCCGACCCGGAAGCCGATGTTGGATACACCCTCCAGGGCGGCAAGCTCACGGGCCCCTTCTAGGGGATCAGGGACATATTCTATGCCTGTTACATGCCCACGAGGCACCTTTTTGGCGAAGTCAACTGTCATGCTACCCGGTCCGCAGCCTACGTCTAGGATTTGCATGTCTGGTTGAATGTGGGGGAGTAGGTAGCTTGCTGAGTTGGAAAGGGTCCGCCAGCTGTGGGTTTGTATAACTGAGGTGGAATGGTCTGTCGTGTAGACTTTGGCCATCTTTGCTTAGATTTTACTCTGTATTTGTATATTGGCTGTGTATATTCGGGATCTTTGGACTTCGTTAAGAAGATGAAGAAGTTCAGATGTAGAAGTTGGGAGCGTTTTATCTCCGAGGCTAAATCCGGATATGATTTATTAGTAATATAATATTATATAAGCAGAAGACATAGCCTAATATAGTTAGACTGCTTTTAACTTTCCTCATCCCGTGACGATCCGCCGCTGACTAAGAATGTTTAGTCTGGGGCATTTTTTGAACTCTTTTGAACTCCGTCGATGGAGCATTTGATGATACCGTCAAGGGGAAGCCGAAGCCGAGGGTCTCAGGTCAAGGGTTATACTAAGGGCGAATCAAACGCGACGGATCGCAAACAGTTCAAGCTAATTAATATCGGTCTTGTTGTTTCTGTTACCTCGCTGGTCGGACCAAGAAATGGCCCAGCTGGTAGGCCGCAGCTGGAGATTGCAGAAGATGTAACCGACAAGTCAACCTGGCGACTTCAGCGACTTTTCTCCGTACATATGCCATGTCTTGCCGTTGGTGGCGAGCGAGTAGCGGTGCCTGAACGACGGCTGGGTATAGAACTCGTCCGGCCTGACATGGGAGATTGACCAAGGATGAATGAGAACGGCCAGAAAAGGTACCCGGGACATATCAACCTATCTTATTGCATACGTACTCCATCCACTGAGACTGATACTATTATTATTATTATTATTATTATTATTATTATTACTGACAGCTCCGCTTGACCTCACTATCAAGCTCTTTATTAGTCTCGAGCCACCAGCCAACTCATGTACGTCGCGACTCTTCTTTTATTTCTTTTGTCCCTGTTCCGCTGACCAAGCAAAGCCATGCCTTAGAAATAAGAAAAGAAGAAGCCAGAAAAAAAAAATGAGAGAAAGAAATGAAAAGAAGCAAATATAAACAAGATCCCGCCTTGGAGCTTAGCATTGATGGCCTATAGGTCCACTCACAGAGGACAAGAATCAGGCTCACAGGCTCACAGGCCGGGCAAGGGAAAAAAAGTCACTTCTAAAGGCTTGCGCCGGTCCACGAATGAAGAGACAGGGTTGGACAGTTGAAATAGTGTGCTGCGTGGGGAAAGGTCTTCGAGGCGCCAGGAAACGTTCCTGGTTGGGTGTAGGGCTTAAAGGTGCAGGGGCAAGGGTACACGGCCAGCGTGGATAAGGGGTTCAGTCAGACGACAGTTTACCCTTCACCGTCCGCTCATCCATACACACAAACAGGTGCGGGTATAAGATACAGGCGAACAGAGTACAGACGAACGGGATAATGCGATTAAGATGAGACGGTTGCATCCGCGCCCGTACCTCTCACCACGGGGCAACAAAGAGAGATCTCTAGGTTTACAAAAGGGGAAGAAGCAGAAGCTGAACGCTGAACATGCAGAAGGAGAACTGACTGTCGACAGGGGGCCTGCGGGCGAGACTGGGCCAAGGGCAAGGTTCGCTAGTCCCCTTAGCTCGCTCCCTCCGTTCAAGAAGGCAAAAAGCAAACTCCTTCGAGATCCCTTTTTCTTCTCTCTCCTTTCCACGTATTATTTTTTTTCCCTCTTCTTCTCTCCTTATTCTTCTTCATCTCGGTTTATTAATTCGCAGTCTCGCTGTTTTCAGTCGCTCTCTACAGGCACACACTCCTTACCAAAACATCACTGTCCTTAACCCCAGATCTATACATCACTTTCGCGTCAATACTAATACCCCTTCGCCTAATTGTCTGTCTTAATACATAATCGCAATGCATTTCTTCAAGACCCTCATTGCCGGCGCGGCCCTCGTTGCCTCTGTCGTTGCCCAAGGAAAGATCTCCTTCACATCGTTCCCCAGTTCTCTGCAGGCTGGAAAGCCTTGCGAGATCACCTGGACTGGCGGCAACCCTCAGGCTGTATGTTTATATACCCATGGGACTGGAGAGATGTATAAAGATATCAATTCATATACTGACTCCCCGTTTTAGCCTGTTACCATCACTCTGCGCAAGGGTGAAAGCACCAATCTCAAGGATGTCGCCGTCTTGACCTGTAAGTTCTGGTCGGAAGTTAACGTGAAAATTTTGATACCGTTCTAACAAAGATGTATCAGCTTCTGCAACTGGTGGCAGATACACCTTCACCCCATCTACTTCTCTCGTCAACGGCCCAGACTATGCTCTTCAGATCTCCCAGGGCGGTGAAATCAACTATACCGGTCTCTTCACCATCTCTGGTGGCAACGGCACTCCATCTTCCACCTCTGCTACCACCACCTCTTCTTCCTCTGCTTATTCCGGTGAACCATCCAAGCCAGTCACCAAGCCTGTCGTCCCTTCTTCTGCTCCCAGCATGTCCATCACTCAGTCTGCCAACCACACCACCATGGTCACCAAGACCTCCTCTGGCACCGCCAGCATGGGAACCGGCACCACCTCCCACCGCAACACCACCATGGCTACTCCCACTCTCTCTCCATCCCACAGCGCAACCCTCACTCCAACCGCCACTCCTACCGGAAACGCGGCCTCTTCCTTGGCTGCCATGTCCAGCCCTCTTGCGCTGATCATGGCCGCTCTCGCTGCTTTTGCTTACCTTAACTAAGCTCGCACGCTGATCATGGGATGGAACTGCTTTTTTTTTTCTTTATTTGATATTGATTCGATTGATGTGCTTACTTAACTTCTAACCTTTGTGCCCACCTCTTCTTGCATGGCCGGCTCTTCACGATGTGATTTGATTGACTGATTGATTGATCCTTGAAAAACCTCTTATGCCAGTATTTTTTTCTTCTTCACTGAATACTCTTCTCCTTAACTTTAATACCTTTTCCCACCCTTTCTTCTCCCGGCGGAAAGGCTAATACCTCCCGCCTTTGTTGTTTTGTTCTTCATTTGCGACGGAGTTTGATCGATGACGGATGTACATAGCGGAACGAGACAGGACAAAGGACTCAACCACAACTACCACAGATTAGTACCGTACGTACGTAGTTCTACATACGTACTCTACGCTGCATTTACCATGCTACCCTAACAAGCTGTTATCTCTTTTTTCATCTACCTTGTCTCAAATACCTGAGTTCTCTCTCTTTGACCCGCTCTATGCAACCCCATCTATCAATTTCATGTCTTGATCTGATCCCATCGCCAATCTCGTATTTTTCATTTTGCCTCTTTCGTGTTTTCCTTGCCTGTGCTATGGGCATTGCTTATGCGTAGGGCATGCAATAAGGGCATGAGCGCGCCGAATAGGCCCATGGACTCGTTTCTTCTTTTCTTTCCCCAGATTTTCTTATCGTTTCTATTGAACTCTGTCATCTCCACGATGCTGTTATTGGGTGGCGATGTTGGACGAAGGTGGAGAGATCGAGGACAGTCAGAAAGACATATGTAGACGACGTGCAATATACATATGGGGTATGTGTACATATCTGATATCTGACGCTCAGATAGAAGGCATCTGGGCTCGAAAGACACAACACAGGATAGACGCTAACATCGAAATCCTCATGATCAGCCTTCGTGCCTGAGCTTTCTTACATCGGGCTGTAAGCAGATATCTACCTAGTGGCGTAAATATGGAGTTGCAGGGCAGCATTGACATCACCATCACCTCTGGGATTGATCTCACTAGAAATATAGACATCCTGACGCCGTCATTACTTGCTGACCTCTTTGACCGGTCTTGCCACAAGATTGGCCATGTTGCCGCCAGTCAATATATCCCGGCAAACCATAGGATCAGCGCGATTGATAGAGATCGACGCGGGAAGAATGGAGCTTCTACTCTATGATTTCGAGATCTGAAACTATGCAACTTACTCTTTACATGCTAGATAGAGTTGAATGGTGGCTTGTAGACTATAGAGTAGCTCCCCCACGGATGTTGACCAAGCTCCATATATACAATATTCAGTTGACTTCAATTTATGTAATATATCGCTACCAGAGCGCCTGCGTCTGACCAACGGCATGGACAAAATTCCCACCATTCTACTAAGCTGTGTCTAAGAAAGAGAGAGTTGTCAGTAGAGAGATAACTGGTATTGGCGTATCAAAGGGCTATGTTCATATTATTACTGCCTAATAATGCCATCCCCCAAGACCACAAAGTCAGCAATGGTTCATAACACAGTTGTCATGCTGCTCTTTGGCCATGCATGACCCCTATGTCAGCGATTACAAAGACCTATAACGGAATGCACCTTTACATTTTTGGTCCTTGGAGAATATGAACCAAAACAATGAGGACGTCAATAAATCGAATCTACACCCACAAGATACCGGGAGCGAAGCAAAAATTCAACCGTCAGTGACCCAGGAGAGTACTCTTATCACGTATATATATGCAGTTCCAGAGCAGTTATTATCATTACTATCAACGAGTAAGTTATATGGTGTTTATATATTCCCCCATAAAACAATCATAATAATAATGGGAACCGTTCTATGAAGTTTGCTGCAAGTTACTTCCTACCAAACCTCTATTGCCATCCTTCTCTTTGTGGTGGCCTTTCTTCACTCTCAACTTGCCCTTTGCAAAATGTCTTTGCCACACAGTTCCTAGATCGGCAGTTAGTTCCAAAACGGCATGGCCATACCGTAAGACCCTCCTGGGAACCTCTATCTCCCCGATCACCTATCGAAGAACCCCCATACCTCCCTCTGTCCCTCGCTCTCTCTGGCCCGGGTCCTCTGACGCTCTTCAGATCCGAGTTCTAGGAATAGGAATGACTCAACTTGGAGTGGTGCGACTTTCCACATAACCGCGGAGTCTTTTCAGGCGAAGGAAGCCAACGTTCTACTCTTTCGTAGCGACAGACTTCATATATACCCCAACCTAAGCAAAAAAAGAAAAAGACTTCACCAATCACAGGCCTTTAAAATGCTCACTCATGTTGGATGACTAACGCAATGACTAAGCATTACTCTTTGACCGCAGGGGACAAAAAGGTCTGTGATGTGTTCGAGTCAAAGCGGAGTGGATGACATAATCCAACAATAACATTTGACATTCTCGGGGGCTATATGCGTCACGTGATGATATGAAGCCTCAACAGCGCAGCCAAGGTGATGCCTCGGAGACCGGACGAATGCAGGAATGGGTGATATATAGGCCTAAAATGAATGGTGATGATGATGATGGACGTAAGGTCCAGCAGGCATAAACGGTCTATATATACATGTATGTGGGAGTGCCGAATGCGGCCAATCGACCAAGCGATATGAGCAGGGGGGTGGCGAGTGCCTAATCAAACGGCCTCGAAACACTTGTACATCGACTCGAAGCGCGGAGGAACGAATGGGAACTACCTAACTTCCAGACACGGTTTTGCCTTTATCCCATTGTTTGGTGTTTGGATATATAATTATAAGAGTCGAGGACTGCTAAAAGCTAGCATTAAAGGACTTAACTACGGCAATAACAGCGACTTCAGTTCCAACTTCTCACTATTACTTCCTTATAACCGCCTTCTATGTCTAACTTTAACTGTCTGCCTCTTGGCCCGGAGGGTACCATCTATGAGAAGGAGAAAGGATTCGACGACAAGTTCAGTATCGAGATAGACTCTACGAAGATACAATATATCAAAGAGCTGAAGAGATCGGAGGCCTCATCGATATTCCATGTTAAATACGGTGGCAAACCTCGTGTCCTCAAAGTTGTATGTACCCATAACTACATCATATGTCTATCTACCCAGTTTCTGACGAGGTCCAGTTCCACAACAACGAAGACCCAGGGTATGCGGACGATGGAGTCCGTGACTTGAATCGAGCTCGGTGTGAAATCCGAGCCTACTGCCGCCTCAAACAATTTGGCCTATGTGACCAGGGCTATGTGCCTCAGTTTTATGGATACACACTGTGTTTGGACCCGGCCGGCCATACCCCTCATCTGGATGCTTTTAAGCGCGACGCCGGCCTTCCAAGTGCTATTCTGATAGAATACTTACCGGATCCATCGCCTTTGACCTGCGTCAACTATAGCAAAGAGAGAATGGCCAAGGCAGTTGAGGGTATCAAACAAATTCATTCAGCCTTGATTGAGCACAACGACTATTATCCTAAGAATATTGTGATTATTCCCGGGGACCCCGAAAGAGTCATGTGGATAGATTTCGATGTTGCCATTACTTATCCTGACAGCACCTACATTGGAGACAAGCAGCGTGGCTGGATTGACAATGAAACCCAGTGCGTTGAGGGCTTCGGGTTGAAGCTTGTTTGTTCCCCTAGGCAATCTTCGTTGCTCATTAATGGACACTGACGGATATTTTTACAGGCAGAGGATCAGAGACAGGGTCTCCCACCGAACACAAAATATTACTAGGGTTGTTCTTCGGTATGTGCATATACCACAGAGGAGGGGGAGGGGTTAGGTAGAGATTAGAGAGGAGCGAAAGAGCTTTATAATTTCAGGCTACTTTATTTCTGCACGTTCTTGCAATGTACTGTATTCTATGGAAGCCGCCAGTCATGATCCGCGGCGCTCAACATACCAAGATACCAAAGCCCAAGCAGAATTGTCAAACGTCCAGGCCCTGCTGTTTCCCATGGTATGGCCCGTGCTACCAACAGGTTGCCATTTGCATCGAGTCTCTTGATAGGGACCAATTCAGTATCAGTTAGAACAAAGCCATAACGTGCGTTGTGCTGTTTCATGTAAAAGTTGACCTGTGATAGAACCTGACGGTACTCCGTGCGATCTTCCGGCACCTCTGATGTTGCCAAGTCAGACCCCCATTTCCATGACACCTTCAAGTCTCCCGGACAGCGATTCGGAGAGGTGTTGGGCGTACTACTGGCTCGAAAAAAGGCGATATCTGGTCTGAACTGATTGATAATCTGCGCCGCATCACCTATGTCAACTGTGATGGAAGTTAAATGCAAATCGGCGAGTTGTGGTTCAAGGTGCTGGAAACCAGCTCGCAGTGCACGGCGTAATCGAGATTGAATATATATATTAAAACGGACTGCGAACATCGGCTCAGTGTTTATAGGCTGCGGAGGAGAGTTTGGCATTGGTTCGCTCGCAATTTGTGCTTGTTGAAGCATGGCTCCGTGACGCTGGATAATATGGACGTAGGTGAATTCGGGCCATTCACCAACACTGTTGATCTGCCTCCAGTTATATTGGTCATTTGTCGTGTTAGGCGTTTTCTTCGTGTTTCCAGTAGGAAGGCCTGGAGGTGCCACCATCAAATAGTCCAGGAGGCTTTGAGTGTTTGCCATGGTTGCTTTCTGCACTATAAATTCATGACGAGAAGGTATAATGTCCTCGGTGGGAGACCACAGTATTTATCAACCCAGCCGATGCAAGAAACAACTCTGGCTACACCTGGCATTCCTTGGGTGACCGCTTTGAATCTTCCTACACAATGCTTAGAGAGAAAGCCTGCAGAGAACCAATCGTTTGACACAAATATATGTTGGTTGTATCAGCGTTATATACCCCTGCTAGTTTAGCCCCTTTCTATGAACTAATAGACTGGTGGCATGTGTGGGCTGGGTTGTGACAGCCCATGCATAGTCGTGTTTATGCCCTTGATCCACGCTCAAACCCCCGTTAGTTATCGCATGGATACTGACTTGCTGGTGATATATACGGGTGCATATACCCAACAGTTCCTATTGGGTATTAGGCCTTTTTGTCCCTTGTGGTCCAGCGGATAGTATCTAGCCAATAATATAATATCAGAATCTGCCATTAGGCTAAAAAGTCGAGCCCGCACCAATTGGTGGTAGAGAGACTGGTTATATTTGACATATGAGTACAAACGGAGCCTCAAGCCACGCTTGACAAGTCGACTCTTCGCGCTCAAATGCCAGTATGATTCATAATGGGGGATATGAAAGTAGTGATAACTCGATTGTTCAAAGAGGGACAAAGGAGAGATGTCCTCGCCAACGATGGTGAATAACGTACGGAATATTACTAATGTAATACAGTGACTAGGCAGACAAAAAGGATGGCAATTGTTTTGCAAAAGACAGCAATTAGGTGATTGCCAATTCAACTGGGCATATATCCATGGCCCGGATATCTCCTCAGATGACGTTTCCCATCTGAAGCCAGCTAGATGACATGTTTTGTGACTTAACGACAGTGTAGATATGTTGCTGAAGCATAAGGAATAAACCGAAATCCGCCCGTCGAGAACACAGTACGGTATGAACTAGGCCAGAGGCACAAGTAGAATCATCCTCTAGCGGCAGACACACTTGGCCCCGATCCTATTGCATGGACACACTCTCACCGGCCTCGTGCAGTGGCATCCGTTCTTGGAGCATTTCCCATAGCATCTCTGCTCCCGTTCGGCGATGTTAGTACGGCAAACCATGGCCTATTGATAACCACGCAAGGAAAGCCATACCTTTCTGGCAGTAAGTTCATTCCCTTCGTCGACTGCAGACATTTCACGATCAGCGAGATCAATGGCTTCGCTGACTTCAGGGATAGTGGTAGCAAGGATAGGTGCTGCCAGGAAGGTTGCAAGAAGGACGAGGTTGAACTTCATTTTGACGACTTGGGTATATATATCTCTTGTTTCTCCTGATGATGTTGTCCAATGGAATTCTTTGAGCCAGATGGTAAAGAGGGTGATAGACGATGCATTTTTATATCCGATGTTAGGCCAGATATAAGACTGCGATTTATCATAATTCTTTCCCCTCTTCCTTCAGCGTAACTTATGGTAACCAGATGAGCTAGAGGACAGTATCATCTGTGTGCGTGTGGTACCAGCTTGAGTCGTGTCAGGTCATACCAGAAGGATTCAGATATTGATCTGTCCTCCCCTACTTTGGAGCTTCATCACCGGCTATCTTCACTTTGGAAGCAGTAGAAAATGGCCAACAGAACATCCAATCCTTTGGTACAACTTGAAAACCTCATATCAGACTAATGAGTATCTACCAATTGACCCATAGAAGACCAAATACACCTGCGGGTACCTCGTGCTGGTATAAGTTGTAGATGGGTATATGGATATTAGTGTCTTTATAATTAATGATCCAACGTCTGGCTGGATAGTCTCACTCAACGTCCATCACTCAAATCAAAAGTACCTTTCACCTCGTTGGTTCGATTCGTCTGCTACTGAAAGACTACATCTACTCTTACTCGCCAGCTGCTTCTGCAGTGTAACTCACAACGTCACAAAAGGCCACTATCGAGGGAAACAGTCCCCCAGCGAGACTGAGCAACCGCAAGACCAGACAAACACCTAAAATTGAGCGATCTTCCACATCTCAACCATCCTATTCCATATCAAACATGGACTGTCCTGGCGGCACCTGTGCCCTGCCCGATCTCACCCGGGAGCAGAAGCGTAAAGAGTACGAAACTGACCCAACCAACGCGCAAGAGATATGGGAAAACCTCCGCAATACCATCGGCGGGATCGGAAGAGGGTATTTCAACGACGACTTCACCACGGCCGAGATAGAGGAGCAGCTGCACGATCTCTGGGACGAGCTCATCCACGCAGCGAAGATCATGCCAGCCACCAGTTCTGAACTCGACCGGCTTGTCACTCTAGTTGCGGAAACCCGTGCATTGGGGATCTTCGCCCAAAATAAAGCAGACAGAGATGCAGCACTCGTATCCGGCCCCGCAGCCCCAGAGCGGGATGAAGTGACACTGCCTAATGGACAGCAACTGTGGATCGATCTCCCTTACCTGGCTCAGGAGGTGACGGACTCATGGACTGCAGATTCAATGGGCTTTACACCAGCTGAGCGTGAGAGCGTTGCCGTGTGGACAGCAAAGCTATGTGCTACGGGTATCTGCTCGGAGGATCTCAGCCGCTGTGCGCTGTGGTTATTCAAGCAGACCCTCGAAACCGACAGACCCCTCACGGAGGAGGAGCAAGGTAACAAGGCTCGTCCTACCATCCATGACCTTTTACCCGCGTGCCTTGCCTGGCTGAAGCACAGCAACACCAAGCTGGTCAAGCTCTCACAGGAGAATTACACCGCAACATCCTCGTCTGGAGGCAATACCAACGATAGCATAATTACGCCCGGTGACCTTGCTGTAAAGGCGGGTGTAACGCAGCCTGGCTTCACTATTGGGCGCTGGCTCTTCTGGAGACAGCGATTCAAGGATCTATATCGATCCGCGGTTCCGCCTGTCGTCAAGCTGGCTCGATCTTGCTTCGACGCTGCCATTTTCTCGGGCATGGACGTTGGGCTAACTGTTCCAGGGGAGAGGGCCTACCTGAATAGACTGTTTGAGGCACTTGACAAGGAGGTGGAGGCCAGAGAGTTCAAGGAATGCATCGACGCAAATGACATTGACATCGACATGGACTGGGACAGGGAGTAGCCTTGGTATCTTTCTAAATTATATTCATTCTCTTAAAGTAGTTGTCTCACTCTTAGTATCTTATATCTAAATGTAACCTCCTGTTCTACTACTTGACAAACGCCACCCTAGTACGCCCAAGTAAAATGGGAGATTGGCCGAGTGGTTATGGCGTCAGGTTTAGGCTTACATAATCGTATTTCTTACCCTGATTTCTTTTGATTCGCGCGTTCGAATCGCGCATCTCTCAACATTCTTTTTTTCTTTCAGATATGACACATCTGCTGACTCATCTTGCTGACATCATCATTATTTTCAGCTTTGGGAAATTTATTTTTGGTTCGATCTTATCGGCAAGACGACCAGCTTGATATTTGTTACGATAGCAACCGCCGGCTAAGCCACGTCCATGACCTTTGCTCTCGTCCTGTGGAGGGAGAGAGAGAGAGAGCCAACAGGAGGCATCGGGAAAGGGATATCCGGCCGTTTGCCTGACCAATTCACCAACGCATACCCTCTCTTTGAGACGTTTCTGGCCGCGCATATACGGCGCCAACACATCAGACAGCCTGTCCGTCCTCTCCCCAATTCAAACAGTAAGACGCATTATAAGCAGCCTGATCTGACAATGAATAAGCACTGCAGTTATTTCCAACCCTCGTTTGACCGAAAATAAGACAGCGTAATCTCAACTTGGCCAGCGGTACTACACTGATCTCTTCCAACACCCTCTTCGTTCCCGAACTTTCATTATTTATCACCTTCAACAAGCCAATTCCCTTCAATCCATCAATCAGACAAACACGCTCTTCCTCGGCCATCTCCGCGGTAGTGAACAATGAGACAACCTATCCAGAAGATCAGAAATATGCTTCATTTCCGCAAACCAATCGCTAACTCTACCGTCATTATTGTTAAAGCTCCGACCTCAGCATCGGTTTCCGCATCAGCTTCTATTTCTACCTCCACTGCTGAATCGCCGCCGCAAGTAATTCTCCCTGACGTCGAGACGGACCTGAACATGCATTCGCCCAACCTTCTTTATGACAATCCTCACTCGGACGGCGCCGATGGGGTCGCCAGGAGAGATGAGCCTATCAGTATGTCCTACATGTTATAACATTCGAGTCGATGGGTGGATGGCTAACCGATTAATAGTTACCTCCATACCTCCTCCTACTAACGGCGACTCGATGCTCAACTCGACATCGCCTACAGAATGGTCTTCTGCCATTGGCCACGCCATGACCGGTAAATCCGGCAGAGTCATCCACAATCTCCAGGAACAGATAACCCGCCTCACCCGCGAATGCAATCTCCACCGAACCCGCGCCGAAGAAGCCCAGCGCATGAACGAAATACTAAAACAACAACTACAAACCGTTACAGACCGACTGCGCAACTCCGAACAGTCCCACGAAGCCAGCCTGATAACCATTGCACGTAAGGACAGAAAGATAGAAGACCTCAAATCCGAAACACAGAGCGAGAAGAACCGACGTCTAAAGGCCGAAAACGATGCATTGGAGACTACTCAGCTCGCTGAACAACAGCGTGAGGAACACCAGCGTGCCTTTGCGGAGGCGCAGGAGGTTGCCCAACGATCACAATGTCAATACGATGCTCTCTCACAGGCCCGACTACGCGATAGAAACGAGTTTCAATCCCGTTTCAGCATGTTCCGAAAGGACTTTGACGAGCTAATTAAGCGAGAGCAGGAGCGCCAAAACCAGTTGACTCGACTAGATGTCATAATCGAACAAAAGGACCGCGAGATCCGGGCTGCTCGCGATCGGACGGAACGAGTCACCACGTTATATGAAGAATATAAAACAAGGAGTGACGATACGCTAAGACAACTGGTAGAAAAGAGCCGGCGGAACGATCGTGACGTCGACGCGGTGCTGAGAGACGCCAGAGAAGCTACCGATAAGATGAAGTGGGTGGTCAACGTCAAGCAAAACGTCAAAGGTGCTAGATGATTGCTCCTCCCCCCTTTTTTTTACCACGATCGGCCCATCCTTTTCTCGGTCAAATCTTACCTTGGGATTTTGACGTGTATATCAGTTCCGCTGGATCGGATTCCTCTTCTCCCTAATTTTCTTTTTCATTTCGCTTCAATTTTGCATTTCCGAGATGGCGGAGTTCGGAGTTGGACCGGATCTTCCATCATGACCACTGGACGCGGATCTTATTATTTGGCCCTTGGCCGACTTTGGTGTTTCATTTCAAGCCCTTCCCGGCAACCGATCCTTGCATTCTACGGCCTGTTAGAGCGACTGCATACGGTTCTCCCGTCCAGGATAATAAAAAGTCTACTGGCACTGCGTTATTGTGTTCACCTCACTACCCGACTTCAACTATACTTTTCAGCCACAAGCTCTTACTTCTTTGTTTCCTTTTCGAACCTTCTATACGAATATATTTTTGGTGGTGATGGGGAAAAAGCACGAAAAAGGCAACATAGACTAACCAATGGGGAGGATGTCTGAGTTTTACAATGTTTATTCTTCATTCGATTCTACGTTTTCAAGGCAGAGTGCATGGCAGGGCATGGGCAGGTCGGGGCAAATATGCGAGGATATCCCTTTTTTCTCTTGTTCTTTATTTACATTTCTCTTCACATCTGATTTACTAGATGATGACTATTTGGTAGCATCGCCAGGCTTCTTTGATTTGAATGCAGGTAGATAGCACTGCTTATTTAATTCTTAATATTATATTATTCTTTAGGTATTCATACTATGGGTGCAGTCTGGTGGTGTCCCTGGTCCCTTATTGTGTTATACGAAGTGTTCCATGGGTCCAGCCAATCACCCTAAATTTAAACGTTGACTTTAATTCAACTTCACTTGACTTCATATCAATATCTTATAGACAACATCTACACTGCTTAAGTATTATTGATTATTCTACATACTATTACTTAATTCTGCCATCATGGCAGATACCATAATGGATCTCAGCGGCGTGGCTACAAGTATATCCGTGAATATACCTATTCTATGGCCTACTGGCCTACTGTGCTGTTCCCCTGGGTGACAGGTATCTATCCCACCTTGTAATGGTAACCATCTACTATTATAAAGACTTGAGACTGTCTTCAGATTCACTACAAGTCTTTGAAGATACTTGAATGGTATTTCATTCACAGCAGTGATATTATCTTATAGTGACGTGAGACGTTCCACCAACAAAGTGAAGTAACATCTTCTACAGCCACTTCTTCCCTCTCTTCTCTTCATCTTATATCTTCTCCCTCATTTTCTCTTCTTAATCTCTCTTTCTTCCTCCTTCTTACTGTTTATTTCTTCTTTGCTCCTGCAACGTGTTTTACCTGCAAACTCCCGCTCCTGCTTCTTTATCGCTGCAACGTCCAAAGGCAAACAAGCAACATAGTAAGTAAAGCAGAAACCTCATCTTTTCCTTCTCTCCATCTCAACTTATGTGGCATGCCGTCTTCTTTATTCTGGATATGTGAATGCTGACAATTCACTGGCTTCTGCCAGATTTGTTTCTCTTTTACTCTGTTCCCCCCTTCAATAGGAGGAAGCCTGGAAAGCTGATACTCTGGCTTCTGGCTTCCAGTATCAATATCTGTCCCGTTGCTGTTTCATCTCTCGAGAGACTGTGGTCTTTTCCCTGTCTCCTTTGATAGCTTTAAGGCTAGGTTTCTGCTGGCAGAAGTACGAAGTACATCTCAACCATAAAAGCAGATTGAACGTGGATTATTTTTGCTTCGAAACGAGCCTAAAAGACGCGTTTCATAATGTCTTCGCGTTACAGACTAACTGTTGCATCCATCTGGAAGCTTGAAACCGATGGCGTAAGTCATAGCTCCTATCACCTCTCGCTTAGGAAGAGATTGCTGACATACACCAACTTCATATAGATTGACGAGGTGACGAAATTCTTCAAGTGAGATAATCCCTATATACACGTACACCCATTTTACTTACTTTCGTTTGGCTGCTTAGAGAGCGCGCGTTATTAATCTTAGCATGTAGGAGTATACCCCATGGTTCAGACGGCTTCTGCAAGTACGAATCAGTAGACGACGTGAGTGCATGATCCACGGATATATTTCATTGTCAGTGTATATCTAACAAGTAATGAAAACCAGGTATTTTCCATCGATAACTGCAGCCCTTCTCTTTCAGCATCAGCAGTGGCCGAATTCCTCGTCGAGTTTGTTGACAGAGAAAAAGAACATGATCTGCTCGAAGTTAGTTTTTGCCCCACAAAAATTGAACCTGCCAGTCATTCAGGCCGCCTAATTTATTATAAATGTATAGAAACCCAAAATTACCCGTCTTTCTGTACCATCTAGCCCCGAGGTAGAAGGTGGTGATGCAGACTCCGTCGATGATCAACTCATTGAACAGGTTCCGAACCCTGAGGCTGTAAAACTTCCGGTGGTGGTCAAGTACTGGCAAGGGGACGATGATGCTATTGAATGTTTTGTCAAGGCTCCTCGGTCACTACTTACTGCTGTGACCCAAGCAACTGGGGCACAGGTAGACATTGAGGCAAGTAACAAGAGGATTAGGGTTACCAGCATGGAGCTATGGCAGGCCGACAATGCAATGGAAAGACTCTCGAACCTCCAGATGTGTTTGGTAAGTGTGTGTCTACTTACTAGGTTGACATTATACTCCCAGTATTCTGACATGTTAATACTATAGTCTCTTATGGTATCACCTCAAGTTGCGAACATCCTCCATATAGGCGGTGCGACGGACTTCAGGCTCAGAATTATACCATACAAATCCTTAAATGACATTGCCATGAGGCGTATCTTGGTCGATGGCCCTGAGTCGAAATTGATAAACCATCTCCACGACATGTTCGTTACGGTTATGGAGATTGTTGACCAGGAGTCTCGGGAGCTAAAGGTCTCTAAGAACATTGCCGCACCACCTCGATTGGCGGAGCAACGAAAAGGGCGAGCTCGTGCCTGGGACAATTTCGAATTTCAGCAGATTGGGGATGCCTCGCTACTTCCTAACCTCCCGCCAGTTTCCAAGGAAGATACAGCACTGAAGTCGGCCACGCCAATAAAGGATGACTCTGCACAAGAGGAAGTAATCGATAATCACCCTTGGCTTAGCCAGGAGAAAGCTTTCTTCGTTAACAGGTGGGTCAAGGAAGGCGTACAAGCTGGTGCAGTAGGGACAAATGGCTCTGAACCAAACAGCACTTTCCCCCCTGAACCTTCTGCTGAAGTTACAGGTGTCCCCAAGCTGCCTGCTGTACTAAAGAGACGGCAACCTCTACCTCCCGGAAACATTCAAGGGGCGCCAAAAGTTCAGCAGCCTGCTATTGAAAACATTGCTTGTCAGAGAACCCCTAAACCTATTGAACAGCCAGCGACTCCCCCCTCCCCTCCTGTGAGCGTTATGCCGTCTTCATTCAATGCAGCCGCCTATGGTCATCCAAAAAAATCTCCTCCGCGCCGACCAGCAAACAGAGCACCAATTCCGTATCAGCGACCACGGGGATATGGGCGAAAGTTGCCAACCCTCATAGATACCTCCATAACTGGGACTGAATCTGTTGCTTCCCCCATGCAACAGATTTCATTTACTCAAACATTGGTTCCATCACAACTTACTCTCCAACCTAGATCAACATTGTCTACGGTACATTGTTCAGTCTCTACGACTCCTACGGCTAACGAAGCCTCTTTTACCCAAGAGCGACTTAATGACGAAAATAGAGATCCTACGAGTAATTTTGAAACAAATGAAGAAAGACTCCGAAAATTAAAACTCTCGACCAAAGAATCATCTACTATTTTTGAACACCGTGGACTCAAAATCGTCGATGGGGAAGAAGCTACGAGAGTCTTTCACCGCACTATGGGGCAAGGAACATCAGCCGCATCATCAGCCGCTAATTGCGAGACAAAAGCCGAACAAAGGGCGAGGAAGCAAGCCGCACTTTTGGATGCTTGGGGTCCAACCCCTGCAGCACCTCCATGCAAACCGGTCCAAGCTCCCGAGCCTAGTCAATGGAAAAAGGCACAGCTTGCCAAGGAGGATGCTATAGATGCAAAAAGCATCAAAGATCTCTTTGGCTGTCTTAAGCCTGTCCTAGATGCTGTCCAATACTTTACTGGCACTGTAACCGTGGAAATTCAATTGGGCCTGATTCTCACCAACTCAGTTCCAAAACTTCATACACAACGGACGCTCGACCTCAAAGTCTGGAACCCTCTCTTTCGGCCACGGCATGGTTTACCCGGCCTAACTACGGTGTTCAACAATTTTTTGACGACTTCTGGGGCAGATGTCGATTATTTCTTCCAGCTTAGTGACGAGAATAGCCCTGATACCTTTTATTTTGAGCCAGAGCCTGAAAGTCGCAGGGTCTTCTACGAGTTTTATTGTCAAACAAAGGATAATGATAATATCGTTATTGTTGTTAATGAGGATGGGGCTGTTGGTGTCAACAGGCCAGATGTTGTCCTAGGGGCCACTAATATTCATTTTCCTCTGAATATTTGGGATCTCCGAGCTACAATCAAGGGGTCTCAAGAATACTCGGCTGCACCTGAGAGTGAAATTTTGAAGACCGTGAAGTGCATGGTTGACAACCTATATATTCCCCCAAATCGATCTAGAGTCATCATATTCACCCGTGTCCCGGAGGACAGTGCACTTCGGGTCACCAAGATCTTGATGAGACGAACTACTCGTCACAAGTACGTCGGCAAGTATATACTTGATAGATCTGAATCCAACTGCGAACAGCCTGTGTTCCTCCAAGTTACCGAAATGCAGAGATTGATTTCTGGTAACACACCAGCAGATAAAAACGTCATCCGTGTACGTTCCATTAGCTCTGAAGAAATGGTTGACGAATCTCGCCTTTGGTTTGAGGCGTCTATCGTCAGCCCCGCTATTGATGAAGTTCTTAAGGCAAATAAGAACCTCACTGTCGGGGAACGTGTAGATTCATGGTGCCCTGATGACTTACTGGGCATTGAATCCCATTTAGGCGGAAACATCACTGAAACGGGCCGATCAGATGAATTTTTGACAGCCGCCGAGCGAGCAGTTGGGTCAGCTGGAATTGGTAGCCTCTTCCGTGTTGCAAGAAAGGTAGTAGAAAAGATTGATGCTATCGGTTGGGCTAACCATACGCCAGCCACTTTTATCCAGGACAAATACCCATCTCCTTTGACTTCTGCTGGAACCGGCCCCATTGCTGCACCTCAGACAGAGGGTGGTAAAGACAAAGTTGTTGAGGCAAAGAGTGTCGCTCCGACGCAAGGTGCTAAATGTCCGTACTGGTGATTAGCCAATTTTCCTCTATCATTCCTACCACCTAGAGTAAAATAAATAGATTTTATTCAGCAATAAATCTAGCTTACTTCTTTCAGACGTGATAGTGCTGCCTAGACAAAGGTATTTACGTGAAATATTTCTTACTAGTATTTAGCATTTTACATACTACTATTAACTATATTTAATTAAAAGATTTGACCACAGGGTATGTAAGCTTTTAAATATATTCAAAATTCTAACTGTTATAAGCTTGGCTTTTGATCAGTTTTAACATGGCAACAATTGGGCAGGCGATACAGACAACCAGATTAATATACCCAGGATTACTCCCCCTAACTATCGTCGTTCTCCGCTTCGTCTTCAACGTTTCTTAACCAAGCTGCTCGCGCATCAACTGCAGCTTTACGCACTTCCCGCTTTGGATCGTCCAATACATACAGCAAAGACCTCAGAACAGTCCTCTTCAGTCGTAACAGAGGGGATACTGTAGTAAGCTGCCTCTTGATCTCACTTTCAGCCGTCTGCCCAACAGGGTGATTCGCAAGCAGGAATAGACATTGGAGCGCCTGGACTCGCACTTTCGCGGGATTATTGAGGTTACCCATCTCATATTTCTTCAATGATGATAACTGTGGAGCTTTCTTGATATGTAGGTCAGCTTCAGTATTATTGTGTATTGCTGCCGTCCTCAAAAGGCGGGTAACGAGATCCTCCACGTAGCCGATTTCGTGTATAACTTGTACCCCATTTTCATGGATTACAATGGCTAATGTTTTGAGTGTGGCGGACTTGATGTTGCTGTTAGTCGTAGGTGATGGCTGGGTGGACGAGGTGTCGTCGGTGGGGTTGAGGTCAAGGGTTTGGAGTAAAAGTGGTAAAAGGGTTGGTAATTTTGTCATTACCAGTGATGAGGGTATAGTTGATAAGAGGCCGGATAGCGCAGTTAGGTATGATTCTTTAGAGTGGGATTTTCTGGATGGTGACGATTCATCATGCGCAGCTGCGGAAGTATTCGCTTCATGAACTCGAGCTGAGATTAAAGGAGTAACTGTGGTGAATACTCTTTGCTTGGCAAGAAGGCGAATGGTAGCTCCATTTTTAGCATTGAGTATACCATCTTCTGCAAGAATGATACCGAATCCCTTAGCACAGAGGTCACTTGTCTTTGGGTCAGGAGAATCCAAGAGATCCAAGAGAGAGGTTAAAATCTGAGTTGTTGATGGTGCCAAGCGAAGAATCAGGGCTTTAGATAACCAGAAAATCACCCGAATAGCTTGTTGGGATAACCCCTGAGTAGACGATGTAGATGGTATGAGCAAGAACAGGATGTCAGAGGCACTTTGCACTTCTTCTTTAGAGAGAAACTTGTTCGCTAGAAGCGCAACATGACGGACTAGAGATAACTGAATCGAAGGGTCGGATTCCTCGGATACCGCAGCATTTATGGTTTTTTGTAAGAGGGGTTCTATACTCGGGCTGGCATATGGTAGTGGCGAAATATCCTTTGGCAAGGCAGCAAGGATATAAGTTGAAACGATTATCATTTGTTTTTGCAGAGTCGTAGGGTCATCTGAGAAGAGTGCAGGTGTGAACTCTTCTTCAGTCGTATATAATGCATATACATTATTACACACTTCATTCTGAGTTTCTCGTGGTAATGACCCGACAATAAGGTTGCAAAGCCTTCCTAGGGTATCAAGAACACGAGGGTGATTTAAAGCCGAGCCACCCTTATTAGATGCTATTGCAATGCGACTAGTCAGGGACTGAACAATCCTCTCGTAGTAGAAGCTCAAGTTTGAGTCACTTTCTAGGTCCCGACGATGCTCCATTGCATACAAAATCGTTGTCAATATGGCAGCGGTGTATGTCGGAGAACCCTCATTAGTGGAGTTAGTAACGACGTCCAGCTTGCTTAGCAGCCGCCTGACAAGCGTATTAAAAACTTCCTTTTCGGTGCTTATCCGCGCTAGGATATCAAGGGAATAGAGATATGACTCTTCCGCCCCAGTATCAGTATCCGGTAGAGTAGATAATAAGGTGGGGAAGGTGATATCAATGATAAGTTGTGGTTTATTCTTCGAAATCTCCGCAAGAGCAAGGACGGTCTTCTTGCGTAACTCATCCTGCGCAAAAGTTTGCCCCTGAAGAAGGATGTCATCAAAGTACTGCACAAACAGGCCAATCTCATTATCTTGGAGGAAGCTCGGTAGAATAGAAAGCTCCACGAGACCTTTCAAGGCTGATAACCTGAATGAGGTTTCATCTTTAGCAAAACCCATCAAGGATTTACTAAATATTTCTGTGAGGCTATCTTTATATGATATAAGCGGGTTTGTAGCGCCGGAATCAGCAGCGGCAGTGGTCCAAGTTCCGAAGACGGTGACAGCCGATTTAAAGAGTTCAACGAAAGTTTCTAGAATCTCTCGTTGCTTTGATATACTGTCGGCATTCTGGTAAATGTCAATTAACTGACGAATAACACCTTCGGCGATCAATGTGAATGATGAGGCGGATGCGGATGATAGTGAGCTCAAGATTTGTCGTGCCGGTTTTGCCTGTTTCTGTAATGGTTCTCTTAATTGATCAATACATTCATTTGTAACTGGCTTTAAGAATTGAGCTAGCGGTGACTTTTTGGCGCCATTCGCTGATGTTATAGGCAGCCTAGAGGCCAGAGCATGTAGCACTCGTAGTGATTCAGCAGGAAGAACATCATCTTGAGCATTTAGTATCTCAAATTTAAGGCAATCCCAAATAGTTATTGAATACCGCGTTATGGTGGAGGGACCGTAAGATTCAACACATCCATTCAGCGCTCTCAAAGCGTCTCGCTAGCCAAATATTAGTATCTGAATAAACAAAAGAATGGACGGGTCAAATTACCTTTACATTGGCTGATGTTGAATCTAGTTTATCCAACAACGCTGGAAAAGCGTGAGGGGCAAAAAGGGGTGTGGATGTTATACAAGCTTGCAATCTGTCTTTTAAGTCCTGTGCGGTTACTCCGTATGGGTCGTTGGGAGGTGGTCTAAAGGTGATAGGAAAGTAGTTATAAGCGGCGTCAAACAGTTCCTTCAAATATTTGACAACGTCAATCAATTTCATCCAACAATCATTAATTCCAAAAAGATGAGCTTACCTGAGTATGCCCTAATATATCCCACTCCATCATCACTACTCTAAGAATGGAAAATACAACCATAAGATTGCGAGGATCTCGCTCTCCGCTTACGAGATCCACGATTCCGATAAGTGACTCATCATTCATATCGCGTATCGCTATAAACCATCAGTCTAGCTCCAGTTTGCAGTGGTACACGGGTAAAACTAGGTACCTCCTCGGTTCTTATTCATCAATTCGTTTAAAAGATGGAGAACTTGCAATCTCTGCGACTGTGGACGGCCTCGGAATTCAGTGGAGTGTTGGTAGATGCTATAACTACAGTCAACAGCTTGGCTACCAGTAGATATGCACACCCAATAGACTTACGCTCGAAACGTATCCTGCGCCATAGTTTTATCGAATCGATGCATGGCGTGGAGAGTACGCAAACCGGTGATGGCACCACCATCTTCGATCCGGGCACAAAAGAATGTCGTCAAAACTTGAATTTGCTGTCGGCTAAGGAACTTCTCCGGTAAAGCCTTTATGACCGCTGTTAAGTATGATACAGCTTTTCCACGTATACTAGCATCTTCATCGTTTATATACTCGCCCAAAGACTTCACAATTTCTATAAGTGTTGTCTGCTTGCTCTCAAGTTCTAGTTTTCAGAATCCGGCAAATTAGCTAGGTACAAAACGATAAGAGCTTCACACATAGAACTCACTTGACGCAACAACACTAGCTATCCGAATTGCTTCTTCTCGGTTCTTTTCAACCTCCAGCATAAATTCCCGCAGCTCAGCCATCTTGCTAGCCGCCTATCTCCATTCCTTTTTCAACTCTTCATATAACGAAGTTCATACTTTTTTTCTGCTTTGTGGTTTATCTTTTAACTTATCGATAAGATCACGTGAAACAATCCCCACGATCTATTCACGTGATCAAGACCTGCTGACGTCATATGAAACTGCAGGTTTAATGGCGACGGCGAGGACGTTGAGGATTGATTCCCTGCCATACGAAAACACAGGATGAAACTGGTGATAATGTGTTCTTAAATTCTGCTATTCGCTATGAAGCTCGTCGCTCTCTCTACTCTTCTTCTGTTGACATCCTTGTTCGCAGTATCCCTTTCACACTGGAACCCACCCATTCTATCAAGAAGGCGACTCCTCCCACGAGACTACAGGAGCCCAAAGAACCTCGATAGAGAGCGGAATAATATCGATAGACTCAACTGGAGCCCTCCTGAAGATCCCGACGCTATCCCGCACTTTGTTATGCCTCCGTCTAAACAGGATGTTGGGGGTGGTGTCCGCGTATCAGATATCCTAGGGAAGACTCGAGAAGTCAACGTGTTCGCTTCCATGACGCGAGATGATGAGAACGTCTCCAACCGTTTGGAGAATGATAGCAAGGATACCATAGTCCTGGCCCCTAATAATGTTGCTATCCAGGGTCTCTCTCATAAGCCGTGGGAAAACCCTAGTGAATATGCAACCTTTGGGGTACAAGAGGCGTATGAGGGCGAGTCAGGGAAGAAACGAGCAAACAAAAATTTGGAGAAATTTGTTGCGGCACATTTGATACCCCAAGGATCGTGGGAAGCTGGGAAAGAAGTTCAAACTCTGGGAGGAGGGAAGATATTCTGGGAAGAGAAGGACGGGAAGAAATATGTAAGTTCCGAATTTATATATATATATATATATATATATGGTTAAATAACCACTAAATGGGTACTAACTGTTGAGTAGATCCATCCTGGCAACATTGAGGTCGACGACATAGTCTCACAGGTCTCCAACGGTGAAGTTTGGGTTATCAACGGAGTTATCAACTACCTGTAAAGCAGTGAAATTTGTATGTGAATACTATAGCAAGTATGGGTATATATGGGGGATCTAGGTAATACTATTTCGGTGGTGCATGGGAATAAGTATATAGTCGTGGTATAAATTCAAGTTCCTTTTGACAATATACACGCCCCTGAATATATGATTTTTTAAGAGTCTAACCTGACGACAAATTCAGGCTTCCGAAACATGGGAATTACGATGCCTTCTGTAGTATCCGCTCTTCAATTCCATCTAGAATGCAGTAGTGCTCCATAACTTCAATGTTCTCTGCTTCTCCCTGGAAGATTTTCTCTGGATCTTGGCCAGGTTGAAATGGATTCACGGCAGGGTTCGTTACGCCTACTTGCTGCATCACTTGACCAGCGGCTACTCAAGACGTTAGCATAGGGTATAAATTTGGATGATAGATGGGGGACTTCTTACAATTGTCACTTCCCAATATAAAACCAAAAACGGACTGGAGCCCAAACAGATTCAAAAAATACCAAGACAAACTGGAGACCCATCTCACATCAAGATCTCGGGTCATGACACCTGATTGAAGCATGGATTTAAACTGAATAGTCAACGGGAATGGAAGTTTCACTAGTTAGGAATATATGGTTAGTCTCCACATTTGGGATAATGTATTGATAGGAGTAAACGGAGTATTACGTATAACAAATCCGGAGAAAAACGCATTGATCCATGACATTATAAGAGTCTGCGGAATCATCATGGCCATATTCCCTTTCATCATCCCCATCATTGCATCCATACCAGCCGGGTCCGTCATTGGGTTTGGTGCCCCGCCACCACGGTTTTCCGGATCTTTCAAAAAAGCACCAGTTTTATAAGCGTTGACCAAGTATGCCTTGCGAGATGCTAGGCTTGAGGGCGTAAGGACGGCAGACGCATTAGTCCGCAAGTTGATACCACGGAAGAGAGCGAGTCTTTCCCGGAATTCGGCCAGGCTGGCAGCTGGTTTAGGGGCGCTGGTCATTAGGATGGTGGCATAGTGACGGAGGATACCGGTGAGTATCTATACAATATGAGAAATCAGCCACAGCTCCTTGTTAAATTGAAGAAAGTGGAATAACACATACCATGACCACTGAAATGGGAACCAAGATCCAGTAGCTGTGGAAGAATTAGCATCATCGGTTGCTGAGAAGAAATCCCGATACATACAAGAGAGCTGGATCCCGCAGGATCGTCTGATCCAGGCCCTGAGCAGCCATCTTAACCGCTCGACTTATTCCAGGTTACCGTCTTGAAAGTCGCATCAAGCTCAACTTCGACGATAAGCTTAAAGACGCTCAGATGCTAATGTATATCACGTGACGTGTACTTCCTTCATCTCGAAAGATGCCACAGTTTGCTTCTCTATAGACACAAAGCAACAAGACGTTTTCCTTATGTTTTATTTCTGTTGACAGATTTATATATACCTGTGGCTCGTTCAAGCGCGCCAGGTATTGCTAGTGTTTATCCAACTGTTCAGCGCCAGGTCTATTTAGAAGTGAACACGGTAGCTCTGTCGTGAATCGATCATTGATCCAGCTTCAACAAGAGACAGCTCGACCTTTATATATCTCTGAGGAAGAATCAGATTTTGGACAGGTTTCACTCGAAATAGCCGCAGCTAATTGTGGAAGATTTCTAAAATGCCGCTCAATTCCCCAGCACCAGTCCCCGTTTACTCTTCAACTGGTATGCCTCGCACATTTGACCCGTTAATTGAGCTTGCGACATGTCCTTCTTACCATTAAACCCATTGAGTAATAGCTCACTCATATTCTCTTTAGACCTCAAAAATACCTCTGACGATGCCATCACAACATATCTTACCCTTGGCCTTCCTAAGCCCAATAGATTTGTCGCGATCAACACAAAATCTGATATCCGCCTTATACTAGGATACTCTGCTGTCACAATTGCCGGTGTATCTTTTTACTTTGACTATATGAAGGGCTGGCAATTCACGGTGCCTTGGATGATATATGCGGTGGTAGCATACTTCATACTAAATACGGCATACACTGCATGGATATGGCTGGTTGAAAGTGGACAGGTGTTTGAAGGGACCACATCAAAGGGGGAAACGGTAACCCTAACCCATCCCCGCCACCATACCATTACAATACTCATACCTTGGGAGTTGCTTTATCTAACTTGAACTTATTATAGCTTCAAATTTCGTCTTTGTCCAAAAAGTTCTCACCGACCTATAAGCTTCACGTCCGACACACTTCGTCCTCGGGAAATATTGTAGAGGAGAAAACTATCGAGGCTCCTTTTGCCAGGTGGTTTTCAGCAGATGGTACCCTTCAATTTGAGCCATTCTCGGAATGGCTCAAACGTGAGATTAAACTTGTTGGGGCATCTTCATTAGAAGGACCCTCCAAGTAGCGTCAGGGGAAATGAAAGGCGTAAGTTTAAATCGGGATTTCAAAAGCGTTCAATAAATGGACTAAGATATTTAAATATACCGACAAGAACTTGGAGACTATGACAAATTTACTCATCATTTATCTTTAATTATAGGCATTGTTCATAATTATACGTCAACTACAAAATACCCTTCTTACCTTGTTGACGAAAGAGCAAGTTCTACAAACCTCGTTCCCAACACGAAGCTGATCTTGCTCTTAAACGTAGCACGACCGTATGAATACAGAAATAATAAATTATTTTAAAATGGCTTTCATCTATCTTTTTTTTTCAAGTTTAACTGTTCTCATACCTAGAAACCGAATGACTGGATAATCATCCACTTGGTGTGTCCGTGGTGCCTTCGAGAGTACCGGGCTTCTCAACAGCATCAGCTGGATGGCCACCTTCGGGCTTGCGGTTCTGCGCGAGCCTCTGCAAGGTGCAAAGATAGTTATTAGAATATGATACCCTGATAATAGGAAAATCCCGGGAAATTCTTACCAATAGATTTCGAAGGAGGACAACGATTGTGACCTTTCCAATCGCTGGGACATATATGGATGCCTTTTCCTTTACTGCAGGAGTGAAGTTCTACATTTCATATATCAGCATTGATCTAATCACCAGGAAAGGACATCTGGAAGGGCAATACAATACCTTCTCACTGGAGAAATTTATACACACCGCGCCGGGGCGCAGGAGGTTCTCATCAAACTTGAACGCTTCACCAGGAACACCGGATACAACCACATCACAATGAGGAACGGCATCCTTCAGCGTCCATCCTTCCATATCCTCAACCTCATGTCTCCGTTTCTTCAGCCCTTCTCCACGGGTAAACTTCTGCACACCGGTGATATCAACGCTATATACCAGCGCGCCATCATTCGCCAGCAGTGCCGCAAGCGGTCTCCCCACGACTTCAGACCTGTTCACAACACATATGGTATGTCCAAACAGCCGATTCCCATACGGTAGAATAGTGTTATATATCTGCAGGTATTCCAATATCTTGATGACGGCAAGAGGCGTGCATGGTAATATGGACTTTTGCTTCCGCGCACCGGGCTGAGGGTCCAAGAAGCGTATGTTCTGATACATGTTGAAGATGTATCTGTGACTTAGGCCCTCAACGTCTTTACTTATATCGACGATCTGTTGTAGGTATTGATCTTGACGGTTGTTAAAGATGGGATAGTACACCATTATCCCGTCCACGTCGTCATCGGTGTTGGCGGCAATGATGGCGTCCTCGATGTCATCTCGGCTTACTTCTCGACAGGTATAGCGGAATCCACTGTGTATTGTTTGGTTAACTTGTTGTAGATGCTGTGTGGACTGTAGATGTTCATGATGGCCATGCACGCGAGCAGATGCAGGCAAGGAAGAGCAACTCCAATATATATCAACTAACAACAACAGACACCTACTTACTTTTCCTTACACGTTTTCTCTGTCCAATTCGCATACATGCGCGCCGCAGGGTCAGAATTGGCCAGAAATCCAACGAGGTGGGGTGGCTTATCGAGTGCTTTTCTCCCCTCTGTGACTTCAGCCAGCAGGCCGCGGGCGACAGAGGCAGCTAGAACGACTTTACACGATGCCGGTACATTCTCATGTTCTGAAGCCATGATGAAGGGGGTCTATATTAAATGTACAAGTCTCTCCTTTGATGTTGGTGTTTGTTTCTGAGAGAAAATATTGATATTAAAGTGGCGGAAATTATTTTCTTTTAATTGACTTTTTTTATAGTAACAATGTATGACTATGCCTTCGAGAGATGAGCTTTAATTAGTAGATGTTATTGGATGAGGGGAGAGAGGAATACCAATGTATGTATATATTGGCGTATAGAGGGAGAGGATATATACGTGAATACTTCTCATTCGTCACGATTTGACCATTTGCATTTGATAGAAGTACAAAAGACATGGAAAAGCTGCAGACATAAGAAATGAGATAAGAGACAAGGCGAAATAATTGAACACTGACAAAATTACAAATGGAATTTCTGACTAGAGTGGGATAAGTGTTTTCTGATCTCGAGATTTTACACAAGCTATCTTTCTATACATAGAGTCAGGGAAAACAGAAGGAATTTGGGGGGTCACCAAAGCCATATGCATGCCACATCACATCACACACGGGCGTTGTCTTGTTGTACAGTTAACTCTTTAAGAGAAGCTCTTGTTGAAAGCGACAATGCAGTCCCTGATCTGGGCCTCCAAGTCCTTGCTGATCTGGCCCTCCTTCTCGATCTTGGCAAGAATCTCTGGCTCGTTGGATCGGAGGTGGGCGAGGAAGTCAGCCTCCCAGGCGAGGATCTTCTCGACAGGGATGTTGTCGAGGAGACCGTTGACACCAGCGAAGATGAGAGGAACCATCTCGTTGACGGCCATGGGCTGGTACTGCTTCTGCTTAAGAAGCTCAGTAAGACGGAGACCACGGTTGAGGGTCTGCTTGGTGGAGGCATCCAAGTCGGAACCGAACTGGGCGAAAGCAGCGACTTCACGGTACTGAGCCAAGAAGAGCTTGAGGGAACCGGCGACTTGCTTCATGGCCTTGAGCTGGGCAGCGGAGCCGACACGGGAGACGGAAAGACCGACGTTAATGGCAGGTCGGATACCCTTGTAGAAAAGTTCGGATTCCAAGAAGATCTGACCGTCAGTGATGGAAATGACGTTGGTTGGGATATAGGCAGACACGTCACCACCCTGGGTCTCAATGATAGGAAGGGCAGTGAGAGAGCCGCCCTTGTGGTTGTCGTTCAACTTGGCAGCACGCTCGAGAAGACGAGAGTGGAGGTAGAAAACGCTGTGGAGAGTTAATGTTAGGTATAAAATATGTAGCAGTGGGGTGGGAACGGAAATAAACATACTCTCCGGGGTAAGCCTCACGACCTGGGGGACGACGAAGCAAGAGGGACATCTGACGGTAAGCGACGGCCTGCTTGGAGAGATCGTCGTAGATGATGAGGGCGTGGCGGCCGTTGTCACGGAACCATTCACCCATGGCACAGCCGGTGAAAGGAGCAATGTACTGCAGAGGAGCGGCCTCAGAGGCAGTGGCAGCAACGATGATAGAGTACTTCATAGCATCGTTCTCCTCAAGGGTCTTGACGAGCTGAGCAACGGTGGATCGCTTCTGGCCAACGGCAACGTAGACACAGTAGAGCTTCTTAGACTCATCGGAAGAAGAGTTCCATCGCTTCTGGTTAAGCATGGTGTCAAGGGCGACGGCAGTCTTTCCAGTCTGACGGTCACCAATGATCAACTCACGCTGACCACGACCAATTGGCACCATGGAGTCGACACACTTCATACCAGTCTGGACAGGCTGGTTGACGGACTTTCGGGGCAAGATACCTGGGGCCTTGAGCTGAGCACGGCGCTTCTCAGTGGCCTTGATGGGACCCTTTCCATCAATTGGGTTACCGAGGGCATCAACAACACGGCCCAAAAGCTCGGGGCCGACTGGGACATCAACCTGGTTGCATTGTTAGCATCCGGTAGACGATGTATGTGGGTATATATGGCCAATATCAAACTTACAATCTCTCCGGTACGCTTGACGGTCTCACCCTCCTTGACGAGACGATCAGAACCGAAAAGCACGACACCGACCTGGCCGGCTTCCAAGTTCATGCACATTCCCTTGACACCAGAAGCGAACCTGTCGACTGGCATTAGATTTGATGATGGTGAGAAAAAAAAGTTTTTCTTTTGTCACGATGATACATACTCAACGAGTTCCTCAGCCTGGACGTTGTGCATACCGTGGACACGGGCAATACCATCACTATCAACCACACAGTTAGTATTATCATCGAATAGAACCAGAAAACATGATTCTGTCGACTGGCATGCCTCAATGGCTGTGGTAGAGAGCCCGACTTACCCGACGGAAAGGACACGACCGGTCTCAGCGAGACCAGCCTCCTCCTGGACACCACGGATCCTCTGCTCGAGGATGGAGGAGACCTCAGTAGGAGCTGGCTTCGCCTCAGCGGCATAGGATCTGACCTGCTTGGAGACGGAGGCCAAAGGGTTGGGGGTACCGGCTCGGACCTGCGAGAAGAAAAAACACAGCCAACCGGTCAGCGACAACTCAATTGACAGCAACAAGGAAGCTGAAAGCCATCAAATCCTCGACGAGGCCATCGAACCCATCGCCCTAGAGGCCCCAATGGCCATTATCCGCGCGATTGAGGATGGGATGGGCGTGGTTCGGGCGAGGAGGTTGAAGACCTGACGTTGGATTGAGGCCAGAAGGGGGAAAAAACTCTTACAGCGGAGAGTCTGCCGGTGGCAGCGACGGCCGTCACGGAGCGGCTCGACTGCCGTAGAGCACTTCTGAACATTGTGAACGAGGTTGAAGGGAGTAGAGATGGGGAAGAATGGAAGAGAGAGAGAGAAGAAGAAGAAGAGCGCAATTGATGCGGTGGAGGAAGAACTTCGTGAAGTTGAGGTTCGAGTTTGTGGAAAGAAGAGAAAAACGACCCAAGCTTGTCTTCTGAAGCGCGCTAGGCCACAAGCGGGAGTTGCCGAGACCGCCCAATTTACAACAACAACAACAGGAAGACTGACGATTATAGAGAAGATATATATTAGATGTGTGTATGCATGAGCCTGTTAGATACATAGACATATACAAAAGATGTACAGGCATAGGAACAGTCGTTGACATGGCAGCGTTGGTGTTGATGCTGCCGGGAAGAACCGGAAGGGGATACGTGACAATACGGTATCAAGTTTGTAAAGGATATATAACGCTATTCTACAGTCTTGATATGTAAAAAGAGGGAAAAGGTGGTATTACTTCGACTTGGACTTCTCTGACTTCTCCTTGTTGAACTTGGCAATCTCCTTGGTGACGGCCGTGTCGATGCGGGACTTGAGCTCGGGACGGTAGCCCATGTAGAAGAGCACCTCCAGCCAGACAAAAAACGGAGCGAGGAAGAAGGCCTGCACCAGGTTGTCGAGCAGGGCGGGTGCACGACCCTCAAAGACCCCGTGGCCGACGAACTGCAGGATCCAGGCGACTCCCTGGACGGCCAACGACCAGTAGACCGCCGTCGTCCCGTAGGCAGCGTGGAGGTAGTTCATGTATGCCGTTCCGCCCAGCAGCAGTGGTGCTAGCAGGGCGCCGGCCACGGGCTCCATCAGCATGTACAACGTCAGGTAGACGAACGCTGCTATTGTTCCGGCGTTGGCAGGTAGATGTTGGATGCTGATGGCCTCTGGTACGTAGAACAGTGGCCCTGCACTCCCTGCCTGTATAAATATAAAAGCACCAGATATCAGTATGGGTTCTACCGTAGTGTCACAGAGGCGAACCCACCAGTAGGAACATGCACATCATTATGATAGGGACGCAGGTGATATGGATGACCACGTTGACCTTTGAAACATCAAACTATTAGCCTTCTGCTGCTGCTGCTCTCTGGATAAAGAATACACACTGGATGGTGATGATATGCCCCATACTGCAAAACACTACGTTAGCCTTCGACGTCTCTCTTTTGTATAGATGGATATAAGCATACGAAGAGGAACTGCTTCTCTAGGTCCAGCATGGCTGCTTCCTGTCTCTCGACCAGCTTCAACCCACTCTAGCGACTGTCGTTATCGGTGATATGAGAGCCTCACACGCTCCACGGCGGGGGATTCTATGGGGAAAAGCGAAAAAGGAGGTTAAACAAGAGAAGAAGCAAGTTATCGACGGCAGGATTCAACAGCTACGAAGATTATAACCTATTAGCATGTGATGGGAAGCAGAGAGAGCGTGAACAAAACATCAACTAACCAGCCGTCAAGTCAAGCACACCGAGTTCAACAATCGACCTATCGTCTCTCCCATCGCCAGCTAAATATCGCCTTCTTACTCTTCATAGAGCAAAAGAAGTGGGAAAAGACAAGAAAAAAAGAGCCAGAAAATAATATTAATATCGTGGGGGGAAGAAGGGAGATGCTATCACGTGATATTTAAAAAAACATCGATTTTTAGTGGTTTTTCGGTTTGATGGAAGGAAAAAAGGGAGCAAAGCAACTTTTTTCTTACCTTGGAGTGCGGTAGACTTTTCATTCTTCGTTCATCGTGTCCAGCGTCGTCACAGCTCGATACCGCCTATCCGCTTGGACGGCCGAACCGCGCTGGTCATATTACCCCGAGTTGACGGTGTTGCGGAGAGATGAACTGAGAGCTGCGGGCTGACAGAGCAGTTGTAAGCGCTGCAGCCGGAAGAGCCCTGAGGCCTGCGAACTAGAGCCGGAAGATCATTCAGGCCGGACAGAAGGACGCTGGGAGATCCGCGATTGCCGCCTGATACTCACGTCGGGGGGGGCGATAATAGGGGGAGGAGCTGTGTGCGTGTGTGTCTGCGTGCGTTGTGATATCGACGCGTCGAGGCAAAGATGTTCTTCATCCATTTCCTCGAACATGTTCTGACGCTGCATCCGTCCTTCTTCGGCTCTCATGTCAAGGAGTACCTGACTCAGAAGCTGCTGGATGATGTGGAAGGTGTGTGTACGGGCGATTACTACATCGTCTGCGTGATGGACATGTATGATATCTCGGAAGGGAAGATCATACCCGGCAGCGGTCTGGCAGAGTACACCATTGTCTACCGCGCCATTGTCTGGAAGCCGTTCAAGGGAGAGACGGTAAGAAGAGCTCGAGAAACAAGCTATGGGAACTTCCGTCATGCTAACCCGGTGCCTGGAGGTTGATGCTATCGTCACCTCGGTGAAGAACCAGGGCATCTTTGCAGAGGTTGGCCCACTGACCGTCTTCGTGTCCAAACATGTATGCCTGCCATCATCGGGAGAGATCTGGTGGTAGAAAGGAAGAAGCTGACCGGGAGAGCAAATAGTTGATACCGCCAGAGATCAAGTGGGATCCAGATGCGACTCCTCCGCAGTATACGGATAACGCAGACCAGGTCATCGAGAAGGGGACAAATCTACGGATCAAGCTGATTGGGCTGCGAAACGACGTGCGCAACATGTTTGCAATTGGCAGCATCAGGGAAGACTATCTTGGGTTTGTTGTCCGATGTCAAGTGTGTGATGGCTCATTAGCTGACCATATCTCCAACCAGGACCCTGTAATGAATACTTTTTGGCCGTGTGCACTTGTAGCACCGACATCTGCTGGCCTGCTGGCGCAGCATATAATGAGAAGCAGAATGACAGGCTGTAAAATCATCAACCGGCACAAGAACTACAGCCTCTGCTATCAGACCTTCCACCTCAAGCTTCCCTCACCTCGGCTATACGGCGAGATATATACGACGAGGGAACCTCCCTGGTGAACTTTCGTTACACCATCGAACCCGGTATCCTACCTCTTTTTTTCACCAGTTTTATCTCTTGATGAGTGACGAGATACCTGTAGATTAGAGCTCTATCGTGACCCAAATAGTTGAATGGCATATCCTCGCAGCAGCAACCACGGACTCTCCGTTCATCCTGTACCTCTACTATGTATATCCTATCGGACTTTTTTCCTGGGGACGGCCTACGGCTGAAACAACGGCCCTTGAAGTCTAAAATACAAAAGAGCCCCTGGCCTTGCATTATTGAGCCTATAGAAATTCGGTCTCAGCACCAAAAGAAAGGGAAAAAGAAAAAACACCATTACTCTGAAACGTCGTAGTCTCGCATATCAAGACTGACGGGCATGAAGCTAGGCGTAGCATGTTATGTTAGCCCAGGGGCTCTGCTGCACGGCGAACCCACCGCCAGCACTTCGGCTGGTTATGTTTATTTTTACCAGGTATCTGCGGCAAGAAAGGCCAGGTCAGCCTCTTGTAATATCTCCTTTTTTCCTTTTCTTCTTTTTTTTTTATCCTTCTTTAAACCAGCTTCCCCTGCGTTGTCCGGTTCGTTTACCTTTGTATAGTTAAGTCACTGGTTGTTACATATACAAAAGCGCGGAGGTTCCTCCTTTGGCCAACTTTCCTTCTTCCCTCTGCTTCAAGAATCTACCAACTTCGTCTCTCTCTTTGCGCTCGACACACTCGCTTGACACTCTCGATACCGCCACAATGACCCTTCAGGCGATCTACGAGGGCTTCCTGGCCAGACCAGAGCCAGAGATGCTCGCTGAGCAGGCCTCGCTGCACTACATCACCACAACCACCACGCATAACGGGCCAGATAACATCATCAAGCACCTACAGGCCGTCCGTCGAGCCCTGGACAAGAAGTCGCAGGTCACCCTCAGTGCCATCGAGGATACCAACTCCCTCTGTCTTGAGATCGAAACTACTCTCCTCTTTACCAGTGGCGGGGGACCTTATCTGCTCTCGCTGGACGATAACTTCGTTGTCGATCAGACCGTCACCATCCCAATGGTGCGTTGATAAACTATTATCAGAAAACAAAAAAACACGAGTTGATGATCTTTTATTACTGACACGCGATAGGTCCACATCGTTCGATTTGATTCAGAGAATAAAATCGTACAGATCCGCCAGTACTGGGATCAAGCTTCGCTCCTGAGGAAGCTCAATGTCATTGGATCGCGAAACAACTGGCCTATCTCTGATAGCGTGGAGCAGAAACGCCTGATCAACTCGTCAATCGCGGCCGCAGCCCAGTACTCGAAGAACGCTGAGCCCAAGCCAAAGAAGACGAAAGAGACACCCAAGAAGGCCGCGAGGGCCGAGACGCCTCTTTCCTTCTTCGAAGCTCAGAGCGTTGAAGAGCCAGTGCCTGCTACCAAGTCTCGCACGTCTACCTTATCCGCAAAGCCAGCGCCACGAGACTACAACGACCTCTTCCAGGCTGATAACGAGCCACTGGTGACTCCTCCAAGGTCAAGGGACCAGAACATAGGCACCCCCAAGACCATCTCAAAGACATATACCCATTTCGAGTTTGGCGAAGGGAAGCTTCCTGGTGACCAGCCGCAGAAGGAGAGCAAGGCGCGTAGCCACTTTGAGTTCGGAGACGAGGCCGCGCCTCATGTGTTGGAAGAGCACAAGAAGGCGGCCGAGAAGTCGCAATCCAAGAATCCAGGCCATTTCGAATTTGGAGAAGCCGAAGACCGCCCTTTGCCTGTTCGACCCAGATCATCCAAGCACTTCTCTCAATGGGACTTCGAAGACTTTGTTACTCCTGAGAAGCCCAAGAGGAGACCCGTCCGAGGCCAAGAGGTCCGTCACTTCGGATGGAGTGATGACGAGGTTGAACCGCTGGAGACTCCCAAGCCAAAGCCACGAATCGCCCATCCAAGACGTGATGCTGAGACTCATTTTAAGCTCCAGGATGAACAGACGCCTCTTCCGGCTGAGAAGACGACTGCCGGTGCTGCGCATAACAGAGGCCTCAAGCTGTACGAACACAACCTTTACGACGAAGGTGAGAAGCAAGAGGAGCCTTCGACTACCTCTAACGGCACTAGCAACCATTCCCATAGACATAAGATCTTCGATCCTCAGTGGGAGATGAAGGACGAATTTGGCAACGGGAACGGTGAAGAGGCCAAAGAGGAGGAAACGAAGAAGCCTGTCTCTAGAAGCCGCATGGACGTGGTCAAGCTCATGGACTCAAGCTGGAATAAGTTTGATGAAAACGCACAGCAGGAACAGCCCGTAGTCGACCGCCCTATTCGCGCCAACCCAGCCCGCCAGAGCGTCTACTCTAAGAGCTGGGGCTTTGGAGATGAGGATTAAAACCGCACTCTTTTGCTTCCGCTTGGCTTTTCCGGCGGCACTAGCCCTCTCTCCTTTCCCTTTCATATAATACTGTATTCCAACATCTCTTAACCTTTTCACTTTCCTTTTACTGTCTGATATTTCCATGCCTGATGAACACCACCTCGCCCTCTCTTTTACTTTTACCCTTCGGCCACTATGTTTGGGAGATTTTTTTTTTGAAATCGCTGTTTGAGCTGCACTGAAACGAATACACGGGGCGATAGTTACGACTCAGACGAAACGATTCCCATCGGCGTCACTGTCTTTTTTTTTTTTTTTTTTGTTCTATTAGGCCTTTTTTTATGTTATTCGATGTTAGAGAAGTGTTTCGATATTGAAGTACCGTTTACCACTTATGACTGTAGCGTTATATACTGACTGATAATTTATATATGGCGATTAGAAGCTGCTTAACTCCGAGAGAGCAACAACTAGTTTGAGCTCTGGAGATGTGAAAGTACAACTCTTCGTCTTCACTACTTCATACTTGTACAATCTGCCCGGCGTGATCGCTACTAGGAATATCCTCTGTCGGTCGGTTTGTTTGACCTCTAGCAGTGTGGTTGTGGGCAAGTATTTAAATGCATAGTTACCAGGGTTTGGCCCTTGACTGCCTTGAAGACTCCATCCAACATCTCTGACTCCCAGCTGGCACGAAGAAAAGCGAGAAACGTCCATCGAGCCCCTAGGCAGGACAGTGAGTACATTGTTTCTTCTTGCCGCTAGAACTTCCAGCCCTTGTCGTGTTCCAGATCGCAATTTCAATATTTCCCATCCCACCTAGACGAACGATCTACTCATCTTTGATGGCTTAGATAGGCCTCCATTTCTCGCAGCCATAAGGTCGATAGTGCGCAGAAGCCATCGAAAAAAATCCACATTCAACGCGAAAAACGCCCAGTCTAGCTTGGAAGAGTCTTTCTGAAGCTGTTGGAGGGGGACAGGTAGTTTTCAGTTGTCAGTTGCTACAAGACGCCACAGCTATATACAACAGCTTGACTTGAGAGAGAAAACCCTTTTATGAGCCAACGCGCACCTACATATACGGGATTTGAAGGCTTCAGTTTTCATCATCTGGACAATTTGTCGTTCTATCTCCATTCACCTGGATCGCAGAAGCTGTCCATACCCCTCCACTTATCACGCCAGCAAGAACTGTGAACACATATCGTTAAATATGTCGCCTACACCACCTACCACATCGTCTAGCACGCATTCCCCCGAATGCCAATACCGCGTTGTTCGGAAAAGAAATCGAGTCCCGGTGTCCTGCGCTCCATGCAGAAACCGAAAGTATGAAGTCTCTCCTCCTTTTTTTACACACTGTATGTTCTGTCAGTATCTTTGCTAACCGTGCGTGCTGTCTATATATATAGATTGAAATGTAACCGTGCGATGCCCTGCGAGAACTGCGTGAAGAGAGATGATGCCTCAGCTTGCTCATACGCCCAGTCCACTAGCCGACGCAGACATCAGAATAACCAGTCTGCAATGTCAACACCAGACGATATGCAGAATCGCATAGATCGATTGGAGAGCCTGGTTTTGTCATTAATGACAAATGGCGCACAGTCGGCTGGACCTACTGCTGCGGTTGCCACTGTATCTGGGGATGGCAGTATAGACTCGCTAGGCCCGCAGAGCGCAGGCGCCAACACGATTGATATCGACCTGAAAGATGAAGAAAGTGATACAGAACAAGTTACAAAGTCGTTTGGAATAATGAAGGTAGATAATCAGAGCCAGAAATCGTACTATGTGTCTGAGGCACATTGGTCGACGATCCTGAATGATGTATGGACATTTTTTCATCTTATATACCACGGATTTGAGCTAATGGCTGTGCTTAGATTTCAGAAGTTAAGCAGTTCTGGGCTTCTCATAAGAAGCAGTATGAGGAGCAGGTGCTGAAAGTGCAGGCGGCCAAGCAGACGCAGGATCTGAAGGGTTCTGCTTTAATATTTGGAGCAATGTCGCTGCCAACTGAAGCGGAGATTATGGCATCTTTCCCGTCGAGATATACCGCGGACATGCTTCTCCGCCGTTTCTTTTCTACCCTAGATCCCTCAATCAGTGAGTTCAATTCCCAGAAAACCTATATATGAAATTAATATATCTTACTCTCTTTCTAGCTCTTGTCCACGGTCCGACCTTTTGGAAAGAGGTATGTATATATCGATTTATCAAGGACTCGTTCCTGGTTGTTAATATAATATATAGTATGAGGCGCACTGGCAAGATCCTACAAAAACGAGCATGGTGTGGATAGCAATGGTATTTGCAATGTTTCGGTTGGCAATGCTATCGTACCATAGAGAACAAGATGAACCACCCGAGTTCCGAGGGAAGTCGTTAGATATAGCCAAAACATACCGCATGGCAATGGCACAGGGGCTAGTATTTTCAGATTTTACGAAACCTCATCGATATCTACTCGAAACTTTGGCCTTCCATCTACAGGCCGAGTATTCACAGAGCTGTGAATCAGAAACCTCAGTTTGGATCCTGGTCGGGATGGTTGTCCGCCTGGGAATGCGAATGGGATACCATCGCGATTCTAAAATGTTTCCGAATATCTCAATATTCCAAGGAGAAATGCGGCGGCGGCTCTGGACGTGGGTACGGCAGGCAGACCTGTTATTCTCCTTTGAGGCTGGGCTTCCAAGTATGATTCGGACGGGAGATGCTGACACTGATCTCCCTCGATGCCTTTATGATGAAGACTTTGATGAAGATTCCAAGGAGCTTCCTCCCGAGAGGCCACTCGACCAACCAACTCCCGTCACATATACCATTGTTCACGCTAGGTTGTCTACAGTTTTTGGGCGGGTACTAGAGCAATCGCAGAAGCTCCGAGGGTCTTCTTACGAAGAGGTTTTAGAGTTAGATAGGGAGCTGCGACATGCCCACGACACGATACCCGAGTGGCTACAGATGAAACCTATTCCTGAATGTTCACATGAGCCAGCCAATATAATAATGAACAGATTAGGGGTATGTACCATCCCGGCTGATATTATTTTTATTTTATTTCAAGTGAACTAATTCAACGGATTTTACAGGTTGAGAGTATTTATCACAAATCTCAATGTGTTTTACATCGCCCTTATCTCATAAGGGCCCGTGAAAACCCACGGTATACGCTGTCACATCGAGCCTGTGTTGACAGTTCCTTGGAGCTCCTACGGTTCCAGGCAATGCTTCATGCCGAAAAGACAGCTGGAAAAAGAATAATATCTCCTAGGTATTACACCACATCACTTACTGGTCATGACTTTTTGCTTGCTAGCACTATTCTCGCCCTTGACCTCTACCACGACACCCAATTAGGAGTGACAAGGCGACAAGGAGACAGCCCATATGGCTGGGGACGTGGAATGCAAGATGAGATGCTTGCTGCCCTTCGTCAGTCCTACAACATATGGAACGAGCTAAAGGATTTGTCTATGGATGCGTGGAAGGCCTCCAGTGTATTGGGGATGCTTCTAGAGAGGATAAGTCACCGACCGGAATCCAGAGATGCTTCCTCAATGGACCAGAGATTTGACCCGCAAGATGAGAAACAGAGCGCTGCGATGACTCTAGGCTTGCTAAGCAGTGGTCTAACGCCACTTGGACCTACAAGTCCGCCGCACTTTGCGGACTCCATGCTGGGGATTGATCGAACTTCTGCAGCCCCGCAAGGAAATATCCCTTCTAACATAGACCCAATGGCAGGCGCAAATTCTCCATTTGGCATGTTTGGACAAATGCCAGACATGCAGCAGTTTAACCTTGACTGGGTATGTTTACTCTGCTAACAATCTACCCTTTAAACACTCTTTTACTAACTATAACGTGAAATAGGATGCATGGGATAACTATATCCAATCTGCTGCCCTGGATCCTACTAATCAAAACTGGGCTGAATTGAACCAACGACAGGATTTCCAGCAAACACATCAACCTCAGGCGCCCGCCGAGAATGAACAAAACGTGTCTACAAGACCGCCAATACACCCGTCACGTAACGGTACATATGGCACTAACGGCAACACATCCAGTCACCCTACATATATGGATAACAACGGTTACCAAGGTGGTGACCTTGGCTCTTAATCTGGCTGGATCCGAATCCCATGTTTTATTTCCCCCTTTCTTCAATGTATATGAAATTCCTCTCACTTGTTTATGTCCCTGGCGCATTGCCCTGGTTGAACAGGTCTGTTTGAACTGATACGTATATATCAATACCATGCAAGGAAGCACCGGCATTCAAAGCTATGAATGATTCCGTATTATGAACATATCAAGTAGTCCTTATTTTCTTCATATCGTCTCTTCCTCACAAATACCGGAGTATCTCACGTGATCTAACTTTCATCTCAACGCTAACCCGATATGGACAAGTGCCAAAATCTTCTTCTCGAAACCTTCAGAAGTTTTTTTGTTGCTAGAATTTCTTCATCTTGTTTAATCATTCAAAGCTCTTCATCTCGAACGGCGTCTTATTCTGTTTAATTCTTCCTATTACTTGTCTTATTAAGTTATACTTCTTTTGTAATTTTGCATTTGTATAAATACTTTTGTTTCTACAATTCCTTGACAATGTTCGTCTCTCTGCAAATTCCTTTTTTTGTCCCATTCTCTTCATCTCATACCGATTTCGAGCAATTGACAATGCTAACTCCATTCTCTTTCTTGTATAGGATTTCCCTTAGACATGCAATCTACCGCGCTGCCTCCGCGGCCAGCGGAAGCACAGCAAGGTCATTTATTGCTAAGCCTCAAGCCGCGAACTCACAATTGAGCCAAATCACACGAGTGCTGGGCAGCCAGCTCTGGGCTTCGCAACGACGACTCTTCACTGACGAAGCCAGAGATGCTGTGTCCGAAGAGAGGAAACCCTTTGTCAGGCCTATATCTAAGCGTTCATTCGGCCTTCCACCTACCCGCCCTAGCCCTGAGCCAAAATCCACAGTCTATGTCGGTAACATCTTGTTCGACATCACTGCAGCCGATTTGAAGGAATACGCCAGCAAGTATGGAAAGGTTGTGGGCTCTCGCATTATTTATGACAGCCGTGGTCTAAGCAGAGGGTATGCGATACTTCCGTACTTCTTTTTCTATATTGTTTTCTTATCCCTTGCTAACTTGCGGCTTTCAGATTCGGTTATGTCAAATTTGAGAATATCGAGGAAGCTAAAAAGGCTGTCAACGACATGCATCTTAGCGAATTTGAAGGCCGCAAACTGAGCGTCAACTATGCACAGATGGACTTGAAGGAGGAAACACCACAAAGGACCATAGAGCCAACTCGTACCGTCTTTGTTGGCAACATCGCTCATCAAATCACTGATCGTGACCTTCACGAACTCTTCGACTCTATTCCCAATGTCTTCGATGTCCGCGTTGCTGTTGACCGTAGAACCGGCATGCCAAGAGGGTTTGCTCATGCCGAGTTTACTGATGTCGAGAGTGCTATTGCTGGCTTTGAGGCATTGAAGGGCAAGGCTCCGTATGGCCGCCCACTCCGATTGGACTATAGCCATAGCACCAGACGCCCAGGGGAGACCGACAACTCCAGAGCCCCGGCCAACTCTGCAGAAGGCGAGTCAGCAGCCCAGACAGAAGCCCAGCCACAAACCCAGCAAGAAGTGGCTCAAGAGGCCCAGCAAGAAGCCAATGCAACCCCTTCTGAAGATGCCACCCCTAAGGCCGCTCAGATCTAAATCAAACACTTTCGCATTGATTCTTTGGCCCTGACAATATCAATGGGCATTTGTGGAATTCAGATGTTTCTGTACATTTGAACTGGCTTTTGCTTTCATATATTCCCTCCAATTCCACAAAGGGTGTTTCTAGATGTCTACTCGGCGCATGTGCTTGGTGGTATAAGGGAGCATCTAGCTTGTTAGTGCTGTCTACGTCTCCCTCCCTCTCATGTTCGAAAAACCCTCTCGACCCCGACGACTTCCCCCATAACCAACGACATAATCCCTTCATCTTCCCCCTTCTTGGATTGTTTTACTATGTACCCGTTACTTCTCTTATGCTTTCAAAAAACTGGTTAAAGCTGCTGTAGTATATAAAGGTTTTGCGTTTTCCTGATGAGTTTTGCATGGGGTTTCTTGTGGACTGTTTTTTTGTCTTCTCCTGTAATCTACATGACCATGACTATATGCAATACTACCGTCCCTGAACTCCTCTCCATCTCTACCCCTTCGTCTTCTGCTCGATATCAAACCTTCTCATGTCACATGATTTATTCCTCGGCTTGCTGAGTAAGCACTTTGCCTCCAAAAAACGGCCGAGGAAGGAAAACTGCTTTTTTTGCCAGCGAAGAAAGTTCCCCACGCTCAAGGGCGAGAGAGAGCCAGGATTCCTTCTCACTCCCTACATCTTACCCTCCCTCTCACTCCTTCAATCATTTAAAACCCATATACCCGTTTGTCTTATAGTTGATATTTCGTTACTTTACATTGCTTCATTTAATTCAGTCATTAGTCCTTTGCTGCCTTGCTAGCATACCTTGCTATCCGGTACATATATAACAGCTAAGCCCATATAGCTCTACTTACACATTTACCGGAGATATGTCTTTCTTAGGTGGTTCAGAGTGCTCGACGGCAGGGAATCCGCTTACACAGTTTACAAAACATGTTCAAGATGATAAGTCACTGCAGCGGGATAGGCTGGCTGGGACTGGGCCTGGCCGTCAAGAGACTATGCGGTCAAGGGGGATGATGGGAGGACAGGATCATGTAAGTGGAGATGAGAGATACTGTCGTCAACTGCAGATGAGAAGCTAACCCGCCTTATTCTGGAATCTAGATGATGGATGAATTTCTACAACAAAACGACCAGATGCAGCAAGGTCCGGCACAGCCATTCGCCATGGAACAGATGCGCAGAGAACTAGAGAACTTCCATCCTTCCCCGCAGAGGACGGGGTCACCCGCATGGGCGGCAGAGTTCGACCCGGGAGAGCAAGCTCGTATGGAGGCAGCGTTTCAGTCACCAGCTCCCGGAATGATGAAGGGAAACAACACCTTTCAGGCCTCAGAATTTGCACGGTTTCAACAGAACAGAGCTGGGGCTGTTCCGGGAGCAGCAAGTCCGATGATGTCACAATACCAAGGACCCATGGCCCGAGGGTACGGCATGGGCATGGGTATGGGTATGGGCCAGATGGGCATGATGGGCCCTTCATATATACCTGTGTCAATGCACCAACAGCCTCATCAACGCCCAGCAGAACAACAAGATGCCAAGGGCAAAGGGAGAATGATTGAACTTGACGACCAGAATTGGGAAGCCCAGTTTGCCGAGATAGACGCCTCGGGACAGGCAAACTTGGATGATGAGGCCAATGCTGCCATGGAGAAAGAACTCGATGATTTGGATAGGTCAGTTCCCGCAGAAGCGAACGAATTCGCTGATTTTGAGAATATATGGAGAAGAATTCAAGCTGAAACCGCTGCAACTAGACAACTGGTGAACGAAGACGAGAAGATCGAGAACATGGCGATGGGCGATTTCAGCGAGTGGGAGAACTTTGATAGTGGTCTGAATACCCATAACTACAGGGATCCACAGCTTGGAGATTATCTATTCGAAGACGAAAACGCGTTCAGAGCCGTTCCCAACCCATTCGAAGAGGGAGTGCGCATTCTCGAAGAAGGTGGAAATCTGTCACTAGCTGCCCTTGCGTTCGAGGCCGCTGTCCAGAAAGATTCCACCCACGTCCAAGCATGGACCTTGCTGGGCTCCGCACAGGCTCAGAATGAGAAAGAAAGCCCGGCTATCAGAGCGTTGGAACAGGCGTTGAAGCTAGATCCCAACAACCTCGATGCACTCATGGGCTTAGCAGTATCCTACACCAACGAAGGTTACGACTCGACTGCCTATCGAACGTTGGAGAGGTGGCTATCCATCAAATATCCACAGGTCATTGATCCTAATGAAGTTGGAACAGACACAGATATGGGTTTCACTGATCGACATCTGCTACATGAGAAAGTAACGGACCTCTTCATCAAGGCGGCACAGCTCTCTCCACATGGTGAACTCATGGACCCCGACGTACAGGTCGGGTTGGGCGTGCTGTTCTACGGCGCAGAGGAGTACGACAAGGCGGTAGACTGCTTCTCCGCTGCTCTCGCCTCCACAGAATCGGGTTCCTCGAACCAAAAGGGACAGGTTCACCTACTCTGGAACAGGCTGGGTGCTACTCTTGCCAACTCCGGCCGGTCAGAAGAAGCTATCGAAGCCTACGAAAAGGCACTTACCATCAACCCCAACTTTGTCCGCGCCCGTTACAACCTAGGTGTATCCTGCATCAACATTGGCTGCTATCCCGAAGCGGCCCAGCATCTACTCGGCGCACTGTCCATGCACAAAGTCGTTGAGCAGGAAGGCCGTGAACGAGCGAGGGAGATTGTCGAGGGCGTTGACGGTATCGATGACGCCGAACTCGAACGCATGATCCACATCAGCCAAAACCAAAGCACAAACCTGTACGACACCTTACGGCGCGTGTTCAGTCAGATGGGCCGTAGAGATCTCAGCGACATGGTGGTCAGCGGAATGGACGTCTCGGTATTCAAGAAGGAGTTTGATTTTTAAGTCTCGGGCAGTACTGTCCTGCTTGATAGAATTGGAGTTCATCTTTTACGATTTTACACTCATGGATGTTGTCTCTTGGAAAGATATCTGCGTACCTTACGGAGTGGATGGAATGGTAATGGGAATCATTAGGACATGGTCTATATCTAATTCTGTATATGTTGGTCAATACATAATCTTATCTCACCTCCATCTTCACCATCTTCTCCGTCTTCATCATCTTATCATCATCGTCTTCATCTCCATCTACCATCATCTACCATCATCTATAGCATCCATCTTATTAGTGCTTACTTAGCCTCGGCTGTTGCGTCACCGCCCTTCCCGATCGGGACGTCTCGAAACTGCCAGCTGAAAAACTTCTCCAACTTTTCTCCAACTTTTTTCTCCGCATTGAAACTCCATATTTTTCTATTTAACAAGAAAGAATTTCTTCCTCCTCGCCATCAACATCTTTAACTCGTTGTTTACGCCGATGATACTCGCCGTCTCATGAATTACACTCGCTTGAAACACCTGTGATTTTGTTGGTTCTGCTTGTCGCATCAGACCACCTCTTCAGCCCCAGCTAATTCGTGAGATATCAACGATGAGCCACCCAACTGGAGCGCAGGCTATTGCGCGAGCTCTCAAAAATCTCGGGGTTACCGTCATTTTCGGCATTGTCGGTATTCCCATCGTTGAAATTGCTGAGGAAGCGATCAATCTGGGGATACGGTTTATCGCATTCAGGAACGAGCAAGCTTGCAGCTATGCGGCTAGCGTGTACGGATACATCACAGGGAAACCGGGTGTTTGCTTGGTCGTGGGAGGGCCTGGAGTGTTACATGCAATGGCTGGGGTAAGTCTGCTTTATCCACTTCAGATTCAATCGTGCTGGCAACCCAACTTATTTGATATATCTATCTAGATTGGAAATGCATCTGTGAATGCGTTCCCTTTACTTGTACTTGCTGGGTCGGCAGAGACCACTCTTGTCACTAAAGGCGGGTTCCAGGAGATGGATGCGATATCGCTACTTACTCCGCATACCAAGCTCTCCGTCAGGCCCGTATCGGTGGACTATACTGAGAATGCCATTTATGATGCATACAGGACATGTTGGTACGGCCGTCCAGGGGTTACCTTTGTCGACTTGCCTGCGGATTTGATCCAAGGGAGGGCAACCGGGAGCTCGCCGTCTGCGGGCCTTCAGCTGGTGCATGCACCCCCAAAACCCGCTGGAGACCCAAGTATCATCTTTAAGGTGGCACAACTCCTCAGATCTGCCCGTGCTCCCCTGGTGGTTGTGGGTAAAGGGTCGGCATACGCAAGGGCCGAAGAATCGATTCGCAAACTGATAGATACCGCACGCCTGCCATTCTTACCGACCCCAATGGGAAAGGGTGTTGTACCTGACTCTCACCCGCTTAACACCTCCAGTGCACGAAGTGTTGCGCTGAAGAATGCGGATGTCGTTTTGCTTCTTGGAGCCAGACTCAATTGGATTCTACATTTTGGCGAAGCTCCCCGTTGGTCGCCGAACGTCCAGATAATCCAGGTGGACATCCATGCCGAAGAGATTGGTCGCAACTCCGGAAGCGGCGAATTAGGTATAGTGGGTGATATAGAGCTAGTGGTTGACCAGCTACTCAAGTCCCTGGGCGACTGGCACTACCAACCACCTACACCTACACCCTCTTCCTACCCTTCCCTCATATCCGCCTCCGCCTCCAAAAATGAAAACAAGTCCCTGGCGAAGGCCCTTCAGACCACGGCTACGGGCCAGTATTTGACCTTCCAGCGCGCTTTCCATATCATCAAAACGACACTCAACTCCCTCTCGCCCCCGGAAAATGGAGATATTGTCTATGTTTCTGAAGGTGCCAACACAATGGATATCTCTCGTTCCGCGTTCCCACTACAGCACCCGCGCCAAAGGCTCGATGCCGGTACCTATGCCACCATGGGTGTTGGACTCGGGTACATCATCGCTGCACATGCGGCCTACAACATGCCCCAACCTCAAGGCACACTAGAAGCACCATCGGCAAAGAAGATCGTCGCACTGGAAGGCGACAGTGCATTCGGCTTCAGCGCAATGGAGGTAGAAACACTGGCCCGACACCAGATTCCTGCCCTGATCTTTGTGATGAACAACTCTGGAGTCTATCACGGTGATGCCAGGTCAGAAAAGGACTGGCGTACCCTGCAACAGGAAACCATCTCGAACGAGACTACTTCCTCTTCTGCCACCGACAAGAAGGGCCTTCGCTCTACCAGCCTTTTGTACGAGACGAGGTATGACCGTCTAGCAAGCGTATGTGGTGGACAGGGCTTCTTTGTGCGGAACGAAGAAGAACTAGAAAAGGCGACGCGAGCTGGGTTCCTGGAGAAGGAGAAGTTTACCATCGTCAACGTTATCGTTGAGCCTGGCATCGGGCAGACTATCGAGTTTGGATGGCAGGCCGCGAAGAAAGAAAAAGGGGCGCAAGAATCGAAGCTGTAGACAGCTGGATTGTAGATATATATACTCACCCTTCTATGTATAGACTAATGTTCAAATAGTATTCGGTTAATATCTGGCATAGTATATATGTTTATGCTCTTCCGGGCTTGTCTACAAGGATAACCAGCAACAACTACGATCGAGCCAGGGATACTCTAGCACCGTCACTGTAATAGTTATACACAGCTCAAGTATATTTCCGAACTGTCAACTCATTAATCCATCAATCAATATTGACATATTAATATCCTTGCTGACGTCACTTATTGGCTGGAGGCCACATGTCATCTTCCTAACAAAAGAAATCATACGAACTCTCAAATCATACGAGATAAAGAGAAAACTCGTTGTATAAAAAGGAGGCCGCCCCTTTAGCACCCTCGAGCATCTACTGCAGACATGGACTGAGATAACTGTCCTTTACATACTCTCTCCTTGATTGTACACTGTCTCTCCAAGAATTGGCCTTTACCCTCGTTTAAGCTATCTTTTTTAGTCTTGTTAGAGATATCTCAAAGAGCTCCACCGGGTTTATAACTCCCAGGGCGCTATACACGCGATAACTTTTTCCTTGAATACCTGTGAACGACAGGCAGTTTCAGACTGTTCCCCTCGCTAGTCAAGATGGGTGGCGCTTCAAAGCTCTTTTACCTTGCAGTTTTTAGTCTCCTTGCCCCGGCTCACGGAGAAGACGGTAGATCTAGATCCCACGCATGCGCGGTACGTGACCAGCTTGGCTCTATTCATCTATCCGATATATGCAAGTCTACCAGTTGCTAATCCAAGTTGTGGTTGTAGATTGATTCTAGGTCTACCGTTTCTGATGCGTGTGCCTCCTTCGCCACATTCGACGGCCTGAACAACCAGATAACCCCAGTCTTAAAGTCTCTCACGCAGCAGTCAGACTTCTTCTCCTACTATCGGTTGAATCTCTTCAATAAACAATGTCCGTTCTGGTCAGACGATGCCGGAATGTGCGGGAATATCGCTTGTTCGGTTAGCACTTTGGAGTCGGAGGAAGATATACCGTTGATCTGGAGAGCGGAGGAACTGAGTAAGCTGGAGGGCCCCAAGGCTGGACACCCAGGGAAAAGACAACAGGAAGAGCGTCCAAAGGAGAAACCGCTGCAGGGGATGCTAGGTGACGACGTTAAGGAATCCTGTGTCGTTGAATATGACGATGAATGCGATGAGCGTGATTACTGCGTACCCGAAGATGAGGGTGCTACTGGTAAGGGTGACTACGTGAGCTTGTTGGACAACCCAGAGCGGTTTACAGGATACTCGGGGCCGGGTGCCAGACATGTGTGGAACGCAATCTACAGAGAGAACTGCTTCCTCAAACCACAGCAACAGTCTCCCTCAGCACCAAATGACGTGTTCGAAAAGCCGTTGGGTTCCCAGTACCAGGCTGTGGAGGATTTCAGACATGTGCTTGAAAGCCATGAGATCAACCAGGTAGTCTCGGGGGCTGTGCGTGATGAGTTGTTCCCTCTAGACGATGAGTGCCTTGAAAAACGAGTATTCCACCGTGTAATCAGCGGAATGCATGCGTCTATCTCCACGCATCTTTGCTGGGATTATTTCAACCAGTCTACAGGGAAATGGGCTCCAAACATGCAATGCTTCAAGGAGAGGTTACATTCTCACCCAGAACGTATTGCCAACCTTTACTTCAACTTTGGCCTTCTTACCCGAGCCGTTGCTAAACTACAGAAACACCTTCAAGGCTATAGCTTCTGTATCAGTGACCCAGAGCAGGATTATGAGACCAAGCAGAAGATGAACAGCCTAACACACATAGTTGCTACACACCCTCAGATCTTCGATGAGACCACCATGTTCCAGGACTCTGTTGCCAATGGGCTGAAGGAGGATTTCCGTAACAGATTCAGAAACGTCAGTCGAGTTATGGATTGTATCGGATGTGATAAATGCCGACTGTGGGGGAAGCTCCAGACAGCCGGATATGGCGCAGCTCTCAAAGTATTATTCGAATACGACGAGACCAAGAACGGGGAGAATCCCCCTCTTCGGAGGACCGAACTTGTTGCCCTGGTGAACACCCTCGCCCGTGTATCCCATAGTCTAGCATCCATTCAGAAGTTTGAGGATGCAATTGGATCCGAGATTATGGGTAAAGACACGGAGACAGTCAAGGCTGACAAACAAGAAGAGTCTTCTACTGTGGACGATATTGACGATGAGCCAGAATATGATGCTCAGCCGGAAACAGAGAGTGAATCGCCGAGTCTTATGACTATGATTTCACGAGAGGCCGGCTTGATATGGCGTGCCTACGTTTACATCCTAAAGAGTTGGATTAACTTCCCTTTCTTAGCGTAAGTAGCTCATCCTCACACAAACCTGCATTTCTATCCTTCATTCCTCGCTAACCGTTCTGCTTTCTTTTGATCTTAGTTGGGAGATTATGATATTAGAACTTAACCGTCTGTGGAACTTTTGGCTCGGGCTACCTGTCCCGCCAAGGTCATGGGAGATTCACTTCCCTACGGTCGATGAACTATAGATCATGGGAGGCCATGTTTGTTTGATTTTATATATTTACTCTTCAGAGGGGAAATTAGCACATGTACACTTTTAATACCACTCCAGGATACCTAATGCATTTGATTCTTTGGCCTATAGATATTTTGGGGTATAATACATCGACTAAATAATATACAAAGTACTAAACGAAACTAGATGTTTTTGCAAAGTCGTATACGTGTCAGATGAAAATTGACTAGGGATATCTGTACGACAAGGCTTTAATCATCGAATACTGGAGGAAGTCCCTCAGCCTCCAAAGCAGCCACGGTCGCCGGCCGCTTCGAAATCTCAGCAACAAGAGCAGTGAGTTTCGGGTAAGCTGACTCCATGGGCAAGTCAATTTTTTGTCCCCATCGGTACATGGTAAGAAGGTATGGATCCACGACAGTATACGAGTCACCGACAGCATAGACTCCCTTAAGTCTTTGCTCGATATACTGAAAACATTCTTTAATCGTAACTAGGCTCCTGGCCTGGATCTTATGATGGTCTTCAGGATCACTCGTGAATAGATGCGGTCTCCACAGTCCGTCAAATGCATGAGCGTGTAGTGTGCCCGATATATAGTTTGCCCACTCGACGACACGAACGGTATCCAGAGGGGTCTTGCCGAAGAGGTGTTTGTCAGGAGCCAGGTTTGAAATAGCCATCATGACCGCGGGATTTTCAGTGATCCTATTCTTGTCGATTGAGAGTGCTGGGACTCGAAGCTTGGGGTTGACGGTTTTGTACTCGTCTAGGACGCCGTCGGATGTCTTCTTGATCAGCTCGAAGCTTAACCCAGCCTCTTCGAGGACTATATGTGAAGCAAGAGAGCAGGATCCTGGGAGGTACCATAGCTTGATACTTGGGTTAGTGTCTGCCATGATGCTGGCTGATATCGGGCTGATGATCCGGAGAATAGAAATTTGGGTACCGAATAGTGAGTTAAGAAAAAGTGTATAGAAGTATTGGCATATCGACATGGATAATACTGATTATAAATACATCGTCATTTATAATTAGTTGAAGGATTCAATGTGGGGCCCAGCTGTCATATTGAAGAAACATGTCAATGGATGAATCCTCCGCACGACAATAACCAATTAAAGCCACCGGTAAGACTGATGAACTCCGAATAACTGAGCCTCCATAATCAAACGGCCCCGAAACCAATAACTTGTTTAGATTTCTTGCATCTCAATGCCTTATGGCTCGTGTAATGGTAACTGGATAACCCGATTTCTCAAATGGAAGAATCATACGGTGTCAAGGAACGTAAGAAGGAGCTCTTGCTCGCTAGGTATACTCCGTACGTCTGGATGAAGTGTATAAATATGCAAAACGACACGGCTTTTATACATCAGAGCACTTGATATATCTAGGGTATCAAGACGTGCATCAGCGAAGAAATCGAGTGTTAGGCTGTCATTTTGCTTGGATCACTTTCAGCCATAGATATGCAGCTGTCTCGTTATCACTAGGCTAATCATCACTCGCTTCAGGGTAGCTCTGGTTGACAAGTCCATGATTACTCCTGCGCATGGTAGTGCATGGCAATAGCATCGCCAGTGATCGGGTAAACCGTCTTTCTCACCCTTCTCACGCCACCACAAGTGCCCAGGGTAGATCTCTCTTTCGATGTATAGGAGAAGCGGTCACTCTACAAACTTTGACAGCGCTCGCTTCAGCTTGCATCCAGCCTGGTGACAACTCGATCGATGTGGTGCCTCATATCGGGATTCTGAAGTTTCTCCACCAAGTCTGTTATTGTAGTGACCATATCTCAAGTGTTCCGTAGTTCAATGGCATATCCAGTCATAATTCTACCCGGATAACAAGTAGCAGCAGTGCTCCGGACTGCTACATATGTATGTAGTGGTAGGACTAGAATTTGTTACCTTGATGAAAAATCTTTATATTTTCTTTTTCTTTTGATATAAAACTGTAAAACCAACCTTCACCGCCCGTTTGCCACGTGACCGTGAATTTTCTGCCCGGATTTAGGTTAAGCCGAGGCATGTGACACGGGGCGAGTCACCTGACACGAGCTTACATCCTCGGCTTGTTTTTTTTTCTGACGCAAAGAAGAGAAAGACGAAGATGAAGAAGAAATGAAGAAGAGTTCGGCTTGTTGATGAAACCTCCATAACTTCTCCAGATACTGCTTGGTGGTCATCAGAGGGTTTTGACGTCTACACACTCTCGCCGTCTAGTGTCTACTCCGGACAGCCAGATCCTTAACTATCCCTTTCGCCCGTTGAGGAACCTACTCTAGCAGATGCGCCGTTGTTAAAGAGGGAGAAACAGAATAGATATAGAAGAGATATAGCATACGCCGTGATGGCATCTGTGTCGCCGCCCAAACCGTGGGAGCGAGCAGGAGTTTCAGCTGCAGGTTAGTGTTGAGATGTTTTCTATCATTTAGAAAAAGCCCCTCGCTGCCCGATATGTACATAGATACAAGAATATTCGGGGGATATTAAAACTGACCTGGCTTTACAATGAACAGCAGGCTCTGCTCTGGCACCGCAAACAGCTACAGCGGCTTCTTCAGCACCTCAATCTACTACCACCGCTGTTGCGCCATCTTCTACCACTGCTCCCTCGGCACCTGAACTACCATCCCGGCCTAGCACACTCAATGCCGTTGTCAGCCAGACCGCCTCCACCTACTCTCCCTATGGCGCTTCTAGACTAGGGACATCACCCTATGCTGGTGGGTACAACAACTACTCATCGCCGTATTCACGGTTTGGGGCGATGGGTTCGATGTACGGCGGCTACGGCGGGATGGGGGGCATGTATGGGGGCATGGGAGGAATGGGAGGAATGTACGGAGGGATGCAGAATGGTGACCCCAACAGCTTGACGAACTCGTTCAACCAGAGTACGCAGGCGACGTTCCAGATGATTGAGAGCATCGTTGGAGCGTTTGGCGGGTTCGCACAGATGCTGGAGAGCACGTATATGGCAACACATAGTTCATTTTTCGGTAAGTTGAATGATGCTGTTACATGCCTTTGCAAATAACCCTGGCTAACGTGTTGCTTTCTTTTTGTGTCAGCTATGGTATCGGTTGCTGAGCAATTTGGGACACTTAAAAACACTCTCGGCTCAGTTTTGGGTATTTTCACACTTCTTCGGTGGCTCCGGACACTGCTCGCAAAACTGACCGGCAGGCCTCTCCCCGCTGATGCAACTGCCCTGACTCCATCTGCCTTCTCTGCATTCACTGGCAACAACGGTGGTCTACCAGACGGCTCCGGCCGTCCCAAGCCATCGAAGAAGCCGTTCTTCTTCTTCCTTGCCGCCGTATTTGGCCTTCCCTATCTCATGTCAAAGCTCATCCGCGTCCTGGCCCGGTCACAAGAGCAGGAAGCTAAACGACAGCAGGAACTGCTCAACGAAGCCCAGCAGGGCTCCATTGATCCGTCCAAACTCGACTTCTGCCGGGTTTTGTATGACTACTCGCCCGATACACAGGCAACTGGCGGTATAGACCTATCAGTCAAGAAGGGCGATCTCGTCGCCGTCCTGAGCAAGTCAGACCCAATGGGAAACCCATCCGAATGGTGGAGGTGCCGAAGCCGTGATGGCTCTGTCGGCTACCTGCCAAGCCCCTATCTCGAAGCCATCCAACGCAGGCCACAGCAGCAAGCGATCACAGCAGCAGCAGCCAACAATAACAGCGCCCCAGCCACGAGGACGAGCACTCTGGTTGGCAACTCTACCGAGCCTCGAACAAAGAGTTTGACTGCCCTAAAACAGGCTCCAGAACCCATCAAGGGAAACCAAACCGATATCTCTTTGGAGAACTTTCAGAAGAGCACCTTTTACTCTTAAAAAAAAGGAACTATACGATCTTTCTGTGTAATCTTTCACTTCCTTTTTTCTCATGACCCTTTCGGACGGTGTTTTTGTTTGGTTTATATGGTCTTTCTAAGCGTGTTCTTTTTGGTCTGGTGTTTGTTACAATTATTGCTTAATCTATATATTTGTTATATACGTTTGGGTGGGAAAAAACGGCTGTGGTTGTATATATATAAATCAAACCTCAACATCAACAACATCAACGTCACAAGAACAAAACTCCACCCTGCAGTCCCAAAAATCAGACTTGAGCTAGGTGAAGGAATATCCAGCGTCACAAGGTTGCTGTTATTTTACGAAAAGGAGTTTCTTCGCACTTCCCGGCCAGCCGACATTGACTCCTTCAACATTCCTACATGGAGTACCCTGGCAAGAGGCCTTTGCCTCCATCCAACAAATGGCCAATCGACTCTGGCTTCACACGGCTTACAGGGTGAAGAAACCTTCATGAGGACATGGAGCCAAATAACCGCGTCCGCTCACCTATCCTAGGCTAGCTCTGGGGCGAAAATCTTGCACTAACATCTGCATGGCGGCGGGCCTCTGCAATGGTGAGCCTTGCAACAAAAGGCGGAACATATGCCTTGGGGGGAAAAAAGGACAGCCCGAGGCCTCGAGGCGAGAAAAATAGATGTTAGCGAGCTGGAGTCCAAAGGACCGAGCTATGATAGTCAGATATATATCCGTGTATATATACGGGATGTGAAGGGTCCCTGTCAGGGTCCTCGGATGCATATTATACATATAAAACCCGCTGCAGGGAGCCGGCCTTGACCCAGAATAAGAGCACTTAATGCTGGGGATTCCTTGATCGAAACAAAGGGAAATCGGACATTTGTACCTTTTCTCGCTCTCCCCATTCTTGAGTGAACGATGGCTCAATCGTCGAATTTGACATGCTTGCCTTTGCAACGATATCTGGAGAGGATCGAGTTGGCACGAAAGCGATTGGTCGCCAAATACAAGGTCGCTCGTGCTCTTCGAAAGGCAGAGAAGAGATTCTGCAAGTCGAATCCAGAATATGCTGAGACCCTTCGATTGGACCATATACGCCAGATCGACTATCCAGTGCTCGAACGAGAGAACCGTGTCTATCTCGACTATGCAGGTTCTGGCATCCACGGCGAATCACAGCTGCAGCGGCACTTTGAACTGCTTCGCAGCAACGTCTTTGGAAATCCGCACTCGATCAATCCGACGTCCAGTGCCATCACCCGTTTGGACGAGCAGGCCAGAGCCCGAGTGCTGTCCTTCTTCAGGGCCGATCCGGAAGAATACATCGTCATATTCACCGTCAATTCATCTAATGCCCTTAAACTGATTGGAGAAGCCTACCCGTTCACCGAGGGAGGAGAACTGCTGCTGCTCAACGACAATCAGCCTGCCGTACTGGGGCTGCGGGACTTTGCCGGGGGACGAGGCGCGGCTGTCTCACATCTACCCGTCAAACAACCTGAGCTGCGATGCGACGACGAAGCGGTAAAGGCCGCCCTAAAACGCAAGGAGAGCACTGGTGAGACTCCCGCACGACTCTTCGCCTTTCCCGCACAGTCGAACTTTACTGGTGTCCAGCACCCTCTCGAGTGGATTGGGGCCGCTCAGGAGCAGGGATGGCATGTCTTATTAGACGCAGACAATTATGCACCGACAAACATACTAGATCTCTCTCGCTGGCACCCGGACTTTGTGACCGTCTCCTTCTACAAGATGTTCGGTCACCCATCCAGCGTTGGCGCCGTCATGGTTCGCAGAGAGGCCTTTGCCAAACTCGGTCGTCCTTGGTTCGCCGGAGGCACCGTCTGGGGAAGTTCAGTCCAGGCTAACGGACACATGTTGCTGACGGGCAACGAGGGCTTCGAGGACGGTACCATCAACTTCCTCTCTCTCCCTGCCATCCGCATTGGCCTCAATCATTTAACCGGTATAGGCATGGACATCGTCCATGCCCGCGTTACTTGCCTTACCAGCTGGCTGCTCAAGGAACTCAGTTGCCTAACTCATACCAACGAGGAACCGCTAGTAGTAATCTACGGACCATATACAACTGACCTGCCCCGGGGCGGTATCATCGCACTCAACTTCGTCGACATGAAGGGCTGTCTCGTTGACGAAGGGTTAGTGGCACGACTTGCCGCCGCACATAACATCTCCTTGCATGTTGGAACCGCCCTCCAGCCGAGCACAGGAGAAACGACTACCCTAAAGCCCGGTTCATCAGACGCTATACAAAAGGTATCTGTCCGGAGTAAACCGGTAGAAAAGCGACGAGAGAGCGACGGTTCATTTAGTGATATCGGTCTTCCGACTGGTGGCTTCATTCGCATCTCTCTTGGACTGGCATCCAATTTCTCTGATGTCTTCAAGTTCGTTCAATTTGCATTGACTTTCATCGACAAAATCCCTGTTGACGATGCTACGCTTTCTTGACTTACGATTTAATGATTTATAATGGTGAATACTGGGGAGGAATATCATAATGACTTGTTTGTGCTTTCACTTTGGTTTACGGAGGCTCTTTCAGTTTGCTATGTATTATGTCTGGATGTTGTTCTAAATCTAGTATTCTTTCTAGGGGCTCCCTTATTCTTTTTTTTTTCTTTTGAAGCAGGCTGGATTGAAAAGTGTTGAAATATTGCTGGCGAAATATGGCACTGATCAATCTTCCTGTTATTAAAACGAATGAAAATATGCTAACACATCTAGATCAAGCAATGGTAATGATACATAAAAAAATATTAAGAAAAAGAAGTATCCATTTTTCCTATCGCCGAAGTTCTAGTAGAAAGCACCTTAGGTGCTAGATTTTCTAGGCCCAGCATTACTTGCATGGGCTAGAAGGAATTTACAGCATGTAAGCGTGTACTTGCATGCACGAGTCCAGGTTTCGTCGCTTTGGTTAAAGCCAAGCTTAATACTTGCATCACCAATCTTATCGCGCTTGATTTCGTAAGGTAGTTTTAGGCCTGTCACCTGAGTTTGGTTCTGACGTCGTTGTGTGTTTCCCGGTCTAGAGGAAGACGGTTCTGCAGGGGTGGATATCGAAGTAGGTGTCTTTTCAATCTGGTTGCCCAGTTGTCGGAGGCATTCGAGGAAGGCAACCATGCCAGCGTCAAATCGGCGGTGAAGCCAAGGTAAATTTAATAGGAGGTCGCCGGATGAAAAAAGGTCAAGAGGGGTGACCTTGGGTTGTATTTTGCTTGGCCCACCGTTAGGCACGGTATCTTGTCGAGGCGTAGATTGGGATGACTGTGACTGTGACTGGTTCGGTTGAGAGTATTCGATTTTATCGATTCTAGACGTGGAGCCCATGGGCCGTAGCTTGTAGCCTTGGAACTGGAAACCTATCCGTTCTGCAATGGTGGCGAGCAGGAGAAGCGTTTGGCCCCAGGCAGCATTTATCTCCGACCATTCGACAGGAGGACTAGCTAGTCGTCCGAGCCTTAGACCGTTGATGGTGCCAAAATAGCCGTCGTGGCTAATGCAGAATGCGTCGTTGAACAGGTTTGTTCGTTGCAGGCGTTCAAGTTGCCGAGAGTCATGATCGTATTTCACGTTCAAAGCATCTCGCTCGTTCTGAAATTCAGAGAGAGTCAATGCAAACGCATTCCGGTCATGCCAGAACTTTTGTTCTTCTATGTCCAGCTGTCTTGATTCTTCCTCTAATTCCGCAATCTCTTTATCGACTGCTCTCTTTTGAGCCTCCAGCTCAAGTAACTGCTCAAAGGCCTCAGCTTCAGCCTTGAGAGTTGCATCTAGAGTTGCCTTTACAGCTGTCATCTCATCTGCCGATGGTATAGAGGTATTTAGACTTTTGAGAAACGAAATATACGCATCACGCTCCTTTGTCGCTATCGTTAGCTGGTTCTGGAGCCCGTCAACCAGCATGTCGGTACAGTCAACGCATATCGGATGGTCAATATCTGAACGGGCTGACACGATCTCGAATATTCGTGTAGTCCGCTCAACCTGGTCTGCAAACAGAATTTCCTGGCTCTGGGGTTGAAGTTCTGATTTATCCTGCACCTTGCGCTTCGTTCTCTGCTGGCCGGGTCCCTTTGGCTGGTAAGATGAAGAGTGTAGGGACTCGTTCAGCATTACAAAGGACATCCCAGGAGCCGGACCACCGGACCCGGAGTCAGGGCTACCTCGTCCATGCCGTGGTGCCGGGATATCCTTTCTGTAAACCGGCGAGGCTGCGCGCTGGGAAACCTGATCATATCGTTCTTTGCGCTCTGGGGGGTATGAGGATCGCGAACGAGCGAGGGCCTCAGGCTGCGTAGGTGTAGATTTACCCGCAGAACCTGCGCGTACGGTTTAGCTCGTGTCATATACATCATAGATGCGTTTAAAGCTGCTACCGGTGGACGCTTCACTTACCTACTAAAAGATCGTATGCTGCTGGATTAAGCTCTTCGAGAGAACTATCTAGCTTGAGAGGCGTGCGACATTTCTGGCAGTACATGATGCTAGCTGTGTTCCTCCACGACCATGGCTGTCCATCCAGAGCACTCGAGCTACATGCTTCTGTTGCTGTTGTTGCCGTTGGTTCGAGCAGTTGGGCTGTGACGTTGCTTGTATGTATCTACTCAGTATTTAAAGCCGCCGTTTGTTCTTAGCTTAGATAAGTGAGGTTGGACAAACACGCCGACTTAGGTAATAGGTATCTTGGCGTTAGGCTCGGGTCGCATATACATATATCCGAGGCCTTACCTTATGTAAGCCTACTACATCCACAGTTACTATCAGCAAATGGACACCAGACTATCTCCAACTCAGTAATCATGCCTAGGCAATTTAACCCACTTCTGGCGTGTCTGATGCTCGAGTCTCGTATTAAAGGGCTCCAGGCCATGATTGACGACCAGTTGTTGCTGAGGAGCAGAAAGCTAACCTACGTCCTGCTATCCTAGTCTCCAGGAGTATGCTCAACAAATGTCATCACAGTACTCCGTACTATAGTAGGAGAAGAAAACGGGGCTTGGCAAGGAAAACGAATGGTTGAGGTCGATTTAATCGCTATTCTCCTTATTAACGAGACCATCTTTTATCCTCGAATTCAACCAGATTATTCGGTTTGGTAAGGAGCTCTTATTCGGCTCGCTTTTGGCTTTGTCTGGCCTTAAACTTGTGGTGCTCTCACAAAGCTCTCTCTAGCCAAAGCCACACGAATCACTGGCCATCAACGGCGGGACGAAAGTATAGAAGGTAGTTGTCAAACGGTGCTCTGGAAGATTTAGAGACATCCATCTATCCCACGATGCTCCCACGTCTGTATGATCTCAGCGCCGAGGTCACTCACTTCTTCAAGGATCACCCCCCCGCAACATATCTACAGTGTGATGCCTTTGCAATTAATCTCATTGGTGAGCCCATCAAACGTGTACCGATCCAGGGACAGTTTAGCTATACACTGCTTGCAGGGCTAGAACCTAAGATTATACAATTTCGCTCCCCCAAGTCGCAGCTTGACCTTGAAATAACTTCACTTGCGAAGAGTATACATGGCAAATTAGCAGCCAAGACTGAGTTTTACGGGGGGATAGCAAATAACTCTTTATTTGTTTACATTATTGAAAGACTACCCGGTATTGCTTATATCACCTTTCGTTTTGATATCGAGAAGCAGATAAATACGGTAGTAGGGCTTGCAAGGTATGCTTTGCCCTTAAGATTACGATCATTTAACTCATCAGTATCAGGTTTTTTGCTGCATCATGGATTAAAGCGCAGCCGCGACCAGAAACATTACAAAGCGACTATGACGGGAAGCTCGAGCAGCTCTCCAAGTCAATGCCACCTTATCTTACTCCAGCAGCTGTATCTACCCAATCACAGTTGGATCTCCTTTTTAGTAGCAACTTTCGCTACGCACTATGTCACGGTGATCTAAATGATATGAACCTCCTAGTAGACGAAGAGACAGGAGACTTAACTGGGGTTATAGATTGGGCGGAAGCTAGCATTCAACCTTTTGGTCTATCCTTGTGGGGGTTAGAGACACTTCTAGGGTTTTCAGATAAGGATGGGTGGCATTACTATAGTGCCAGTAATACTCTCGAAGACGTATTCTGGGCTACTTTCTATCATGAGACTGGTAGTATTTCAGAAGACGACAAGAAGCTTATCGATATTTCTAGAAGAGTTGGGATCTTGTTAAGATACGGGTTTATATGGATTGACGGGGTTGAGGGGCCAGTGACAGAGCACACGGGTTTGGATAGTTTGCGGCGCTTACAGGCATTTTTCCAGAAGTGCTGAACTCTGCAGTATGGTGTCGTCTAGCTGGGAGGAACGGGAAAGAGGGCTTAAATTGTCCATCCAGCAATGCAGATGGACAGCGTTCGTGAATATGGTTGGCCCACCAATCGGATGACCCCGGGATACAGGAGAGTGAGGCGAACAGCCAGTGCGGGGAAGGGATATGAATAAACATGATATCTAGAGTACGATGAGTGACGGGAGAGTTTGCCTGTCCCATGCTGCTACATAGCTACTAGAAACCCCGAAATCATGGAGAGGGTCCCCGAGCAATTATTCTATGAACTCGACACTTGCGGAGACATAACGTTGATTTTGGACGAGCGAGATAATACACAGGAAGATGATGAAGATTTCTATGTGTCCTGCGAACTTCCCTCATACCTAAAGGAAATACAAATAAAAGAGAATTACCCTAACACTGGCTTTGATCTTCCTGCACATTCACAGAAGAAAACCAAGAAGAAAAAGGTATCAAAGACATGGCTCGACCCCGTACCCGAACCGGAACTAGAACAGATTTATACGTCGGCTGCAAATGACCAGTTGCAAGTGAACGACGACTTAACGGCAGAGGATGATCTCCAAATTAGCTGGGATACCGCGGAGCCGGCAACTGAGGGCGGTGGGTTCGAAGACAAGTGTATCAAAGATACGGCTGCCTCTCAAGCTATTCAATTTCGGGCCTCCTCCAAACATCTTATGCTAGCATCCCCGTTTTTTACAGCGATGCTAAAATCGACATGGGCAGAAGGTGCCACCCTTAATAACCAAGGAGTGGTGGAGTTATCAGCTCTAGGCAGCACCCGGGAGAGCCTTCTGGTGTTTTTGAGCGCTATCCATTGTCGCTCACAAGATATTCCTCAGGCCATAAGTGTCAGTCAGCTGTACGAAATCGCCTTACTCGTTGACTATTACCAATCCTACAATGCCCTTCAATTCTACCTCAACACGTGGATTGAAAGCATAAAAGCCAGTAGGCCGACCGGGCTGAGCAGAGATAGTATCAAATGGCTGTTTATCTCATGGGTATCCAAAAGGGGCGATATATTTACAAGCATGACACAAATATTGCAGCGTGAGGCTAAGGCTCCGCTCCGGGTATCAAATCTCCCGATCCCAGAGAAAGTGATAGGTAGGATAACAACGCCCTATAATTCCCATGCTAGTGCTGATGTCATTATAGACAGGATTAACGAGTCAAGAGAAACCTCCATTAAGGCCTTAATTACGGGACTCTACAACATTGCTGACCACATCGAAGGTGGAAGGATGGAGTGTAGCTTCAAGTGCGACTCTATGCGCCTCGGGGCACTAAGGAAGCAGATGACGTCGCGGGGCCTCCTTAACCCACGCCCAGCTGCCCCGTACAAAGGATATAGCTTTAATAGGCTCTCTAATAGCCTCCGCCAGGTTGGGATTCCGGAGTGGTATGAGGCAAACACATCCTATCCCCACCGCTGCCAGATTGGGCCCACTATCAGCGCGATGATTAGCGATGTGGAGAGTTCTATCGGCAGGTTGAGGTTAGGAGATTTTTCTTAACTTTGGCCTCAACACGGCCAACCAAATCCCCTCGCGTAAAATATGTTATGTGACCTTGCTGGAGAAGCTTTCCTTGTAAGCTGCTATGTAAGTAATTCTATATAAGTTGGAACGTAATAACACCGTTTTTGGATCGCGCGCCTTTTTGGTATAATTGTGTCGTTTTGGATCATTATATCGTTTGGGATAGTGAGTTATATATTAACTGGTCTTCTAGCTTAACTGCTATAGACTGTCAGAGTCCTTAGGCAACAAATACCGTAGACTCCCCTCTGGCGGGAACTCTAAGAGTAACCAAGGAGTCTATCCTCCAATAGCATAAGGAAACCTAATAAGACTAACTCCCAAGAGTTTAAGCTAGCTAGATGTTGAGGAGATGCAAACGATACCATATAGAATGGCTGGTTAAGATGGGTGGTGAAATGGGTATCAACGTCAGCATCATCTATCAACATATCAATAGTAGGCATCAGTAATATAGCTGTGTTCGCAGTGACGGCGAACTCCCGACATATATTAAAGACTGCGTGGCCTAGCTCAGAGCCAGAACATGAAGGTAGAATATACGTGTATCTGTTTCGATTGAATCTATGTACATCCACAGATGTTGGTATAAAGATGTACCTCGAGAGTCCATGAGCGGATGAAAATATTGCGGGCGGTCCTATATCCGGATAAATTATATTCCGTTGAAGTCGGGTCGGCTTAATGGTTAATCCGACAGATGCTTCGCGCTATCACGTGAAAGCTATGGCTCCTAGATTATATGACGACGTTGGGACTCTTGGCATTGTGGCTTTATTTATTTACTGTATGTTGAAGAAACAAGACGAAACACCGTACGTGATGGCATAGAAACAACCAGCAAGGAGCAATTTTTTGCTCTTTTAAAAAGTGTTTTTACCTCGGAGTGACTTTGTCTTGCTCAGTTTCACAGCAAGCTGCAATGCGCAGACATCATATACCTATAAATCGAAAATGTCATCACCACCAAGCAAACGTCGCCGGATCGATGGCCAGTTCAGCCCAAACGAGAGACTTTCGCAAGATTTCGACGTGAACGAAGCTAGGAAAGCAAATGATTTACGGCTCAAGTCTCGGTTTGAATCCATATTCGAGAAATACGGAAAAGATTTCAGCTCCGTTGGCGATGAGATAGATTTGGCAAAGGGAACCATCGTGGTGGACAATGGGCATCTCACGGAAATGGGCGATGAGCGCGACGTAGGGAGAGGGTTATGGGACGATTTCCACCCAGAAGATGATAGTGAAGGAGATGAAGATGCGCCAAGCCAGAATGCTGCGCCGCTGCCAGAAACTATGGGAGATTCTGAGACAGGAAGTGCCTTTTTCCAGGAATGGGTAATGCAAGATGATTACAATGTCATGCCTGAGAAGGAGGATCAGCCTGCAAAAGGTGATACTGCAAATCCCCGATCAGCAGCCAATTTGGAAACTGGTATGACCGCAACTTCTACAACGAGCCCACCAAAAACTATTAAGAGTGGGACTCTACAAGGCCATGAAACCACCGAGGACCATGAAAATCTGCAGCTGCCTAATGACTGTTTGTGGGATGCGCCTCCATTACCTGCCACAGCTCTATCAGCCGGCTTAGAGGACATGGCAACCGCCACAACCAGGTTCATAGAAAGGACACCTTCTCCAGATAACACAGGGTCAATATGGGCGGCACCCCGTTCAAGGCGCAGGCGAATACCCCATATAAACAAGCCCAAGAGCCCCCCAAAGAAAACTCCAATGCGCAAGTCAAAGACTGCCTCAAATGATTCTGATTCTGATTCTGATGATCCAATTCAAAATCGCACTCCAATATTCTCAACCCCCCGACGCCCAGTTAACGTTCTTCCCATTCCACCGCCCGACGATTCCATTCTTCGAACGCTTATAATACCTGCAAATGTATATATTCCACCTCCGGAAGAGCCGATATCTACTATAGAAGATAATGGCAATAATGATGCAACGAGTGATGAGCAGGAAACAGTTAGTAAAGTTAATATGGATACCCCATCGATAACCAGGAAAATAAACCCAGTGACGCCATCCAACCCTCAGTGCACTCCCTATCCCAGTCATGTGGTAACCACTGCACGTGAAGACGAAGTTCTCGGGGTTGATATGGTTACCGAGAGCCCAAGTACCGAATTGATGACCCCAAGAGACCCCGCTGAAAATCTTACACCACAAGAAGTGAAGACTCTTGTCACTCTAAGGTTGGCTAAACGAAAACCCTGGCGTGATGTGTCTCTGGCTATCCCCTCCCGCTCAAGTGTCCAACTTCGACAGTGGTATTATGCTTACTGCAAACACATCGACGGTAGCTTGTCTACTCCTATACATTGGACGGATGCAGAAAGAGAGATTTTGGCCTTACTCGCTTCAGACATTAGAAATTCATGGGATACTGTTCAATCTCAATTTTTAGACAAAAGTTTAGAGGATATACAGCGCGAGTGGGTTAAAATTTGCGTTGGAGAAAACATATGGCAAGGTTGGGTCAATTCAAAAACACCCAATAAAGCAAAGAAGCGGGAACCACCATTTCCCCGAACACCAGTTCGGTCTTCTGTCACTGTTCCATCACCACTGCGCCTCACTACAGGGTATCCAACGGCTTCAAAACATTCAGTCGTGGAGAAATCTCCGTCTGCTGCTGCCAACCCTCCGAAAAACCGGGAAGAAAGCCCCGACCCCCTCTCCGAAGCCTTTGAAAAGGCATGGCATAGCACTGGATTGTCCAGCGTGCAGATAAGTACCCCACCGAGGGCTTCCCGTTCGCCGAAGAAGCATCTTCTGCCAAGCGGCAAAGCCCAGAGCATCGTCGGGACATAGTAAAGGAGGGCAGATTTCGCCTCGGACAGCAGTTAACGAATTCTGCTTCCCTCATGTCCATCGGAGTCAACATTGACAAATTGCCTCTCGTTATAGTAAAGCGGTCATCTGTTGTACTGCTACCCCAGCAGTTCCTCCAATCTACTCAAGCCTCACTCCCTAGCATTGAGGACATCTTCAAGCCTGGTGCCGATGGCCCCTCCAACATTCCCCGCCTCAGCCCAAAACTTTGACAGATGCCTTGTACCGGAATCGCAAAGGATTGTCACAATTCGATGACCTGGGCCCAGCTTTAGGGCTGTCCTGACAGCAGCAAAACCTGTGAAGATAGACCTGTTATTGTTCTCTCTCCCAATATTTTGAAGGCAATAGAAGACCTACAGTTCACAGCACTGCTGCTGCCAATAAATATACCATCCTTTTCAACTAGCCAGCGTGCCATGGCGATAGCTTGTGCATCAGTAACCCTGACGGCATCGTCCACTAACTCCCGACCCGCTTCAAAATTCGCGGTGACCCGGTTAATCCCTATGCCCTCCACAATAGAGTCAACTTGTTGTCTCCTTCTTGTTCCTTCCCTTTCTTTCGTGTCAAACATAACGCCGTAACGGACTCGGTTATACAGTCCGCTCCCTTGGGGGTCGGCAAGAACAACAGTCATATTCGAAACCAGAGGTTTTAGGTATCGTGCAACACCAGAAATGGTACCTCCAGTTCCAGCACCGGCAACAAACGCATCTAATTTACCCTCGCACTGTGCATATATTTCTGGCCCTGTCGTCCGATAATGGGCCTGCCAATTAGCAACGTTTTCAAATTGGTCGGCGAAGAAACCCCGGCTCTGTTTAGCAGCGGCTTCGGAGGTCATTAGTTCGATATTTGGCTTCTCGAATGGCGAAGATTCACGAGATGCTGGCTGCCCCGACCCGTGGGAATGTGCCAGACTTCTAGCTCTGTTGACGAAGTGGCTAGTTTCGACAATGGGAGCTGGCGGCACCCTGTCCACCACTGCCCCTAACTTGAGTAGGAGATTTGATTTTTCTGTCGATTGGTCCGATGGCATGCATCTGTAGTTTGGACATGTGTAAGTATAGCATACTTTAACATAGGAATGTGTACGGGTGGGCGTTGTCCTACATATGTGCAAGGTATCCTCTTGCTCTTGCCAGAGTGGCAAGTGATATTCCTGTAGACCCAACTGTTCCTTCATAAATTGCATCCCCCACAAACGGTGTAAGGAGGCCTTTCTCTTCAGCCTAGATAATGACATCAACACTTTGATATAGTCACATCGAATGGGTTTGAATCCTGACCTCTTGTATCATACTTAGAGCAACACGGTCCTTGGGGCTCCCTCCAGCGCCATTTAAAAACTGCAGAAATTAAATTAGAACTTTGGCCTTTTACAGAGATAAATTTGCTAGGGTGCAGAATAAAGGGGATATCCACCGTACTTCTGCTTTTGCTAATATCTCACATCCCGTCGCCTCTGACAGAGAACGTATGCGAACCATAGGAGTGTTTCCAATGCACCCTTCTATACCGTCCACGATGGGAGGAGGCTGAGGCTTCTGAGCGGGCTTGGGGTATTCAAGGCCATGAGCTATTGGCTGGCCATTGATTGTATCCTTGTTTACATATTCTCTCCGGCATAGTCCCCCTTCAGCGTGAAGAAGACGATCGATTGCGATTGTGCATATAGCGCCTATTGCGAAGGCAGCAGCTATATAAACCGGCGTACGAGATGATGATGCCATCTTAAGAGTCGACTATAACAGTCATCCCGATGTTCTATCTTGTACAGACATGTATAACACCGGTTCTACAGTTACTGTCAAGAAGTTTTGCAGGCGTCAAAATATTTGGTGGAATAACTATCAAAGCTCGGACCACCTCTTGTTCCTTTCCCGAAAAACGAAAGCAAGTTCGAACTTCAAGCTCACGACGACTTCTTTGCTTTTGGCAAGCAATGGATTCACCAGTTGTTTCGCACATCTTTCGCCAGCTATTTCGGCATCAGGCGACCCGATCGCTATCATATTCTCGGCCATTGCGGTCTCGACACTCGTTACGATCATGTTGTTGCGGACATCAGCAGTCACGCTACGTCTCCAGGAAGCTCGGGAGCAGGCGAAAAAAGGAAGATGAGGATGAAACCCTTTGGAGGCATAGAATAGACCACTTTCCGAAGGATATGTCACAAGAGCTTAGGGACTACCCGTTGGTGACCGCGGTAGATTTACGGAGTCGTCGTGAACGGCCGAAGCGGGTAAAGATGCTAACAAGAGATTTCATCGAAGGTATGGATATTAAGCTATAGAGTTATAGTGTTTCCAGGTATAATCTGATAAAAATATGCTGCTCATTACTGACTAAATTCACTATAGACAGTCTATACAACCCGCATTACGGATATTTCTCGAAGCACGCGACTATCTTTACACCCGGTGAACCGTTCGATTTTAATAACATAGAGGATGGGCCTGCATTCAACAAGCTATTGGACCAGCGTTATGTGGAATTTGAAGATAAACTTGACGAGGTCAATTACGATGAAACTCGACAGCTGTGGCATACGCCTACTGAGCTCTTCCGACCTTATTATGGGGAAGCTATTGCTCGGTATCTCGTTACGAACTACAAATTGACTTTGTTCCCATACCACGACCTCATAATTTACGAAATGGGAGCAGGAAACGGGACGATGATGCTCAACATTTTGGATTACATACGGGATGTCGAGCCAGAAGTATACCAAAGAACCAAGTATAAGATCATTGAAATCTCTAGCAGTCTTGCCAGCCTGCAACAGCGGAATCTCAACCACTCTATTCATGCGGGCGGTCATGGTGGTCATGCCGAAATCATCAATCGATCAATATTTGACTGGGACACGTATGTTCATTCGCCATGCTTTTTCCTAGCTTTGGAAGTGTTTGATAATTTTGGCCATGATGTGATTCGCTATGATATGGAGACCGGGCAACCTAGGCAGGGTTGTGTTCTCATTGACTCTGATGGGGAGTTTTACGAATATTACGTGCCAGACTTGGATCGTTCTGCTGCTCGCTTTCTCCGTGTCAGGCAGGCAGCAGCTCGTCGGCCATTTACCACGCCGTTAGGACCTCGACTGTGGCGCAAGCTTCAAACAGCTCTTCCATTTGCGCCCAACATGACATTGCCAGAATATATTCCGACCCGGTTAATGCAATTTTACGACATTTTGCACGATTATTTCCCAGCCCATCGTCTTATTGCGAGTGATTTTGACTCTCTCCCTGACGCTGTACCTGGTTTCAATGCTCCCGTTGTCCAAACCCGATACCAACGGAGGAATGTCCAGGCCACAACACCATATGTAAGCGACTTTACAAGCCCATGCATCAAATATTTATACTGACATTATATTAATTTTAGGTACATCAAGGATACTTTGATATATTCTTCCCTACTGATTTCAATGTGATGGAAGATGTATATCGAGCGATTACTGGGAAACTTACTCGGCTAACGGGGCATGACGACTTCATGAAACGTTGGGCGTATCTCGAAGATACTCAAACGAGAAATGGCGAGAACCCTCTCTTAAGCTGGTACAAAAATGCCAGTGTGATGATAACTGTATAATACCGAATACTCCCCCAGCCTCGTTGATTAGGTGGATGCTCTTTTTGTAGCATTTAGCCCAATTCTTAAAAGAATACCCAACCTATTAGACGGATATAAATTGAATTGTACTTTTAGCACCAATACCTTTCAAATGTGCCGGCACCACATGGGTGGCTGATGGTTGGTATTGCTAACCATGTAACCGGCAAATGGATATTCCAAGCGAAGAATATGCTCTGTATTCAATTATGGTAAAAAAATATTTGATTATAGTTTAGAAGCTAATGTAATTAATAGATATACAGATGGAATCACAATGAGTATTTAACTAATAGCATGCCTGATATTTGCTCGTCCCTTTTTTGTCTCCGGATGTATAGTCAATTCCCACATCGAACCCAACCTAGCAAAGGAGGAATAAAACCAATAAACATGTTATAACCATTATGCAGCGCCAATATTCAAAACCTTGACATACTGAATTAAAGGAAGGATTAGATATCCGCAAATGAGCTGATAGTAAGCAGCAGTAAGTAGATAGCAGTAAGATCAATAAATGATTCCTATAAAAAGGCCTTTTTCCATCGGCTTAGTAGGGGGCGCTTGGGTTTAATGTCTTCCGGCTCCGAGCGCTCACACGAACGAGCTCGTTTGCGCTCAAGCCGACGCTTCTCAATATCTTCCTGGTTATAATAAGGATCCATAGGTGGGTCCCCGTTTTCAAATTTCTGGTATAGGGAACAAGTTAGTCCATAGCCTACCAAAGTTAAAAGGGAGTATATTAGGGTAGCTATGCCTACCGCTCCAGGGTGTCGTTGAAAATTTCCACGGTCTTCGACCATCATGTTTGCGCCCTCTTTATAGTTGAGCACTCGGCCGCTCATATCCCTCGATCCAGGAGGAAGGGTAGCAACTCCATCCAGCGGCCGACGTTCGCGAATGCTATCGATGATCATATCATGTGGCGTGGCTCTAAGAGCTTCCGCAGTTGAATACTGGAGAGCTTGCATGGGAGCTTGGTCCGGGAAGATGTTTCTCTCCCTAGCCGCAGCATCATATGGGCCTTCATGATGGTAGAGCTCGCTCACGGTGTCCATCTTATCAATTAGGTCTGGCCTAATAAGCAAACTAGGCCTATTTTCTCCAAAATAAGCCTCCTGTTGGGGGTTACGAGCGTAGTAGTTGGGGTGTCTGATGGCCATGAGTGACATGCGAGGTTCGCGATCACGACGAACTGACGAAGGCCCATCCGGCTGATACATCTGCCGTCCACGCAAGGGCGGCTCTGTAGGTACTATCGGCTCCGCTTCCGGGCTAGAACGCCTTCGGCGTGAAGGCGCCATAAGTGATATTAATCGCTTTTGATATTATTATTATCAAAGGCTCTTTAAGGCAGAAACTTGACCAGCAAGCGGGCATGAAGAAAGAAGTAGAAATCTGAGAAGCAGGAGCATCTGAGATGAAAGATATATAAGTCGGGTCCCGGGTCTGAGTAGCAAAATTTTCCATGATGACCATGCTATTACCATGTGTCATCGGCCAAGCCATGGTTGACACTGCTTTCCAGCGGGTTGATGGGATTTAAGGGAGCTTCGGGAGGTTTGATGATGCTTTTTATATGCAAATCCATGGATGGAAAACAAAAACGACGTCATCGAATTTGTACTTCACGTGATATTACTAATAAATCATGTGACTATAGCTGGCTTAGTAAGCGCATCAACGACTTTTTGGTTGGAAAGAAAGAAACTTAAGAGCAACAAAATGTAGATGAAACTGAAATACACCGTTAGCCGCGCATGCCTCAGGAACAAGTCATTTTGGTAAAAAAACCGCCCTCATGATCGAAAGCTTTACGCACGCCATAATGCCCAGCTCTCACTCCAATACTGGACCCATCCCCGGACGTGTGAACTCATACGCTAAAGGTTATCGTCTTGTCATCACCGATATCTTGCCTTTTGAAATACCGTTCACCGCTGTAGCTATTGCCATATGTTAGTTAGAATTATACCGGGTTATAACTATTTCATACCTCCAGTGAACGAGCCCCATTGCAACGTCTTTGCAGCCCTTGATAAAAGAATCCAAAAATATATTGGATTTATCGTTTTCTCCAAGGCTTTTTCGAAGACAGCTCTCAACAGCAAGTATGCCTTTGACTTCATCCTTTGCCATCTGGAAGCTTGTCTGCATCGCTGCACCGCAATCAATCCCGTAGTTCATCATCAGCACTGGAACAAGATTCTCAATTTGGTTGTCTCTCTAAACAATGTCAGCTCAAATATGTTCACCAAGTTAATCAAAATATACTAACTGCTTCCTTTCGCATAGATAGCATATCATTCGTTCTATAACCTCTTTAGCATAGGTCCCACTATGGAAAACAATATTTCGACTTACATATGGACAACATATGATGTTTGTCTCCATAAGGCCGCAAATGCCGGGTCTTTCAGGTGCAATTTTGAAATCTCAATATCATAGATAAAACTATATTCTTTTAGTCCAGAATCACTAAAAGGGCATTCAGTCACTTACGGAAGAGTAGCTATTACTGGATAAACACCTGCTGTAAGATCTCGGCGATGCCAATATTCTGCCAGTGAAGGAACCTCCTCTCCATGGAAGATGGAGTCTACAGTATTGACACTGGTTACATATCCCACCATTTTGTCGAGAAACACTTCACACACATCTGACGCATACCTTCTCGTTAGTATCATAAGCCACTATCACAAAAAAGGCTAAAAGCATACCCTTGCTACATGTTTCGCGGACGTGTTGGCCCACTTCATTCCAACAAAGCAACGCTTTTTGTTGTTCTTTGGAAAAACTTGACAGATCCGGGTGCTCCCCAATCTCCAAAAGGTGATATTGGAAATATTCCTTGCATTTTTTCAAATATGCTATCGTACCTTCAGTGTCGTAAGTCAAGGAACCACAATCAAATTCTAACGGCCCGCCGTTAGTAATCTTTTATATAGTCTTAACATAGAGGACACCAAAACCATACGATCGTCCCAAATAAAGTACTATATCAAATTGTCAGCACCGGCCATGGTACAAATAAGGAAGAAAACCGACCCATGCAAATGATTTAGCTACCGTGCATAGCTTGTCGAACGATGCATCTGCGCATACAATAGCTGCAAAAACGGTAAAATTTGCTTTTTGTAATTTCACGCAAGTACGAGGGTCGTCAACCCAACTACTCCAGTGAGACTACATTCCAATACCCATATATGATATAAGGATTACTTACCGCTGAAGCCAAGGATTAACCACTTCATCACGAGCTCTTTCATATTCTTTGTGGAGCCGTGGCGACCACTCCGGTAACAAGCTGTATAAGTTTGGTATAGAAGCCTCTTGGCCCTTTAACGACTTTCGAAACTCTTGATGAGGCAAAAGGGTTTCTGGTGCGGCGGAAGATCCCTTCAAGTCACTATTGCCATAATACTCGTTCTCAGAGACAGGAAGTTGGCTGAGGAACTTGAGTACATGACTTGGTACTAGTCAGCCATTTGTTTCAAGGATTAGATGAAGATTGCGTCGGTAAAGGCGAGCGCACCAAATAGGTGTGGAAATATATTCACTAAACACCAACGCATTAAAAGCGAGTGTACTCATCATTACTTCGTCCAGAACCGAATGACCTGGTCGTATGCAGTAAAAACCACAGGAGAGATAACTGAAAGGGTTCACTGTAGAGAAATATCCCATGCCCATGGGGTTTCACCATCAGTTTATAACATGCTGAACCTCGTAGGTAAGTTTGCTAGTTGGCAGCAAAGTTCTCGCATAAAAACACACGGCCAAGGATATCATTGCCAACGAAGCTGAACACTGTCGCAAAGCATCAGCAATGGCTTCAGGCATGGCTATGTAGATAGGTAATCACATAAATCGATTAATGGACAGCTGTACACGTCTCATTTTCGAGGCTTGCATAAACATGAAAGTCTTTAACGCCAGGCATTTGGCTTCCGTATATCTAACGGGAATCATAGGCCACGAGTCACAACGGGTATGGCAAAGCGTCAGCGGTGTAAGATTCTTCCTGTGGCTAGTTATTGTTTAACTAATAGGAGTCGTTCGCTTATGGATAAGGCTGCTGCAGTTATATGCAGCAGTAGCGAAGGGTGCTGCAGCCACTCAGCTAATTAGCTACTCGTTAACACATCTATCAGGCGATCTTAGGTACCTACCATTGCATGCAAGATATCCTTTCGCAATCCATGGCAAGTGGCGAAGCTGAAAAAACCGTTTGACCACCAGCTGTAAATGACGGTTCCCTCTATGGCCAAGCACGACATGGCTACCTGCATAATAATATGATACGGAACTGTCGTCTGTGGCGTTCAAATCTCGTTGACCAGAAATTTGTTTATTTTTGACCCTCTCATTGGCTGCTTGGCTTTTCAACTGGGGAGTTGAAACTAGCAAGCCAATTTCAACATCAGCAATCTGATGATCATTAGAGATGGCGGAGAATGGCCGAAAGCTAGCCATGCCCCTTGTCCAGTATTCTGATACCGAATCCGAAGAATCCGGGAGAGACGGAGAGATAAGCAGATTGTCAAGGTCTCCCAAGCGGCCCCGTCATGGATCTAACGATAAAGTGCGACTAGAAGCTGATGGCCAGGACCATGCTGCCTTGCCGCCACTACCAAATGAATTTCGTGATTTGTACTCTACTTCGGTGAGAGTTAGCGTGCAGGATGATCCCAGCCTTCATAATGGACGGACACGAGCAGTTCCTCATGTGGTTGGCAACTGGCCAACACATATTTACCTTGAGTGTAGGCGGATGTTTTCTTATACCCATCCTTGTGGCCTTGGCCCAGAGTACCAGTCTTGGATCATTGCTGATTTGCCGGAGGGTATCCCAACAATAGTGAACTAGGAGTGTTGTCAGAAGTTATCAAGCGATGTGAAAGATCAGCCTTGGACGGCATGTCTATTCATAGTCTTCTTTACAGCGACCTGGGAGCACAGCTACCCTTACATATCAGCCTGTCTCGGCCAGTGGTCCTCTTGACGGAGCAGCGGGAATCGTTTCTTAATCTTTTCCACGAATCAATTTACAAGTCAAAAATTCAACCGTGAGTATGCCAGATGCTTATCATAGGGTGACAACGAGTGGTTATATGACTTACTTTACCTGGATCTATTAGGCTTGAGGTTTCACCAAGCAGCTTAGACTGGGTGTCGAATTTTGAACATACGAGATGGTTCCTCGTCTTACGCTTGAATTGCCCGAAAAATGATGGCTTAAACCGGCTACTACGCCTGTCAAATACAACTCTTGCACATTTTTCCCAACCGCCATTATATGAAAATCCTACCCACAGACAGAAGAGAAAACACGGAAAGCAAGTGGGGCATCAGCACGATATATCCCCATATTCTGGCCCAGGTGATACTGACTACACAGACTGTTTCCATATTTCAATCGCCTGGACGCTAAAAGAGCCAGGCGCTAGGGATAAAGAACGACTTTTGTCAATCGATTTCCAGCCCCATAAGCTTAACTTCAAATTCAATAACGTCAAAGTGAAAGTCGGAAATCAAATACATAGTGAAGCGCTCCTTACATCGACAATGGACGAAGATGGCTTCGAAGGTGTTTAAAGCAACAACCTGATTTTGATGACTATTCTTATATGCTATGGTATGGTCTCTCCTTATAATTTCGATGTTAGCTCGCGAATGGATCGATACCGTGATTGGCTGCAACTCCCATCCATATGTTATTTTTATTTCAAGTATTTGTTGCCTTGAGTACTTGTTACTGAGCTTAGGCCGTGAAGGAGGCGATGAGGCATCCATGGAGCCAACCCCGCTTGCTAAGCCCGTCAAAACCGTCTCCCGGTGCCATGTCAAGCCACATAACTTTCACAGAGAGAAGGTTGTAGTAGTTGTATATCCAGTAATAGCTCATCCGGTGAATAAACCGCCGTAGTTGCAAGGCCAGTCGCAAAGTCGTAAACTACCCAGAGTGAATCCAGCTTCTTCCAATGTCTGTCCGTAAATACGCTCCATAACAATAAAAACATTCTCAGCTGTCTCGACCGTCCGCTTCATGCCCGGTGCTCTGATCCCAAGGAGTTTTGCCAGTTGCCGAGCATTAAACATATCTATTTCTTCATCACGTAAGAACTGCTTCGCTTTTAGATTTGGAGAGCGGTAAAACATCCTTGAAGAGACATTAGACGACTCGGATTCATGAATGTAACGAGTCGGTGTTGTACAATCATATTCTGAGAGAAATCGTTCTTCGAACCTGGAACCCATCGCAGCCGGCCTTAACAAATCCCCACGTTGCAAGAATAATGAATAGAAAGGATAACCTTTCTCGGAGCAGCAAAGCACTGACTAAAATTCGAAGTATCGGATGCTGGGTGATTTTGAAGACCCATTACCTATGCCCGCACCTAAAGGTTACATCATTTCCCTATTATTACCGGCATATGGTATGACGTATTAGCGTCTAGTATGTGCCACTGGAAGGTACCTTCAGTCATGCTCAACACCGTAATGCTGGAGTATAAGAACCTTGGGCGCGTTTACAGACAATTTTTTTGTTAGACGACTTTTTATACTTTTATATCACGTGGTGGTTCTGTGCTGATGCCAAGAAGTTATTCATCGCGCTTTTTGTTGCGTCAAGCTTGTGAAAGTCGAATATAACCAATTTCACTAATACCATCAGCCCCGAGAATTCATGGCGTATACAGGGTATAATGGCTATGGATATTCCCCTTGTCACATGCGTATGTTATCCGGAGACTCGTCTGTACCTTATTGTCTAGCTAATCCGTCGTTCACGAAGGATGATCTAGATGCTTTCCACGCCAAACATTTCGCTACCCACGACTTCAACCAGACTATAGCCTCCAATTTCTTTTCAAGCTGTTTTAGCACTACGGAAGTTCAAGCTACAGGCTATGAGGACTTGTATGACGATGGCTTGGGGTATTACCCTGATGGGGTGAAGCGGACGCTCACCGACCAGCAAATTCAGATATTCCGACATAGCGAAATCCAAGGACTCCTTCGCCAAAAGGAGCTGGAAGAAGAGGCTCTTGATAATGGTAAAGGGGCCAATGAACACCTGACTGAAGATGACGCGCGTGAACAGGCCGATGTCACCTCCCTCAACCAAAAAATAACAGACGAGAAACGAGTTCAAGCCAAACTACTGAAACAAAGAAAGGATATAAATGGCCGAACCGGTGCAGTCTCAAGTTCTATGAAACGGCCCATTCCGAAAGACGTAAACGATCATGGGACACCCAGACGGGAAATGAAACGGACTCCCAAATCACCGGCCCAATTTCGTCGACGAATTGTTAGTTACGAGGACGCATGAAAAAAAAGGTATATCCTCCTGCTTCGCAGTTAGATACTGCCTGGAAGCAACTATTATGATGATGCTGCCTCGGTGTACGCTTCACTCTCAGAAGGGTGGCTTCTGGTTAGTTACGGACATTGTGGAATTGAGGCTTTTATCTCAGGTTAGGAAACTATTTATTAGCCTCCTTTTATCATCTTCTGTAAGTTGGTTCTATTTTCCTCTATCAAGGAATAATCTTCAAACACACGCGACATGATGAAAACCTTCGTATCGTCATCCTTAGTCGGACGCCTTAGCACCGGCGCTTCGTTGCTATCTCAGATAGTTCGAAACGCTGGATCTTGCGGGGCGATGACGAGAAATTAATCTTCTCTCTGAAATTAAAATATAATAGCCTTGATTATGTACACCTGTTTAAGCAAAGCAAGTGGTGAAGATTGCACTAACTGAATCACCGTTGAACCAGATAGGCGAAAATGAAAATCTCAAGATGGTATTATTCTATTTTGACGCCGCCGATGGAAGGGATAACTATCGACTGCATGGTCGTGAATAGGTCAAAAAATGTTGGACTAAACCCCTTGGCCGGTCGAACTCTCCCATACGTTTACTAAACGATGGAAGTTGGCGTGGGTCGTTTGGCAAATTGCCCATCATATTCTATTATTGACGCCAAAGTTAGCTCTGAATCTTCTTCCCATCCTCCGTGCTGCTGTCCTAAATATACAGGGAGGGTCCAAAGACTTACAAGAAATTTTCAACTGTTAAGTTCCTCCCGGATAAGGCCATGGAATCTCAGCCAATTGTCAAGCTGCCGCTCGAGGGGCCCATTTTCTTGGGACCTGGCAACGGCGTCGAGATCGAGACTGTCATGAAGTTGGTCTGCACTAGCTTCCCTTGACAACATATTGGTGGGCTCCTCGGTAGAAGCTTCAGTGAGATCGTTCTCTAGCTCTCCAGCTGTTCCGTCTTGAGCTTTAGTGGAGGCGGCATCCGACTTCTCAACAGCTTCATTCAACGATTTAAGCCTAGTTTATGACAACACGGTTAACATCTTCACGCATACACATCAAGCATCCGGGGATAACCCACGCTTCCCTCTTCTCTTCCTCAGCCCTCCACTTCTCTCCTCCATCCAGTGGTACACCCATGGCTTTTTGAATGTTTTCTCTCTAATAGATCTTTATTAATGGGGCTAAGGAAAATTGGCCTGCTAAAGAATCAAAGGTGTAAGAGTGCAACTTTGTGTTTCTGGGAACTCTTGGATAAAGTGAAGGGATACTGCTGTTCAACGAAGAAATGAAGTCCAAATGACAATGAACCAAGATGGGTACTTATATACCCCCATCATAGATGAGAAACGTAGGCTATTGGGTCTTTGCGCCGTGCAGGTGTAGCCAGCTCTGGCATTCACATAATGTCAGTTTCTAGGTCCCATCGGGGCCATCACCCTTTGCCCTTCCCACTGATTTCCACTGGATTTCACTGATTCCCACTGGATTTCACTAAAAACAACGGTCAAAGCACCCATTGTAGTTCGGGCCAGGGCATTTCAGTCTTTGTTTTTCTTCTCACTCGAGACTCAACAAGACCCAAGGGCTGGCATCTAGCCCTCGCTTCTAGATGGCCGATCATATTATCGGGCCATTCCGCCGGCCCGCGTTAAGCTATTGGCCGGAAATATCAACCGCCTCATGCACAACTGTCGATGTCACCAATGTTCGTTGGGAATTTTATTCGAAAGAGCAAGCTGATGAGCCCTAATTCGTCCATATATACATGGCAGGGCGTAGCAACCCACCCTAAGCTCCTTACTAATCAGCAAGTCAGGCCTGTCAGTGGATGCGAAGTCACGAATCCTTGTGCGGGAGCGCCAGTCTTAATGCTCCTGAATTATTATTAGGGATGCTCGAGGACTCCTTAGCGTAACTAGTTGCGCCTAAGTCGCCAAGGGGGGAACCTTTAGGAGATTCCGGCTTTGGGCTCGATCTGGGATAAATCCCGAGAAAGGCACAAAAGTATACGATCGGTACTTTAAATGGACTTCACACGCTAGATGTCGCGCCGTTTTCCAACGCTCTTCAACTTCCGATTCCCCGGGACAGCTGTGACGAACGACGGGGGTGGACGGCCACACCTTATGTTTGCTTTTCCCGCGGACCGTTCTTGTGTTCCCCCGGGATTCTTGCTGCTCGCCTAACCCCTGACTTCGTCATCAAGGTGGTTTTTATTCGGATATATCCCCCTCGAGGATGGAGATGGGTGGCATTGAGGAATGCTCTTCTGATAACGAGATGGTAAACGCCTATGGAGTATACCGTCTACTTCTTGAGTTTTGCGGGGCAGCTCGTGGAAACAACCTTTTCCATGGGCGAAGTGGATCAAAGAGAAGAGATCTGTCTATTCTATAACTAGCTAAACATGCGCCCCTCAAAAAACAACAACAACAACCTAATCTTGACATCTGATATAACGGGAGGAACGCAGAGCACCTGTCCTAGGCTGAACAGGCTGCCACGAGCTTCACTCCCAAGGAACCGGATCCTCATATTTCTCCCCATCGAAGATGATTCGCTGTCATGGTATATTCCTCCGATTGGTAGATCCGGAATCCCTTGTGTGTTGCCCCGAAAGTACTCTAATTCTGCGGCACTTTGTCCGCAGTTTCGTCACCCTCTGCCTCAACTTTGTCTTCTTCGTCAAGACCGTGCTTAGGCTTCTGCTCATGGTCGGATGCAGCAGCTTGGCCACCTATTCCATGGGTAGCCGGAAACGGAAGTATGGGCGGACATGAGCTATCAGCATCACACCTCTGACGCTTTCTGGGAGGGGCTGTCTGATCAGACGAATCGGGTCCAGGGCTTATACGTTCGTTGTCGTGCTCTTGTAGCACATTGTGTGCGCCTTAAACCCAATCATTAGCTCGAACTGGCTCATAATTGTGTGCATTGCCAGCGATTCTGGACCTGGATCCTCACTTTCAAGAGCAGTCCCTTCAAAGGGGTCAATAGCGAATAGCCGGCTCTCTTCGTCTCCCATGGCTTCTGCTTCAGATATTTCAGCTTGGCTCTGGTCATCTCTGCAAATATAGATTGCATTAGCAAATGTTTGGCCTTCAACTTCTCTTTGCTTGGGAGTGAGCTGACCTTGTGGTGTCGACTTGCAAATCTTGTGGGTTAGGGGGAGGACTTCCATATTGGACCTCTATCGAGGCGTCCCCAAAGGAATATAATGAACTCGGTGGGCTTGGGGGATACATTTCTGCAGATCGCCACGGTAGAAGGGAAGTATTCCAAGTTGTGACCTGAGTCGAGCAGCCCAGGGAATTGCCTGGCAATGTTGCTTTGGCAGTTTGAATCGTGAATAAGGGTAAGATACCTCCCTACTTATACCCAACACGCTCAACAACATCCGAACCAGTTACCCCTTTTCCATACCCAGAGAAAGAGGGAAGATTTTTTTCCCTCTTGTTCCCTCCTCCTTTAGCTGTGAGTATTCCAGGATTCCAACTGCGCGTGTTGCTTGGACGCCCTTTTTTTTAACCGACAAACTTTATTGGATGCTTATCCCATTTGCATTTTTCCACACCGATAAGTAGCCACTGGGAGCTTGTTGTGACCTGTCAATCTGTTATTCAATTGGTACTGACGTGGTATTTTCCCATAGTGAGTTTTCTTGTCATCTAGCTTGACCACACCTGAAAAGCTTTGTTTTTCGGGTGGGTCTGCTCCATCAAGCATTCTGTGGAAGAGAGCTGTGGAGCTAAAAAAGTCTTAAGAAACTATACGATCTCCATATAGCAGATTGGCAGGAGGATTACCTGTCACTTTTACACCCTCGCACAGCCGCCTGGCTGGTATAAAACGAAAACGCGTTTTCCATGCTCTGCAGAAATTTAAAGGGCCGGCCCGCAAGTTTAGTTTATTGTGTGCAAACTATTTCCGCACTTTATCCTTCCCCCCTACCCCCTACTCCTCCTCCTCCTTTTTACCTCCTCCTTTTTACCTCCTCCCTTTTACCTCCTCCCTTTTACCTCAACCCTAGATTTGCATTTGGGCTGGACTCTTGTTTGGCAGCTTCATAAAAGAAATGAGTACCGCAGAAACAGTGAAGAAGGAGAAAAGAAAGAATAAAAAAATATACTAAAAGACGAATGGTCTCATATATCCACCTGGCCCTAGTGATGCATTGCCCTAGCGATGCATTGCCCTGATACCCAAATAAACGGTGGTTTAGGCTACCAAACTACCATCTTTCAAGAGCCAGAAATTACAGAGTACAAACGATGGGAGCAAGTTTTGATTTGATTGGTCATGAATCCATGCACCTGGCTGTTGGAAGCAACTCCTTGATATCAAAACCAGGGTTTCTTTTAAACTTTTCAAAAGTTGATCAAAGTCTCCGTACGACCAGGGCTGTTATGGAGAAGAGCGCATGGGGAGGAATATGGCAGTGCGGATCGCCCTTCTGCACTCATCTCACTTTTTTTTTTTTTTTTTCTAAATATATGAAACATTAATTTAAGAAGAGTAAGGTAATCGACGTGGTCTCCTCAATACTGGAAGGCATCTGTATGCAAGAAACGCCAACGGAAATATCGAAAAGATGGCTGCAAGCCGATATATCCAACAAAGCCTTTGGCTTGTTACCGCCGTTAGATATAACAACCTCCTTCGTGGCCTCTGTGACCGATTTCCATGTCAATGGCGACTCTTTTTTGAACTGGAAGTTTGGCCAGCTAATCGGGGGTTTTTTTTTCTGGCGAAAGGAAACGGTCTCGATACGGAATTAAACATGCGGGAACAGCAAAGGGAACGCCCAAACACGCGCGATCTAGGAAGACAAACGGGAATACGAGCGAAATGGCTGTCATGCATAGTTAAGTTTGACTGGGCTGGTTGGGCCTGCAAGGGGCATGCAATGCATACATAGCAGTATACTATGTAGGCTGCTGAATCACCGACGCGCTGCGCAACATGGCATCTCATCGGTATACATAATAAAGCGGTGAAAGGTACCAACCTTGACATATTTAGACGAGACTGAAGGCCTATATCAATAAGGGATTATTGGGCCTATACCTACCCCCGTGCAAACAACCCAACTTGACCACAGATTTACGGTATTATGCAAGAAACATTATTCTTGGAAATACATGCTGCCTGCTACAAACCGATCTGCTACCTGATGCTAGCTCTAGTGTCGGTTAAATCCAGTTTCGGTACATAAGTCGATGTACGGAATACCCGTAATTACTACCATGTTATGACCGTTATGTATGTACGGCAATACAGCTTAGTAGTAAGCGAACCAGGCCTTCTTCCTGCTGCCCACGTTTTCCGTTTTCCTACCCCCTTTTCTGGATGTTCGGATACGCACCATCTGGATCCCACGATTGCCCAAGATGCATAAATGAAGCAGAAAGATACCGATGAAGAAATATAATATGGCCTGGTTGATTTTCGGCAAATAGACCATGGAAGCACAAGGAATCTACCGATCTTTGAAGAATAAGCGAGGCATGCTATTGCATCCAGAGCATATTTGCGTTTCCTGCCACCGCTGTTGGCTGGAGCAGATCAAAACTAACGCAAAAGTGCAAAATTGAAAGCGGACAGCGACAAGTGCGAGAGCTCACTGGAAGACACTCTTTAGGACACTCTTTTAGACTTTGGTTCGCAGGCTGCAACGATTAGCATCCCCACTCATACCTCTCTGCATCTCTCATGCAAATTCAATGGCTGACGTTAGGGGGACCAAAAAAAAGAACCATAACCATGATAGATCTCCTTGCGGCGTAGGCTAGACAAGGAAGAGTTTTTATATACCGATAGACAGCTTGTCTCGGGCAGGGTTCGAAGTACTTATGCATCGGTTGCAAAAAGCCCACATGGATATTGTCAGGTTTTATTAATACCAAATATCATTTCGGGTAGCTCTAGCCACTGTTCCTCACTTGGATGCATAAAAAAAAAAAAAAAAAAGGAACATCCCCTACGACTAGGGAGCTGCTGATAGGCCGTGATTTCATTCTAGCCTTGCTAGCCTTGCCGCTAGGGCTTTGACTTGAATGGATTTTCTTCGTTCAATGCTGCTTGAGATTCATATGGGCACCCCCCAAACACGTATCGGCCCAGCTTTCATCCCACCGATTCCGGTACACACTACGCCGCCGTACAAGACCAGTTTATAGGTCACATATCGGCGACGGGATTGCTACGGAACCAATGTCGAATAGGCCAGGTGACTTTGCATTGAATTATGCTATGTTGAAAAGCCAACATGGAGACGGAGTGGGTCAAACTCGAAGGTAACCACACAATCTTTTCTATACGGCGCTTAACAGCCCCCCTGCGGTGTGGATCATAATAGTTATTCAGATAAGCCATAACAAGAGCCCAGCTGTTCTCGTTCTCAAGCCTTTCGGTAACACGCCGTATAGCGAGCAAAATTCTTTTACAGATATATCAAATTTGGAAAAAATGATAAAAATATATTAGAATTACAATACAAGCCGATCATACTGCTTTTCTGATAGATACAAGGCACTCAAAACAAGAGAGAAACATTACCGTTTCCCGGGCTTTCCGTCCTCACGCCTCATCCGTCTATTTCTCCTTTGGGCGGCCCTAATAGCCTCTGGAGTAAGGATGTCATCGGGCAACTGGAAGGGCGTTTCGTCCAAGTCTGGCAGCGGTTTCCCGAATGCCATCCGCGTCCGACCACGTTTATGTTTTTTGATCGCTGCTTCACGGAGATGGGGTTTGGAATAGAATGATAGAAAGGGTCCGGTCGGCCATGGGTTGGGCCCGATGTGTGGTGCTACAGGTTTGGAATCAAGAACTTTGCTCGACGGAGACTGTTGCTGCTGTTTTTGCGGATGCTGAAGTTGCGGTTTAGGTTGCTGTCGAGGCTGTGAGGTTGGCTTGTCCTTCCGAGTCTTAAGCTTCTTGCTTTTGGTCGCTGATATCACCTCTTGGTAGAGCTGGTGTGCAGCCAAACCGTCGACATCGTCGGGGTCTGGGACGCTACCAGCTGCCGTGGTTGATGTCAGTTCGGAGTTTTCCTCAACGACGCCACTTTCACCCTCGTCCTCATCCTCGTCCTCCTCATCTTCGTCTTCTTCCTCGGAACCTGACTCCTCATCTTCTTCCGCCTGGAGTGCTTGCTCTCGTTCGATTCTCCTTCGCTTTTCCTCTTCCTTCCATGCTCGAAACTTTTCAAGCAAAGCAGTGACTTCTCCTACGAAATAATCTCGTTTGGGCTCGTAGAGCTTCTTTTCCGTGTCGGTGACCCCGTTGATTCCCATGACCCGGAGCCAGTCATGACCCTGCAGCTCACCGAGCAAGTGGTCTAGCTGGGTCTTCTCATATTGAGCTCGTTCTTTTTCAAGGTTCCGCAGCTGTTTCTCTTGCCGTTCAAGCCTCCTGTGAGCTTTGAAGAAGGTATCTTCGTCTAACGGGTCGTTGTCGTCGGCTCCCTTGAATGGACCTAGATCAACGACTTCTGCATTATGAAGGGTCTCAAGAGGGTTGTGTGGCACTGTTGATGTTGCCAAACCATCACCATCCAGTGCTACTGGCTCCCTCAGGTCATCGACCAGGGTAACAGTAGTCTCTGCACAAAGGAACTCTAATGTATGATACGTTAGCAGCTGACAAGTAGATGTGAGAGAGCTAAGTGCTGTTGTTGCTTACCCTGCTTTGCCGGCTCTAAGCTAAGAACCTGTTCATAATTGGGGAAGTACATGGCCAATTCACTCTTTGACGGCCTAGTACCTCCATCGTGAGACCGTAGTGATCTCTTCTCGCCTCCAGCGGGTGTGTTAACGTTGGGCGCCTGTGGTGTCTTTAGACGGGCCTCATTCTTCGTAGCGTCAACTCCATGCATATTTGCATCTCCACCAGAAGACTGAGCTCTTTGAACAAGGGGCATATCTCCCTCGTCCACTTGTGTACCTCGAGGATGTCGCAATGAGCTCCTAGTTGGGCGGACTAACGCCGACTCAATGGTCTTATTGTTGGTATTGGGTGAAGCATCTGGTTTAACAAACGATAGACGACCACCTTCACCTTTGCTGGAACCGTCATCGCCGTTCCTAGAGCTCCTGATAGTCACCAATTGCGTCTGTACGTGCCGCTGTGGAAGAGGGTGAGGCCGTGGAATGATGTTCGGCTGGCCCTGAGCATCTCTAGCGCGTAGCGGCAGTTGCCCCGATACCTGGGGCGGGGAGTGATGTAGTTTTGTTCGTTTTGAGGGCGGTTCGTTGTGGGTGTAGATAAACTGGCGTGTGTTTGCATGGGTGTGTTGATGCGGAGGAGATGCCGCGGAGGTGGATGTCAGCGGTGGCGGTTCGCTGTATCCAGGAGACGCCTGGTGGTGCTGCTGGTGCTGCTGGTGTTGCTGACGCTGTGTCCTGGTACTGCACGACAGCGGAGATGTCACTGTGCGAGTCATCATTTGGTTGGCTGGTTGGGAGGTAGAAATCTCTAGACAACAACCACCATGGCGGCGAGGCGAGAGAATAGGAGAACCAAGAGCTCCCCCGGTCTACCTGATGGCACTACTGGACAGTGGCTGTCTTCCTGGACGGCCCCTTGGAGTCCACTGCTCTCGTCTATATACAAGACACTGTGACGTCTTGATATAAGCGTGCCGCTGACCTTGTTGACTGCGAAATAACCTCGCCGTCGCCTCTTTTTGGCTATCTCGAAGTCGTGAACGTCGAGCTCGAGTTGGCTGTGTTATGGGATTACGCAGATTTGTACTAGTGTATTTAAAGATGCACGTGTATATCTGTATGAATATGTAACGTATTACTTACTAAGCGATAAAGCGAGGACATACTCTGCAAGAAGCGATTTATATCTTGAATATCGACATTATTAGATGACAAACGCCGTATTTCTCTCTAGCTTGTCAGATTATACAGCTCTCTGTGCATCTAATTCTTCTCTCTTCTTACAAAGTACGGAGTAGTGTTGGTAGGCACATATCCGCAGACGACTAAACAATATCAGCGAATAAGGGCTGTCTAATTTGTAGGCGACGAGCGTGGCCGGCTAATCCCATCCTTGAATACTAATTATTACATAGTACAGCCTCATTTAAGCTAGTTGGGAGCCCATGGGATTCTAGGCTATATATTAAAACTAAGATAGACATGTTGATATAAATAAGTACGCTTATCCGAAATAACGTAGGGGTGGCGGATACTGCGAAAGCTTCGACCAAATCCTGTTTGGTATCATTAAGGGCAATTTTTTCTAGTTAATTTGAAAGAGTCCGAAGGGAGTGGCATTATTAGGTGGAGTGTGTGAAGAGGGTATTTTTAAGGATGGGAGACCCAGAGAACTCCGGGTTGAGTAGAACACAACTATACGGAGGTTAGAAGCGGTGCTCACAGAGTAGGTTGCTCTTTTGCACTTACTTTAAGAAATAAGCAAGGCCGAGTCTTCTTGCTTCCAGGAATTTTGCGTTGAATTTAACTAGAATATGCGAGGTTAATTTGGATATCGAGGGCGAGCGAGCGTGAGAAGAACATACACAGCGCACTCTTCGGTGGCAAGGCTGGCAAGGACTTTTTGGAGTGAGGATATGCCTCTGCAAGTTTGGATCGAAGGTCTACAAATTGAGAGTACCTATAATTGTTGTGTCGAGACAATGAGTTAATGTGTAGGTTTTTCTGCAAGAGCCCGTGGCCAACGAACCTCATCCGAACTATCATGGATGCTCCCTAGGCCCAGTCATCAGTATTTAAACCGCACTCTATGCTTCCATTAGAGGGTGGCTAGGGGGGCACACCTCGAGAGTCTGAATGTTACATATCCACACTACATACGCCCCGATTCCCGACTGTCCTTTGACAACGGCATAGTCATCGATGGTGACGTTTTTGGCCCATAGCCCCTTGCTTGTATCGCACGACGGATCCTCGCTATGATCCTCAAGCGTTATCAGACCACTCGACCGGTCAAGGGAGGTGTGTGATGCATGTGAGATATTGCGTGAGTGCCTCCAGTAAGGTGGGGTAGCAGTCTGCGACCTGGACTGCGGCGTTCCAGCGCGGGGTGCGGAGGGGATAGACGCTGTCTCAGCGCCTATAGAATCCACATGGCGTGGCTGAGAAAGTATCGCGTGCTGCGCACAAGGCGACCCGGCCGGCTCCATCCATCAGAGGAAATACCAGAATCCGGCTAGTTTTCGAGTATATATAACGCCGGGGATGAGGGTTTGCGAGAGAGCTGGTCAAAAAGGATGGACAACTCCAGCGCGCGCTGCAGGTATGCGGGAAAGGCCGGCTTTCGGGGAAAGGGTACAACTCTACATGAGACAGCGGGTTTAGCGAAGGCTACTGACGTGGAGGGTGCACCGTGTGACATCCTCGATGCGTGTCTCAAGTTCACACATGGAGAGATTGCATGGGGTGAGACAAGACCGGGTAGCTTTGCGAGTTGGAGGGCGACAAGGCCACAGTTGGGGGGAGGATAACAGCAACAACTGAACGTACCTAAAAAGAAATAATCGTTAAGGGCATTCCTGATGGACGACGCCTTGAAAAAAAGAAGAGGACGATGACAGGGGGTTCTTAATAACAGTTATATTCGGGGGAAGGGAGGTTGGTAGCTGACGGTTCTCTGCAGAACTGTGTGAAGAGCGATGCAGCCAAGGCTCAGTGCCACCTCGGCTGGTCGCTAGTAAGGCCCTCAAACCTTGAAGATCCCCGTCTGAGCATCCCGAGAAAAAGCTCAACCACCAACCTCTGTATCCGAGATGACTGTGAAATCAGTCTCATTTCCCAGCTTCTTTCAGCTTGATATCGACATCTTCAGCCTCACCTTCTTTTGTATGCATTTTTTGCTCTCTTTTATTTCTAAAAATAAAAACAAGCGACGTTGAAGATGACATAAGGCATATCCGTATACGGTTTAGCGTAACCTTGGCACATAGCTTCCCGTCTAATGGGCGCGCTAGTCCCAAAGAGGCTTAGCATAGCCGATCCAGAGGTCACGCGGCTGACCAATCATGAGTTAATTTTATTTTATTTAATATTTGTCTCAATTGCCTTTTTCGGGGCGAGCCAGGGGGGCAGGAAAGAAAAGGAAGAAAACGAGGACGAACATCCCTTTTTTCCTTTTCTCCATCTCCTCGCTTCTTAAGTCTGCTCCAGTCGCCTTCACTATTCGTGTTTTTTCTGCTTTTCTCGCCCCAGTCTCTCGCTCTGTGAATATTTTCTTTTCTCGCACGTGTGCAAAACGGAGCACTTATCTTTTTGATAGCTATCTGTCATACTACTGGGTACGTTCAACGAGAGGGAGAGCTGTTACGCATGTACCCCGTCACCAGCGTCACGAACCCAGCTCCTCTACCGTGGAATCTCATATCATATATTTCTCGTGGCCGGAGATATCTACGTTGATAGAAGCTGACCAGCTGCTAACCTCTGCTCTCTGGATAATAGACATCATGTTCTTCCCATCTGCCCTTCTCGCCGCTGCTGCTATTGCTCGCGTGGCCTCTGCACAGGCCGTCGACCCAGATAGTGTCGATGAAGCTACCAGAGGTTGGTAGTCTGGACAATCCCACGCTGCTGATACAAATAACCGTCTAACTCTTTGTGAAGAACAGTGGTGTCTGGCCCAGCAGACTTCTTGTCCTCTGATCTGTCTCCAGCTTCCGGGAACCACCGAGACTCCTGCAGCAAACGACTGTGACCCGGTATTTTCCCATCGTCTTCTTTTGAAGAAATGAAGTTGAATGGCGGCTAATCAACGTAAACAGTCCAACCTAACCTTTGACTGCACCTGCAGCAACGGCAAGATGCCCAACGCAACCGAGTACTCACAGACCATCCCATACTTCATCTGCACAGAGTCCAACAACATATGTGTCAAGAACTGTAACGGTAACCATGCTTGCCAGTCTGCCTGCCGTGAAGACCACCCATGCGGTGCCCAGAACCCTGGTCGTCCCAACACTACCGCAACACCTACCACGACAGCCTCCCAGACATCCAGCACCTCTGCCTCTAGCGGTGCCGTCTACACCGGGTTCGGGGATGGATCAACCTCTTCCGACACACCAAAGAAGGGCATGGCTGGCCATCAGGCCCTCCTCAACGCTGGTCAGCTGTATGGTATGGCCGTCGTGGCTACTAGCTTCCTTGCAGGTTTTGCTGTTCTTTTATAAGTCATGAACTAGCCTGAGTGAAACGACCTGGGCATATTCCCAATGTATACATGAGCTATCTTGCCGTTTCTTGGATTTAGATCCTTACTTTTAATTTTTTTTTTAATGGAATATCACTGGCGCGGATAGGGTGCTGGTAGGGTTTGTTTCGGTACCATCCCCTTTAACGTCTATTGCTCTTATTCCATGTCCATTCTTGTTCATGTTTGGGCGGCTCTAGTGGTATTTTTACCTGTCTTTTTCTCACTGGTCGTTTCAACCCCTCCTGCACGGATATCTCTGCGGCCCAGAATATACATAATGCCTAATAGTTTAATTTGACTGTCACTTGCGTTTTTTTCCCCCATGACAAGAAGATTTGATCAACTAATGTACGTATATCACTACCTGTTTTGTAGAATCCTAACCTAACAAAACGCCATGCTAATGAAGAAATTTACAATAAGCAGCCCATATAACTTTTCTTTCTCGCGTCAAATCCCACTCTACTCTCTCTTTGAGCGCTTGCGGCCGTTGTCTTCATCCTCTGATATCTCATCCACTTCCATAAGATCCATTCCTCCTTCCTCGTCATCATCTTCATCATCATCGATGCCAGCCCGTCGTTTAAGACCCTTCATCTTTCTAGTCTGCAGGTCACTCAAATCTTGACGGCCAAGATGCACTCGTCCAATCTTATCTCCAATGCTATCCATACCAATGTTCTTCTTCGTCTTCTCCATATCCTGAGGACGCTTCCCTTGCTTCATAGCAGTCTTCATAGCATCCTCGTCAGCCTCCCGAGCCCTACCGATTCTGAAATCAAGTTTTGGACCAACTTCCTCCAGCTCTACACGGGGGAGCTTATGTCCACTCCTCCGCGTCCGGATCTTGTACCATCTTAAATGGATGACCGGCAAAGAGCTGCCAGCAGTCGCACTTCCGTTCACACCTGCGATTCCGCTGTCTTGAGGTTCCTCGGCAGCAATCATGAGAAGGTATTGTAGTCCCTCAACATCGATCTTATCCGTCTCTTCGCCTTTGAAAATATCCAAAAACATACTCTTAAGCATGGTGAAGACACCAGAGGTCTCGTCCGCCCATACAGTTCCGGAAAACAGTATCATGGGCTTCATTCCCACGCCAACGTTGAGTTGGAAAGCGGATGTGGCATTTTTCCGTGCAGCAGCCGCTTCAGCTTCCATCTCAGCCTGGGTTCCCAATAGTAGCAGCTCGCACATGTCCAGCACCTTCGAGTCAAATATGCGTAGTATAGTTATGCAGTTCGGTCTCTTCTTGTTGCTACTGCCGTAAATAGCGATGCCGCATTCATTCTTTGTCGCTAGGAACTCAAGACTCTCCGTGTTCTCGAAAGGGTGGATGTTCTCGTTCTTTTTGTGGAAGAGCACGGAGTGAGGCTTTGTGAGCGAGTGGATGGTCTTAAGCACTGTGTGGAGAGGTAGAGGGCATTTCGGACCGTGTAGTAGGAGTGTTTGCTTTGGGCTTTCGATCAATTGGGGTTCTCTGGCTTTGAGAATGCGCCGGGTCCTGGCATTTCGTGGTACTCTGATAGAGGTTAGATCTTCATCCAATTCTCATGAAAAGACCGTAACAAGGCATAATGAATGTACGTACACTTCTCTTAACATGTTGCCTATATGATTTTGTGAAACCAATTGAGTAATTAAAGCTGCTCTAAATATTTTTGAATTGACAGGTCTTTTTGGTCTTGTCAAGCACCTTTTTTTTTATAAAAAGCTTCAGAGAAATTTGAATTTTGAATGCCAAGATTTCGCCCAGAAAGTTTTTGATATCACGGGATCTTTATTTTTCCATATATCACGTGATGATAAGGGTCCAACGTCGAACTTTGAAAAGCTTTGAAGTCTTTCTACAAATGTGAATCTATAATAGTTTTAGAAATTGACATCAAAGAATAGAAGTGTGGCAAGTTGCCCTTCTTTTATTTGTTAAGGTCCTAGTGAAAGCTTGCTTGGAAAAAAGCTCTATGCTTTGGTTGAATAGTCCAATACTTTGGAATAGAAGCCCATCTTCCCATCATAGGCATATAGCCGCATCGCCGTTGCAAGGGCCTGCACCCTCGAATCACTTAAGATACTTGATAGTATCGACGGCCCGGGGCCCTCTGCCCGACATACAGCAGCTATATAATCTTTCCGTTCAACCAGCCTTTCACGAAGATCTTCGTCCGTAGGCACCCCATGGTCGTCATAGTTCCACGGAGCATCCATCGCCTTCGGAACCATGTTTAACGTTAGTGGAAAATCTATAGTCTCCCAGGGGGCGGCAAATGCGTGTTCCCAGTCTATTACTCCCACTATCTTGTATTTGTCGTCTACGAGGATATTGTTGTGCCCAAAATCTACATGTCGTAGAGGGAATGGGCCGTTATCCCGAACGGAGAGCCTCTCCGCCAGTTCATTGATTCTTTGGGGAAACTCTGCAGTCGACAGGGCAACTTCCGCTCCAAGGTCCCCACAGTTATTTTCAATAAAAGATTTCGTATGCGGGAATTTTACTGTTGCACTCCAGGCTCTGAGATACTCGGTTGCCGTGTTAAATGGTCCACCAAGCCCTGGAATAGGGCCAATGTCGTAGCTCCCGTCTTCGAGTCGAATGATAGACCCAATTTTAGGAAACAATATTGATGATATATCTGTCTATACCAGATTCTCAATAAAAGCAATAATGAGGGGGTGTTTCCACTAACTTACCTGTATCTTTGCCATCTCCTCAAAAAACGAGTCCTTATACTTGGGAGGAATGAAGTCAAAATTGAGGTCAATCCCAACATTTCCCGGTAAACACTCCATCAAGATCACTGGTGCTCCAATTTTGCTATCATTACTATACCCAAACACCGTTGGAACAGGAACCGCAGTTCGCTCCTTCACAAGCTGTAAACAATCGAATTCACGTTTCAGGAGAAGATTATCGGCTGCTTCGTTGTCGACATGGTTAGCCTTGCCGGTAGGTCGAGATGGCATCCGGAGCCGAGCGATCCAGCGAGAGTCATTCTCAAATTGGATAATGCGAACCATATGGCGCCCTCCTAAGGCAATTTCAGGCTTAACGGAACATCGTTCGCCGTGATGAAGGCTGGATGCGTAGTCACATAGAGCTTCCCAGTTCACAGATGAGAGAAACGCCTGCGCACGAAGATGCCAAAACGAGCCTTCTGGGAAGGACGACAGGCCCGCCCATTTGTATCCAGTAAACTCCGCAGTTCCTATCATTTTGGCTATAAGTCATAAGGCAAATAATTTCTTAATGGGATGCAGGTATAGGAAAAGGCGTTCATTCATCTATTACTTCGCTGCTTCTTTTCCCTGTTTGACGATATTCTCAATTCAGCATCATGTACTCCATACTCCGTAACCGCTCCTTCTCATTGGCTGGCTCGGTCGTCTTACCAATAGTTAACACCGCCACATATCAGGCAGCCATCGACTCTGTATTCAGGGGCAGCCCATAGAGAATTTTGGTCACATACCAGACACTAATGACGGATGTGAGATGACTGGCGAAAGCATAGCATCGGAATCTTGCATGTCTCCTAAGAGTACAAGGTCTGCTCACGTTAACTGGGCCAAGCAACTAGGTCCATGACTTGACAGGGATAATGTCAGGTTGGCTGCGATGGTGCTGGTACTTGACTTCAACCGCCTTGTTGTCCGTAAACCGCTCATGACGGATGGCATAGTGGAGAGCCATGTTACGCTCTCAGGTAGGATTTTGACCATCAATGGATGTGTTTCTAATTCCTTCAGCCCATATTGCCAGCTGCGGATTAGCAGGCGTTCTCATAAGAAACAATGCTTGCCTCTTGACCTCCACCCTGTATCCAGTATCAGTAGGTCAATGACTGCTATCTAGTATCAGAATCAGCCGAACGTCTGCGTTTGCTTCCTGTCGAGAGTGGCCATACCATACCCTCTATAACCTACCTTACTCTAAGCTCTGTAGAAGGCCGGAAAGAGCACCTCCATGGGTCTCTTCCGTATGGATATATCAAAAAAAGAAAGGCAATGTTGACATTTCTCGAGCGGGTTCTATCATTTAATAAGGAGGAAGATGATTATAGAGGCATGGAGAGGAACGATATTGGATGGTTTGCTGGCATCACTAAATGAAACCTGGGAGAAAAAGTCTAGGGTATACAAGGCGTAGAGAAACACCATATTATACAATGATGAAGCAGCTTTCATCCATATATAGGGTGTAGATGGCTAAAATATACAATATTCAATGTCCAGCTGTTGCGCCTTTGCGACTGCGCCACACCTTCCCACGACGTTTTTTTGGCTTGTGTTTGCGTATCTCGAGTCTTATCGCCGAATCAAGTCAAAACAGTCACTCAACGAACACCATCTTTACCATTGTTCAGGCCTTGTAGGCTTCTTCTATTCTTCTTCATATCATAGAATAGTGATATTATTCATTGGCATCTCTGTTCTCCATCGGCTTCCACTCCTTTTGACCTCAGCTGAGAATAAACCCCGTCTTCACAAGAAAGCCCCGTTGACAGACCCCCCCCAAGAACTCTAGCTCTCACGACCGGCCTACGATAGAATTACTCTCTCTCCCAATATTATAAGATGGCTTCCCTCAACCTCTCGACGAACGGCCCATCGATAACGAAAAGCTACCAGTCGGTGGTAAATGCCCCAGCTCCCACCGGTCCCGCCGCGGCCTCCCCAACATACGGATCATGGGCCCTGTTCTCCGTTACAGCTCCGCTGGTAAATGCATTCCAACAAGGCGGTGCTCAGAAGGAGAGTGTACTGAAGGTCCAAAGCACTGGAGGTATGTTCAGCCGTGATGGGTTTTGGCAGAAGGGTTTGACGAGTTGAGCTAACACTGCCATACAGAGGGAGAACTAGTAGACTTGATCGAGGACTTCTCTGATGGGAAGATACAGTTCGGTTTCGTCAAAGTAAAGGACCCGAATACCAGTCTTCCAAAACATGTTCTCATAGCATGGTGCGGAGAGGGAGTCCCTGAACGAACCAAGGGCTACTTCACCAGCCATCTGGCGGCAGTCTCGAAATTCTTGCAGGTACGTGTGTTAATTCTCTCCAAGCTAAGACGATTCGATCTTCTATTCTGATGCTCAGCACTTTTGATTTAGGGCTACCATGTCCAAGTTACTGCACGATCTGACCGTGACCTTACTCCCGAAAGTATTATTCAAAAGGTAGCTGATGCATCCGGTGCTAAATACTCTGGAGACGCTTCTGTTCCACCTCCCACTTCGACGAAACCTCCGGTGGCAGCGAAGCCGGCCTTCAACCCTACCCGTACCGGGGGATCGTTCAAACTTCCTGCGCGGGGTAGTCAACCCGGCTACGCAAAGAATGAGCCAGTTGATGAAGACGGATGGGGAGCAGATGCCCCTCCGGTTACGAGAACGCAGCTCGAGAAGGTTGCACCAGCATACAAACCGACCACGGTAAATATGAAGGAGCTTACCTCGCAAAAGTCAGCTACAACCTCAGGACCTACTGTTGAGCGGGAGGCTTCCGGTGATGTAGTCAAAGGTACATACCAACCAATTGGCAAGGTCGATATTGCAGCCATCAGAAAGCAGGCACGAGAGGCTGGACAGGATATAAATGACCGTCCAGAGGTAGTCAAGGGAGCTTATCAACCTGTTGGAAAGGTAGACATCGCTGCTATCCGAGCCAAGGCTAAAGGTGAAGCTGGAAATACCCCAAGCTCGATCTCACCTGCAGCCACTGGAGGTTCTGGCGGTAACGATGAACAGCCAAAATCCCTCTCTGAACGCTCTGCAGCCTTCACTGCTTCAGAAAGGCTGACAAGTCTTCCCAAGCCGAAAGTCGCTAGTAAGTTTGGTGCTGCTGCTTCGTTCACTGGAACTAAAGCTCCTCTACCTGGCGGGTTCGAGGCCAAAACACCTGTGGCTGCAGCCCCCGTTGGAATCGCCAGCCGCACTTTCGCCGACCAGGGAGGTAAAACGCCAGCTCAACTCTGGGCCGAAAAGAAAGCCAAACAGGGGGGTGTTGTTAACCCGTCGCCTGCTCCAGCGTCACAGCCTAGGGATACGCAATCAAGCCAGGAAACAGGCTGGAAGAGCTCATATACCGGAAAATCTTGGGCTCCAGTTAACACAACGCACACGGGTACATCCGCCAGCCATGCAGAGGGCGCCGCTGCGGAAGAGGAGGAGAAGGAGGAACCCCAGACCGGAAATGTCGGTTCTATCCGAGACCGATTTGCTCACGCTGCTCCCATTGGCGTCTCCAATTACGAACGGTCCGCCCCCTCTCCGCCGCCCCTTGATACCAGCAACAAGCCTACTGCAGGCCGTGGTGTCCCAATTCCCGGCCTTTCCCAGCCACCAGCTGCACCTGAACCAGCACACGAGGAAACTCAGCGCTCCGTCCCACCTCCACCTCCCGTCCCCGCCGAGCCAGAAGAGGAGGAACAAGAGGAAGCTCCCGGCTCGCCTATCCGGGTAGCAATGCCTGTTGGGCGTGGACCTGCGCACGATGACCATCCAACAGAGCCAGAGCAACCACCAGCGCCAGTAATTACTCAACACCAGGCTGTGCATGAAGAAGTGCCAGAACCACCAAAGGAGGAAGAGCAAACTCATACCGCAGCACCGGTGGCTGGCAGTGGAATCCAGGCCATTGCGCAGTACGACTATGAGAAAGCCGAAGACAACGAGATTGAGTTGCGAGAGGGAGAGCGCATCACCAACATCGACATGGTTGATGAAGATTGGTGGCTTGGGGTCAACTCCAGCGGTGAAGCCGGTCTCTTCCCAAGGAACTACGTTGAGCTCGTTGAGGGTGAATCTGCCGCCGAAGTTGCTCCCCCAGCACCAGCTCAGCCTGCCCATGAAGAACCAGCCGCACCAGCCGCAGCAGCCGCAGCTCCTCCACCTCCACCCGCAGCACCACCCGCAGCCGCCAAACAACACACAGCCACTGCCCTGTATGACTATGAGGCAGCAGAGGACAACGAGCTTAGCTTCCCAGAAGACGCTAAAATTACCAATATCGTAAGTTTACCTTTTGTCCGTCTTCTCCTTCCCGAGGCTAACATGTTTTGTAGGAATTCCCCGATGAAGATTGGTGGACGGGCGAATACCAGGGTAAAGTGGGTTTATTCCCGGCGAACTATGTGCAGCTCGACAACTAAAGGGCAGCTTCTTCTCCATACATACATACAATTCTATGGGTGGAATTCCATCTCTACAACCGTTTTTGTGCTGCGTATTCTTGCCTGCTTGGTTTACCTGTTTTGCTTCCACTTTTTGTTCACTGGATTAGTTTGTAAACGCAAAAAGCCACTAGAGACTTATTCTTTCACTTCTATCCTCTCTTCCATCTCATCCATCGTCCTCTTCTCTCTCTTTTCCATCTCTTACTCTCTCTTTATCTTCTGATATCACGTGTTTTATCACGGAAAAATAAAAATCCGCCCGCTAAACCGGAAAAGCAAAAAAAAGGCAAAAAAGCCGCCAATCGCGAAGAAAGAAAGAAAAAGCATCAAAACATCTTCATCTTCCATCTTCCTCAGCTTCAGCCACCGAAACAAGCACACTAGCCGTTCGCCCCTCTCGACGAACATCTCCAGCTTCTCCTCCTCCCCCTCGTTCTTCTTCTCTCTATGCTGGAGACGTTGGCGGGCGCTAGCTTTGTTTTGCCCTCCTAACTCTGCAAACAAGCCCCTTGCGTTCACCCGGCAACGTCACGAATCGTGCTTCCACACCAGTCTGGCCGAGCAGTAGAGTCCATCAAGATGACTTCCTTGGGCGACGATTTACTTGTTACCGTGAACAAGCTTCAGGATTTGGTGTTTAATACCATTGGGAATGATTCTTTGGATTTGCCACAGATTGTACGTCTTTGCCTGGAAAAACAGTAACAACGGTGACCTAGCAGCATTCTTTGCGGCTTCTCTCTGAGATAGAATGAATAATGGCTGACTTGGTATCTTTTATTCTACTGTATAGGTAGTCGTCGGTTCGCAATCGTCTGGGAAATCCTCAGTGCTTGAAAATATCGTTGGAAGGGACTTTCTACCCAGAGGAAGCGGCATTGTTACTAGGCGACCCTTGATCCTCCAGCTTATCAACGTTCCCTGTGACAGTGATGATGAAAATGAGGAACCCCACATGGCTGGCAGCGTTCAACAGCACGGAGAATGGGGAGAATTTCACCACCAGCCTGGCCGGAAGTACACCGATTTCGCGCATATAAAACAGGAGATTGAGAACGAAACCGCGAGGATAGCTGGTAATAATAAGGGAATTAATCGCCAGCCTATAAATCTGAAGATCTTTTCGCCACATGTGCTTAATTTGACCCTCGTGGATCTCCCTGGCTTGACCAAGGTGCCTATTGGTGACCAACCGTCTGATATCGAGAAGCAGACGAGAACGTTGATCTCAGAATACATCGCCAAGCCAAACAGTATTATTCTCGCCGTCTCTCCTGCAAATGTGGATATTGTCAACTCCGAAGCCTTGAAGCTTGCTCGCCATGTTGACCCGGTTGGCAAGCGAACCATTGGTGTGCTCACCAAGTTGGACCTTATGGATCACGGAACCAATGCAATGGACATCCTTACTGGCCGAGTCTACCCACTGAAACTTGGTTTCATCGGTGTAGTCAATCGCTCTCAGCAGGATATTCAGGCTGGAAAGTCTCTGGCAGAAGCTTTGAAGTCCGAAGCCGAGTTCTTCAGGCATCATCCAGCTTACCGAAATATGGCGACCCGCTGTGGTACACAATTCCTCGCAAAAAGTTTAAATACCACTCTGATGGCGCATATCCGTGACCGTCTGCCTGATATTAAGGCCCGCCTTAATACCTTGATGGGTCAAACTCAACAAGAGCTGGCCAGTTACGGAAACAAGCAATTTAGTGGACGAGAGCACCGCGGATCTCTGATACTCCAGCTTATGACACGGTTTGCTTCTTCCTTTATATCATCCATTGACGGAACCTCTTCCGAGATATCGACAAAGGAACTATGCGGTGGGGCAAGAATTTACTATATTTTTAATTCAGTGTTTGGAAATTCCCTAGAGACAATTGATCCCACCCATAATCTCTCTGTCCTGGATATTAGAACCGCCATCCGTAACTCAACCGGCCCTCGACCTAGTCTTTTCGTTCCAGAGCTTGCGTTCGACTTACTCGTGAAGCCCCAGATAAAACTCCTAGAGATACCCAGCCAGCGCTGTGTTGAGCTTGTTTATGAAGAACTTATTAAGATTTGCCATACATGTGGCTCGACTGAGCTTTCTCGATTCCCAAGGTTGCAGGCAAAGCTGATCGAGGTTGTGTCTGACCTTCTCAGAGAGCGCCTGGGGCCATGCTCGAGCTACGTTGAATCTCTTATTTCCATTCAGCGCGCATACATCAATACTAACCATCCTAACTTCCTCGGCGCAGCCGCCGCCATGTCATCTGTCATTCAAAACAAACAGGAGAAAGAAAAGAAGGCTGCTCTTGCTGAAGAAAAGCGAAAGAGAGACAGACGGCGATTGAAAGAGCTTGGAGCCGTCAACGGAGTCGCTACCCCTGATGAAGAGGAGGAGAATGCAGAAGAGAAACAGCAAAATCTTCCAGTTAGAGGACACACCTCAAAAGTATCTAGAACCCAGTCCCCACACCCTGGACGTAACGCTGAATCCATATCCTCCGCCGTCAATGGCCTTCAGGCGGCTTCTCCGCCAAGGTTGGGAAACCAGCACGGAAATGCCAAGGACTCGTTCTTGAACTACTTCTTTGGTAAAGATGGCCTACCTGGAACTGCTCCTCCTCCCCCACCCTCATCTGGCCTTTCACGGCATGTCAGCTACTCGATGGAGCCAAGCTTTAGCCAGAGTTTCCGCCGAAATGAAGTCCGATCTCCATCTACTGCTCATTACCCGACACAGCAAGAGGAATACGCTCCAAGTGAATACGGTGATATGTCACTAGTGGTAAGCCCACCCAACCCTTAAAACCTCTTTCCTAGGCGATATGTATTAACATTGCACAGAATGACAACGCCGAGCCTGTCCTTACAGACCGCGAAGCTCTGGAAACAGAGCTCATCCGCCGTCTAATCTCATCCTACTTCAACATTGTCCGTGAAACAATAGCAGACCAAGTTCCCAAGGCCATCATGCACCTTCTCGTCAACCACAGCAAAGAAGTGGTTCAAAACCGCCTAGTCAGCGAACTCTACCGAGAAGATCTATTCCCCGAACTCCTTTATGAAGACGACGGCATCAAGGCTGAACGCGAGAAGTGCGAGAAACTTCTAGAAACCTATAAAGAGGCCGCGAAGATCGTGGGCGAAGTTTTGTAAATTATCTATCCTCTCAGTTTTCCTATTCCGTTTTCTTTTATGCTATGATTATTCACTTACTTGTCATATAACGCACACACCACTCTTTTCCTTCCTTTTTTCTTGGTCTCGATATGTTTTTCTCCTGCAAGTGATTCTTCTGCTGTGTGGCTGAACGCCTTGCCGCTGACCTGCTGCTATATTTTCGATATTGTCTTATTATATCCTCACAACTCTATAATAAACGAATCACATCACGGCGGGATGGGAGGATGAGTGAGTGGTCGGTCTCTACGGAACCAATAGATGGAGGGAGGAGAGAAAAGATTAGGGATTTGGAAGAAGCCACCTCTTACCATGGCTTTTATATGCGAGAGGATCGAGATGATGAACGTGTTGAACTGATTATGTATAAATGTATGTAAAATGGGAGGCTAAAATATTCAAGATCGAGTGCAGAAATATCCTTTATTGACTCGCTAGTTATATATTCTGGTTTTTGTGTAAAACGGGATGTCCTAAAAACAACAACCAAGCAGCACCATTAAGCTTATCATCCACTCAACCCAACCACCAACCACCAATCTCTCAAGCCATGTATTCGTATGACGAGGAAGCAATCGGAAAGATTATAACAGATAGACCAAAAGGGGAAGATAGGGGAGTGGGTGAAAAGGGGGCAAGTAACACAGGGGTAAGTACGTTACGTACATAGAGGGCAAATACAAAAAGGTTACGAGGGAAAATGAAAAAAAAAACCAACGAGTAGGCCAAAGGGAGAAAGAGAAAATAAGTCAAGGGGTTAAGAGCTGGAACATAATTGTGAGTGGGGAAGGCTTCATATACCACATCCAAGGTAGAATGAAAAAAATGGCAAAGGCGGACGGCTACAGATCAAGGCAAGATGAGATACAATGACATACAAGATGCAAGGTAAATCGCATATCTTGTTTAGAATGAATCATCCATTTCCATGATCGAGTCGATGTCCATATCTCTAGAACCCAACTGTTGGGGCCAATCGGCATTATTCAACTGGTCATTCAACGTGCCTAGAGGAGGGAACATGCTAGAAATACTCCAAGTCTCGGAGTTATTTCCAAGGAGGCCAGAAGAGCACATGTTGTCTTTATGGCCACCAAAGAGAGTGAAGTCACCAAGTTGTTTACCCATATCCATTTTCATACAATCAAAGCCATCGTCGAAACCCTCGTCGCCATCATATGATGCGGGGGAGTAGAGCATGACATTACCGTGCCCGGCTGGAGATATGTTAGAATTCTGCTCTAAGGCAGGGAGTGGGAGACAGAGGTTTTCAGGCTCAGAGTTGCATTTCATGGCCTGCGCTTCAATTGATTGCGCTGGGCTGAGAAGCTGGACATTCATGGACGTGTACTCATTTTCGGTGACATCAAAGTGAAAATCTAGGTCCGCATTACTTCCAATGAGATCGGGTGGTGACTGGGGCTGAAACCCAGTGGTCAGGTTACCAACTGGAGTTGATGAAGCAGAGGGGAGGTTCATGTCAAGCTGTGGTAGACCATCGTAAGGGTCTCCAGCTTGCAGGTCTGCATAGAATGCATTGAATTCATCGTGGCATGTGTTGTATTCATTGAGAGATGTAGAGTCAGGGAAGAGCATGAAGTCATCAGGAGTAGTATTCTGCTGTCCAATTTCACTCGGTGCACAGATACCGGGACTCTGAATAGGATAAGCACCAGGGCTTGGAGCATAAGCGACAGGTCTCTGGCCACTGATGCTTGGAGTTCCACTAGATACGGGCTGCTCGTAAGGGGAAGACAGCCGTTCATACGGAGACAAGTATGGAGACATGGCTGTCGCGCTTAGAGGGGTGGGGATATCAATAGAGGGTGCCTGTGGGCTATTGATATTTGTCGTCATCGGCGTTGACTGAGGGGATAGTTGGTGACTAGCCTTGCTATTGTTCTTCGATCGAATATATTTGTAGCCATGGAGCTTTTCCATGTGCTGCTTACAGTTACTCTGACGCTTGGTGTCATAGGTACACCCTGGGTAGAGACATTTATATTTCTTTGGGGACTTGGTGTGTCTGTCATTCATATGACGGTCTCTCTCTTTCTCAGTCGGCCATCCAAGTTGATAATACTTGCATTTGGTATCGAGACACTTCCATGGTCGGGTATGGACCTTCTCATGCTTACTATGGGAACAATTAGTCGCCATTCCCAACACGGCATTCAAGAGGATAACAAGGGCGACTTACGTAAGATCACAGGGGCGACGGAAAACTTTATCACAATGCTTGCATTTCTCGTTGATATTCATTGGTGGAGCATCCTTCTTGCGTCGCGCCATAGAGCGCATGACGCTATCCTGGTTCTCCATACTAGAAGCGCGCTTCAAGCTTGGGATGACTGGTTTTTGTTCCACGAATGGTTCCCCAGTTTTCAAAGAGATGGCCTGGCCTTTCTTTTTCCTGACAAGTTCGGCTGGACGGCCGGTGCTTGCAAGGCCGCCTTCGAGGACAAGTTCCTCACCACTAAAAACCGTAAGTCCATGTCATAAAATAAAACTGAAAGTCAGAATACATACGAAGAATAGCCAAGGTCGTCACGGGTAGAGGTAGCAGAACGGCTTTCCCGGGCCGTCCTGATCATAGCAGCGTACTGGCGAATTTGTTCAACAAGATCAAGGAAATATCCGTTGGTATAAGGACGGTCTGCAGGACGACGCTGGTCGCGGTCGTTGAGATATCCGACAGTGGTGTGTACACACTGAATGGTAAATTCACAGAAGCTGAGGTATGATGACCTTGAAATGGTATGTTGGGGAGCCAAGTACAACAGTGTCTTCTCAAGGTCTCGGAGACAGGTGATCTCGTTGCTTTGAATACGCTGTGGCACCGATCTAACTAGAGACTGGAATGTTTTCAAGCGTTGCTCCTTGAGAAGTGGGATAAGAATGTGACGCTGGATCTGCCTTTTACCCCCGGGGCTGAGGGTAGCACCAGAAGGTATGAGTGATTCACGAGCACTAGCCTGGATAGTTCCAGTATGGTCCCGCTTTAATGTGCCTGTATAACGGTTAGTAAAGAAGCTGCGAGTTTCCGGGATGTGTTATGGAACGAACCTTTTTCTTCGTCTATAGAAGAACCAACACCGCTGTCAGAGAGCTCGGCACGGACTCTCTCCTTTACGGGGGAGCCAGATTTCGCTGAATTCCTAAACGAAGAGTCGATTTCCATTAGGTTAGCAGAGGTGAGGCGAGCGTTCAGACCTCGCGGAGCCTGGGTATTTGTCTCAGCATCTTTGACCGAGCTCTGCTTCAATAGTGATTCGTTCCCGGGGCCAGCCAAGTTACACTCAATGCTGCCGAGCCAGCCTGCGACTCGTCTCTCACTAGCAGTAATGACTTCCTGGAGGGTGTCGGGGCTGGTGGGAGAACGACGAAGCAAGGTAGGAAAGTGGAGGATAGGGTCACTTTCTGCGGACGACGGAGAGGCGGAGACATGAAAGGTAGCTTCCTTCCTCAGCGTAGCATGGCGAACTGTTGTGTGGGAGCTGGGGGAGCGTCCATCACAATGACCGGTTGAGAGACGGGGGAGGTTGGCATTTAGAAACGGTCGACGACGCGGACTTGAACAGAGATCGAACGACATACTGAGTGACTTTGGATGGCAAGTCACAAAATCTGCAAGGCCGGGTCTAATGAGCAAGGATGGCTCGTCCTAGCATTTTCTCATGACTCACCAGCTGATTCTTTCGGTAGCTAAATCTTGACTGAATTGCTTGCTTGCTTATTATAGCGGTGGAGAGCCAGCTTGAACCTATATAGATAGAGAGCTCTCAGGGCAATTCAATCCAATTCTCTGTTTCCGCCTGTAACTACTGGCTTGGACTGATAAAGGACAAGGTTAGAAACATGGATTCTCTGGTTGAATGTGCAATATGGTATACTTACAGCAGTCAATTAGGTCTAGAGTATGATGTCTAGAGTGCCGAGCAGAAAATTCTACCCACCCGTCGAGTAAAAAAAGCGGTATCAAGTCTATAGCCAAAGACCAAACTGTTTAGACCAGTAAAGCACTCAGGCGGACGGCTCCAGAAGAGCGTTGTACTCCAGATGGATGCCTGGTGACAGTACGGAGTAAACAACTAGATCAACGGCTGAGCGAAGCAAACGCCACTTCAGAGAAGAAAAATGCCAACTAGACGACACCAGAGACCCAGGCCTCAACAGCGTCGAGTCCGAGTTGTTTGTTGTTTCGGTGGATGTAAGTTGTCAACAAGGAGAAGAGTGAGAGAGAGAGAGAGACGAAGGGCGGAAGATAAGAAAGTCTCTCGTGTGTTTTTATGGCGGTTGCCTAATTGAAAAGTGGGTCTGACGGAATGTTAGTTTCGGCGCCTCGGCGCTGCGGCTCCGGGCGGTTGCTTACCTAATATAGCGTACTCCGCGTATAAAAAGACGTTCGGATGAAAAGATGAGATGGGGATACAGAGAGAGGAAAGATGGAGATATGTAGCCTCTGTTGAGCTCTCTGTTGGCTACTCTGTTTGATGCTGTTGATGCTGTGGACGTCGATAAGATTCCGTCAAGGCATTCTTGATGTGATGCGGCAGCAAGCACAGCCACGCACCGCAGTCGTAGCCTCATCCAGCCTAGCAACCAACACATAACACGAAGAGGCCAGCTTGGTTCCCTCTCCTTGTAACAGAAACCTCATCCTTCGTCAATTTGCCGACATCTCACTGGCCCGGGAAACTTCTTGCTGTTCCCCCTTCCAACCAACCAACCAGCACTCCCGGCCTGCGCGGGATACGTTTTGAGACAGTGATGCCACATAACCTTGTCAGGGGGTCGGAGAGTTGTAAACTCCGACCCTATTCCACAACATCTTTGCGGCTCAAAATTCACAGGGTTTCGTCCCTTTCACGAAGGTTCTCTCTCAAGCAAAAGCAATTATGGCAGACTCGAGTCTCCTTACTCGCTAGCAAGATTTCACTCCCTGCCTTTCTTGTGAGTCACACACATGTGAATATGCACCTCAATCACTCCGGCATTTGCAGAGCCAGCAGTTCGACGCCCCTCCGCCATACATCGTAGATCACTGTGCTAGTCGTGTAGATGATGTCTACAATTTCCTTGCTTCATCTGTTTGCATTAGTTGTTTTGTTTGTCCTGTTTTGATCATCTGTCACGGATTTTAGTTGTTCCGCGTTAGTCACGTGGGAAGTCGCCTGCCGCAGATAAGGCATCGATTTCAACCTTCTTCATCACTCATTCCTCTGCGTTCTCATATTTGATAAACAGTTAAAAAGTAAAGGGTTACTTATATTGATATACATAGTAATCATAATTGAAAGTTGGTAAATGCATCTCCACGGCCACGGCTTAGGTTGGTGTCAAATACGATCAAGCGCAATGAAGGATCATTGGTGAACAAATGTGCATATATATGGGTGTATATTCGTATATTAGATGTGTTTTCTAAGGCTAAGTACAGATGAAATATCTGCTCAGGCATATATGAAGCAGGATTGTGCGGCGCTGCCTAAGTCCATGGCTAAGCACAGCATTTAACATTTGATTAAATCGAGAAAACACTCGGCCTGTAGAGGCCGCATGACTTATACTCGGGGTCTCGTGAAAGAAAGTGGTGATCGGCAGGTTCATGCTCCCAAAGGCCCAGGATATGCCAATGGGGAATGAATTTATCCGGAGATATAGGCTGATAAACTATTCGTTGATAGGCTGCTGGACCGGCTGTGAAGGGAATTGCGGTTGGAAAGCTGGTAGCAGACGATACCGCGGTTGAATAAATTGCGGCTGCTGAGGTTGAATAGTCTGGTGCAAACACGGCCGAGGCAACTCTGGCCGACCACCTCGCTGTCAATTCCCTTCCAGGTGAATCGACATATGGAGCTTATTCATTGTATGGAGTGGCCAAATAACATGTAAACATGGAAGACTCATAGATCAAAGCATCTAGGATGCTCTAACATGAATTGAAGGCATAAGAAGACATAATGCTGTGGCAATGAACGAGGACGGGTAAAGTGTAGGTAGGGTGCTTAAGCTCAACCGCCACAGTATGTCTTTTATATTGGGTATATATATGGCGATAAATCGGACTAGGATATCTTGGAGATATTGATGTTGATAGGGTAGTAAAGCCTTCGTAATCCTAATATGAAAACTTTCTCCCTTTGACGTTGCTTGATTTCCCAAGTGTAAGTATCATTTAATCTAGGCAGAAACAATCTTCTCCACTAGTTACCAACCGACCCCGCCTGTTTATATAGCTCTCTGTATTCATTTATTAATCCAGTAGTTCAAACCCTGAGAGAATACGTTCTGTTGAAGCAATAATTGATCCTTTAGGTGGTCTTCCCACTAGTTATTATCTCTCAGGGCCACGGTAAGGAACCGATAATTAATGGACTCTTACTTTATGAGGAGAGAGTAATAAGGCGCCTAAGGCTGAGAGTCTGGTTGGTATCGCGAAGAGGTTGTATAACGCGTATATAAGGATGGATTTCCTCTTTCGTTTAGGGTGCTGTAAAAGTACTAAATGGGTGCAATCTCCCGACGGCAACTAGGGAGATAATAAGAGAAATGGCTCCTTAGTACTTAGTTTACCATCCGTTGGCATTAATAACGGTGGTCAGCTAAAGCTTCGAAGAAATCATCGGCTATAGCCTCCTAAACATCCTGGATAACTTCAGAAATCGCAGTTTTGGTGGCTTCATTATATTTTTGGTAGAGGTAGGGGCCTGAATGCCTCTTATATTGGAGTAGAGCTTCTTCCAGGCGTGTTCGATCAGGTTCATATCCAGGCTATGGGTGGGGGTCATAGGTCATCGTCGTAATTCCATGAGCTCTAGACCAATCTGTGACCCAATTGGCCGTGTATAGAGGCGCCATCCTGCCTCGGTATAAAACCGGGCTAATAAAAATCCAATAAGTTTTCATCAAGTACTGCCGGTATGGGCTTGTAAAAGCTGTCACGGGTTCCTCCTCATTCTGTCTATTCTCGATCACCCCTGTGTTGTTGAATGCGCGCGGTGCCTTGTCAACACAGAGTTATGTCATCACAGGGACTGAGTAGGCCCCCTCTACTCTTGACTTCGATCATCAGAACATCTCGTGTCTCGATTCTTTCGAGTTTGGGACGTAACACGTTATACGCTGCCGGGAAGCCTGCGATGAGTGTCGAGCGGCATGTTTTGAATGTGAGGTAGTGAAATTGGAGATATGGGAGCTCATAAAAGGTGCGAGAGTCTTCGTGTACACCTCCGTATATGAATTGTGGACGTGAGCAGGCTCATAATCTGAATGTTTCATCCTTTTCCGCCAGCTGTAGGGAAACTGACAGGCTTTATATACGGCCCATCTAGGCCTGAATAGGCAGGTGGAGCCTAAAGAGGCTGTCTGCCAATCGCTATGTAAGTTGAGTGACGGAAATGCATTCGTATGGTCCCATTCCGAACACCCGAGCCACACCCTAGCATTGCAATGGCATTGGTCTAGAAACAATGCCTTAGAATTGGCCATCTGGTCCAAATTCTAAGTCATATTGTTTTCTAGTAATTTCAAGTTGCATGCGTGTCAGTGTAACTAAAATTTCAAAGTTCAATAACCCGTTTGCGAGTCAGAAGCACCACGAGTATCCCGCCGGCGCAAGGCTCCGAGGGAAACTTTGCGTGTCATCGAGTTCTCTAGGTTCCCCGGTATCTTCCGTGTCAAGGGACAGGACAGCTGGCAAGTCGACTTGGCTCTATGACAGGATTTGAATTCAACAGAACCACTCTCCAGGATGGTGAATGTGTTGTCATGCCTAAGACCAAAACTGAGCAGCCCTCCAGCATACTATTGAAACAAGTGACACTAGATTCAGACTAAGTTAGTAGAACATCTAGTAAATGAGAGGGAATCAAAGCTAGAAACCTATTCCCGTGCTCATAAAAGAATGTATCTAACCGGCCGGCCCGGAAGGAGAAAGGAGAAAGGAAGATTCGAAAGCTGTGCGCTTGAGAGAGCCGCGCATGTGTAAGAACTTGACGTCGGCTAGCGCTTCAGCAGGTGGACCTCGGCATCTCGACAGCTTCTCTTTCACAACCAAGTTTACACGCCAGCTCTCCCTCTTTATCCTCTTCTCGTTGCTGGAAAGCCCACGGATTGCGGCTGTCCCTTTGAATGGAGGCCAGTTAGAACGGCAGCTGTGGTTGAATTAGTATCGTCATGGAATCAAATGGCCCTGTCGTCGCGGTGGATGACTCCCAGCGTCGCCGCCGGAAGGCAGCTCTACGCCAACGGAATTCCAGCAAGGGACCTATATCTGCTCGTTTGATGCTTGATATCCGCCTAAAGGGTGAGATAGGGGTCCTTTCAGACGAGTTGCTGGCAGACTTGCTCCCTCGTCGGGGTGCAGATGGTGAGATCCTATGTTAGGCCCGCGTGGTCGAAGAGAACATGCTACTAACACACGCGCCGAGATAGATTTCGGGACACGTCCTGATATAATATATGTCGCTCTGGCCCCTTGGACTCCAAACCTCACGACCGTTGAAGATGTCCAGTGGACCATTGTCCCTGCCCATACTCAGGCCAGCGAGAAGACGAAACCCTCCTTCATTTCGAGTTCGGCCATCCACTTCCCCGTTTCCGCCAACTCAATTCAGCCGTTTATCCAGGCATTGCAAGGCAGCGACCCGTCGCGGTCCTCCTTTGTTCTGGCTCAACGTGGAATTGAGATCCATATTGTCAATGTCACACCGCTACACTTGGATACCATATACGTCACAGTGGAACGGCACCTGTTGCGAGATATTGACGAAATACAGGGCAAGTTTGGAGGAGGGTTCAGTACCAAGTCACGCACCTCTAATGGATTGTGGTCTAAAGGGAAAGGGCCAACCATACCCAAAGGGTCGAAACAGTCTGCTGCGCAGAGGGAGGAACGGCTGATGGAAGCTATACGACGAGGGCTAGCCGAACGGGATATCTTACATAATGGGGATATCATTCCTCTTCCCTTACCTTCACACCCTATCACGCATGCTCCACCACCGCCAGCAAGGATATCGTTCTGCGAGCCTGTGGCTCAGGGCCGCCTGATGCCAAAGACGAAGATCGTGCTTTTACAGGCACGCTCAGCGCAGAAATCACATTCTAAGTCTCTATCTATATCTAGCCCTGCTCACCTCAAACGAGTTACGGAAGATGATACGGAAGATACATCAAATGATATGTTTTACTCCGCAGGAGAAGAGAAAACGCTAGAGGAAGGCACTGATATCGAGAGTCCGTCGCCGCCGGATGAATCCGATACAGAAGCGTCGGCCGAGAGCCGTAGTGATGCCGATGAATCTAATGACTCTGGCGACACTGGTGACTCCGATGACTCTGACGATTCCTTGGAAGATATGATTTCGCTCACAGCTCCTGAACTTCCTCAACAGCCTTCTGGAGCAATGTCAGCATTCTCCTCTGCAACACCCAGGCTTGGAGGAAGGTCACTAGGCATACATTCTCCTGGCTCGGTATTTTCTAGTTTTACATCAAACACTGCTCGTCAAGGAAGACATGGGGGTAAAACGTTCAAAGCCGAATGCCTTCTTCATCGCATACCAAGTGAATTCCTCCACCCTAAACCACGAGAAGAAGATGATCCGGATGCCTTCATTTTTGTTGATGTGCACACTCTTGTCAAGATTGGATGTTTCTCCGGCGACTGGGTTCGTATAGCCCCTACAGATGAACCACAACGAAACATGCTCTCTTCTCTCGCCTTTAGCGGTCTTAACGGTTTAATGGGAAGCACTGAAGAGCCTGAAAACTGGCGTGTTGCAAAGGTTTACGGCGTTACAGGTCTATCTCCTCCAAAGATCAGGTATGCCATGCACAAGTCAGCAGACAGATCGTCCAGTGTTTCACAGATGCCTCCCCATGGTCTCACGCCAACAGTTCTATTACCCCCCCTTTTACTGCATAACTTGCAGAGTCCGAAATATATAAAACTTTCCCCGTTATCGCTTGGCCCAGCTCAGCATGGACCATCGAAACTTGGACTGGTGGCTTCTCGTGGAGGTAGTATGCCAAAGGCACCGCCTACAGCCAAAGAGGTTACTCTACTGAAGATATCTACTCCTTTGTCGGTAGATAGAGCGCTCCAACCTGCCATATTCGCCGCCTTGAAACATCATTTCGAGTCGAAAAGGCGCCTAGTAAAAGGCGGAGACATGATTGGAATTAGTATAGATGAAGGTCTAGGGAAGACAATTTTTTCTGCAACTAAGAGTGCAGACGCTGCTAGTCAGGATGACGAGCTGCCTTCTCAACTTGCCTTTTCATCCATTAAGAACGGCCCATCCAGCAAAATTGGGGTTGCTTGGTTCCGAGTTAGCCATGTCACTGCTCCTACTACCAGCTCTGAGCCAGATAGCGCTCCTGACCATGAACAATGGGGCGGAGTGGCTGCTATCGATACTCTCAATACCCGAATGGTGCAAGCCGGAAGTGAAATTGGCACCGTTCCGGGCACTCTCGAGAACACATGGGAGTACTGGCTTTCTGTCAAGGCAGCACCACAGCTAAGCATAGAACAAAGAGCAACTCCCTGGCTACAAGCCGAATCCTCGGCAATTTTCACATCTGCCATCCAGAAGCGTGTGAGAGAGTTGATAGCCGCGGCAACAAGTCCACGGGCTATCCAGCTGGGGTTGAAACCAGTTGTTATCCTCCTCACTTCTACACAGAGGAATATTGGTAAATCTACAGTTGCACGTCGTGCGTGTGCTGATATTGGTCTTCACACTTTTACAATTGATTCCTACGATATCCTCAGTGAAGGAGGAGCTAATGGAGGAGATGTGAAAACTGAAGCATACCTCAAGGCAAGGGCAGATAGAGCCTTCGCCTGTGGCTCAGCTTGCACCGCCGTATTAATTGAGCATATTGAAGTCCTAACAGCGGACAGAATCGTTACATCTTTGAAAGAGATCGTTGCTAACTCTCGAGTTATCATTGCTACAACCACAGATGTGGAAAAGGTCCCAGATGGAATCCGAAGCCTCTTTACACATGAGCTTGAAATGACAGCTCCAGAAGAGAAGGAGAGAGAAGGGATCCTTAAAAACGCAGTAAGCGATCTTGCCTTAAAGCTATCGCCCAATGTTGACCTGGCCTCAGTGGCGGTTAAGACTGCTGCACTTGTTGCTGGTGACTTGGTCGATGTTGTTGAACGGGCTGTTGCTGAGCGGACTTTGCGGCTAGAGAGGCTCGCGGATTCTGCAGCGCCCCTCGATGCAAAATCGAGAGTCACTGTTCGAGATGTTCAGATAGCTGGCGGTGATGCAACACAGTCTGTCACCAAAGCTGATTTCGATGCCGCAGTCGATGCCGCTAGGAAAAATTTCGCTGATTCAATCGGAGCTCCAAAGATCCCGAACGTCACTTGGGATGATGTTGGTGGACTCACCAACGTGAAAGATGCTGTCATGGAAACCATTCAGCTTCCACTTGAACGGCCAGAGTTGTTTGCCAAGGGTATGAAAAAGCGAAGCGGCATTCTATTCTACGGGCCGCCGGGAACAGGAAAGACTCTTCTTGCAAAGGCAATTGCTACAGAATTCTCGCTCAACTTTTTCTCAGTCAAGGGTCCAGAGCTTTTGAATATGTATATTGGAGAATCCGAAGCGAATGTGCGAAGAGTGTTCCAGCGTGCTCGAGATGCACGACCTTGTGTGGTCTTCTTCGATGAGTTGGACTCTGTAGCGCCTAAGCGAGGTAACCAGGGAGACAGCGGCGGCGTCATGGACAGAATTGTCAGTCAGCTTCTTGCGGAACTTGACGGTATGAGCGGTGGTGACGAGAATGGCGGTGGTGTCTTTGTTATTGGCGCTACCAACCGTCCCGATCTTTTAGACGCTGCATTACTACGACCCGGCAGATTCGATAAGATGTTGTACCTTGGTGTGTCAGATACACATGATAAACAGCTTACCATCTTGGAAGCTCTGACTCGCAAATTTAATCTGCATCCTGACCTTTCACTGCGGCGAGTCGCGGAAACGCTACCGTTTACTTATACCGGTGCCGACTTGTATGCCTTGTGTTCAGACGCAATGCTCAAAGCAATTACTCGACAGGCCACTGCGGTGGATGAGCGAATAAAGGCTCTTCCTACCGGACCCGTTACAACAGCATATTTCTTTGACCACCTTGCGACTCCAGACGATACCGCTGTAATGGTCACGGAGCAAGATTTCATTGAAGCTAAGAATGAGCTGGTTCCAAGTGTCAGGTATGATTCTAAATTTTCATAACATCACCTTATTGCTTATATGGTTTATTTATCTAACGGTATGGACAGTGCGAAAGAGCTTGAACACTTCGAGCGTGTGCGCAAGACATTTGAGACTGTCGATACCAAGAAATCTTTCCCGTCTGACGCGGAAAAGGCAATTGAAAGCAAGCCTGTGGAGGCTGCGGACCTGATGGTTGATGGCTCCCTAATCATAGACGAGGCCCCCCTCCATGCTCCTAGTAAACCGAAAGGAGAAAATAAAGATGATGAATATAGACTCAGAACCGATCATCTGGCGAAACATGAGCCGCCAAAGCAATAGCATACTTGGGCTGATGATTGGTCCAGTGATTTACTTATCCCAATATGTGATATAATAGAAGCATTTTTAGAAAATACCCGGGTAATATATCTGGGCTACCTTTACGTTCTGACGGCCCGCCCACCACCCTTGACTGTTATTTTTACAGTAAATCACCAAAATTATAAATAAATAACTTAGCTGAGAACTATTCAAACGAGGCTAAAACACCCCCCGTTAAAAGATTGAGGCACGAGTCAAGCCAAGCTTCTCATATACGTAGTCTAAATTACCCGACGCGGCTTGGGTTTGCGGGTGGTCTGGACCCATTTTCTCCATATTCCAGTCCACAACTTTCTTCATGAGAGGAATGGCATCTTCCAATCGACCAGCATGGAAATATGCCACGCTCAAGTTATTCATAGCGGCAATGGTATCCGAATGATTCTCACCGGGGCCTTGTCGTTGAATCTCTACAATCTCTTCAAGGACACTGATTCCCTTGGACTCCCAGGTTCCCCCGGGCATCTCCTCAGCACCAGCCCTGTTTAACCGCCCATATGTGCTTGCCAAGTTAAGACTGCATTTAATTGTGGTCTGGTTGGATGGGCCGAGATGAGTCTTTGCAGCTTCCACTGCTTTTTCTTGCAGGGCCACAGCGTCTTGGAGTTTGTCCAAAGCCCCATAATCTCTACCCAAGAGATCCATTGTCATTATAGTCTGGAAGTGTTCAGGACCAAGCGTCTTTGTCCGGAGATCCAATGTCCTTTGATGCAAGTCGAGTGCCGCTTGATAATTTTTGTTGTTAAAATAACTGTTGGCCAGGTTGTGCATGCTTGTCTGGGTAGTTTGAGAATCTTCACCCTTGATGCGCAGCATAATATCAAGTGCCTTCTTGTCGAGTTCGAGCGACTCGTCATATTCACCTTGCGCTTTCAAATCAATTGCAAGGTTATTGAGACTTGCTACCGTGTCTTCATGATCATCTCCAAGGATTTGCTGTCGCACTGAGAGGACGAACCTATCCAATTCTTCGGCTTCCTTGTGGCGACTAACTTGCCGGTAGAGATAGGCCAGCCCGGTCTTTGCATTCAGATCATCACCATAATGCACTTCAGCGTATTTCACCGCCCGTTCTTGCGCTTCACATGCTTTTTCCCACTCATCGGCGTCACCAAACTCGTCTGCTTGGAGCAGTATCGCCCAGTACTCTTCTGCGTCCTCGTCTTCTCGAGGGCCGGAGTAGTTTTTCCCGTTAAGCAACATTATATTCGGCGTGACTATGCTTCTGGATTAGTTCGTTGAGAGAAAAGAAAGGATGAAGATATTACAGCATTCGTTGAAATTAGCTAAGTAGTTTTACGAACCGCCCCTTAACCCCTCAGTCGACGATCTCAGTTAATCCATGTTCGTCTGGCCTTGTGGGCTGAATCAACCCTGACGAAAATCCCCTCAGCCACTGGTCGATGATGTTTCATGGGCCGCCATTGGCCTTGAGACTGGTCGTCTTCTCTCTCTCTCCGCATCTCCACTGCACTTCGAGGTTTAGTGACTTGGAAATGTTATTGGAGGTTGAATTAAGGCTATTACATAATCATGAGTTTAGCTATACCTCAAGCACAAAAGATTGACAACTGAACCAAGGAGGACAAGTTACATCCAAGTTGCATAGATCTTCTAGTACTTGTGCAATATTACAGATGTGATGGTATTTCCCAGCTAATACTTATGCTATCTCCACTTAAATATCCTGGATTATTATTTTGGTCGAAACACAACTCTGACCCCACGAGGCTCCCGCAATCATGGATTCCATGATAAACATCCCTTCGCCATTTTCCTGGTTTTCATCAATAGGGAAGACGAATGACAGGTCACCAAGCATCGACATCGAACCCATTCAAACCCATGATATCGAAGCTGCAGAAGAAAAACCCGGCAGACGTCTAAGACAGCTTCTGAAATTAAACCACGTAACTAATTCGATCTTATATAATAATCTTTCCTTTTACAATCACATACCTCATGTGAGCTATTATTATTTCATATCTACCTTCTTAGCGTTTTGTTCTAACATTACGGTTTAGCTTCTCTCTACTGCGTATTTGTTCGGCGGAAGCCCGGATCATCTGGATCGGTTATATGATCTGGAATCCAAAGAGCTGGAGCCCTGGTCAGACTCTCCGGGTGAGATCGGCCAGGTCGAAGATTGGAGATCAGCTCTGGGGAAGAGAGAGTAGGCCTGTCTTGGGTTACTAACCATTCATCCAAACCCTCACATGCTAACCCATTCAATAGGTCTCAGAGAGCTTATTTGGATTTCTTTGAGGATGAATTGACACAATTAGGATATGACTGGAATGCAGTAGTGACAAAGTACCTTTTCTCAGATGATAAACCTCTAATAAACTCTTTGATTTCCGGCTGTAAGTATTATCTACTACACACCTCTTCCTACAGTACACTAAAGGATTTTTGATAACAGTCGGCCACCCACTCATACATCTTGGGTATGCATTCGAAATGTCAAGCAGAGAAATTGCTATGGAATCTCTTGCAATGATCTCATGCTGCTATGATGACGTTCATAAGTTCTTTGACGACCAGTCGGACATTCAGATAAACATGACTCCACGATATACCACTAATTCGCCTTTTGAAGTCATACAAAAAATTCATGGCGATAGAAGGTTTGATGGAATGTTTGCAACTCCAGGAGGTGATAATGTTGAAGTGCTATTCAAAACACAGCAAACTTTGATTCTAGAGCACTGGATGGCGTGGGATCCCAAAGAGACAGGCCTAACAGAACAATTGCGCACGATACAACGTCTTGCTGCAACACTGATGGCGACTCGCCATGCTGGAAAACAGCATGATTTCTTCTTCGACCACCTTTTAACGACCACACATGCGTTGCGAGTTATCATCCCTATGATGCCTACGAAGTTTCACGAGTCTCTACTTCGCCAGTGGTTTTTATTGGCTTTGACTGTTTACATTGCCCAATTGCGTCCAAAAATAGAAATAAACGACATAGGGTGTTACAATCGTGAAGGAAAGGATTGGGACTGGGTAGACAAGCAGGCTCTTACCAACGAAATGGCGGTTTCACCTCATTATATCAAACCTCTTCGAACTCTCAAGGAAGCTGCTAAAACCTGGGGAGATGATGACGAGTTTTTCCTTCGGGCCGCGGTAAAATTTGTTGATACATTTGATGGCTTTGGTGGCTTTGGATGATGAGTGACTTTTAGTATGTGCCATTAGGGTTAGATGCTTACATTGGAACATAGATAGTATCTCCAGACTACTAGCTTTGTAAGATAGCTATAGCTTATTCACCACTCTATTCAGGGTATGGCTATCAACGTAACACTGTCAAAAAAATTCCCCCGATCGAATGACCCTTACATAAGACTTTTAACGCCCGCCAGCACAATTGCTCCAGCCCCAAACACAGTATTCTTACAATTAATGGGCTATACCCATCATATGTCCGAATTCCCACCCCACTGGTCCCCAGCCTTGATCCCCCTTACTGGGTTCATAGCAAACTCGATTAAGTCGTCTAGCGATAGCCAGCCTTGTCTTCCCTCTAATATAGCATTAGCAATCACCAGTTTCCACTCATCCCACCATTTATTCTCTGATTGAACTGCGCACACTCTTCTTGGGTCATCTGATGTCTCCGAGCCAGCCATGTTTGCATACGGCCATATTGACCGTACCATATCGTATCGTTTTGGATCTTTGAACAACGATACAATCTGAGTGTAAAATGAATTATTTGTTTTGGGGCCCGGGACAACTACACGAGAATGTGTAGATGGGAACGTGATAGTGACACGGCCCTGATAATTTAATGAGGCTATCAAAGTTCTTAGCCGGCCCTCTAGAATTTGAGTATTCCAATTGATAACCTCTCGAGTGAGGATGAAGCTACGGCGCAGTTAGTAAAATGCAGTTAGGCCCCTAAATATTCATCCAGGTGCAATATATCTGATGTATCTGATATTACTTACGTTTTGTTGGTAGCTGGATCTCTACAGAACCTATCAGCAAATGTAGCAATGTCTCCAATAGTGCCTCCTGGTGACCCAGCAGAGCGACTACCAACAATCTTCACATAATTCCAGGATGAAGACGGTCCAGGTGGCCGAACTATTTGACTCAGCATGTTTATCCGAATGTCGAAGTCAAGCTTGCGAATACCGGGATTTTCCCTGATACCGACTATGCGGATCTCTGGTTTGGGCGGCAACGCAGCTTGCTGAGCCATGAATCTTGTCAGTGCCTCCGGACTGGAGCTGAGTTCCGAGGGTGCCACGGTAATGGTAAGTCCGTCTTTGGACAAACTTGACCCAGGAATATGATATTGAGCAAAGTCTATGGGAGGAAGATAAGAGTTGGAGAAAACCGGGCCTCGAGTGCTCGACGGCTCTTGGAAGGGAGCAGTTGAAGGTTCTGTATAGTCTGGAGGATCATCTTGAGGGAGAGACTGAGCTGGCGAAGGGACTGGTCGTCGCTGAACGCTAGAACTTGGTAAAGAGAGATTGGACCTTGATTTCTCCATGGCTGCAAATTTATTAAACAGTTAACAGACAGCCTTGGTTGAACGAGAGACTGTGTGCAGGCCGCCTTATGATCTCTTTGGCTGTGCTATCAAGTCATATATATATCACCATCGAAGCCTCCCTTGCAGGTCGCTATCTCGAGCTAACTACTTAGCCACAGCTGACGGAGCGCCCCTGGTACCATCCTCACAAGAGGAAAGGCGTGGAACTGTGAATTGTGCTGCCTGGCTTCTATGTTATCATTCTTTATACGAAGTCCCAGCGTTGTAACTCATTCCTTCAAGCCACATCAGTTTCTTCCTCCTTTTTGCGGCTGAGATGGATGTTTGCACTGTTTGCACTTGATATAATTTCATGCTTTCAACGAAGGAAATAAAAACATCTTCGACGTTTAAACAAGCTGGAAATCTGACAGCGATGTCGCCTCCGCCAGAGCCATGCATCCTGCTGTACGCTGAATTGCTAGCGAATATTCGACCGTTGCGTCTTTTTGTTACAGCTACAAACACCACACAGAACGACCATCCGGGGACGGGACCATTGCTCTCTCTCTCTACCTCTCTCTCTGCCGTTACGGTATCACATATCGGCAAGACTCTTACTCTTGAACTCCCTCGCTCTGTATCGGCACGGTCTCGTGAATTTCTGGCGGCGGGTCGGCCCGTTTCGTGCAGCGGAGAGAATGAATACTCCTTTCGCCTCCCCATAGACGAAGCCAATCCCTTCTTAAGTGCCACTTCAAGTAATGACTGTGGTCCAGAGGCCCCCTGGCCAGCGAAGAGTATGACCACACGGACATGCATATGCTGCCGTGAGTGCTCCGGTATACTTTTCGCCCCAAGTGATGGCCAGGCTGTCGTGTGGAAAGACTTGCCCGGTGCAGACTGGGCTGAATTAATGGATCTATGGCATTGCCATAAACCGAACCCAATACCTAACAACAATACATCTGAGGATCATCCTGACTTGAGTGGGCATACTAAGGGGTACGGTGCCGCCAACAGAGTTATTTGTGAACCTGGGACTATCTTTGTCAATGTTACTTCATTCATCATGGCCGCAAACGACAGTCAAGGTGTGAAGAGAGTGGTAAGTTATTTACCTCTTCAATATTCAGATTTGACATACCCCCATGCAAGTTTTCCATTCATCAAGGTGCTACTGCAATAGATGATCCAAAAAATTTCATATATAACCCCTACTCTGGGGGGACGAAGGGATTTTAAAGGAAGCTATTTGGGTACTAAGAAGGAGATCGGAACGTTCTTCCATGGACCGATCTCCGATACAACTACCCTAAATCAACAGACCCAGTCCCGGAGGTTTTCGCCTTGAACTTTGAACATTGCCCGCAATCGCTGGAATGAACGTTCAAACGACAACGAGGAATGGATTATCTGTACTATGACAATGCCATCATCCTCCTTGGTTTTCTCTTTCCTCCTAGGCCACATGTCTAGTGGGGCGGTGACTGGCAAGAGATGGACGACAACATTGCTCTTTACGCTCATCCTTTTCTCTGTGTTGCCTGGATGTTTATATCAGCGGCCGTGGGTGTTGTAAGAAGTGGTAGGGCAAAAATCGAAGATTCTGTTAATCTAGACGTATTCCATGCATTGAATTTAGCCAGAGACCTATTGGCTAGTTTGAGATACAGTCTAAGATACATGCATGATAAACACTTATTGTGATTTTAGTGATAATTTTTCTCGATCCTGATTTTAGATCAGTAAGCTGTGATAGTCATGGGCTAATATATTATTTCTATCAACCTTAGAATTCAAAAGAGATTTCGTCTCCACCTCAAATACTTCCAGCATCGAGCCTCTGCTGCATATCCTGCGGCTCAACCGTTGGTGAAGAGCACACTTCTCTTCAGGGGTTAGAGTTTTTCAAAGCCAGCGTTTCTGTATCACAGAAAGCATATAGTAGTACTTCGAGTACTCATGTTGACAAGGAACTGCTTGAATCTTACCCGCCAGAGGTTATTGTGGGATTTCAGCTCTTAGAATGTATCGAACGATCAGGTGCAAGGAAGTTTGTAATGCATAGCGGCATAGAAAACAACCAGCAAAAGGATGGGCTATTGGTACGGTTCTTTTTGTCAATGCAACAAGCTTATATTGCCGTTCTAATCTCTTCTTGTAGGTGTGGGTCTTCAACACAGACGTGCGTTATTCTTACAACAGCAGTGCTTCCTGTGGGAATCTCATTATATCTGCGAAACGTGCATTGAAAGTATTCTACCAACATCTTGACAATGTGCAACCCCTGGTAAACCCAGAATTTGGCTTACTCTCCGCCACGTCCTTGGAAGAAATCCGTCTTCCACCCCGTCTTTATGACTGCATTAAAGGGTCGCTAGAAAGGAGCACTGGTCTATTGCCTCCATCGGGTAGGAAGTTTAAAGAATGCGAAGTTGGGCTCCTGGACCTCGAAAAAACCTGACCGAAGTCATACATGGCGACTTCCAACCCCGGGTACTTCTCCCGCTGACGTGCTCCAACGCTCCCAGGTTCAGGTACTTTTATCTACTTGACCACAGCCAGCCTTTTCTACCGTTATTTATGCTTCTGGAGCCCTGCACGCTAGCACTGACCATTTCAGCTCATTATCACCGTCCTATCCTGCAGCTTTCAAGCAAGTGGCTAGCTGTATCCCAGCCCTACGGAGCGAACTCTGACTGGCTAGTTTACCGGTAAACATTAAAGGGACATAACCTATCACCTGGAGAGTTAAACTACAAGCTTGAATATACGAGATTGAATAGTCGAGAGAGGCCCAGCCAGCCAGGTGAGGCCTATCATAAATTTTATGCGCCCACCTCCGCCTTCTCCTTTCCTCGTCACCCTATAAAGATGAGTGACAGTGGCCGCATCCTCTGGTGGAGGATCATTAAGGGACGGTCTGAAAATATGCTGTCAGATTCCTCACTAGAAGATGGAGGACTGGAAGGCTAAATGGTGCTTCTAGCCCTGAGAGTCAGTATGGAGAAGCACATATTTACCGAAAGAAATATGCAGCGTCTAAGAGTATCAGTCATGGTACATATACAAACATCGTAACCAGGTCAACCTGCCAGGAGTAAAAAACCGTTTTATTAATGGCCATTATATTATTGCTAGTATATCACCAACGCGTTAAGCTACACAAGCATGCTTATGAAGTCTATTTTTATAGTTAGTAAGATGTACAACCGCGCTTCATGTGGTCGCTTAGTCGTTTATCTCGAACCCCAGCATATGCAAGGAAGACCCCAGCAAAGCATCCACAGCAGCTCTTTTGTCGAAGATCAACTCCATATCCTCTACATAAACTACCGTGTTAAGCTTACCACTGAGAATAAGTGTGAGCCTTCGATCTGAGCTGTCTTCTTTTCCTATCTAGAACCTCCGTTGCTTATCAACAACCCACACCAGCAAGCAAAAGGCAGCCTTGGTGTATCCTTGGGCTTAACTATCTGACGGAGATCGATATCCTAGAGGCTAGAGGTGACCGTCTTCCCGTTAGCTTTTATATAACTAACTTAAGTCGCCAAGTGAGACTTATTATCTATCCATTTTGAGGACGATGGCTGAGGTAAGATAGGCACGGCTTATACAGCTATAGAGCCACCATTGGCCGTGTTTGTTTGCCGAGTCTACCATATAAATGGCGGAGATGGCTGATAGGTACCCTTCTTCAATACCGCTCAATACAGGCTGGCGTTGCATTGGAGCTTTTATGAGCAGTGTAGAGCTACCTCCGCGTTGGACACGGTATATGTCAACTCGAACCGAAGATAATTCCCCCCATCCGGCAGATCCATAGATATCACTGGCAAATCGTCAAGAGTTTGGAAAAGGATCCATTCAGGTCTGATAACTTGAAAAAAAAAGAAAGAAACCCGTTATGAGAACAGACGAAATTAAAAAAAAAAAATTGCCAACGCCATTGCTGCCAATCTCCCTGTCAACAGGGGAAGCATAAGCAACATCAAGAATCATATTAATCATACATCGATGCAATGATAGGTAGGTGGGTAGGAATGCCATCCTCTCTACCCGTGAAATGCAGCACCATCTCCGCCAGAAAAAAAGAGGAAAAAGAAAAAGAACCATCCTTGGGGAGCCATGTATTCTCAAGACCTTCTTTCACAACAAAAGGAATCAGGAGCCAGTAGCCTGACTGATTTGTTCGAAACGAAAATATTAATCTTCTCCCCTTTTTGAGCTGTCCACCTGAGCTCGGATCGATTTAGACACCATCTGATTGTGGACAACTTGTCACTGGCAAAATTGTCTACCAAGTTGGGCAGTATCCCCGAACCCGAAATCGCCCGCCGTGGGCTTCATGCCCATTCTATATCTTCATCTCGTCTGAGATCAGGGAGTATTGGTCTCTTGCTCCCTTAAACACAAGCGTACCCTGGATTCTCAACACGATGTGCCACATACATGGCAGTTTTTCCCTGGAATAACCCATGTGTCTTCCCCGTTCGACTTGCAGTTGGGACAGAGGACTCCTGGCATCTAGAAGCATATCATTAGCACATGTTCAGATCCGCTGGTCCTATGGAAGAGAAGCTTACCGGAGACATGTGGTTTCTAGTTCGGGATTGTGATTGAATGTGACTCTGCTTAGCAGCGTTCCCAACTGGTCTGAGACGAGCAACTGCCACCATTTTCAACGACTATTTCCTCCCTCTGCAATATCAGCGATGTTGTTTCCTCCAAAACCCGTGGGTTCACACAGTCCCCGTTCTTGCGCTGGACGACGTTTCCTTCCTACTCTCTCAGAGTATGTGTGAAATGATTATTCAAAATGCAGGTGTCTTTATAGGCGACGGTTCCCTCTTTTAAACCTCAGACAAAGGGAAAGAAAATGGACCGACACAATGTGACAAGGACAGCGCAATTGGAGTTATGGTAATGATGTGAAAGAATATTTTTGGATGGACTGCTGCTTTTTTTTGTTGTTTGACGGAGAAGGCTGCGTTTGGAATCTCTTTTATTTGAAAATATATATCTTATCGACTGGGAAAAAAATTTTTTTTTGCCTTCATCAAAGAAACATGGTACCTTGGGAAGCGGAGGCAGGGCGAGCTTTATATCTGTGATACCCACCAATTTCCCCAAGTTCGTGGTATGTACTATTTTTCTTCTGCAGGCTCCACGATCGGCGCTACCAACAAGGGGACCAGATGGGTACTGATACATTTGCCGACATGCACAAGGTTAAAATTTTGCGATGTGATGTCAGAAAGCTGGCTTAGCTCTGGCGAGGGACCCCAACATCGGTGCTATCCAATCTATTGGATATCCCTATCGTCCAAGCGGACGGAGCGAATCGCGATTCTTCACCCTTTTCTTCACAAGCAATTCAAACGCCTTAACATACAGCACAGCCGTTTTTTTATTTTTTCTTCTCCAACTTACTCCCTTTTTACTCTCTTGCCGGGGTTGTTTTCGATCTTCGGCTGCGCTTCTCTTGGGATACATCAGGAATACCTTCATACAGATGAGTTGTCATAAACTACCCCCCTCAACTCTCCCCCCAAATCTAATTTCAGGCCGCCACGAAACCCAGTGGAGGGAAAGACAGATATTCTCCCTAGCGTCGACGCCCTGTGGGTTCGAATGGCTGATGGTGATAATAATTAAATTCTCCAAAAAAACAACAAGGCACTGCTATCAAGTCTACCAGCAGAATTTCAGGGCCTAAATAGCCAATCCTGGCCCTGTGGGGCGTCATCCTGGGATATGCTTCTCTCCCCTGTACGGAGTAGACCGTAATACTATTACCGCCCGTTCGTTCGCCTCTACTATTCTCTCTCTTAACTCAGCCTAAGCTCTGTCTCAACATGCCACTTAGGTGCCAATTGAGTCGTGTATCCCCCCCTCATTCGGTCCACCGCTGTCCGCACTGAGCTCGGCATGGCTTCCCCCACGAGTATCAAACTGTTCGAAGCAGAATGACGACACTCTGGCTGTTTCAGTCACCTGAGCTGTCGAGCTATCTATACATCAAAGGCCCAGTGACGGTGACTGGCTACTGGGGCTCTGCCATATGTATCCAAAGCGAGTTCGAGTATACGAGGTGCTGTTAAGGAAAGTGGTTTCGAATCCACGAATGAAACCAAGGCTAATATTACACACTATCCATAATCTCGCCTCTTCGTCACATTTCCTTACCCTGGATCCTTCTATGTTCCAGATTTTGGAGTCAAGGATGAGAACTGGAAGTATCCAACCAGGTCGGCTCCTTTATTTGGCTCTTCAGTTTGCACCAAAGTCCAAATGACATTAATTATGACACACGGAAACTGCCCTCCCAGAATAACGCTCACGCAGGCCTTCTGGCATCTTGATCGATCAATAATTATGGCCCACACCCAGTACAACCTCACATGGGGCAATCCACCAGTTAGAATCGCTAGCGGCTAACGGCCTACCGCATAATGACGAGGGTGGCACGAGCGAAATGTGACAGCTCGAGTCAGGGATTAGCCAAACCCTGCATCATAGCCTTCATCTTAAGCATTTTTTTTTTTTTTTTTATAAAAAAAGGATGCAACTAATTTGATACGGCATTCTTCGGATCCTAGCAAAAGATGTATATTACCCAAATAAGGCATCTGGATCAAACCCCTTTCCTCCTTTCAAGCGGAAGGGCATCCATATGGGGTTTACGCAAGTGTGACCGCTAGACACGAAGTACTGTCCCGCAGTCAGTTAGAGAAAGCCAGGAAGAGCTCCCCACATCGCAGAGTCGCCACTCTCCAATATGTACGGAGTATATCTCACATCAATATTCATCGTGGCTATTTGAGGCGTAGGGAGAAAATCAGAGTGCGCACAGAACATGACCCGCTTAGCGGTAGGCGACGGCTATATACATAAGTGAGATACATTATGAGCAGGTCGAACTCTTTCAGTTCGAATCAAGCACGCTTATTGGACTCATCAAGCTGAGTGGTAACTTATGAACCATATATTTATTTTTTTACAGAGCAGTCTTTGATAGTTGTGCGGCGCAGCATCACATCGAAAGAAAACCTTACAGGGCCGGCCAAGAAAAGGTCCAAAGGGTAGGATTTTTTTTTTATCTTTTATTTTTTTATACATCTTTTTCTTTTTCTCTCTTTTTCTTTTTTTTTAAACTTTCTCTTTGCCTTCCCCGAGTACCATCTCTCTGGGGAGCGGATCTCTGCTTTGAAAAAGGTTCCCGCGCATTAGCCAGACAGACATGTATCGTTGTATACATGCACCCCTATCATATCCATGAAAAAGGGCCAAGAGATCGATGGATTTAAGCTATTCTAGCCTCCTTTCTCTCCTGGGTTTTCTCAGGCAAGGCGGATCAAGATGCGACGTTTCGTCGACCAACTAGGTGCCATCTTCTTTTGCCAGCTATCGACATGGAAAAAGATATATACGTACTCCATACAGTTCATGCAATGAATCGACATGGTATATACTTGGCAGAAGAATAGTCGGCTTGAAACAATATAGGATGCATGTCCGTACCATGCCTCCGTGTAAACGGAGTCCAACCCGCATGCACCCTGGCCGCGCCATGGTCTATAGCTGAAAGCTTGGGAGACGCCTAAATTCGTATAATTCGGCGTTCTCTTTCCCTGTCTCATCCCAGCCTGTCTTGCTTATCTTACTTACGTAGTGAGTGTGAAGCACGCGGAAACAGCGTCAGGGAGAGGATACGCCATCCTAGGTGTGAGTTCAACATGAATATACTATGTACGATCGTGTTTTTAAACCCTGCGCCAACAGGGCAGAGTTGTATCCACCTCTGGATCAACCATTGCAACGGAACTAGGAATACTACGTAGGTTTTGAAGCATCCTTATATATATACACATTGCACCAAAACTAGGTATACGCTACTGCTGATTATATGCAGCCAGACATATATCATGATGTACATGTACAGCACTCTCGGGTGCAGTAGGTACCAGAACTATATGCAGCGGCTATAAGATATATTGGCTCCATTTATTATAGTTATCACGAAAATGCGGTATGCGATAGTCATATTCATGCAAGCTTGAACAGAAAAGGTAGTAACCCCCCCTCCTAATATTCTGTCTCCCTTACATTCGGCTGACTAAAATCTCGATCGAAAGCACTATGTAGTGTAGCAGGCTTTTACTGGCTAGCCTCCTCGAGTAGGGGAAAGCAATGTGATAACCACAACCGATAAAAGTTCACTCTGCGTGCTTCGATATCCGAACCAGGAGGATTCCGTCGGTAGGTTTCCCATTGGTATCAAATAGCCGAATGAACCGGAAACCTTGACGTAGGCGATCTAGCCTTATACAAGTCCATGCAGCTAAGTCGTCAATGCCGATTTCATCGTCTTTAATCTTGAATCTGCCAAGAAATATCGGTTAGCGGGGATGGAATCGGTCAGTTACAAAATTGTCTGGTGAACGATTCGGAATAGAACAAGGTACGGGTTGAGGTAATGAAGAAAACAATGGGTGGGGTGGGGGTTGGAGTGGCTCTGCGGAGGGGAAGGGGAATGCAGATTCAACGCGTTTGATAAGCAAATTTGTTTGCCCATGGCCCAAAGAGGAGATACGATAGAAGGGATATAGGATATAGGTATTTTGCTTCTTCCGCAGGCACACCGCTGCGGCTGTTTTTTTTTTTTTTTTTTCATTCTCAATCTCTTTTCTTTTTTCTTCTATCTTTCTTTTTCTCTTTTTATATTTTTTGGGGGGTACGGCTCAGGGCGTCGGCCAAATACTCCGTCCCCCAAAGCCTGAGATACTACTCTGTATGTATGTAGTCACCAGGTGATACCTCCATAAAAAGAAATCATATAGACATGTGGAGATGTCGACATATCAAAATGCTCTCTCCTCGCGATGCGGCGCTGCTTATTATAATATGCAAGTCGGAAGGGGAAAAGGATGATTGGCTGGAACGTCACTAACCTGACAAAAGAAAGCTCTTCAAGAATACCAGGAGCGCTTGGGAATTGGAGGATTTGACCTCCAAAGTCCGGATCGGCACCACTGCAGCTTTTAGTTTGACATTTGTAATTGGGGTCGCTGCTGTCATAATCCTTGCTCGTAGCATGGATGCTGTCCTTGGGTCGCTCAACATGCAAATGACAGGCTACATATGGATGGAAACTTTTGGGGTTTGACTTCCCATCCCCCGCCATTATATTCTGTCCTGCATATATTTCAATAGATAGGGTCACCCTGCGTCGAACACTCATACTCACCTGTACGCCCTTGCGGCAGCCTTCATTGACAGCAGTAGCCACCTGATCTTGCCGCGATGAACTTGTCGAGCTGCTGCATCCCGTCGATCCGCGATATTCTGGAGGTTTCAGCACCCATCCACCACTTCCTGCGAACATTCCTTTGTTGAGCATCATTCCTTTGTCACAGCTTTGCCAGTTTAGAGCGACAACCTGAATTCCTTGACGCCATGCGAAAGACGGATCTAAGTTCGAGGAGTCTACCCGCATTCCAGATGGATATGTTCGCATCATAAATTCTTTGTTGTGGTCAAATAATGCTTGACGTTCTTTTTCATGGGCCGCTTTCACCGCGGCTTCTGAGAGCGAAAATATATGATGTGGTATCTTTGCCTCTGTGAGAATATACAAGTCAATACTCTGTAGACTGTACATAGTAGAAAACAGACCATTCCTCTGCTGAAAGTTGTTTTATTTTTTGACACGATCATCATTTTTCATCGAACTACAAGTCATGCAAGCCAATAGCCCTCTTTTGTTTTTTTTTTTTTTTTTTTTTTTTTTTTTTTTCAGGAGCCATTTTAAAAAATGTCTGACAAATGGCCAATGCACCAGGTACAGGGACGGGGAATGGGGGACGGGAGGTGGATTAAAATTAAACTAGAGTGAGGCTTACCAGGTTGAGAAAAGTTATTAAAAGTATAACCGCGCGTGAATATTCCGAGTCGGCTAAGGGATTGAATGATCTTTTGAGGCTTGGTCTTCGTCGGCATTGATCCAGCTCTGACCTTATCCTGAGCTCTATCTTCGTTACCAACTGTCCGAAAGTCAACAACCTCAATAGATCCTTCAGCTGGTGGGGTACCTTCGTTCGTAGGCGATATCCATTTCACCTTGATCAGGATCTTATTCTTGAGGGAGGCTGGGCTGGAAAGATGGCTAAGGTCCCCTTTGGCAAGAAGGGCATCCATCTCCGGTGTGAATTCCACGAGAAGCCCTTTCCACGCTTCCGTCATGATTTCGACCATCACCTCCTGCTGCTCATGCGAGGCGTGCACCTCAAGGCTGACGATCACTGGTAGGTCGCTTGTTACAAACGCATTATCACGGATTGTGTAACATACATCACGGAATGTAACTTCTTTAGTTAACGTGTGACCATGGAATACTCGGGGTTCAGGGCGGATTGCATCGGCGGCTGCGACCCTAGCTGGTGCAGCGTCAGGCGTACTCCAGTTGCTGAGCTTATCAAACCGACCTGAAAGCGAGGACAGACTGAATCGTCCAACACCCTCCTTTCGAAACTTTCCATGGCTTTTTTTATGCACCCTTTTATGGTCATCATCTGAAGGATCTCCTGATTCGGAGCTGGATGAGTCTAATTCGCCGTCCCAAACATCAATCTCAAGGCACCTACAGCCACCAAGTAAAACCTAGATGATAGTTAGCGATCGAGATGTAGTATTGTGGGGTACAGTTGTGCAGAGCAACCTAAGTAGGCAAATCCCAGTGAGAACAAATAGGCAAGATAGACATGGAAATCAGTGTGCCCCATAGAATGTGCTCAGGATTTCACATATGAAAAGAAAAAGAAATGTGCATGAAAAAAAAAAAAGAGATGCCGCAGTGATCACCAGATTTGATCTTCACCCTATTGTAGTGACTAGTGAGTGGTACGTGAGTCTTGTACATATGCATACAAGCGTAGCAATACTTTAAACTTTCCCCCAAGGCCCAAGATCGCAATATGCGAGAAATAATATATTCCCTGCCAGCTCGATGACGGGCAGAACATTCCATGCTGAGTATTACTTCCGCATGCACGCACATACATCTCACCACAGACGGGTATCAAATGGGGAGGCGGATGTGCAGCATGGACCATATTTAGGCGCTATAAATGCCCAAAGGGCAAAAAAAAAGAAAGGAATAATTGGAGGAGGGGGAATCAAAGGAAAGGCCAGCCACGTACATTTTTATACACCTCTGTGCTAGACTCGCTGTATAGCTGGTTGCCAGTCAAGTAAGTGTTATGGCTCGAATTAATGAAATAATTGGGCATGGGGAACGACAGATCTTCTTCGTAGGCTTCAGTGTCTGAGAACTGCGGCATCGCTGTTGCAGTCGACATGTATTCGAGGAAGCTTGAGAGGCTGTTGAGTACATCATGCTGCTGGTCACTGAGGGCCTGGCTGTCTTTGCAATGCCGGTCCTGCTGGATGGTTTGCAGGAAATAAGCTGACGGAGAGATTGTTGCACCGTCTTGTCCTGTACGTGTCTGATCCTGTGACCGAAGCGACTCGTAGATACGTTTCAAATGAGATAAAACTGCAGGATTAAAAGATTGGACTTTGTACGTTGAAAGCGTCGTTGGGAGAGACGACGTCGGAGATGCCATTTCGGGAACGGTACTCGTTCTCCGTGCAAGTTTAGGTGTGGGCGAAGACGTATCAACTTTTATCCCGGAACGAAACAACTTGATATCAACTCCAAAGGTGATTTCTCTGGTAGTCGTTGGTTTCTCTTCTTCAAGGAGGATCAATCTCTCGCGAAGAGGAGTCGAGCAGAGCTGAAAAGCTGACGACTTCAGCTTTTTAAGTGGGAACTCGCATGTTTCATTGGCCTCTTTAATTCTCACCGCACAACACAACACAACAGCGGATAATATCAATCGCTAAGATACAGCAAACCTGTGAACTTCTTTTGCCTAGTGGTCCGCGTAACTAACATCTGTTGATAGGACCTGCTGCTTTTGCCTCCCGGAGGCGGGTTGTTTGTCCTTGAAGAGATTCCTATAATCCGAAGGAGGTCACGTATTCAACTCTTGCATGAGTCTATGCAAAGCGACGGCGTCTAACCGTGTGCAGACTGGCTGCTCTTCGCTCTTAACGAGTACTGGAATATCTAAGCTTAACTCTTTGACTTCAGAACGGACTGTTGCTTTGTTTTTAGAGTACGGTTCCCTGGCTGGCTGCCCATCTCCGGGATTTCCGTGACAGGGAAATGCGTCTCCGGTGCTCACTTGAATTATATACACACACACATATCAACACACCGGCACTTCATAGCGCATATCCACTATTACCAGAATGAGTTGTCCGCTCTTGTGTTAGCAAAGGAAAACAAAATCATGTGCCTAATGCGCGCCAAATGCTACCCGTTATGGGCACGGACACATCAGCTCTTGGTGGGATCGTTACAAAAGCCAACCAATATTTCTGTTCAAGGAAGCAGGTCGGCTGAGAGTCTGAGAATTAGTTGTCCTACAACGGCTCAAGCAATCCGCAACATTCCTGAAAATCGAGGGAACGCCAGCCGAAGTGAATGTAAATATACCAGATACGCAGCATAGGCCTTGTGGTGCTGCATTTTGAGAGAATTGCCTTCGGTATGTGCCCGATTTGCCCTGCCACACACACACACACACACACACTAGTTACGTACCAGTATCTAAGCTGAATACTCTGGAGGCAATTTTTTTTTAACGGGGTTTGATCTTCTCTCCCGCTCTTGCATGGCCTTTATGTCTTTAAGTCATGATGATTGGCGTACTCACCCGCTGCGGACACTCTATGCTGGTGGGGTCATATTCAAAAGCTCTTGCAATTCTTGCATCATGCAGCCCAATATCAACTGAAAGGATACACAACAACGTCAATGTCACGGCTCTAATACTTTCACATTTCCCGCCTCCTGTTCATGCCATTTTAGCCGAACCTGCGTTTTGCAGCTCAGGCTTTCTATTCGCTCACTGGCTCTTGTGCGTGGAATAGGGGGTCACACCAGGCCTCCTTATGGCTGATCTTGAGCCACCGCACTAGTTGTTGCGCGGGGTTGGTTCGGGCCGCAGCTGGAACGATGCATGGGGATCCCTTTGATTGACCCTCTAGCTAACTGCAGAAGTTGGTGCAAAATCAAAAAGCTCAATTGTGTCCCGCTTCTCCGATATGCCTAGCCCCTCTTTTATAGAGGACCGATTCCTTGCTCCTGAGAAATAGACCCGCTTAATTATTTTTTGATACCTTGGGGTTGCTTCATAGTAGTAGCGATCCTTTATGATACCTCGGAAACAGTTCGTCTTTCTCGTTGCACGGAGCACCCAAAAAGAAACCAATTATCAGAACACGAAACATTTCAAACAGGGCTGATCAGTCCCAAGATTACTCATAACGGCCTTTTTGCCGCTTCAACGTGGTTCGGCCTAATTTCGGCCTCACATTGCGATCAGATAATCACAGTTTGGGTCAAAGCTCTATTTGCTCGGTTCTCAGGGCCTATAGTTGCCCTCCTACCAAGTGTGCGGAACTAAGCCGCCTGCCTTATACTTTGAATAACCAACGCAGCTGGAGTTGTCTGTATCAATGAAATGGAAGAACGAATATTATTTTCTATCCACTAAGGATGTCCACGCTTCATGACGGCCTAGGAGGTGACAGATGCGTAGCTCACGGGTCAATTGCAACTCGAAAGTAATACCCTGGCAACCATGGTTTCCCGAAGACTTACAGAGGCTAGCCCAAACCTCAATGGAGTTGGGGAAAAAATGCATAAGAGAAGAAATGAAATTTCAATATAAATATATAGTTTTCTATAGCAATGGCCCCGCTCACACATTCTAAACAATTCTGGCGTATCATATTCCAGGACTCAACATACCAAAAACCTAAGAGCGCCTAGCGAAGAAAAGCGCGACTGTTCTCCACAAAAGTGGTGACTAAATAAGACTTGAAATGGCGCAAGAAGATACCAAAATAATACATTCTGAACATATTTGTAGTTATCCAAAATGTAGCAGACGACGTATCACACGTTTAAGCCCTGATGGCTTAGGGTTGCGAAGTCTCACCCATTCTCCGTTAAAAGCATTGACCAGCCAGTCGGACAGACCTAAAGGTGAAAAGTACTGATTAGAAACGGGAGGTAATGGTCGAGGGAGGTAGGGCTATACACATACGCTGATGGACCATCTTGTATGCATGATGGAAGTATATTCCATGATTTGAATCAGGGAATACATGGACATCATAATTGTGCATTCCCATGATGTCAAGTTTATCTAATAGTGTGAGAGTGTTCTGAAAATGGACATTATCGTCAGCCGAACCGTGCATTATTAGAAATCGGGTATTCTGTGATAGCGAAGTGGCGTTTGATATAGATGCATTTTCGTATCCCTCTGTATTATGTTGCGGCATATGCATGTAACGTTCGGTATACACGGAATCTACGGAGTACAGAAAGATTGGTTAGGTTGTTTGAACCATAGTAATAGGTTGGACAATACCCTCCATCGGATGTAGATATTCTTACCATAAAATCGCCAGTCCGTTACTGGAGCCACTGCCATTCCGTACTGGAAGGTTTCTCCTGCATCTTGTTCCAAAGTCTTCAACGTCATGAATCCGCCGTAACTCCAGCCCCATATAGCGATTCGTGTTTTGTCGACGTAGGGCTTTTTACCCCATTCCTTGGCAGTTTGGATTTGGTCATGAGCTTCATAGTAACCTAGATTGCGTCGCACTATGCATCTGAACTTCCGTCCGTTAAATCCGGTACCCCTACCATCAACAGTGACTACCAGGTAGCCTAGATTGGAAGCAACATAAGTCTGAAAATTAACAGTGAATTTCTTGTTAACCGTTTGAGACCCTGGTCCACCATACAGATGGAAGAGAACGGGATATTTTTTCGTCTCGTTGAAATTTGGAGGCCGACGCTCAACAACAGGCAGTTTGAACCCATCAACGGTGATTGTCGAATAGTGCAGTGACGGAAGGGAGAATTCATTGGATAGCCTAGCCAGGTTCTTGTTTTCTTCGATAATTTCGTCGTAAAAGTCTTCATTGCTTGGAGAGCTAATAAGTTTCTGCCATGGAATATTGGGTCCCTGGTATTTCAAGAGCATATAACCAGCCCCATTAGAGAAGGAAACATCGTAATATGCAGACTTTTCAGAGTCATTGAGCATCTGAAGTTCTGAGCCGTCTAGTTTGACACTGTAGACGTGTCTATCGATGGGGCTTTCTTTTGTGGCGACGAAATATACAACGTTATTCTTGAGATCAACACCCGAAGGCGCATCAACAACCTCCCAGTTTCCAGTCGTAAGCATCATTGGCTTGGGGTTTTCCACTGGGGTGAAATATGCAAGGTGGTTATACCCTTCGTGTATTATAGTGTCTATGTACCCGTCATGCGGTCGGCCAGCAGAAGGATCAGAAGGTATATATGTCGTGGAGTGCGACGGCTCAACCCATCCACCGTCAATTTCGTCAACATTGTCTGAACGAACCATTTTACCCTCCCGCTTAGCTGCATCGATGACGGTTACTTTGACAATATAACTTTCACGATTGGTTTCCCGGACCAACATCTTCCCACCAGAGGCCGGGATGACTTCAGCAATAATTCGATCGTCATCTTTCAAGTTATTATCCACATTAACTGAGAAGCTCTCTTCACGCTCAACGTCATAGAACTGAAGGTTAACAGTGGGATTTGGAGCACCAGCCTTGGGGTATTTAATCTGTTGAACGTATGGGTATGCCTCTTCACCTGGCTCTGGGGTGTAGCCAGGAGGTCTTGAAAGATAGAAGTCTATAGGGAATTCGGGTACCATAGTCTCATTTGTACGGAGGAATGATATATACTTTCCGTCTAGTGACCACCAAGTAGCACTGTTTCCTTCAAAGACCTCCTCTTCATATACCCAGTCAGGTATGCCGTAGAACAGGTTTGCTCCCCCGTCGGTCGTTATAGGTTTGACCGCTTTTGACGTGAGGTTTCTGATGTAAATATTGTTGTCTCTTGTAAATACAACAGCATCAGAAGTAGGCGACCAAGATGCGAGCTGTACTCGTCCATTGGGTGCCTCGGGGTCAAGGGGCTGGGCAGTCTGGGTTTCGACATCGAACAACCAGTACAATCCAGTAAATGAATGTCTCCAGTTCTTCTTTTCCCTCGTCATGGCAAGCACTGTCTTCAAATCCGGCGATGGCCAAACTTTTTCAGGGCTGATGCGTTCGTCATTGACAAAAAACACGGACTCTTTCATCAGCACAATTGAATTGTTGTTTGCACGCATGCCATGAATATTTCGAACATCCTCGATGTGCAAGTATGGTCCAATACCTCCTTCACTTTTCTGCAGCAGCAACCCATCTTCCCCCTTGGGTCCCGAAATCCAAGATATTGTATGCTCAACTGGCCCCCACATACCTCCTAGGACATCGTCCAGTGGGATCTTTTTGCCATCGTGAGGGGTGTTAGGTTTGACAATCTCGCTCTCTGAACCACCGGAACTTGAATCTGAGGTAGAGTGCCTATTGTTTGGAGATGTGGCCATGATTATAAATGCCATTGCCCAGCCTCCAACGCAGAGAGCCACGAGCAGCCAGAATACAATTCGGGTTCTCCGCTGTGCGGGCTTCCCACCGGATGGGACATAGCCGTCTTCTCGCCATGATTCCTCCTCGCTATCATGGTATTTCTCGTTCACGTAACTGCCTTCTGTATGGCTTTTGTGGCCATTTGTTGATTTAGACGGCTCTGTGGCTGTGTGGCTCGCACCATCGACAAGAGTAAGGGATATAGAGGCCGTCGAAGACGAATCGATCGAGTCTCGAGAGCCCGCTCCGTGGCCGGTAAGGGGCATCGCCTCGTCGTCGTTCACGCGGCTGTTGGCTCCCATCCTGCCCCAGCTCGGCACAAATGACACTCAACAACAGCTAGTTAGGGTCAATATCATATCTCAGGCCTGTCTAACATTCAAAAAAGACACGATGATGCAGTATTGTAATGAACTGACATTCAAAATCAGTTTCAAGACTTGATGCACTCCTGACAGTTAAAGCTCTGGAAGCTCAGCTTAGGTCAGCCATGGATGAAAGTTGAGAAAGCTTGGCATGCTTTTAACAATAAGATAGAGTTTATGCGCTTCCCCGGATTTTTGGTTAACAAGGAGGCTGAAGAGGGTGTACGTATATTTTATGTGAGAGAACTGGATTATTGAATAGATTGCATTGATATATTTTAAGAAAAAAGCGCCAAGAACGTGTAGCAAATAAAATCACAGTGGGAAATAGGGTACAATGCGTATAGGTAGGAAAAAGGGTAGAAAAGTAGTGCCACGTCTTAGTGACAAGATGCAGTCAAAGTGTTATATACAGGTAGTGTCGGAACAGAAATTCACCATCACCGAAGATTCCATCCCACCTTTCGTCTGGTGTCGGTGTATATGGTTGAGGAACATCACCTGCCAAGGGTTGATTCTCCACTAGACGTGTCTAGTATGTACGCTTGAATGGTGGAACGGCCTTGCACTCGGCCTCGTCGAGAGTAGTGCCGGTAACAGCACGGTACGTGAGGTCAACCTTACCATGGGGCTGCTTCTGGAAGGTAAGGGTGTGCTTCATCCAGTTAGTATCATCTCGGTCGGGGTAATCTTCGCGAGCGTGGGCACCACGAGATTCCTTGCGGTTGGCGGCAGCAACTGCGGTTTGAGTACTAGAAAATTTATGTGAGTATATAGAGAAAGCAAACGGAAATTTTCGGGCTACGGAAGGGGGAAACACTTACGCGCAAGTCAAGAGGTTTCTTAACTCCATGGTCTCAACCAGGTCGGAGTTCCAGATCATGCTGCGGTCCTTGATACAGACATCGTCGAAGGTCTTGTCAACCTCGGTAATTTTAGCAACACCCTCATCCAAACTCTCTTGGGTTCTGAAAACGCTGACATCAGTCTGCATAGTCTTCTGCATAGCGTTTCTAATCTCGAAAGTAGACTTGGATCCATTTGCAGTTCTGATCTTGTCCAAAGCAGCAATAGACTCAGCACCGGCATCAGCGCTGATCTCCTTGTGTGGGGCACCGGGAGATGCATTGTCCCTGACAGTGTGAGAGACAGCACGGCCGAAGACGATAAGATCAAGTAGAGAGTTAGCACCGAGACGGTTAGCACCGTGGACAGAGACACAGGCAGCTTCACCACATGCATACAGGCCGGGAACAACCTTGTCGTTGCCATTCTCATCAAGAGTGAGAACTTCACCAGTATATTTGGTTGGGATACCGCCCATGTTGTAGTGGACAGTGGGGAGGACAGGAATTGGCTCTTTGGTAACGTCAACACCGGCGAAGATAGAAGCAGTCTCGGAAATACCAGGAAGTCGCTCGTGGAGAATTTCAGCGGGAAGATGGCTTAGCTGGAGGTAGATGTGATCCTTATCCGGACCGACACCACGTCCCTCACGAATTTCCATAGTCATCGATCGGGAGACAACGTCACGACTGGCCAAATCCTTAGCGGTTGGGGCATAGTTCTCCATGAATCGTTCACCCTTGGAGTTGAGTAGATATCCACCCTCACCACGGGAACCTTCAGTAATCAGACAGCCGGCACCATAGATACCAGTAGGGTGGAACTGAACGAATTCTAGATCCTGGTTGGGAAGTCCGGCACGAGCAACCATAGCCATACCATCACCAGTACAAGTGTGGGCAGAGGTACAGCTGAAGTAGGCTCTACCGTATCCACCGGTAGCAAGAACTGTGTGGTGGGCGCGGAATCTGTGGAGAGTACCGTCCTCCTGGTTGTAGGCGATAATTCCTTTACATTCACCATCCTCCATAAGCAGATCCATGGCGAAGTACTCAATGAAGTAGTTGGCATTATGGCGAAGAGATTGGCCGTAGAGTGTGTGGAGAAGAGCATGGCCTGTTCTGTCGGCAGCTGCACAGCATCGATAAGCCTGACCACCTTTTCCGTAGTCTTGCGACTGTCCACCGAAAGCACGCTGGTATATACGTCCGTCCTCAGTTCGAGAGAAAGGACATCCGTAGCCCTCAAGTTCGATAACACTCTGAGGGGCTTCTCTTGTCATATAATGGATAGCGTCTTGGTCACCAAGCCAGTCGGAACCCTTCACGGTATCGTACATGTGCCATCTCCAGTCGTCCTTGTGCATGCTAGAGGATTGTCAGAGCCATAACTTAGAAATAAAACGGAAAAAGATAACTTACTTTCCTAGAGCAGCGTTTATACCTCCCTGGGCAGCAACAGTATGACTTCTCGTAGGGAAAAGTTTCGTAACGCATGCGGTGTTGAAGCCAGCTTCTGCAAGACCGAAGGCCGCTCTCAGACCAGCACCACCAGCACCCACGACAACGGCATCAAATTCATGATCCTACAGCAGTCAGGCAAGAATACTCCACAGAAGTTATATCCAGTTGCAATTGGGCGTTTTAGACGTACGATAACGGGGTATTTCTGTGAAACGAAGGGAGAGGCTTCTTTTGCGCGTAGAGGTTGACTAGCGACGATTCGGGCTGAAAAAGATTGTAAGCCGGTTAATTTCTGATCAAATATTTGCAGCAAGCAGCCATGGTCACATACCTGCAGTGCGAGTCTGCGAGAAGCACCTCCTTTGGTCCCGTAATACCCGGGTCAACTGCAGATCAAGGTCTGTTAGAACTGGACATGAGATCAACAACCCAAAGGAGTCGCCCTACCTGGCGTGTTGGAGCAATGCTCCGGAGACCACTGAAGCTCATGATGCTACTCCAGCCAGCAGAGCTATGTGCAAAGACTGCAATGGGTGAATTGGTGCGTTGGCGAGTAAAGGAATGCTGCTTTCAAGCCGTTCGATCCTTTTGGAGTTTCTTCTCTTCTTTCGAGGTGCGAAGTTGGCCCTGCAAAACGGACGCTTACATAAGCACCGTGATCCCGAGGTTTTATTCAGCCAATCAGCTTCTGCCTATCGGTCAGCTTACCCGATTTAGCCCGATACTAACACGTGATACTATAACGGATATCTTGATTATATAAACAGTGTCAGGTGACATAAATATAAACACTTCGAAGTCGAAGAAGGCGTTGATTAAGGGAAGAGAAACGCTGGAGTGCTTCTATTTAATGAACAAAGTAGTATAACATGTCGGTGCGGATGCACCATTCGGATCCTAGGTTCCCCGTCCCAATCCCACACCAGCACCAGAAGTTCAAATAGGACAAGAGAGCGCGAGAGGTCGTTTAATTGTATTGCATATATGTGGCCGTGGAGTTGAATTTCAAGTTACTCTTGATCACCTTATCCACGGCAGCCAAAAAGTCCTTTTCGGTCGCAACCTTGCGGCGTGCTCTGATAGCGAACATACCGGCCTCCGTAGCAACACTTCGCAGCTCGGCACCGGTGGAGTTGGGGCATAATCGGGAGATGAGCTCCCATCTTATATCGCGCTCCACAGACATGCTCTTGGCATGAATTCGTAGGATGTTCGCACGTCCGTCTAGATCGGGGAGGGAGAATTCAATCTTTCGATCAATACGGCCGGGCCTCATGAGGGCAGGGTCGAGAGTCGATGGTCTGTTGGTGGCAAACATGACCTTGATGTTTCCTCTAGAATCGAAACCGTCCAGCTGGGTGATCAGTTCCAACATAGTTCTCTGGACCTCGTTATCACCACCAGCACCATCGTCGAAACGAGCACCACCGATAGCATCGATTTCGTCAAAGAAGATAATGCACGCCTTCTTGGTCCGGGCCATCTCGAAAAGCTCTCTCACCATCCTAGCGCCTTCTCCCACGTATTTCTGAACAAGCTCACTGCCGATAACACGGATGAAAGTTGCGTCTGTTCGGTTGGCCACTGCTCGCGCGCAAAGGGTCTTTCCGGTTCCGGGAGGCCCATAGAGCAGGGCTCCCTTTGGCGGGTCTATTCCAAGACCAACAAATCGCTCGGGTGATAGAAGTGGCATTTCTACGACTTCTCTGAGTTTTTCGATCTGTTCTTTACTTCCTCCAACATCACCGTATGTAACATCGGGCTTATCTTCAACCGTCATCATTGTAACACTAGGGTCGATCTTGGGAGGTAGCGGTAAAAGAATCTGATATTTATTCCGGTCGACACTTTTTGAGCAGAGTATTAGCATGATGAATACATATAAGCTGATGGACGCAACTTACCCTACTCGCATCCCTTCTTCGATATCTGTCGGACTGACACGGTCACCCAGGTTCACCACAAATTTGGCAATCTGCTTCACGTTGATAACGTATTTGCTCTTCTCGGCATCCTTTTCATCTGGAATGATTTTTGTACACCTAGCAACTTGTAGGGGCTGTTCTTCAGCCATCCGCTGTCTATCCGCTGCAACATCCCAGAGATGTGGTGGCGCCAGCCCTGTGTCGGACTCCTATACAGAAAGATAAGTAACCATACCCAAGAAAATAACAAACAGCAACACCGCATACTTTTACTCCTATCTTCTCATTTACGCTTGCTTGTTTGTCCTTGATCTGTTTTTCGAGCTTCTTTATCGCGGCAGCGTATGGGGCGGCGCCGTAAGTCTTCAAGACATGAATATCCCTTCACAAAGGTCAGCCATCCACGCTCAACTGCTAAACCAGGCATCATTAAAACTAACTCATCTGTCAAAGGCGTTATCTTCTTCTCAGGCTCCTCATCGTCGGCAAAATTCTTCTTGTACTTCTCCCAGTTCTGGCCCGTGGCGCTGGGCATGATGTCGATTTATAACGGTGCAGCCGGCGAGAAACAGAGGCAACAGGCGAAATAAGTGTGTAATCGTAGGCGACGAGCGAAGTCCGCAGCTGATATCTAAAGGCAGAGCTTCAGGCAAATGAGGTGAGGCGTATGGGAGTCTTGCTGGTGTGTTCACGAGAGCTTGCTGTCTCGAGGTTTGCTTGAAGCTGTACTTTTGACGCTAGAAGAAGAACATTGCGCGCCAAGCATCTTTTTCTCATCCTCCTTCGAAATTCTATTGGGAAGCTCACAAATTCCAAAACTTCCCTCCACAAGTTGTGATAAATAAATATTCAAGCACACAAAATAACCCACCACCTGCTTCGGCCATACGAGCTCACTAATATTTAAGATGGCGGCCGCTCTAGGTATTCAGGGAAATATGAATAATACTTTTAAAGTCGGTGATCGCTTTTCAATCAGTTGCTGGGTGCCTGGAATATATATACTGACCTTTTGACCTAGGATAAGGAGAAGCCCATGGCGGTTCGCGCTGCGAACATCATGGCAGCCAGAGGTATGAATGGCTCTGCTACCTGGTTAAAACTCATTTACTAACCTGGCTATAGCGGTTGCGGACGCTATAAGAACGGTACGATAGCTTCGTTCTCTAATCTAGTTGAACGCGGGGCTAACGTATAGCAAAAAAAAGTCGCTTGGCCCAAGGGGTATGGATAAGATGGTATGCCAGACGATTATATACCTTTACCGTCCTATTGACTAATAGATTGATTCTATAGATACAAACTGGAAAAGGCGAGACAATAATTGTACGTTGGTTTTCCGTGATATCTACTCACCGACACCCCTCATACTGATTCCCTTGGCCACCACAGACGAACGATGGAAATACCATGTTGAAGGATATGGCCGTCATGCATCCTGCTGCTAAAATGTTGGTAGACTTGAGTGCGGCACAGGACGTTGAGGCTGGTGATGGTACTACATCTGTTGTGGTTATTGCTGGAAGTCTACTAGGGGCTGCAGAGAGACTGCTCGCCAAAGGTACAATACTTTGAGATACCCTTCCAACATATACTCTCTAACACTTGCGATCAGGCCTACATCCTACCGTTATCTCTGAGTCTTTCCAGCGCGCTGCTGCTGCGGCAGTCAAGATCCTCGAAGATATGTCACAACCCATTTCTCTTTCAGATAGGGCCATCCTCCTCCAAGCCGCATCAACCTCCTTGTCTTCAAAAATTGTCTCTCAATATTCCAGCCTGCTTTCTCCTATGGCTGTGGATTCTGTTCTCCGGGTCATTGACCAGAAGACAGCCGAAAATGTGGATCTCCGTAATATTAGGATAGTGAAGAAGGTCGGCGGAACTATTGAAGAGAGTGAGATGGTTGACGGCTTGATCATGAACCAGCCTGTTCTAAAGAGTGCAGGTGGTCCAACTAGAGTGGAAAAGGCCAAGATTGCTTTGGTTCAATTCCAACTCAGCCCTCCCAAACCAGATGTCCGTATATGAATATCCCTCCTCTAAAATGGACCATACTAACCACTAGCAAAATACAGATGGAGAACCAGATTGTCGTCAATGACTACAGGCAGATGGACAAGATTCTTAAAGAGGAACGTACATATCTCCTCAACATGATTCGAAAGATTGCCAAGACGAAATGCAATGTTATCCTCATTCAAAAGTCGATTCTCCGAGACGCCGTCAACGACCTTTCTCTCAACTTCCTTTCCCGCGTTAAGATCCTCGCTGTGAAGGACATTGAGCGTGACGAAGTCGAGTTCGTGTGCAAGAGCTTAGGCTGCAAGCCCATTGCCAACATTGACTCCTTCACCGAAGATAAGCTCGGATCTGCTGACCTGGTGGAAGAAGTGAACTCATCTGGATCCAGATATCTCAAGATTACCGGCATCCGCACCCCAACTGCCACCCAGACCGTCTCTATCGTCGCACGCGGAGCCAACAACCTGATTCTCGACGAGGTGGAACGTTCCCTCCATGATGCTCTCTGCGTAGTGAGATGCCTGGTCAAGAAACGAGCCCTGATTGCTGGTGGAGGAGCACCCGAAATTGAAATTGCACAGGCCCTGGCTAAGCAAGCTCGCCTCCTGACTGGTACCGAAGCCATCTGCTGGAAAGCATTCGCCAGCGCCATGGAAGTCATCCCAGTCACCCTTGCCGAGAATGCAGGGTTGAATAGCATCAAAGTTGTTACCGACCTACGCCATCGTCACGAGATGGGTGAGAAGAACGCGGGTGTCAGCATCCGAAGCGGTGGAGTCAAGGTCAACATAGCCGATGAGCGTGTCCTGCAGCCTTTGTTGGTCAGCACAAGTGCAGTCGAGCTTGCAGCCGAAACCGTGAAGCTTATTTTACGAATTGACGACATTGCCTTGTCGAGGTAGGGGAGAACGATGGGCTTTGACTGGGATGGTCTCAAGATGCGTCCGGCCTGGTATGTTTTTTTATTCCTTTTTGATAATAAACATATATGATGGAAAAGGTCTCAGCATAGGTAATAGAAACAAAAAGCTGTCTTGTCTAATATGTTATTTGTTTGCTCTTGTAAGAGTATGTACGACACAAACAATATTTTTTCTATATATGGGGTAAACCAAGGTACTGCGGCTGTTGTATCAATTCTCACAAGTATACCCGACCTAAGCACAGGCTAGTCAAAGCATTGCTATTACGCGAAGTGCGTGTTTGATCAATGGTATCTAACCCTTAATTGGATTCATCCCAGCTAATGTAGCTAGGCATCGCATTATTCTCCTTCATCTAGAAAGACGTGAGAACGGTATGATCTTGTGTCCTCCCCCAATTGCTGTGCGGTTTCTGAAAACCGTTTCATGTCTAGGTTCTTGACCCATGCGCAGGAAGGCTCTCCGTGTCAGGACAGACCCGTTACGTGTTTAAGCCTCCCTATATTCAGGAGTAATTATGTAACTAAACACACTATAGAGTTAGCAAATAGGTGGATTTTCTGGCCTCGCCCTGTTATTTAGTTAGGTAGGCAGTTAATATAGACAGATCCTAGATTGAAATAGCTAATCCTCGACAATATCTAGATGACTGTACGCTAGTTAGTTGAGTCACTAGATTCTAGATCACCTTCACCCGAGTCCTTAGTCTGGGCCCATGTCTATCCACATTTCCTGAGATTGATATAATTATCGCGGCTATATACATATGAGTGGGGGAGTGCTGGGTGCGGCCGTTCGACGGTTCGACCGACTGATGCCTGGCGACGGATCTCACGGCCTTCTGCATAAGTAGTCAAAACATAACCACCAGGACATACATCTAATACATGCCCAAGATGCCCTAATAGCTCGACTGCCCCCTCCCCCTTAACTTAGCACCGTAACACCAGAGTACACCGGTCGCTGGTAGTGTAACCCCAGCTGATAGAAACGCCAAAAGACTGTTCCCCCATCCGTACTGCAGTGATTTGTACAGCTTGTCGGAGAACAACGGGAACGCAAAAGCTAGCAGGCTTCTTAGCACCTGGGTCGCAGCAGCTGCTGAGCCAATGTGCTCTGGGTAGGCATCCATAACATATGCGGATAGCGTGGTATCAAATATTTGCATACCAAGGGATAGTATAGCGGCACCAATATCGATAACAACCCAGAAGAGGTGATATTGTGCAGCCCAGCCATAGAGCAGGAAGCCAATAGGCGTAAAGAGGGCACCCGGGAGCAGAAGGGGGATGCGGAGCTCAGGTACATTGGTATCACCAGTGTGGCTTGTCAACCTCCTATATGCATAGTCCATGAGCGGCCCAGAGATTTGAGAGCCGGAGATACTTCCGATACAGATAGAAATGTAGTGCAGGCCAGAGATGGATACAGATTCACCGTAAGCGGAGACATAGAGGGCAGAGAAGCTTGCTAGCGCAAAGTACAGCAGGCCGTAGTTGATGCCTTCTAGGATGGCCTGGATCTGGATGATTGGGTGGAATATCAGGAGGCGGAGAGGGCGGGAGAGGCTATGTCTTAGCTTCCAGGAGGTAGAGCGGCCGGATTCACGTATCTCAACCTCGGTGTGGTAGCGAAGATTGCCAGTCTCTTTGCGCCATTTCTTAGCTCGTTGGTAAAGAAGAATAGGCGCGTAGCTCTCGTGAAATAGGAGCATAGACAATAGCTCAAGAATAGCCTGGAGAATAGTAGTTGCCCAAAACATCCATCGCCAGGTAGAATACTTAATAATAAAACCGGCCACAATAGGACCAACAGCAGAGCCAGTTAGAGGAATTAGTAGGTATAGGCTCAATGAGCATCCTCTCTGCTCTGCTGACCATATATCACCAAGCACGCCGTATCCCAGGCTATATACTGCACTGGCGCCAAATCCAGCTAGGAGGCGAGCAGAAATAAGCAAGCCCTTCGAGTTAGCAAAGCCACATATAAGATTCCAGGCCAGAAACCAGATACTAGTAATATGGAATATGGACTTTCTACCATATACCTCTGATATAGGGCCAATAATAAGCGGGCCAAATACTGTCGCTAAGAGATATACTGATAGGGCCATAGTTGACTCGGTGGTTGACATGTTTAACTCAAGTGCAATAGTGTTGATTGCAGGTGCCATCATCTGTAGGTAGAGGTAGATCCTTGTTAGCAGAAAACCCCACAAGTTGAGACAGTTAGGGACGCTCTTACCGTCGAGACCATAATACGAGTAAAGTTAGTGCCAGAAATCGCCGCTGTGAGTCCCCATTTTAACTTCTTAGACCAATTGAGGGGATTCTCAGCATCATCTGGGCTGAACTTAACGAGGAATGCCTCATCCCAGGTGGCAGCCTCTGCGCTGTCGATAACGAGTTTAGTATGAGCTCCTCGACCTTGCTCCGGATCATGTCTTTTCATATCTAGGACACTTTTCTCGTCCTCCTGGCTCTGCTGGGCTGCTTCCTTGCTTTTGGTCTCCATGGCTCTTGTTGAAAGTGACTGCGTGAAGTTAATGAACAAGAAGAGAAGTTGATGAACAAGAGCAATAGTATATCCCTTAGTGGTAAGCCATCAGAGTAATAAAGACCGGAATAAAGGGTCGTCGGAATACAGGGATAGGGATATATGGCGTGTGTTGGCAGTAGTTTATAACGGAATTGCTTATCATGTGCGATCGACATCATTACGAGTCGGAATAGCGATATCAATCACCCAAAAAGGTTAAAGACGCAGCCAGGATCCCAAAGGGTTGATAGATATTACTCTATAAAAGCAAGGGTGGACAGCTTATCATATCGCAATAGTGCATCCAAAGACGAGGAAAGCATATATTCTATATGCAGAGTACCCTAGCAAAACCTTAGGATCCACAATTAGATTGATTAGATTGATAAGATTGATAAGATTGATAGGACGCTGACGACATGAATCTTTGTATAACGTCAACTTTTCAACAGCATTTCAAGGCTCTCGAGGCCATGAAGGATCCGGAGCCATGTAAAAGTTGAGGCATGTTGGTGTACTCGAGCATCATCGGGCAACCGCACGATAACCATGTCGACAGATTGTACGACAAATGACTCCAGCGCAGTGTTGACTCACCATGTGAGGAATATAGTTAAGGATTTCCACCGTCCACAGATGTATAAAAGGCATCGGGCATCGCAGTGTCCGCATACGAACCCGTATTAGGGGCAAAGTAAGGTAGTAAATAGAATAGTGACTTAGTTGTAAACGAAGTAACAAATGAAGGTATATGGCATGTGTAAGTTGGCGGAGTTTTTACCTTATCCCTTAATCGAGATTTGGGTAAGTGAGGAGGTATACCTTTAGGAGCCAAACGAGATATATTAGGTGACTGGCCACTTAGGCTCACTATTGGAAGAGTGAATCACATCCCAGCCATCAAATTCCGAGGCGATGCAATACTCCGTACGGTGGGCCGTTCATATGCCAGGTAGGTAATCAAGACAACTATTGATTGGAAGATCATTCCGAATACCATCGTGCGGGTTTTCTCGGCAGTCATTGAACAGTAATACGTGGTATACTAATGTAGACCAAAGGGCAAGTCACACTGGATGTATATTATTTAATCCGCTTCGCATACATCAACTGCCATTCCGGTTGGACTCTTGCAACCCGGTAGCCATATCGTAAGCCGTTGTCTCAAAAGTAACGGTGTAGACCGATTACGAAAAATCGTAATCCAACATAATCAGAGTGCTACATAGTAGCAAATCGTAATAAATAAGTAGGGAGCCTGGTCGAGAGCGTAAGTGTGGCTCGGAGTACCAACGCAAGCATATTAGTTAACTACTCCGTGAACCCAAAGAAGTACGGAGTAACTAGTTCTCCGGACATGGCCCAGATAGTACCTCACCCACGATGGCTCTAAAGGCTGCCACGTGGAGCCGTGACCTGAGGAGCCTTGGGATCTCCGTCTTCCTGCATTTCTTTGTTCGGTCACATTCTGGTGTGAGGAATTAGTCAGTGGACGGCGCATGCTGATTAAAGATGCGACGAACTTTGACGGTCGACCTAAGAAGAAAGCTAGTATCGAGGAAGAACTTGCTAACCCGCCTTCGAAGAAGATATTCGTCGGGAGTTTGTCGTTCGATACTACTAAGGAAGATCTAGAGGAATATTATTAGGCCTTCAACTACTTATATCTCTAACTACCCAAGCCATTAATCATTTTCCTGGCTCTGAGTATCTACGTGAAAACCGGGAGCCTGCACAAGGTTTGCTCCCAGTTCTCCACCCCATCAACAAGGCGTTTAACGGTGGATATGATCTCTTCTGTAGTTCCCCTAACTTGTTTTGTGGTATCCCTCTCTCGCAAGGTTATCGTACTATCTTTCACGGTATCAAAATCGACAGTAATACCAAATGGGGTGCCCAACTCATCATTGCGTGCGTATCTTTTGCCAATACTAGCATTAGAGTCGTCGATTCGGTTGGAAATCCCTAAGGAACGAAGTTGAGATGATAAGTTTTTAATGATTGGGCGGAAAGATTGGTGGGACGATAAGGGAACTAGAAGCACTTTCGTCGGCGCAACTGATGGAGGGAGCGAGAGAACCTGCACATTGATATTAGCTTCGAGACTTATGCTAAGGCCACTATTGATACCTACCACACGAGCGGCGTCTGAGGGCCGTGACCAGTACACATGCTCGAGAAGCGAATATAGGATTCTACCAATGCCAAACGAAGGCTCGATAACGTTTGGAGTGTATTCCCTCGTGTTCTCGATTTTGCTGACACGCTTGATATTCAAAAGATCTTTGCCGATCGCCACTGTACCATCACCTCCAGATAGATCCGCTACCCGAATCAAGATTTCACCATTTTTTTCCAGAACCGGGGAAAGCCTCTCAAGGGCATCTTGGCTCAACGCAGAAATAGCAGATTCGACAGCTCTAGCATCTTTACGGAACTTTGGCCCAAGCTTCTTCTTATCCAGTATGGCTTCCAGTTTCTCAATTTGTATAGGCTCTGGAAGGGGTTCCTGAACGGTTAATCGTTGTCCAGTTCGTCCAGCATGAACAGTAAGATCATAGGCGCTTCTATCAGCACAGCCAACGCACTCAACCCAGCCAGACGTAGTTAATAGTTCGGCATCCCAACAGTCACAAGCATAGTGGGCCATCTCGTTCGCTAGATGCTGTCGGAATCGTAGCTTAGACTGGTCAATACCAATTTTGATAAGAAATTGATAGATTCTTCCGAGAAAATAGCCTAGCGTCTCATTGTTGACAATGTTCTTCTCAACGGCTTTACCAAGAGATAAGTATTTCGCCGTTGTTTGGCCTGATAGTTGAGTGCTTTGATCAAGAAAGGGCAATTCCAGATGCTGCACGTTCTCAAACCGCTCATGTTTCTTTCCATTGTCGGGGTCAACAAAATGTTCGATTTCCGCCATCAAGAACTCCCGGACCCGCAGCAAGCCAGCCCTAGGTGAGATCTCATTGCGGTATGACTTCCCCACGGATGCAGAAGCAAATGGCATGGTATTATTGTTATACTCCAGCATTTTCCGGAAATTCAGGAACTGACCCTGCGCTGTTTCCGGCCGTAAGTAGACGGGAGCAGCAGCGCTCGGGCCGACTGTAGATTTAAACATGAGATTGAAAAGCTTCGGCTCAAGAACTTCATTATTGCCATCGGGATTTCGAATGTCAAGCCGCTTTATTAGTCGGCCTAAGGCTTCCCCGTCGTAGTTATCAATCTAATATTTTCTTAGTAAAACGAGGAAAGTAATATTTTATAGGAATTTAATACCTGCGCGAGGATTTCCTCGTACTCTTTTACTGCAGAATCACTTAGTTTTATTGGTTTCACTTCCTTAACCTTTGTCTTATCCTTTTTAGTGCCATCCGGGCTGGAAGCAGCATCGTTTGGGCGATCGGATTCAATCCCACGCGCTATTCTATCGCCATCCAGTCTTGCTCTTAGCACATTTTCAACGAGATGGTCAGCTCGAAGGTATTCGCCCTTTGCAGGATCCTTGCACATCCAATCAGCGAACCTATCAACATGGCCACTTGTTTTGAAGACATCTTCTGGAGTTATGGCAGTGCAGTCAAGCTCTAGCATATCCTCTTCAAGCACAAAGTGTTTTCTCCAAATATCGACAATGTTTGCTTGTAACGCACATCCCGGTGGGCCATAGTCGAAAAGGCCCCGGTTATCGCCCTTAAATCCACTTGAAGTGCGATATATTTCGAATGACTCGGTGAAAAAGAAACGACGTTTGAGGAGAGACTCGAAAACGGGTCGGCTGAACAGCTGGCCGATATGATCGGTAATAGTTTCCGACATGCTGGGCTTTGGAGATTGTCAAAAGACAAAATGGCAATAGAGAATATTGTGGTCGTCGGGTGGTTCTAACGAGGCCGGATTTTCGCTGTTGCGTTTCCAAATGAGGGTATGGAACAACGAGCTTTTGACTCAAGATGCGTTTGACCTGGTATGTGTTTTTTTTTTTTTTTTGATAACAAAAGGACGTGATAAAAAGGTCTCAGTATGAGTAATAGAAACAAAAAGCTGTCTTGTCCGATTTGATATTTGTTTGCTCTTGTAAGAGTCACAACGCCAACAGGTAATATCTTATAACTAACGGAGTTCCATATTTAGGTGTGCCTATCTCCAGTCCACTTTTGCACCCACATAGTCGAGTGCTAATCAACCCGTACTCTGCCCCGGACCAGCTAGTAGAAGACACCCTTGAATCTACTCTGTACATATCAAGCGCAACAAAAAGCAACCTCCTGCATCTCGCGATGGAGAGCGCGCTAAACTCGTGACCCTGATAGGACCGGAGCGGCTGAGTCAGCATGCTTATATAATATCCAACATTTGAACTTCCGCGCAGCCAAAAGTTGATTCGCTCCCTTTTTATTGTTTGCGGTTGCATCAACCCGCAGTTGTGCAGCACAAGCAAGCCGCACCGCTTTATAAGGGCTATAGATGTTGTGATGGATACCCAGAGTTGGTGCGTTGCCAGGGGCGGTGCCGTTTGCACCCGTCGGGGTTTCTTTCTTTATTCTCGTGGTGTCCCCAGGAGAGACTTGATTGACCCCTTTCATCAGAAGTCAGAGCCCATGGCCTGAGTGCTTTTTGATGCCATCTATCCCTTTTAACTTCCTATTTTTATTTTTTACCCACTGAAATTGGGATGCTGCGGAACTTGGATAATATCTCACTACTGATATTATCCCTCAAAGTATACCGGGGGCTGGGGCTTGGAGCAAGGAGAGGCTCTTTACGAATAACATCTACTTGCTGATGCCACCTTTCACAATCGATAACCTATACTCATACGGATGATAAGGATGGCATACGAGACCATGACGGACAGAGGACTTCGATTTCGCCGCCACGAGACGGACTGCGAGAAGGGCATGCAGTTTTATGCCTGCTCCAAGGGTTTATTCAGGGGATGCTGTGCGGTAGATCCTTGCAATACTGGTGAATGTCCGGATAACGCAAAATCACCGTCCTCGCCTACCACTAGCAGACAGACTTCACGAGCAACTCAGACTCAGTCGCCTACCTTGCATTCAACCTCAACCTCTCGAACTACTACCTCGCATACCACCATAGCATCGAAAACAAAGACCTCTTTATCCATAACATCCATGGTATCCACGGCATCCACGATAACTACGCTAACTATTAGTTCTCCACCTACAACGGCCACTGAGACAGTATCAACAGCTATACCACAGCCAACAATCATCCATTTAGGCCCCAGTCGAGGTGCTTTCATCGGTGGTATTGTAGGGGCTGTGGTTGTTGCGCTACTTCTTTGCTGTAGCGCATGCTTCTGGCTCCTCATTCGACGTAGGAGGAAGAAGGCTGGAAAATGGGAAGGAACTCGTGCAATGATACTCTGTCGACGCAAGAAGGAAGCCACTACAATCGTTGCTAGTCCCAGCTCCGAAAAACCACAAGATCATGGGCCATGCGGCGAGCTCGATGGTACGTTCCCAAACAGAGCATACAATTTCAATCGTTCTCCATGCTAAAATTCATCTGTTAGGAAGCAAATACCGAGCAGAGATGTTTGCTCCCTCAGATGTCTCTACGCTAACTGCAAGCCCCAGAACATGCGGCGATTCACCTTCGATCGGCTCTTCTACAACCGTCAGCCCCAGCACGCAAAGCATTGCCTGGTCAAATGAGAAGATAGCAACCCAAAGCGCCATGTCGACCCCCTTGCGAGGCTTTGGTTCTGTCTCTACCATGGCCCAAGGGAACGCTATAAATACAATCCCTGAACTCCCCGCTACCAACTCACCTCAACTGCCAGCCCCAAGAGAACCAGATAGTTCTTCGAGTGCCACTTCATCTCTCCGCCCGCCCCATCTTCCACCGTCCATGTCTCCTTTTTCTCGTGAGGGCGTCCAGTTAACAGTAACAACACCAGAAGGCATCGTGTTACGGCCAAACTTACATGATTCTCCTGCGCAGCAACATCAGCAATATCAGGAGCTCGAAGCTCCGCTCCATGTGATGAGCTTCATGGAGTATTCCGATAGAAAGCGCAATAAAGAGACATAGACAAGCTCCATATACATTATATGTTCTTTTTCATGGAACAATTAGCATTGTTTTCGTTTTGTTAGGGCTGCTTCTAATACCCGCTGGTTTTTTGGCCTATATAGGCAGATACTGCCTTCAGTCTGGTACCATGTAGATAGTTGGAATAGAAATCAAATCAACCATACAACTTTCATCTTACCTTGGCCCTAATCTATAAGTTCTACCCCTTTCATTCAATTTTAACCTCGAGGAACTTTGTACATCTTTGGGCCATGTATATATCACGTGACATATCCTAAACAATTTTTCCCTTTTTGCACAAGACAAAAAGACGAAGACATCAAGAGATTCCTACAATTAAACGAACACCCCAATTGCAAGGAATCCAAAAGCCGCCACAATGATCTGTCGACAGTGCCGCTCGTCTCTTTTCTCCCGTCTCCCTTCATCCAGAGCTGCGTCGCCTGCACACTCAACCCTCCTATCGCGGCAGCACCTACTATCCCAACCTCGATTCTACAGCTCTGCAGCACCAGCCGAAACCGCCTCTCCCGCCCCTTCTAAACCCCCTTCAAAGACTCCAAAGGTCGTCAGCAGTGTCCCGGCAGGCACAAAACTAGCTGGATTGAACTATGAGAAAAACAAACAAGATCCAATTGCGCTGGAAGACCACGAGTACCCAGACTGGCTGTGGACGCTGCTAGACAAATCAGCCAAAAAGTCCGAGGCCGGAGCGGGCTCAGTCGACGTTTCGAGTACGTATATCTATATCGAGCGTTTTATAAGTTATGGGGAAACTGACTGGAATTTTTCACTTTGTAGCAATGAACAAGAAAGCACGCAGGAAGCACGAGAAAAAGATGGCTGCTTTGGCTGCTTTGAAGCCGCGGGAGATTCCTCTGCATGAGCAGGCTACTGATATTACGCCCGCTGGTTACAATGCTCCTGGTGAAGCGCCGGTCAACAGTATCGAAACTGCTACCGCTGGCTTAGCTGCCCGAGGCGAAATTACGAAGAGTTCTCGTGATGCTAGGAGGAAGGCTATCAAGGAATCTAACTTCTTGCGTGGATTGTAAATGGTTTTGCGGCCTTGGAGTTGAACACCGGATATGATGGGAATAACGATATCTAGAGCTGAAGGCTTGCTCGATGTCCTTTTTGGTATATCATGACGGTCAGCTTGCTGAAAGCAGTAGCCGTGATTACTTTTTACTCCTTTTGTACACTAACTTTAGAAAATACTGTATTCTACAATATTATTTCTCGATATGACTCGCCTTCGATATGTTAACTGAGCTCTACGGCGGCTGAATGCTTATTAGGGCAGACTGACGTTTAATCTCATAGACTACTCGGGATACAGAGGAATGATTATGTTTCTCATATGACTTCATTGTCTGGATAAATGAGTGGCTGCTACCTTTATATTCGACTTGACAAGATGAACACCAAAGGATGGACAGAACTTTGGATGTAGAGAACCGAGAGACCCGTTTTTATCAGATATGACTGACTCAGCCGTCATCACACCTTAAACGGAGACCTGGACTCTCTTGAACCCGCCCTCCTCAGCAACCTTCTTCTGGAGAGCACACATCTTCTTCTGGTCGCCGGTTGGATCGGCAGACTCTGGCTCCATCTCCCAGGTAAGGAACTGGTTGGTGTAGTTTGGCTTGAAGGACTCGTCCAAAACACCCAATCGTTTACCGTACTTGGTGACCTTCTCCCAGTCACGCGAGACGTTCTTCAGGTCCTTGCTGAAGTAGGCGTAAGAGCGCTCGTAGATCTTGCGGTTAACAGCAGTGTTCATGACGGGCTTCATGTCGACGTATTCCTCGAATGCGGCCTCGGGCTTCTCCAAGACGTAGTCGGTAGCACGCTTGACGGCCTTCATGAACTTCTTGACCTTCTCCGGGTTCTCGGAGATGAACTTCTCGTTTCCGATGTAGAGGATGGAGCAGAAGCAGCAGCATCCTAGCTCAGCCAGCTCGTCGATACGGAGCATCTGGACGTCTGAGCGGGGACGGTTCTGGCTGGCGAGCCATTCTTCGAGTTCGACCATCTGGACGTTCTCGAGACCGATGCCGGCGTCAATGTCACCTTGGATGATGGCCTTGCTGACGTTCATGCCGCAGCGGATGGCGGTGTAGTCATCAGCAGTCATGCCATAGTACTTGGTGAGCTCGTCAATTTGGATCTATAGCAGTTAGCCTGACTTCTATGTACGGACAGCCGGGTTGAATACCTTGCCGAACTCTCCAACGTAGCCGATACGCTTGCCCTTTAAGGAGCGGAAGTCGGTGGTGATTCCGCTGTCCTTGAGATAGACGACACCAGTGAACGGTTCGTCGAGAAGAGAACCAATTGACAGGACTGGGAAGTTTCGTGCTTTGGCCTGCTAAGGTATCAATATCAGGTCCAAAAGAGAATGCTCAACGGCTACTGACAGCAAGGGTATGGATCATGGCCTTGAAGCCCAGGTCGACCTTCTCGCTTCCAATGATCTCGGTGACATCGGAAGGGTCGTTTGGCTCCAGGATGGCGACCTTGATGCCCTCGTCCTGGAAGTATCCCTTCTTCTGGGCCAGGTACAAGGGGGCGTGGTACGGGGTAGCATGCCTTTCAGAACAGTTACTCCCATACAAAACAGACACAAAAAGACAGAGAGCAATTGATCACTAAGACCCATGTAGACAAGCTACCAAGGAACCTACCAGTTGGTGAGGAAAGTAATCTTATCGGTAGACATGATTACGGGCGGTCAGACTGTGGACTGTCAGCATCACAACGCACCCTCGTACAGAGGGGGGATAAAAGAAGAAGATGGGGATCAGGGAGAAGTGAAGTCGCGTGTGTCCTTTCGCTAGAATTATCTAGATCAAGTTCAGACAGTATAATCTCAGAACAGCCGGCGTCCTCAGGCTCATAGATAGATATATATTGATATCATGCCATGAGACGAGAGAAGCACCGAGCTGAACACCTGTCACTCGTGACTGATATGATATATACCACAATACCTTGACTCTTGGATGAATCCATAGCGAACCGGGACGGCTCCATGGTGAGAAGACCGTCCCCTGTTATTCGCGACCTCGAGACTTCTGGCTCTTCGTACCGTCTGAGTGATGTCGGTGGATGGGATTGACTGGCTGGATGAAGATGAATTGATGATGATGAATGAAGAAGAGGAAGAGGAAGAAGAAGAAGAAGAAAAGGAGGGGCAAAGCAAGAAAAGAGGGACGGAGTGGGCGGATCTTCGGCCTCGAAGCCGCCAAGCTGGTCAGAAGTGCAAGGTTTCTGCCCTCCCGGCATACGCCCTGCTACTATGTACACTAAGTATACTATGATACGAGGATGGAGGGAAAAGAAGGATAATATATTAAACTGCCTATGTGTGTGTCAAACGTGTCAACAGGAGAAGTAGAAGGTCTGTCAAATTTGGATAACATAGAGGTTGGGAAAAGGGGGGAAAAGGGGGGAAAAGACACATATCAAGAAGACACCAAACATCCAAAAGATAAACACTTGAATAATAAAAGAGAGACGAAGAAGAAGAGAAAAACACCGCCCAATGCCATGAGTTCCGAGTTAACTCCGAGTCCAGCCGCCAGTCTGTTAAAATCCCGCAGTCTTCCAAAGCGCCGTTCATGTCGATTTCGTCTGACATCATATAGAAAAGGGTCGTTTTGGACGTGATACTTCCGTCGATCCGGGAGAGCTGGAACGCAGAATGATAAAAAGAAGGTAAAGAAGATGTCGTGATCATGCGGAGATGCTGCCTCCGGTCCATCTGAACCGCCCTAGGCCGCCCTGAACAGCCTCTCTGCCACAGCCGGCTCCTGGCTTGAGGCTGGCAAAGCTGCTGGTGGCGGGCTCGCTGACGTTGCCAAGTCCGTTCCCGTAGAGACCTTGGCCGGACTCGACTCTACCCACCTCCCGGCCCAGGATGTAGCCGGCAGAGAAGCTGATGGCGGAGAAGAGCACGACGACGCCGGCGCTGATCACCCACGTCATCACCGTGGGACTGATGGCCGAGCTTGTCTCCGTGGCCGTGTGCCGTCCGGTCTTTTTGGCTGCGGCACGGTCCTTGGATGGGCTGGCTCTGCGTCGAGCCTTCTGGCTGCCGGCAACGGGGGATCGTGAACGTCTGGGAGACGGAGACGTTGGAGATCTGAGCAGTGGTGGCGGGGCAGGTGCACGGATGGGTTCGGCGGAAGGTTCATACTCCGCGTCAGCGGCACCTGGGAGGAGACGGAAGGTAGACGGTTCCGCTCTCGGGGGCGATCGATCGGCAACCGACGGCTGGCTGTCGTTCTTGGGTAGGCCACGAGCTGCGGCTGCACAGGATAGGAGGGTAGAGAGGCTCGCGCGCAGGGCAGCGTCATGGTCTGCCTGGTAGGAGGGTGAGATTATGTTGAAGGGAGAGTGCTGAGGTTGCTGGTTTGTCGATCTCCGGGACCCGATGCTGTGCAGGCTGTTTCGTCGGGTACCTGATCTGCTATGTAGTAGTCTCGCAGCAGAGTCGAACGAGTTCCGCGGCTGCGTCGTTCGTATGGAGGCTGGTGGGTGAGAGAACGCATTGGGCTGTGGGTTGAACCCCAATGCGGTAGATGTATCGTCTTCGTCATCGCTTGAAAGGGTCTCGTCTGATTGTGAAGACATCTCGGGCAGCATGTTGACATCTGGCTGCGGTCGTTCTGGGAAGTCATCGTTTGAGATCTGGTCTGACTCGCTCTCCGTCTCCTCGTTCTCATCCTGACTGCTCCCCGTCGTGCTCGACGCACGGTGTGAGTAGCCGATTTCCAGATCCTGCGGTGGAACATGATAACCGCCATGGTGGTGATGATGGTGATGCGGCGCTCGCCGTCTTCGAAGCTGTTGGACCCTCAGCCCCGTTGTAACGATCTCATCGGTCGTACCGGCCGAAGACAAGGAGGAAGAAGAAGGCTGTGAGGAGAGTTCGATCCAAGAATCTACATAATACCTGAATGAGTACATTGTAACACTTTGAGTCTTTTGATATCCAATAAATCAATGCATAAACGAGGTGTTTCATGCAGGGACGGCAGGAAGATGTAGCAGTTTTGGGCAGATACGGGAGTTGAATCCTGTTTCCAGAAAGGTCTATGCGACCTCAAAAGCCGATCAGGACCAGATAGAGACGTGAACTCACCTTCTGATCGACGAGCATGACCTTCCTGCGCTGGTTGAGGCCGTATGCCACGCTCCGGTGACGCGTTATTCAAAGTCATGGTGGATGGTAGTGTGTGCGAGGTGCATATATCTCCAAGTCTCCCTCCACACCTGCAGTTATATATATACACTCCAGAACCAGAAGCCGGAGCTTGACGATGCCGGAAGTAAGTAATCGATTTAAGAGTTCACTAAACAGTAATAGATATCAGTAAACGTTATGGCAGATAAAAAAACATCCATATATATAGTTCGGAGTGTTCCCCCCTCACAAACTAGAACATACACATGCAGTCAAAAAGAAGGCCACACGCCTGCTCCATTCGACTCTCTCTCCAGTCAAGTCACCAGGAGATGCGGTAGAAGCGGTCAAAGGAAAGCCGTCTGCTGTAAAGAAATAGATCTGGCTATAAAGGAGGCAACCAGCCCTCTCACCTGACTGTGGCACGAGGAAGGGCAGCCTGCGTCAATGTAGACACTCGACCGAGCTGGTCTCACCTGGTTCAGCAAGTCAAGACGGACGACGCTTTGTGTAAAGGAAGAAACATCGTCAAAGGAGATAAAACGAAGAAGAAGAAATGAAGAAACGAAGAAGAAGAAAAGAAGATGACGAAAGCGGGAAGGCGGTGAAACGGCACGATAAGGTGATGGGTTATGTCATCGGGGCGTGTGCCTAAGGCGTGGCGTTGGGGGAAGAGGCGGTGGTGCGTCGTGCTATCAGCGGGAAAAGTGCGTGGAGAAAGTGGAACTACCCCGCATCCATGTTCATCAACGATGACTAAGCAGCGAAGAACGCTTGGAGAAGAAAAAGATAAGATAAGATGATCTCTTGTATTTCTTTTTCTGTGGATATAAAAGAATATATTTTCATTGCCCTAACATGAAGTAAATAAAGAGGAGACTCTACAGTAAATAAGCAACAGACAGACAGAGAATAAAGAGAAATACCGATTGCAGACAAATTCCGGGAAACAGGACTTTTTTTCGTTTTGGGTGTAGGGTGGATGTTATACATTACCTGGAGAGTCATATACACGCTCTACCTTTCGTAACAGAACCATGAAGCCATCGGGATATCAGATCTAGAAAGTAGTCTTCTTGCCGGCGAAGGAGGGAGCACCGCCACGGCCTCCACGACCGCCTCCACGGCCACCGCGGTCACCGAAGCCACCACGTCCGCCACGGCCGCCACGACCTCCACGACCACCACCGCGGCCGCCACGATCGCCGCCGGAACCGGGCTGTCTGGGAGTGCTGAAGTCGATACGGATGGCACGGCCACCAAGGTCAGCACCGTATTCAGCCTCCAGGGCAGCGCGAGCTTCGTCGACGGAAGAGAACTGGACGTAGCCGAAGCCCTTGGGACGGCCTGAGTCAGGGTCGGTTGGGAGACGGATGCCCAAGATAGATCCGTGCTTGGAGAAGAGTTCCTGGACCGCGTTCTCGTCGGCAGAGAAGGGGAGGTTTCCGAGGAAGAGGGTGTCGCTCTCAGGGCTGGTCTGGTCGCCGAAAGATTTGGCACGGCTGTCGGCACGCTCGCGTGGGTTTCCACCAGCGTTGGTGCGGGCGTTGGCGAAATCGAGGTTCAGCTTGCGGCCGTCGAGCTCAGCATCCTTCTTAGCAGCATGGGCCTTGACGGCGTCCTCGACGTTGGCGAACTCAACGTAGCCAAATCTAGTTATAGCTATGTTAGTGAACTGACATTTTCACACGAGCAACAACGACCAATGCTTACCCTCTGGATCGACCGGATTCACGGTCAGTGACGATGCGGGCGCCTACGAGCTCACCGAACTCCTCGAACTCGGAGCGGAGCCACTCCTCATCGACGTTCCAGGAGAGATTACCGGCAAAGAGGTTGGCGGAAGCGCCATCAGGAAGGTTAACCTTGGCCTTCTTAGCGGCAGGCTCGGGTTCTTCTTCGGCCTTGCGCTTCTTCTGTTGTGGCTTCTCAGCTTCCTCCTCTTCGCTGGAGTCAGAATCGTCAGAGTCTTCCTCGTCGTCATCGTCGTCATCGTTGTCGTCCTAGAACATAATTAGTCACCCAGCTTGATAGAAAAGAGGACTTCGTTAAACATACCTTCTCTGCCTTGGCAGGCTCGTCAGAGTCGGATTCTTCAGAATCTTCAGACTCATCCGAGTCATCAGAGTCCTCACCCTCGGCCTTGATGTTCTTAGCCTCCTTGGGGGCCTCCTTTACCTCATCGTCAGAGCTGTCAGAATCGTCACTGTCCTCGTCGTCACTCTCGCTATCATTGTCCTCCTTCTTTCCGTTGGCAACCTTTGCGCCATTCTTAACTGGCTTCTCATCCTCGGACTCTGAAGATTCGGATGAGGAGTCAGAAGAAGCAGTGGCGCCATTCTTCACAGGAGCGGTCTCCTCCTCGCTATCTTCACTCTCCTCCTCACTCTCAGAGCTCTCACGGCTCTCCTCACTCTCAGAATCGGAGCTTTCAGAAGGGGTAGGAGCCTTCTTGCTCTTCTTGACCTTGTTAACAACGGCCTTCTTAGCAGCCTCCTTTGTCTTTACCGTAGACTTCTTCACACCACTGTCCTTCACCTTGGTGAGGACTTTCTCATCCTTCGCCACAGTTTTAGCCTTTGGAGCCTTCATTTTGCTTCCCTTTTTGCGTGTTAGATGGGTAATTCAACAGCTGCCACACACCGTAAACAAGACTTACCACTTGATAGTTTTTGAAAACACGAGGTCAATTCCCACGAAATCAATAGCCCTCAGTACGCAACAGAGCCCACAGAGCAATATTCAGTTAAGAGCCAACAAGGAACTAATTCTCTCAAGCCCACAGGAACAGGGAGCCCACAAAAGATCGATTATGTCACAAATAACCCACAAGCCAACGAGACAGACACTCTTTCGAATGACCGTCTATGTAGATGTAGATACTAGCAAGCAAAATCCCACAAATGTCAACTTATCCCAAGCCCTCAGCCGACAAGCGAACAGTTAAAGCCCTCTGATAAATCTCACGCGACAAGCCCACAGAAGCCCACGGAAAATATAACGAATCACAATAAAGAATCTTATACAGAACGTATAAAGCTCTTTATAGCGACTCGGAATTAGGAGAGTCTTTTGAATTCAAGTGAAAGGGAAATAACGGTGTGATTGATGAAGAAGAAATTTCCCAAAGTTGGACGCAAAGCTAGATATTTATCAAAGCTTTTTTTTGGGTTGCCAACTTTTTTTTCTGCCGCTTAAAATTTCACCTTCACCGCCTTTTTTAGCTTTCCTCTACTAGACCTAAAACGGACTAGCGTTTGTCTTAACACTCGTTCCTGCTTAGTCATCTTTAACTCCCTAAAAGTCCGAATTGGGAAGTTCGCGACGTGCAACCGATGTTGATATAAAGACACAGTATAAACCACGAACGATGCAAAGGGGTGGTTTGATTGTTTGACCAGTGTACTGCGCATTACTTGTCCTTGGTATTTATTTGAATGGACGAACCTTGCTACTGATACAATGGCACCGACTTCGCCTTCAACTCACCGACCGCGAAAGAAACGCCGAGCACTATCAGGTGCTGGGCTGAACACCGACCTGGTAATATCCAGAGATCATGATGTCTACACTCCTGCTTTTCCATTAGTCTCCTTCTTCTGGCCTGCGCGGTCTGGCGTATCTCAATGGCTCATCCTACCCGTCGTGTTGATGATTGTTGGCCTTTTCCGGTGGGGAACTTCACTGTGGGGTCACTCAGGTACACATTCGTCTCATTCTTTGCAATTTCATATTTCATTGTAGTTAGATGGGATAGTTTGCTGATAATTTGTATAGGTTATGGAGTACCCCCAATGCATGGTGACTTTGAAGCTCAGAGACACTGGATGGAGCTGACAATACACTTGCCAACCTCCTGGTGGTATTTCTACGACTTGCAGTACTGGGGCTTGGATTACCCTCCATTGACGGCCTATCATAGTTGGCTCCTGGGGAAAATGTACGGCCCCTATCTAATTATAGAGTTGTATCAGAAGCTAACACAAGATAGAGGCCAATTAATAAACCCGGCGTGGTTTACATTAGACAAATCTAGAGGCCTAGAAGAGCCATTATTAAGGGTCTATATGCGTGCAACTGTCGTTGTTTCCGAGTATTTAATTTATATTCCAGCTGTTGTCATCTTCCTCCGGAGGTATGCTCGTGAGCAAGGCGTTGGACCATGGCCGGGCTCTATTGCTCTTTGCGCAGTTCTTATGCAGCCATCTACCATCCTAATTGACCATGGACATTTCCAATACAACACTGTGATGCTCGGCTTTATTGTCGCCTCCCTCGAATGCATGTACGCTGATAGGCCGCTCTGGGCCAGCTTATTCTTTGTTGGCGCCCTGGGATACAAGCAAATGTCGCTCTACTTTGCTCCGGTTGTCTTTGCTTATCTATTAGGAATTTGCTTTTCTCCTCGTGTTCGGCCCAACAGGTTGATCAGCATTGCCTTGATCACCATCGTTGCGTTCGCCATCCTATTCACGCCACTTTTTGCCGGCACTCTCTCGGATTGGTATGGCGACATACATGGCCCTACTGACCAGCCTCCATTGATGAAATCCCTCCCCATACATATCAACAAGGCATCCTGGCTTCACCAGGTGGTTCTACAGCTTACTCAGTGTATCCACCGCATATTCCCATTTGCACGAGGTTTATTTGAAGATAAGGTCGCCAACGTCTGGTGTGCCATCCACACTTTCTACAAACTCAATAAATTTGATCCCAGCATTCTCAAGCTAGCAGCACTGGGTGCTACACTCATTACTATTATACCATCTTGCTTGATAATTGGACGTTACCCTCGAACACACCTTCTACCCTATGCACTAGCAAGCACGGCCTGGGGTTTCTTTCTCTGCTCGTTCCAGGTCCATGAGAAGAGCGTATTGCTGCCACTTTTGCCAATGACGTTACTTCTGGGGAGTGCTGGTGGACTCAGCAAAGAAATACGAGCATGGGTTGGCTTGGCTAATATGCTCGGTGTGTGGACGATGTTCCCACTCCTAAAGCGCGACGAACTAAGAATTCCTTACACAATCCTTACATTGTTATGGGCATATATGCTCGGGCTACCTCCCACTTCTGTCGATCTCTATAGAAATTTTGGTGGAACAGAACAATTCGTCGAGTTATTCTCCATAACAAAATTCATCCATCTATCCTATTATGCAGCTATGTTAGTATGGCATATCCTTGAGTTTACCGTCAACCCGCCTCCTACGAAACCGGACTTGTGGGTGGTCCTTAACGCACTAATCGGTGCATCCGGATTTGGGATCATCTTCCTATGGTGCAACTGGAAACTAATACAGACAGCTATCCTTGAGCCGTATCAGCCCTCTTCGAATATAAAACGCAAGCGTGCAGTGTCTGAGAAAGTACCTCTTGACGATTCCAAAGAACAGAAGGTGTCTAGTAAGGGCTCAGAAGATAGCAAAGGTCACACCAAAGTACAAGGCCTTAGCGGCTAGTCCGCCTTCTCATGATTTGTGTACTTAAGCAGGGCTCAGGGACCACCGAATATACCCTGAGTTCCAGCTCATTCTACAAGAGAAAAGACGTCACCTTGTCTTTAGTAGACATCGTCAGGCAACCCCTTGATGCTACCCCAGGCTCGGTATTAGCGAAAGTAACCTCTCGCTTGAGGTTAAAATAATGAACCATTCAGCAGCTGGTGGAACGGAGCTTCCCCTCAATGCGTCTCTTCTCTAGGAGCCACCTAAAATGTCTCGCACAAATTGCACGAAGATTATTTTGTTGCTACCTCTAGGTTATCACCTTATAATACGGGCAGGCCTGTCCAAATATCTATATTAAGGTTATAATCTATCTATGACAATGCCCTAAGCTTAAGGCGTGTTATTTAAATACATCATCTATTAACTACTTTCTATACCTACCCTCTTCTAATATTCTATCCACATGTATATACTGTTTCAATGCAAAACCCAGAATCTAAGATGTCAAACACAAAGGAGTAATCATTGAATGAATAGAGATATTCCATTAAGTATTACACTGTGATGTTATACATTGAATATGAACCCTAGTCCAGGATCCATCAGATTCTATAATCCGCTCTATAACCATTTGCCCAAACAATAATATACAGTAAAACACAGCGGCTAGGGGTATCTGTCCCAGTCATTATACAAGTACCGTGTCGAGTAGCACACGGAATCAATCAACAGGTTGCCAGACAGCCCGCATGTATCCAACCTGATTTCAAATCTTTCCGCATTTCCGTTATAGTCCCAGCGCGCAAACATTAAATTCAGACCTTAAATCCGAATTCGGCCATACAGGACTTGTATTCTTGTACGAGTTGCAAGCATTCATTTGCAGCAGGATCGCTAGACTTAGAGAAGAGCATGCATTCGTCTCGTGCAGCCTTTTCAGATTTGCATACGCAACATGGCTAAAGATCAAAAATTTCCTGTCAGTAGATGTTCAAAAGGTAGTATACATTCCAAATATCAAATCTGGCATACCTTTGGCTTTGAAGTTTCAGAGGGAGAGGAGGTGGTGGCAGCCGAGTTGGACTCGCCAGGGACAGTTGGCTCTGATGCATCGGGTCAGTATTTTGCCAGCAAAAGTAGACGATATGAACTTACTCGTCCAGAGCGCCGACAAGAAACCGGACATTGTGCGCTAAAACGAGGGAAAACGTCGTAGGAAACGAGAATTGCTTAACCGTGAAGTTGCTTGTCTGATACTCGGATGGAACTCCGGCTTTTTATGATGATCAATCAATTTCCAAGTTAACTCCGACAACCTTGTTATGTCATCGCGGATTAAAGATTATCCTGTGTCAGCTTAGTCATCATTCGAGCCGCCAAAAGAAAAAAAAAAATAAAATAAAACCTTCGTGGGGCTTTTTGGAGCCTCCTTTTTTTCTGTCCCTCTTTTTTGATAGAACAATTTACTTGTTGATAAATCCTTTTGCAGCGCCGGTTTTCTGATTATACCGTTTCCCTTGCTTATAACGTCCTGTTGGTATTACTTCTTACTGATTTTCTCCTCATCTGCGCCGCAAGTGGTGAAATACATCTAGTATCAAGGAGGAACTACCCCACTATGGCCTCTACCTCTCTCTTCTCGATCGAGGGCAAGGGGAAGAGATTTGACTCTGCTGACGACTTAGAACCATTTATTAAACCTCTCGTGGAAACCGACGATGTTATTACAGAAATCCGTTTGGGTGGAAATACATTTGGTGTCCCTGCAAGCGAGCGTTTAGCCAGCGTCCTCCGAACCCAGAAGAAGCTACATACAGCTAACCTGGCCGATATCTTCACCTCTCGACTTCTCGACGAAATACCACAGGCGCTCTCTTTCCTCCTAAAAGCCCTTCGCGAAGTCAGCACACTTCAGACGATCGATTTAAGTGATAACGCTTTTGGATTGAACACTCAAGCGCCACTCGTCGAATTTTTGAAGGCGCACACCCCACTACGTCATTTAATCTTGAATAATAACGGCCTGGGCCCAAAGGCTGGGAACCTTATTGCTGATGCGCTAAAAGAATTGCATACGAGAAAGGAGGAAGCTCGGTCAGCGAACCCCAAGGTGGAGGTGCCATACCTAGAGACGATAGTATGTGGCCGGAACCGACTTGAGAGCGGAAGTATGGCTTCGTGGGCGAAGATGGTAAAGAGCCATGGCAAGGGGCTTCGCACGATACGGATGACGCAGAATGGTATTCGTCAGGATGGAATAGTTCTTTTGCTCGACACGGGTCTGCAGCACGCTCCTGAGCTTGAAGTGTTGGACTTGCAGGATAACACCTTCACCATGGCTGGTTCGCGAGTCCTGGCGCGCGTTGTTACCGGGTGGCCCAAGGTCCGTGAGATTAGTTTAAGTGACTGCTACCTTAAAGGTAAAGGAGCCCTCTTAGTCGCGAAGACCCTGGCAAAGGGAGAGAACAAGCAGCTGGAGATACTTCGTCTAGCCTACAACGACATTACCGCTGAGGGATTGAAGGAGTTTGTTCAGGCGGCAAAGAGCTCACTCCCTGCCTTGAAGCGTGTTGAATTGAATGGGAATAAGTTAAGTGAGGAGGATTCCAACCTTGTGGATCTCCGTAGTCTTCTCGACGAGCGTAAGGAGAAATTCGGCAAGGACGAAGACGAGGCTGCCTGGGGTTTGGACGAGCTTGATGAACTAGAGAGCGAAGACGAAGAGGAGGAAGACGAAGAAGAGGAAGAAGAGCAAGAAGTGGAGGAGAAGGCCGAACGAGTTGTCCAAGATGCCGAGCGTGCTGAGAACGAGAAGGTAGCCCAAGCCCCGGACAAGAAGGTCGATGAGCTTGCCGACAAGCTCGCGGCTACAGGATTATAGCAAACGGGATACATACGCTCTCTTTAGCAATGATTTGAGTATCAGACCTGTAAATGCAAATGTTCATGGCTTCCTTTCTCCCGAACCTTCACATACGCTATACGATGTATGCTCCGTATACTTCAACGTAGATGCATGCAGCGCTGATCCTGCAGGCCGAATATTTATAATACTTATGCATAATAATACTAGAACCCGTTTGGCTTGTGATACTCTTGAAGGAGAGAGGCTCAGTGACAGGGAAAAGAGTGACAACCCGCAGCCTCCATACATAATCCAGGTCATAAAAAGATCTTCCCGAGCCATCCGGCAATGCAGAAGATGCAGAAGACGTACGAGCCTCGCCTTCAATCCCTGCCGAGGATGAGACCCTATAGCAAAAAGGACATCATCTTGCACTTTCGACCTCTTCGATTTATTATATAGAAGCTGGCTGTTCTTTTTTATATTCCTGCTGATAAAGGCCTTTTTATATCCCTTAAAGTATTAACGTCGCTGTTTATATGGAAAATTGCATCTTTATATTATAGACAAGGACAACTGCCATCCTGACATCAAGTATTCAACAACCCGACAGACATCAATACTTCTCATCTCTTCTGATATATATATATATATATTCATACCAGCTATACTGCATGGTTTGAAAGGGCTTCCTGTTCTAAGCTGATATAGTTGCAGGACGTCTTTGCCTAGCTGCATCGGTGCGGCTTCATGACATGCAGAGAGCAAACACCGACATACATGACAGTCCTATATGTTGACATCTTTTGTTTACACACAGTGGCACTCTTGTCCTGGTTACATGTCTTTTCTCATCGATAGACACCAGCTGAGTGCAGTGTTAGAAAGGCATACTTTGTTCTGCTACAGCAGCGTTGATATCACGAAAAAAGACACGACATCGAAGTCAAAACTCCGCATCGACGGGAAAAAACAGGAGAGAAGAGATTCAGGATGATACCCAAGTGTTTGAATTTTATGCCAGAGGCCTCGCCGGCTGCGCAGAGAGCGTTAGCAGAAGCAGGCTGCGATATCAGACAGGGACTCATTTCACTAATACTCCCAGCTGCACTGCTCTATCTGGCTCTCTATGCATTGGTGAAGAAGAGGATGGCCCTGTTTATGGCTCTGGACTGGATGGCCATCTGCGCGTTTACGGCCAATGGCATGCTGGTTGTGTTGGAATGCTCGGTTGCTAGAAGCTTGCAGCTTTTCGCAGGTGAGCATACTCGTTACTTTGGGATCATTACAAACAACATACTGACGATAATAATGTACAATAGTGGCTATTGGCAGTATGAAGGCATTGGACTTTTATGCTCGAAGGAACTCACCTCCTAGATATGCTTACCCAAACCCACCATCCGATGGTATCGTCGCCTTGCTTCTCTTCACAGAGCTGAGATACGAATCATTCACACCAAACTATCTACGCACTGCTCCTGCTCCAGCTCAATTGGAAGAAGACTCTATGACAGAGTATTTCTGCTGTCATCACAGACGAGGAGACATAAAGTGCTGCAAAAACATCCTTTATTCAACCGGGAAGAGAGTTGTCTCACAGCATGCACAGCAACGAAAGCTTCATCATCGCTTTTCCGAATCATTCGACCTAGTTTTGCATGGTGCCTTTTTCCTGGCCCTTCAAGCTCTCTTCCCTCAGTCTAATCCTACAGTCCAAGCTCTTCAGATCCTGCTCGCCATCTACGTTATCTGGGAATCACTACAGCTTCTTTTGCGGTACAAAACGAGCCCTCCGCTGTTCGGTCCGGTATACACTGCTTCATCCCTTGCCTCGTTCTGGAGTGAAACATGGCACACTGCTTTTGCTAGTCCCTGTCGGTCTCTAGCTTATGATCCATTACGACGACACTTGCCAGCCAAGTATGGTGTACCCGTAGCCTTTGCAAGGGGGGTTGGTGTTCTTGCCTCTTTCTCACTGATGGGTCTCTTCCATGCGTATAGCCTTGCTCCTGTTCTGCCGATAGATGGTGTGGTGCGCATTATTGCTTTCTTCTTGCTCAATGGGATTGGAACAGTGATTGAGACGGCGATATGGGGGAAGAAGTCGCATTGGGGGAAAGCAGTTTTAGCATGGACTTTTGAGTTAGCTATTGCTAGTTGGACTGTTGAGGGCCTCTCTCTTCCCAGCGGGTTACAGAACATCTCCTGGGATAGCATCTGTAACGTAGGTGGAGTTAAGAGAGGTTGATTCCTTGCTTCTCTTACAAGACTCTATGAAAGCTCTACTCTAACAATGAATATTATGACGGTTTCAAATTTTATTACAATAGAAATATTATATACTTCTATGTACTATTGTGTAAAAGACATGGCCAACGTAAACATCACCACTCTATGGGCGTATGCTGAGAAAAGGGGTCTCGCCAAAAATCATTACCTGAACGTACATTAAAAGGCGTTGAAAACATCCTGCATCGCTGCACTTCCCGAGTCTTCTCGACGCAGAACATAAGCACGCACTTCTTGTACGCTTAAGCCAGCATTCGATTTACTCTGGCTTCCACCTGTGGTTCCGCCACTACCGCCTCCAGATGAAGCACCGCTGCCTCCACCAGCTGTTCCAGCCCTTACGCGTTCCTTGAGAGCCTGTGGCCCGATAACGAACAGACTGCCGACTTCCAAAAGTACATCTAAGACTCCACCGACCCCCTTGACGGATTCGTCGATGTTCCAGGATCGTAGAAGTTCGGTGTATCGCGTCATGTCTTTGGTCACCATGAGGCCGCCGGGAGCGTTGACAGGGAACTTTTTGAAATGTTCTAGGAGTAGTGCCCTGGTGCCCAGGGCGATTTCAGTCAGGAATACCTGGACATTTGAACCACTGGACGGTAGTGATGTAAGTGTTACGTTGTGAAGTCGAGTTAGAAAACCGGAAATAGACGCACACGTCTACATGGTTAGTTAGATGAGGTTAAAGACATATATATTTATAATGTCAATGCAAATGACATACCGGCGTTTGTAGCATTTCTAGCCATCCAGTTTCATCTGCTACGCCTTCCTTTGGTCGGAAATCATTCTTCTTCTGACTTGAGAGGACTCGCGCAACCCAAGCCAGTGTCACGTCAACGGTTTTCTGCTCAATTGAGTTGATCTTCTCTTCGATGCGGTGCATTATCAAATTCGTCTTCTTCTCCATGTCCCGTTTTATGGTTATATTGGATGCTGCCAGCGGAACGAGTACGGCATTAATGCAGGTCATCATCAAATACGTTATACTAATCGCCGTCCTCAGAGTCGTCAAGTAGTTGAAATCCGGCTCGGCTTTTCCGGATTCCTGGGCATGAGCAGATTCCAAGGCCGCATCGAGAGCCGTTTCTATGTATCCCTCGCCCATCCTGGACAAGAGCATGCTGAGAAGGGTGGAGACATCCTTGGGAGTCTCACTGCTCACGCTGAGTTCTAAACTTCTACCGACACCTTCTGCTAACCATCGAAGCATACGCTTAGCAAATGCAACGCTCAGCTGGCCATCTTCCTCTGTAAGCTCAATCTCGTTTTGTTTTTGTGGCTCGCCATTCTCCTTGAGCCCAGCAACCCGGAGGAGCATCTTGCGCTGCGTGGGAGTGAAATCAGATGAATCAAGGCTGTTGATATATGCGTCCCTGGCTGAGGCGAGCAGCTCACTCCCCGACTTTGCGAGGGAGGACATGAATGTAGTGGGTGTTTTCTTCCGTCGGGAGTGGAAGGTTGCGAATTTGAACATAAGGGAGGTATAGAGCTCTTCGAGGTTATTCTTCTCTCTTTCGATGTAGGATGCTCCCATGAGGTAGGGAATAAACAGCTCCTCTAGCTGCTGGTCGAGGAATATAGCTGTTTGCGAGGATATAGTGTCAGGGTGTTCTGTCAGTCCATGAGCCTTCAGGTCGTCTACTAGGGCACTTATGTAGCTGCGTGCTGATTGCAGTGTTCTCAAAAACGCCAGAGAAGACACCGAACTGGCCTTATCTAATACCAGTTCCAGACGCTGCTGTATCGACTGCTGAAAAACTCTTTGCAGAAACTTGCTTAGAACCTGTTCGTAGTAAGGAAAGGCTCGCTTGATGATTGCTGATTCTTCCTGGACAACCACCTGGACCTCGTCAACCAGCGACTGCAGGCTGGGCTCTACTCCGGGGGACAACGCATCAGGGTCAGCAAGCTGCTCCCATGCCTCAGAGTCTCCACTGACTTCTTCTGAAATGAGCTGGCTGCGATCAATGAAGAATTGATGCTGATTGACAAACAGAGCGATGACACTGGCTCCCCCGTTGAAATCATGTAAAACACTGGCGCAGTCTTTCATGCCTTCAAAGTTGGCCTTTCGGTAGAAATGATCAAACTGCTTCAGCAGATCATTCTCCAGCGTCTCTGAGAACTTCTCAATGATCTCTCGCGTATTCCTCCTCTTGGGGGTGCCGTTCCCGTTGGCATCCACAGGACTGGGCGGTATGGTATCAGTGCCTCCGTTGTTCTCACTCCAGCTCAACGGATCCAGTCTCTGGCTTATCCGCAGCAGCTGTCTGGCAATACGCGCAGACCGTACTTTTCCCTCCCCGCTGCCTGACCGCCGCAGGTTCTCCAGCATCGTGAGCTCCCCGCGATTGCTCACTTCGTCCCAGCACCCGATGAGAAAATGCGCATCGAGAGCCTTGCGTCTCTGGCGATCGAGCTCCTCCAGCTTCTTGCCTGTCTCGACAGCCACATTGCCATTACCACCTGGTTCATCTCGAGTGGCAGGCCGACGAGGCCCGTTCAAGGAGGTGTCTAGCTTCTGAAAGGACTCGATGGCCTGGTTCAACTTCCAGCCCAGATTGCTTGCGTTCTGTGTATGCTGCGCTTCTGCCTTCCGCACGGCTGCAGACAGCTCGTTCTCGCGCTGCTCAAGGTCTCCTGATAGCTCTGTCAGGCGCCGCTGCGCATGCTCGAAGGCGCGGATTAGGGGTTTAGGGTCGAAGGGCTGGTTTCCGATGCCCCCGGAGCGGCGCTGGATGGCAGCATCGGAGAGCGACTCGATGAAGTCCTTGACGATGAAGTCTCTGCTCGAGAAGGTCTCTAGGGTGAATTCGGGGCCCTTGTTGAATATCGACTTTCGCATATCAGACTGGTAATTCTGGTCGGGCATGTTTGCGATGTCTAGACATGGAGAGCGAACGAAGGTGAACAATCATAAAGCTGCAGACGCCTTCACATATCATATATCGGCGTCTGCCATTATATCAAGTGCTCCGTATTTAAGTACGTAAATAGTAAATATGACCCTTGATGCTGTAATTATTTGTCTGCCTCTGGTTGTTTTCTTGCCACGCACTGAATACGTCAGAGTTACATCTACATATCAAAATTTACAACAGGGTGTTCAGTCTTACACAAAGATCAATGTATACGACTTCACAACGGATGAAAAGCATTTCTCCGTTCATCCCGACTGTGAATGGATACAATATCTAATACTGTTCAACAATATCAGCGTCCACCGCAGCTTCTCCTCCGCAGTCGTTCTTTACGCCCTCAACAGCGAGCTATTGAATAGCGAAAAATAACAAATAACCAGCCATGCCATACGTAAAGGATGGCCCGGTGCTTCGAAAGCAACTCGAGAGCCTGCCGGCTGCAGAGCGCGAGAACCTCGTGAAGCCGTTCCTGATGCCGCCTCGAGTCCGCAAGTCGTCTGTCAGGGGCCGCAGAGGGAGCTCGAAGCCAGTCCGCGCATTCCTGCGATCGAAGCTATACTATCTCCTATATTTCCTAATACACATCATCTTTAGCATATATTCGCGGATACGACAGAGTTACTATGCGGTCATGGATCGAGTGCTCGCGATATTATACTACCATCACCGAACCCCCGAGCTGATCCGGAAGGACGTCAGGGGATTGAACAGGCTGCCAGAACATCTCAGCGTGGTACTGACACTCAGAAAACATGAAGACGCTCTGGAGACGCTTATGGACGAGGTTGCAGAGTTGGCGGCCTGGAGCTCGTGTGCTGGGATTCCTGCGTTGAGCATCTATGAGAAAACAGGTTTGGTCTCTCTATCAAATATTAAATCTACCAATACACTGACAGGTCATGGCAGGTATTCTCAAATCACATATACCAACTCTGCATAGAATCATCGTTAGCAAGCTCGACACTTACTACGGTCCACCATGTTATCAACCCTCCCTAGGAGTGTTTGCTCCTCATCACCCGCTTTACGCCCCAAAACTCGTCCCCCAGACATCAAAGTCGAACGTTGAGGCCATAACTGTCCTGCTCCTCTCAAGTACGGATGGCAGGGAAACTTTGGTTGACCTCACCAAAACTCTGGCCGAGATGGCACAGCATGGCAAGGTCTCACCACAGGATATTGGTACCAAGCTGATTGATGCTGAGCTGGCTGAGATGATGACCATTCCTGCACCTCCACCTCAGGAACCAGGAAACGAAGCCAATGGTACAGATTCAGCAGCTGAAAGCATGCTGACTCCATTGACCAAGGCCGATCCTGACCTTATCCTTATCTTTGGCCCCTATGTCAAGCTAGACGGCTACCCGCCCTGGCAGATTCGACTATCAGAGATATTCTGCACCGGAGACCACACCACCGGCATTGCCGGAGAGGTCGAGGCCGTAGAGTATCAGAGATTCATAAAGGGGCTTTGGAAGTATGCCGGAGCTGAAATGAGGTTCGGACGATAGAACATCACTGCTGAAGGCTCCCTCCTTTTTATCTTCTTCCCTGACCCTTTTTACCTAAAAATCTTTATTTATTCCTAATAATCCATTCTTGCTAATAGATAAATATTCTCGCGAGAGAAAATGATGTATTCGAATAAAGCAACCAGTAAACCTCCGCCAAATAATGATATAATGATCTAATCTACCGATCCAGAAACACAAATGCATAAGATGAAGAAATCCAGGAAATCCACCCAAATAAAAACCGTAATTCTAGTGAGAAAGGTATCGGCCATCTATCCATGCTCAACGCAAACTAGGCAACGGACAACCTCCTCCCCCGTTTCCAGAATGCCCTCCACAGCACAGGATGAACATATTCTCCGTCCTAGAGATGTTCTGTGGCTCTCCCGGTCTATATTACTCCCCCGTTCCTGACAGTAAACGTCGTCGCACTCTCTTAAACAGACATAACATGCTCTCTTGCCGCATATTTCACAGTCTGCATACGCGTCCAGTGCCGTACGTGTCGTTGGGCGTCGATGGCAAATATGGCAGGGAGAAAGAATTTGACTATCTCCTCTCGTTGCCCTGTTTGATATAGGGCCGGTTTGCTGGCAGCTTGATCTATCATGCTCGTCGTCCGGTCTATGGTATCCGTAATTATGTCTAGGAGCATCACTCATGTTCTTCATGGTATAATCGTCTGATGTAGGAGTCATGGAGTGGTGATTTCGAGCATGCTGTAAATTCTCTTCGGTGTATTCTTCTTGTGACGTTCGAGAACAGAAGAAAAGAGGCTGCGAAGGCTGAGATGGTATGATCTTCGGGTCTAGTCGTCTTTTTTTCAGGGATGACACCAACGGCCGTATGCGTGGTTTTGACGTGGGTGAGCCCAGGTTTGCTCGAGAGCAGCCAGAGCTGATTGAAGGTGCTTCTGCTCTTGGGTAAGTCATCTGTGAAGGAGGCCTAGAGACGTGTCGGCCGTTAGTTATTTCATCCTCCACCTTCGTTAAAACGTTCGTTAAACGTTCATGCATAAGAGTTCTCTGTCATCTTCAGACTACTTACGAAAGAACCATATTGCTATCCTGTCCAGAATCATTATCTCTCTTCCTCTTTTTCAGAATCATCACGCTGGAAGCTGGTGGCTCCCAGTTGATTGTCCCCGGCATGCGGGCCTGTGCTGTGTTAACAGCGAAAGAGCAGGATACTGAAAGAGAAGGGCAGGTAAAGAAGAAGCACTAAGAGAGAGATATAATCATGCAACTAGTAGACATGTATATAAACCATTATCCATGCCTAGGGGCTTCTGTCTCTGGTTTCTTGGTTGACAATGGCAGTGGTTTGTTGTCTGGACAGCCAGTGCTATTTATAAATCTTCGAGCCTACAGACAGTTTTTTATTTGCATGAAAACTTTCATCACACCAAAGATCTCCAGTAATTACCCACTTCTATCGTTATACAGATATTTACATGCGTGTAGAATTATGACACTTGGTTAGCCTTTCAATTGCTGCTATATCAGTTTAAATTAGTAGCAGCAGGAACATGCCCAAGAATGGAGCACAATTATACAACTCGAAGCCTGGAACAGAAAGATTGTTGTATATGCAATACAGTTACTGTCTTGTCGGTCTGGAGTAGTGTGTACATGTATCAGCTAGCAGCAAGGTGTGATTATAAAATATACTTCATTTTCAACGTCAGTGTACAGTTAGAATGAGAAATAACCCAGGCCAGAAGAATACAGAGGAGCATGTGGCTCTGATAGCCTGATGTCTACCAGAGCACTAGAACGAATATCTTCTAGAAGTCTGTAAGAAAGACAAGGAAACGAAGATGCGTTCACATACTCGAAAGAAGAGGGAAGAAAACAGCATTCTTGCCCGAGGAAATAAAACGCCGGCGCCTTCCAGCCCCCTCCACAAGCTCCGGGGAATAAAAGGGACAAACCAAGTGCCAAGTCGATTTTTATGAAGGTAACGAGAGAAATAGTCCCGGGATTTATTGACGCCATGACTTTCCGCAAGCGAGACAGGTGCAGAAAAGGGTCATCGGTTCATCAGCACTGCGTGTCTGGGCCTCGGTGTATGTGACTTTCCTCTGTCCACATTTACCACACTGTAAGCTCTTACTGATGCTTCGCTCAGGTTGCCCGACCATTGCCTTGTCCATGTTCTCCTTTTGGATCTTGCGATCCTCTTCTCTCCGCTCATCAGATTTGAGCTCCTCGTGGGTCATGGAAACGAATCGATCGGGTGTCACTTCACCGGTGAGGACGCGGGTTCTGAGGCTGAGATTCGACTTCTGTTTCAGATTCTGGTATAAACTGCGAATCTTCGTGCGGTATGATTCTTTGGTTTCGGGACCGTAGGTGTTGAATGCTGCAGCTTCGACCTCAGTTGCCTTCTGCAAGACGGCGCGTGGGGTTTCGGTAGAACCGAGGCACAGGCCATCGTACATCAGGCCGATGCAGCTGTCGCGTGCTTTGACGCCAGTAACCGCAGTATTGACCTGGTCAGTCTTCCAGCTACGCTTATCCGGTGGCACGTTTGATTTCTGTGTCTTGTCGTCGGCCGCAGAAGCCACAGTAGAGTTGCCGTTTGGAGTGGGTTTGGGAGAATCGCTTGATCCCGGTGACGCGATTTTCTTCTGTTTGTTGACTTCGGCGCGCCATTTGGAAACTATCTCGCTGGAAAGCCTCGCAACTTCTGGTGCCTTATGTTGTTTAAGCCTGTTGACGATGATACCAATTTTGGTAGAGCGTAGAAGGTCTTCGGTGGGCTGAATTCCTTTTTGGAGCTCCTTTAACAGCGAAATTATAGTGGCGCTGGGTTCACCGGAAGCAGAAGCTTTATTCAAAGCCTTAGACTTCAGTTCAATCTCCTTGGCGTCCATGTTGCTGTATCTATCCCACTATCACCTAGTCTGTTATCAAGGTATTGGAAAAGCGTGGAGAAAAGTTGTGCGATCAAAGTGAGGCTCGGATAGGAGTGACGCGACCTATATAGTTATGAAAAACCTGTTAGTGGGAACTTCCTGGTGAATATGAAAGACACGACATTGCAACAAAGCAACAGATCAACAAGGATAACTAGGAGTGAAGAGCTGTAAGCTAAGAGCATAAAGGTAATAGGTACCTCCTTATCACATATTGTACCAACTAATGGCTCTCGAGCTGCTGAAAGTAACACACATGCCCACCAACCAAGAAAGTAAACAAAATCTATACAATAACATATAGCAACAAAATCATAATGAATATGATGATGCTTGCAATAGGGACATTCTAGAGAGGGGAGGGAGGTAATGCGACAAGTAGGCTTCTCGCGTTAGCTGGGCCCAGGGTAGAACAGTAAACTCACCACTAGTAGCACTTAGCCATATCAAAAGAATGTAAACAACAGCTTCTGCGGGTTACCAGCGTCGAGGGGTGTTAAAAGGTAATCGATAGCGGCTGCAAAGGAGTTTGTCATATCTCGAAGAATGTCAAGTTTCCAGAAAAATGCCGTTAAAGATAGTCGTATTATATAAGCACGTCTTGGCTTGCTCTTGTGACCACAAACCGAAATTAGCAGTTCGCAGACTTGCATTTCTGGAATTTTTATATTGGCCATGAAACAAAGCTTGTGGAGTAGGGGTTTTGTTTCCCATGTTTTAGATATCTGCATTTTAAAGCATAGCTCAATATTATGAAGGAACTCTTAGCCCTACAAACTAAGGGGTTGAATGATACTAGGAAATATTAGGAATAACATACACTCAGGATTGTAGATATTTGCTATGTCCCCAGGCACCCCTTTCACTATTAATCTAAAAAAGGATGTAAAGTGGTAATGCGTAAAGTCAGACCTTGAGAAGACCATCTCCCTTAGATTCCCACTCCTACTACATACACATTATTTCAACCTGGTGAATAAGAGTAGCCTAATGCACTGCAGCCAACCCACTGTAGATAATTTCAATATTCCTCTCTTTAATAAAAACTATGTTTATATGGTGATAAAAACGGTGGTATAATAGCAGGGTCGTTTCAGTTCGAAAATCCCTTTTAGGCTGAGAATGGGTGAACTTTGCCAAGAGTCAAGCAACACAGTACATATTAAGATCGCAGGAAGCAGCCACCTAGGAAATCCATCCGACAGCTAACAATAATATACTCAAGTCCGATATGGAGGCGAGGTTCAACATGCGAACTCCTATGTATATATATATATGCTGTGGAGATCGCCTTGGCACTAATATGTTTGGACCATGTCTTGGCAACCCTAGTGAAACGTCGCGAACTCAGATTCGACATCAACGACAATTCAAGCCCTTGAGATTATCTGTGTTGACTTTGCATGGTCAGAATAGGCCTTCTTTACTACGTTAAATTTTATGGAATCGTATATGAAGGTTACGGTTGCCTACAGGATACCCTTTCCAGGATCCATAGTTCATCCAATCGGTTGCCATTGGATACCTCTTCAGGAATGACTCACTTCACTCGATACCATCATATATCCCATATCATATACCCTTTTATAAGCAGAGTGAATCCGGTAGCCATCTAGACAGCATCTCCGTATGCTGTGAAGATTGGTTGACTAAATTCTCTAAGAAACTCCGGGTATGACACGTCGCCTATATCTGTATACCAGCGCAAAAAAAAAAAAAAATACAATCCAAGCGTAGATATTGCCTACAGTAGATGCAATAGAAGCTGTAAAAACTCGGCATGGCGGCTAAATACCATTAATAATCTAAATATAAAATAATATATCATACCAATATACCCTGATTAACATCAAGCCTGGAACCTGGGTGGTTTTGAGAAAACGTGATACACAAGAAGGTGGTGGCCGAGCGCGTGTCTGGTGGCGATAATCGTGGATATGAAAGAACCAATAAAGAAGAGGTGCAAGTTTTCCGAAGATAAAGGGGGAGGACGGTGCACAACAAAACCTAGGGTGTCGAACAAGAAGCAGGAAACCCAAAGGGGTGGTTCATCAAGGCTCTAGCGACCGTTGATAGAGGAAAGGCACGTGGAATGACTTGGTGATATATCGAAAGAGCCGAAAAGAGAAAAAAAGAGAGCCTTCAGCGGAATTCGAACCAGCAGCAAAAAAATGTGAGGAGCTAGGTGGTGAGCGCTATTCAGCTCAAGGCTGGAGTGACCTGACTACACCATCCTGCCCCTCTTGAGAATATATTCGACCTTATCTGCCTTATAACCTCACCCCGTGGAGCTGGGGGAAAAAAAAGAGCACAGCCCCAGATTCGAACTTGGGCTGCCACCAAAAATAGAAAATAACGAGGTGGTTACTATGCCCTGACTGCACCTGGTCATATCTTCCTTAGGAAGGCATTATGATGGTACATAATTTGAATATGTGTTTACCCATTTTATAACAGGCTTCCACCCCCTATAGTATAGTATAGGAGTCTGTTTATGAATGCCTGATGTTTTATCTACGGTCTCTTTTGGGAAGAGAAAGGAAATACATTTACTCTGCTTTATAGTTGACGTTGATGGACTTTTAGCTGTGCCTTTATGGGTCACTTCATACTTCCTCTTTCTATGGTCCCTTGTTTATTCATTTTATACCTATAGCTTGTAGGAAAGGAGTTACTTCCTTGATAAGTTTCTGCATGTACGAGATTATACCTATACGCTATTGTGAAAAGTATTTTAGTCACCTTTATATATTTTTATATCTGGCTAACATTACTTTATTACTCCTTTATGAGCACTAAAGGAGTGGTGTTTCTATACATCTGAAAAGCTGTTTTACATTTGCTATCTCAAGATGGCCTCATGCCGCATCTAAAATCTTTGTAGGCCATATTTCTCACCCATATATTATGGCTATAAGGGTGTCCTTTCCCTCAGGAGTTTACATTTACTTCATCAGTCAGTGGCTATCAAACCGTTTTTTACCACCAGTCTTGATCAGCAGTGCTCTATCCGTATTCCGCAACAACAGCTTCCCAGAGACCACAGTGCACTAGCAATGGCAGAACGCTCTCAAGTATATGATGACGATGAGATGTCTGTTGCGTTACCCGATGCTCCAGATAATTCTCCTAGCGAGGAAGAAGAGAGCGAAGAGAACATGGAGAGTGGTAGCGACAAGGAAGAGAGCGATGTGGAAATGGATGACAGGTTTACCCCTGAAGTGAGTGACCATTTCCATATCTACAAGAGGTTCAGTAACCTGACACTTTGCAGGGTGGTGGAAGGAACGAAGCAGCATACGTTGAGGGATGGGATGAGGATGCCATATATGCATTGGCGATACAATACAGAAGGTAGTGCCACATTATACACAAATAAGGGACCCTTTGAATACCTTTCTAAGAAAAGAATATAGACATAAGAAGAAATTCTGGACGAAAATCGGCGAGCAGCTGGGCTTTCCATGGCGCGAGGTCGAAAGGATGCACTTCGAAATAGGCAAAGAGGGCCTATCGTCAAGAGCCAACGAGGCTTCACGAAATCCCACCACCAGTGATCGCATAATGGAGGTTCTCAAAGAAATAGACTACTTTCGCAGTATATTCTATTATGAGATGGATGAGCCTCGCGAACCGCTGACATACCCTCGATTACTTGATGCCTTAGCTGGAATATCGATAAGCACAACAGCCTTGATAGCACAAATAGAGGCTTCTCCTGGCCCCTGGAGCCCCCGTATTATTGGGTTAATGGAAGGGATGGTTCATGATCTGTGGATATTGGTGTCTGACGAGCTTGCTGGAGCGGATTGGAACCCAAACGTGGGGCCTTGGTAAGTTCTGATCATAGAATGTCGCTGGCAAATGGAAGAATGAACTAGCTATGCCGCCTGATTTCCAGAAACAGCCTTCTTCCACGCTGACGGAATAGGAAGAAACAAGTTTGGCGCTGGAATATTGATCAAAATATTCTAGAAAACGGGTAGAAGGGCGGGTGGCACCAGGCTACTGAAATCTGCATGAATCAATTTCTTTCACCCTTTTTTCTGTACCCTGTACTAGAAGTAAGCTATGCCACGACGAGCCCCTAAACGACCTTAAAGATCATCAGTCTGGTGTATCTGTTACGTGATATCATGCGAACTAGGTCAGCCTCCCTCTCGTACTGGCATTTTAAGGTGAATCAAGGCTTGATCGACGATAGTATAAGCATTACGTATAATATATGGAGTACTTTGTATCACGGCTCGTATGTCACCGTTAATCAGCCAACTTGGGGTTCTGTTGCGATGGAAGAGCCTGAGAGATATTCAAGGAATTGCCCAAACATAGCACAGAGTACAGAGTACAGAGTACAAGATGGAGAGAAATATCCATAACATGAAACTCCCTCCCTTTGCCCGCTTTGTATTCTGGACTGACTAATAACACGTACTATACCCCAGCATGAGGATTGATATAGATCCACAGATGCGTTTCTGGACGATCGATAAAAGAGGCGTCAACCTTCCCAATGGAGTCAACAGGTTTCGGGCGATTAAAATAATCCTGCATGCTCCCTTTGTTTCATTTTCAATAACCGGATTCCGGTTCCTGTATGCGTCATCATGTCCAGTGACATAATTGTCGCGCATGGCTGTGCCGTTTGTTTAAACAGGGCGGTTAACCAAGTGCATGGTTACATATGTAGGGCGAGTGTGGGTGGAGAGCCTTTCCCTAATAGAGCACCAGCTGCATGGTCACTGATTCTAAAACGGGTATCACGGAGAGTTGCTATAGGGCTATGCATCGGTTATATCATCGGGCGGTTATGTTATAGCTATGTGGTGTGCGATATGCAGGCCCCTGAAACACACATACATGCTATGTATGCAGCTTTCCAAGGTCACAGGCGGCTATGCAGTGCATCCTTGCCCTATTGGGAAATAATCCTTCGGGGCAATCCCTATCTATACCAATAACCATGTCGATAACATATCTCGGGGCCGGCGCATGAACTTACATACGCTGTATGCAGTTATCGATGCGACGGGCCTTCTGGAAATTTATGCAAACATGCATATGGATGAAAGAAAAAAAGGAAGAAAAAAGAAAATTCCATTTCTAGAAGAATACCACGCGTTCAGGGCTGCAAGAACTGCATCAACAAAAAAAAGAGGCTCGGAGACTATGAATAGGGGCCGGCGACTACTGGAGGACTCCGTAGTGGATATCAGTTTGTCAGCAGCTTGCTTGCAACGATGACGGGTCAAAACATGAGCTGAGAATTTGATCGATACCGAACGGCGTCTGAGAACGGGTTTTGGCCTGTTCTCCTTGTCTCCTCAGCTAAAAATAATATTCCGAGATAGATGTTGAGACAATCACTGGTTACTAGTGATCTTGTCCGACTGGCCCTCCCCTGGCCTGCCAGTTGCCATGGCTACCAACATACTATACCTACAGGGATTAGAACATTCAATAGAGATCCCGAATATAAACGATATGTGAGCTGTGATATCGATATTTCCCCCGTGGAACCAACACGCCAGCATAGCTGAGCTACAGATCTATCGATATCGGTGCCCGGCATGGTGACAAGGCCGAAGCTGCAACCAACCAGCCAGTCAACAACTATCGAGCTAGTTATATGTTACTTCTCTCTGTAAATCCTTTGTTCGACTCCCCCTTTTTTCTCAGTTATTTGTCAACCAGAATGTTCACGCGAAGGACTATTTGAGTCCAATAGCCAAACGGAAGGGAACATGCAGTCATGCATGTCTTCAATAGAGGTAGACATGTGGTTCTGACATGTTGGAAGCCTGCAAGAATCCTTCATACGGGTTTCTTTTCTTCTTCTTTTGCTCTATCTGACAGGTTGAACAAACGAACTTCTATCCAATCGGTGGGAAGCTCAGGACAAGCCCCGACCTAGTATTGCAATAATACCCTCAAGCCATGGAACGTTTAGCTGTGGATGGCTACACCTTTTGATCATGGAGAAGAAAGACCGCGTGGATGGATCCCGCCATACCGCCATAACTAACGGAGACGTAACGGGTGAAATGAAATGACAGCCCGTTCCCGGGGGAGAGAGAGAGATGTGCAGTTTGGTGGCTTTGAGGCTGAGGGGGGTTGCTCTGCTCAGGTCGAGCCGACGGGCCGATGAGTTTGCTCTCCTTGTCTGGGGAGCATCGAGGCCCTCTTCTCTAACCTGCCGAACTACGAAACAGTCGTACAAGACGGGTTGGTTGGCTGGTGGTTGGCGTGTCTACGCCGCCACAAGTCAGTCAGTTCAGGTTCATGGGTGATCCAGAGCGCGTGGGCGAGCCTGTTCGAGGAGCTAGAACTGGACTAGAGGGGAGGGCGCCAGAGAGAGAGAGAGAGAAGAGCGACAGGAGACGGTTTGAAGAACAACGGCCATCTACCTCGGCCCTGTGAAGGGGGCGTCGAGAACGCTCAGGCTCTGAACCTTCCCATCGGTTCATCTTGGTTCAATGCGAGAGCAGGTTAAGGGATCGTCCGCCATCACCGCTGTCCGAAACGGAGGAAATGGGGCAGAAACCCAAACCCCCCCTTCTCACTAGCCACTGTGCAAAGCGGTAGCAGTGTTCAGGTTCTGGTAAATGATCTGTACGTGGCTTTGAAGCTTTGCTCCCTGGGTCTCTTTTCGCCTCCCCCAGAAGTTTACACTGGTTTACTAAGATGGTTACAGTTAAACTAGGGGGTACATGGACCCGACTCTCAAGCCAGTTCCGGACCATAGCTATCCATATTGAGAATAATATTCCCTGAAAAAAAAAAAATTAAAATGCTATTAATATACGGGGGGTGGGCGTGAGGCGATAGGGACGAGCCGCGAGGGTCTGACCTCAAAGCGTTAATTCTCCTAACCTGGAACCATGGGTTGTACTCGCCATTAGCCGGATGTAGATGTCCAGCACTCGTTAACCACAGTTGGGACGCGGTGATGGAAGTCCAGTGGCACGATATCTTGCTTTGCAGCATGTTGTGTAGGACGAAGCAGGTACAGAGTCGCCCATCCATCTCTCCCCTGAATGCTACCGTTTCTTCAACGTTCAATAGCAACGATCCATGGTAAGTAAGGAGGGGGTTCGTGGCACCGCACCATCCGCTGTCAAGATGGCCGCCCAGCTAAGTATGGAAGTACCCCCGGATACATAGTAGTGTACTCCGTACTGGAAAGGAAAATGGTCGAGAGAAAAACCAAGACCTACTCTATAAACCATGCTCTGATGCTTGTACATACATATACATATGTATGCAAGATGCACGATGCAAGATGCTGTGATCGGATCAAGTGGCACCTCTTGGAAAATCTGAAAATCTGGATTCCTTTGATTCTGATACATCATGCCGTCCAAACCCATCGTAGTCGTACATCTTATGACCGCCACAGCTCGACCAATAGATGTCTTCGGTCGAGCCGAACCCACTGAACGGGATCAACTGAATCGATATTTCGCTTGAACTGCTATCTTCATCATATCTTTTTTTTTTTCTTGATCACTATCATATCTTCTTTTTGATCACTTTTTCTTTTCTTTTCCCTGGGCCACGAACTAGCGATCGACCATCTCTCCATAACCTTGCGGAGATCCCCCACCGTCCATGTTCTTTAGCATGTATTGGCAAAGGGGGCTATACTTGTTGTATGTACTAAGCTGACTGCGCTTTATAGACATGCTTACTACTACATGGCCTTCTCTTGTTACAAAGTACTGACTGACGAGGGCTCTCTTTGCTTTTTCTCCTTCTCTCCCTCTCTTTGGTCTGGCTTAGTCTTTTCAGGGGTCAGCTGTGGGCGGTCCTACATGGGGAGTCGCACAAGCGTACATACATATATCACGTAGAGCCCACGAACATCAATGGATATCGTGAGCCCGAGATGAAACGCATGGCTAAATCGGTGTACAGTAATATTGTGTTAATATATCCCGTACAGCTGAGACGAGATGAGAGGGGAGGGCCGTTGAAGGCTGGGGCCGATTCCTCACTCTCGGTACCGCTTGGGCTCGTATTTGGTCCCATGTCGAGATGTACTCGTATCCTTTCTACAGATCATGCAACATGTCATGGTCGAGCAAGAGAGTTGGATAGTCTGTCAGCGAACGCTTAGTGAGTATGATACGTCCGCAGCAACCATGTCTCCCAACTTCTCGTAGAGTCCATGATCCTCCATACTCTGTCTGTCTGCCTGTCCGCCTGTAGTAACATTCTCCGTACATGCAGACAAGACCATCTGTAACAAGCGAACTTTTGAGAAAAAGAAAAAAGGGGAGACGCTCATCCTCCACAGCTGGCCCGAAGACCAGTGAGAGCGAAGCATCGCGCCCAGCCCAAGCGCAAAGCAAAGCAACCCAACAGCCAGCGAGACAAAGAGTCTAAGACGGGCCTCTTTTTAGGCGTTGACCCCCGTAACTCTGGCAGTCTCGATACATAGTATCGTCAAGTTAAATGTACTCTTGGGCAGACTAGGTCGAATCAGTTAACCGCTCGAGCACAGCGCTTGGGCGTCCATATTTTACACTTTGCGGAAGAAAAGTCAAGGCGAGTTAATGTTTCCTATGGTGTGCGTGTTATGTATGTATGATGATGTAGAAGCGAAGAAAAGAAAAGAGAGCAGAGGCCTGACATGTCCACTCCGCTTGGTAGGGACAAGGGTCAGGGGGGGTGGAAGCCCTGCTCTGCTGGCTGCACCAAGCGGAGTAAGCGATGAAGAAAGGCGAACGACGGAGAAAGAAAGAAAAGAAGAGAGAGATGGGGCGCGGTAGGGAGGAGGAAGAAGGGAAAGGAAAAAAAAAAAAACATTCTCCACTGCAGGAACCAGGAACGGCTTGGGTGGTTTTTTTTTGTTTTTTTTTTCTGCTTCTTCTTCTTCGTCTTCTTTTCTTTTCACGGTTGACTTGTTGGTTGCTGTTTGCTGTGTGGCCATGGCCGGACTGGACTGGACGGTACATATTTAGCATCAAAACTAGTTTTCGACCAGCGCATCATTTCAAGATAGGCATTTATTTATATATATGTCTCGATCTCGCTCTCTTTTCTCCGCCTGGGCTTCGGCGGTTGGTTATATATATGTTGTCTCGTCCTTCCCTCCCACCGCTTCTTTGCTAGGGTTGGCGTCTGTCTCTTTGATATATAACATACACACGCTCACTTCCCTACATCAAGACAGCAGCAGACATCGACAGTCTCTACTGATACCTACACTGATACAGACTCTTCTCGAGCCATCTGGACATGACCACCATGGACGAACAGGAGTTTGAAGTGTTCGACTCCCTCCCCCCAGCTCTCCGGCGAAAGGTCAGTTCTACATCGCATCTTACATCTTACATCTCTACCTCACTATCTCTCTTCTCTACGTCTATCTTCTATCGTCACTTCTCCTTCTTCATCACGTCTTCTACCGGTCAGTGATAGGCGGCTGGTAGCGCCCTGCTAAGTCTCTTGGCCGCCCAACCCTTCCCCAGGCCTATAAGGCTTAGGCCTTTTGCACAGCATATCAACTGGAGATGGGCTGCCTTTGGGCGTCGCTAGCCTGAGACCTTGCTTCTTAACTGTGCTCATCGTCCCTTTTCTGATATCACTTTTCCCATCCCCCTTACTGTGTATGTCTCTGCTAGGGTGCACGCTCCCCAGAGGGGGCTTGCTCACCTGGCACAGGCAGGGCGTCCTAGCCATACGCATTAATGCGATCCGTCGCATCCACCGCCGCATCTCCATCTTCACACACACACACACGCTACCACTGCATACATACTATCGCGATGCACAACAACGTACATATGCTAACGAGATGCCTAGCTCTTTTCCAACGTCGAGCGCTTCCGTCTCGAGCAAATGAGACTAGCTCAGGTCAGCACGCTCGACCGCCGTGGAAGTGACCCATCATCACGATGCCCCAATTTTGCATCCACTCCCACTAAGCTATGCAGACATCCCAGGGGCAGCAGCAGTCCGAAGGCCCGTATGTTCAAACCCACTCTCCTCTCCTTTTTCCCTCTCCCTTCTCCTCTTTTACTCGTCTTTTAAACTCCTTCCCGCTCGCACTTTTCTTTCTTCTGCCGTGGTATGATGTGTTTGAAAAGAAAACGAACCCTTTGCTTACTCCTGAACTAGGTGAACGACAGGGCAGGCCCAACTTGCCAGTCACCCCGTTGAACGGCAAGAGACGGTGCAAGTCATCGCATCGTGTGCTCCAGAAACCCTCTGCGCAGCTTCAGACCGCCTACCTGACCGCTCAGGCTGACAGCGAGTGGTTCCAGTCTCTCCCCCCAAAGGTGCAGCAACGCCACTTCAGCGCTGAAGAACAGTCCCGTCTTGGCGGCTGGAGGTCGAGCGTCATCTTCGACGCTGCAGACCAGGCTCTGTACAAGTTTGGAAGCGCCGCCGGCGAGTCCTCCCTCTCCCTGCCCGGCACGTCGACCCTGTCTCGCTCCTCTTCCGTATCGAGCATGTCGTCCGCCGCCAGGTTCGATTCCGCCGTCGACGTCGACGGCTCCCTGTACGACAGCTTCAGGTGGCTCGACGAGGAAGACAACATCGACCTCTCTCTCGACTACCATGCCCATCTGGCCGAGACTGCTCCGACCAAGACCAAGTCTCGCCGCAAACGACCATCTTCCTTCCGACGCACCATCTCCATCTCCTCCAGCCATGGCAGCATCAGCGCTCTCCCTTCACCTCGCCTGCGCAGCCAGACCGCATCCCAACCGCATCCATTCAACTTTTCTTTCCACAACAACGGCAACAACAATAACAACAACACCCTCCTCTCACGCTCCGTGTCAAAGTCGGTAGCGGGCCCCCATTTGCCCACTTACCTGCCTCAGTCATCCCACAGCTCCGTTGACCACCCAGCTCAGTTCTACCAGGACCCCGAGGCCCGTCTCAAGCTAAGAGTCTACCTTGCCTCCCCCCAAAAGTTCGACGAGGCAATTGAGTTTGGCTTCCCTTCTCTCGAGCACAACGACAACCTAGGAACCCCGTTCTGCTTCGACCGGAAGTGGAAGATGCAGGAGTCCCCCACCGCAAACACCTTCGTCGACTCTGAAACAATCTCCCCCTACGACGTTAGCAGCGGCCCACCCAGCCCCCGCACCGCCGTACGACCAAAGACCTCCGCCGCCGACCTGACGGAAAACACCTGGCGCAAGCCCTCGGTGTGTGACTCTCAGCATTCTCGACCTTCTTTTTCTGACCGCCGCCGTCCGGTCCAGCCCATGGTCGTCGGCTCTTCAACCCATATGGGGACCAGGGAGATGACGCTGAAGATGACGCTGACCAGGCCTGACCTGAGGTCGAGCGACCTTCTGGCTTCTCCCAAGTCGTCCACCACGGAGGAAGACCCGCTCAAGCTGGCGGACCTGCCCGTTGACGAGAAGGCTCCTGTCTGGGATAAGCCTGACAAGTGTTCGATGAAGAGCGTCTGGAGGAAGATCACTGGAAGATGAACCATCTATTCGCCATTTGAGAGTAATCGGCTCTCCCACCACAGTCTTTTTGTTTAATCTTTAATTCTTTATTTCTTCTTGCCTGCTTCGCTTCCGTTTATGAATGCTTGCATTCCACAGCTACTACTTTACATACCCATATTTCCTTTTATTCTATCTCTTCCTCTTCTACCATAACATACCCAATTTGACGCCCTTATGACCAAATCTCTACTAATTTTTTTTCCCTTCTCACTTTCCATCATTATAGCGATCTTTTTTTTTTTTTAGCATAACCTACATGCATACATACCCACCCATCTCCCTGGATCTCCTTTTTTCTTCTCTTTCCCGCTATCTCTTTCCGCTATTTACCTTTCTTTTCCTAATTATTGACCTACATCCGAAGCTAAGCTCATCTCTGGAATCCATCTTATTCCTTTTACCCTTCGCCGAATCTGCTATCCTGTACATATCCCATCCCCACCCCGGGCAGACCCATCCCCATAGCTTAAAAATGAAAAAAAAAAAAAATCAGAATGAACCAATACTTTCAACCCACTTGTTCATATGTGTGTCTACAAACTACGTAAAGCAGTCCACTTCCAACCCACCCTCATGCATACGGTTAAAACGAAGGAACTGCTAGAAAGAAAAATATGATATGATATGCATATATCTTGGCCCCGTTAGAGTCAGTCTGTATCCCTGCCCCGTACCCCTATGCCTTACATCCTTGATCCCGGACCAGTCTGCCCGACAACGCAAACGATATAAGCGCAGCGCCGACATCCATGTTCCGTCATCACATCTGTACACACATCACTAGTTCTGCTCTTGTTCCGTCTGTCCGACTGATGTTTCTTTGATTCCTCACATTTTTTCGTCCGTTGCTCGAAAGAACTATATCGGCCGTGTTATTGAACCCTAGGTACCCGAGTATGTGGTCTTTAGACATAGACATACATATGCAGCCACGGGTTGGTGACGCGAGGCCGTCTCATCGCAGCATGGGTTGGTCATACTACATAGCATGTACTTATTCATCCATGCATACTGACAGTGCATGTTTAGGGGGCGCTTGCATAGGATATCATATACGGAGTACACGGAGGAACATCTTTCGTCTTCCGTCTCCGTCTTCCTCTTCTCATCGTAACTGTAACTCCATCACAACGGCCGCCAACATGCTGTGTGTTAACATGTTGTCGCTAACAAAACTTTCCTTCGTCTCAGCCCCAAACCTGAGATCGGTCACGTGACTATACATGTTCCATCAAGTAAGCTGAGGCGGCTTGGAAGGACAACAAGAGGAAAAAGACGAAGACGGGAAAGTCGAGGAAGAAGAAGAAGAACAGATTCGAGTCTTTTTCATTGTTTGGTCTCTTATAATTAAAAGAAGACGCGAGGTGCTGTGAATTACCGGCGTTTCTTCTTTTTTGTTGCTGGTTTTCTTTTTGTCCACGAGACGTCTGGTAAGCTGTGTTGACTTCCGCCGGATAGCTAGCTGCCTGGCTCTGCTCTGGTAGCTAGCGGTGACGGCCAAGAAGAGCTCCATACTGACTGATATTTACAAATTAGTTTCTACGTCTCGACTGTTTTCTATCGTATTGTATACAGAGCTCTCGTTCGCCGTCGTTTCACATATGTCGTCGTCCCGGCAATTCTACGTCTCATCATGATCATCAGGAGCATCCTGTTGGCCGGCAGCTTGCTGCTGGCCAGTGCCATTCCCGGCACCCTCGCGAAATCCGATGAGCCCGAGATAAAGGTGAAGGAGTTAGATAAGGTGCCGACCAGCATCTACTACTTCGAGGATACGGATACCATCATCTTCCAGAAGGGCTTGGGCGAGATCTACATATCGACCGATGCTGCCTCGTCATGGGAAGTGATGAAAGACAAGACCGGGCTGCTGTGGCTGAACAGACATCACACGCAGAGTGCCTGTATCGTCGGGGACAAACGCAAGCACTGGGTGACGTACGATGCGGCAAAGACATGGCGCGAGTTCGAGGTCCCCGATAAACTGATATTAGGTGAAAGAATTCAACCGTTTGTTTTTCACGGCAAGGACTCGAACAAGGCCATTATCAATGCTGAAGAGTGCCTGCTCACCGGCTGTAGGCGGGTAACGTACTACACAGTCGATGGGTTCAAAACAATTAAGAAACTCTTGCAAGACGATAGCGGATGCTACTGGGCGGTCGGACATCCAAACGTTGGAGAAGGATTGGATATCCGCAAGAAAATCGATGACCGAATTTTCTGCATCCTGCCTGGGGCCTTGCCTTTTAACTCGAGCCCGCGTCTGGTCTACTCGGATAAGTTCTTTAGTGACGATATGGCCATCCCGGTCGAGATCAACGGCCGGGAACTCAGAGGCATCAATAAGTTTGCTTTTGTTAAAAAATTCCTAGTCATAGCTACTGTGTCGGATGGAACTTCCGAAGCAGCTATCTACGTCAGTCGCGATGCCATGCATTGGGACCGTGCGGAGTTTTATGGCGGTCCAAAGGTTCGAGAGGGGAAATTCACCTTCCTTGAGTCTACCAACTACAGTATACAGGTCAATGTGGCTTCTCGCAGGTCCAAGCTGCCCATCGGAAGCTTATACACCTCGGATTCTACCGGGACCTCCTTCACCATGAATGTCGACTCGGTAAATGAGGATAAGGATATGTATACCGATTTCGAACAAGTTTCCGGTATACAGGGCATCTTCCTGATTAACAGGGTGGACAATGCCGAAGAGGTCAAGACAGGCAAGGCTTCAGAGAAAAAGATAGTCAGCCGCATCTCCTTTGACGACGGCAGAACCTTCAAGCCCTTGAAGTACAAGGATAAGGAGATCCATCTCCATTCCATTACCCGTCCGTCCAACTCTGGTCGTACCTTTTCAAGCCCGGCTCCGGGGTTGGTTATGGGGGTTGGGAATTCAGGGGATAGGCTCAAGGAGTATGAACACGGCAATCTTTACGTCTCTGACGATGCTGGTATTACATGGCGCAAGGCCCTGGATAAGGCCCATAAATACGAGTTTGGAGACCAAGGCTCCCTACTTGTAGCAATCTTTGATGAAGCCGGAGGTGATAAGATCTATACCGATGAGATCTCGTACTCTCTCAACCATGGCAAGGATTGGAAAAAGGTCAAACTCCCCCATACCGTGAGTGCGATACTGCTTACTACTACCCCAGACTCCACCTCTCTCCAGTTCCTTCTGCTTGCGGAGGACAAGAACAAGAAATTCTATGTCATGTCCATAGACTTTAGCGGACTTCACGAGCGCAAGTGTGGGAAGAATGACTTCGAACGCTGGGCCGCTAGGCTGGATGAGAAGGGTGAACCGGACTGTCTTATGGGTCACAAACAGTTTTACAGACGAAGGAAAGCTGATGCCGATTGTTTCGTCAAGGAGAAGTTCAAGGAGCCGCTGCCAGAAATTGAACCTTGCAAGTGCACAAAGGAAGACTTCGAGTGTGCGGCCGGCTTTAAGCGCAACAATGATTATGACTGTGAGCCGGATGGAAAGCTCAAGCCTTCAGAGGGACAGTGCAAGAAGCCTGATGATAAGTTCATGGGCCCATCTGGATACCGCTTGATTCCTGGCGATGACTGCATTAAGAAGGGCGGGGTGGATCTTGAGAAAGAAGTTGAACGAGCCTGCAAGGAAACCTCAAAGGGCCCCATCAGTGGTAAAATCGCCGTCGAAGCGACCCCCTTCGAAACAGAAGGTTTCCAATACCGCTACCTAGAACGTAGTGATACCAGTTCTGGTGACGACGAGACCGTCATTTTCAAAACGGATAAAGGGGAAATATTCGTCTCCAAGGACCATGGTAAAAGCTGGGGACGTGGCAAGTTCAAAGAACCCATCCTTGAATTTATGCCCCATAAATACGACAAGGATGTTATATATCTTCTTACGGGAAGCAAAAAGGCATATTGGAGTATCGATAGAGGGCATTCTTTCCATGCGTTTGAAGCTAAAATGCCTTTTACTCGAACACTTGGTTCGCTACCCCTATTTTTCCATCCGGACCGCCCCGACTGGCTTATTTGGATAGGTGGAGAGGGTTGTTCCGGTAAAAAGTGCAACGATGTGGCCTATTATTCGAAAAACCGTGGAGATGAATGGGAGCTGCTGTTGCGTGGCGTGAACAAATGTATGTTTGTCGGCAAAGAGGGCGAACTTACCAATGATGATCTTATATTCTGCTCGCAGCACGAAGGTGAAGATCCACACAAGGATATGCGACTCGTGTCGAGTGATACCATGTTTTCCAAGAAAACTTCCATTCATTTTGATGGTAAACCTATTGCTGGATTCACGAAGATGTCCGAATTCATTGTCGTTGCTACCAAAAATGGTTCAGAGCTTCAATCATTTACCAGCGTTGACGGCAAGACGTTTGCACACGCCGCATTCCCGCCGAATTTCCATGTTGATTTTGAGCATGCATACACCGTCTTGGATAGCTCAACTCACTCAGTCTTTCTACATGTTACCGAGCATGCTGCCAGGGGCCATGAGTTTGGCAGCATTCTCAAGAGCAACAGCAACGGCACATCCTATGTCCTTAGTCTTAATGGAGCCAACCGAAACGTGAAAGATTACGTTGATTTTGAAAAAATTCAAGTCGTCGAGGGTGTCGCTCTGGGAAATGTAGTGTTCAATACCGAAGAAGTCAAGAAGAAGAATGAGGAAAAGAAATTTAGATCCATGATTACCCATAATGATGCTTCAGAGTGGGCACTCCTACCTCCTCCTAAGAAGGACGTCGATGGACATAGTTTCGGCTGCAAGGTCACAGACAAGGGAACAAATGATTGTGCCCTACACCTTCATGGGTATACTGAACGCCGCGACAATCGGGATTCCATGTCCTCTGGCTCCGCTGTTGGACTCATTATAGGCGTCGGGAACGTAGGTTCCCATTTGACGGCCAGGGCTGAAAGCGATACCTTCATGAGCCGAGATGCCGGTATAACTTGGCACCAGATTAGAAAGGGCCGCTATCAGTGGGAATTTGGTGACCAGGGGTCAATCATTGTCATCGTTGCGGAAGGGAAGCCTACCAAGGTCCTTTCCTATACGCTTGATGAGGGCGAGACCTGGACAGACTTCGAATTCACCGATGCCGAGGTAACGGTTGAGGATATCTCCACTGTTCCATCAGACACGTCAAAGAACTTCCTGCTTTGGACTAAAAAAGGGTCCACGACAGACCTTGTTGTTTACAACATCGATTTTTCCGGCCTGAAGGAGAGAGAGAGGCAATGTGTGTTGAAAAAGGACGCACCTGAGGCTGATGACTATTATCTCTGGTCCCCTAAGCATCCGATGCAGAAGGACAACTGCCTATTTGGCCATGTTTCACTGTATCATCGCAAAAAGCCCGATGCCAAGTGCTACAACGGCCCTAGGCTTGATAGACTGAGCAGCGAGAAGAAGAATTGCGAGTGTACCCGTCAAGACTATGAGTGGTATGTATACGCACAGAGTCAACGAATATTTCTGATACTAATCGCTTCTGCTAGTGACTATAACTATGAACGACAAACGGACGGATCCTGCGCCTTGGTAAAGGGCTTGAAGCCTGCAGACCCTATGCAGATCTGCAAGGCTGATCCGGACGCGGTAGAATACTTTGAACCGACTGGGTATCGAAAGCTCCCTGTGAGCACCTGTGAAGGCGGCGTCCAGCTCGACCACATCGTCGCCCGCCCTTGCCCCAACAAGAAAAAGGAATTCGAGAAGAAACACCCTGGTATCAGTGGCCTTGGCCTATTCCTTGCTATCTTCTTCCCTCTCGCGACCGCAGCCGCAGTGGGATACTGGGCCTTCTCCAAATGGGATGGCAAGTTTGGCCGTATACGCCTTGGCGAATCACAGCCAGAGTCCATCTTTTCCGGGGATTCTCCCCTCATCGCTATCCCCGTCACCATTGTGGCCGGAACTGTTGCCGTAATCACTGCCTTGCCTCTCCTGTTTTCTAGCCTCTGGCGAAGCGTACGGGGATACACTCGCTTACCTGGGCGGTGGAGACAGAGGCCATATGCTTCGCGAGGCGCCTTTGCAGCCCGTAGAGGCGATTATGTTGGTGTTGTTGATGATGAGGACGAACTTTTAGGAGCTGAAGAGTTTGAAGGAGACGAAGAGGACGAAGTGTAAACGAGACGCTCTCACGATAATTCTACCTATCTACCGACCTGCCTACCTTCATCTTTCTCCCGTAGCAGGGAATAGATACACTTTAATGGACACGATTATGTTGACAACTACTGATGTGGGGAGATTTTTTTTAACCCATTTTTCCTACTGTTATGTTTTCCTTTAAGCCAACCTCATTCCCCTTCTCACACCTTGTTTTATATATGACATACATGTCCTCTTTCCCAAAGTTGTTTCTAGGTAGACAAATGTTCGGATCCTTTTTACAGAGCGCTATTTTTCATTGTCTTGTATCATCATCTTTCAAAACTGTTGGTTTATAACTACCTCAAATTTTCATGTAGACGAATGACGTAACAGTCATATGATATGGTCGCCTATTATATAGTTAAGGTTAAGCCTCCTTTTTCAACCATATTGAGACCTCAAGGGGCTTGACGAGCAACCTTCACTACCGCCCGCCGCAAACAGCAGAGACCAATTTTCCAGTCTGAAGAGGGCCACCAATGGCCTGGCCTAACTCAGATCGTAAGTCGAACACTTGAGAGGTCACAAAGCATGCAAATGGAAAACTTACTATGATATAGAGCACAACAGCTGCGAGCAAGGAGTGAAGGGTCGTTCAGCATAGGAGATTTATACCTGGAGAATTATGCATCAGAATGCTTGCAGCAGTAGTGCGGAAAGGCAGGGCACTACGAGGAAAGCAGACGATGAAATGAAAGGAGGGAAGAAACAACAGTTCTAACCATCTTTTAACGTTATCAAGCGTCTCATATTACTGCAGATCTGGAGGAGACAAACTCTTGTTATGCATTAAAGAGAGCCTTTCATATATACCACGGTGACACCCTATATAGATCTCATACATCGCCTTAACCAGGTATATAGCCTGATAGTGATGCAGTTGACTGGTCTAATGAAATGCTAACAATCTAAGGCCAGGTAAAGATGTTTGAAAGCGGAGAGCGGAGAATCACCTCGTTTCCTTAAGGAGTCGCTTTAGATATAGCCAATACCGGATATTTGGGGAGGTCGGCTATTGGTAGGTACAGCTCGATCTTGAAGCCATGTCGTCAACGGTGCAAGCTAACTGTTAAAGATCTACTTGGTCTACGATATGACGGGTTATTCGCCTATAAATAAGAACTGAAAGTGGTAAAAGTAGAATTACCAAATTCTTGGAATGGAGAATCCAGTTTAGCTATCTCCTGCATCTTAGATGGAGAGATAAAGATGTGAGGAATATCACTCTAGCATGACGAAGTTTATAACTAGTCAACTAAGCAAGAGATGTTATTTGGTGGTAGTATATGATTCGATGATGGGACTACGTTATATGCGATCTTTGGTCAATTTATGGCCACGTTGCTAAGGTTGTGTGAATCTCAGGCCCAGAAAACCGTTCCAAGTCGTTTCCCCAGGAGATGAAGAAGGCTACGGTAACGAGTTACCAGCTAGTCCAATCCGAAGAAGCTTCAGCGCCAACGTTGTTGCAAGATACCTTGTTCTCTCCGCTCTACTTCAACATGGACCAGTCTAACCTTACCCCTACCCAAGTTGAATGAAACGACTTAGCTCCGCTTGACATGGTCAGTTAAGCCATTATCCATGTTTGCTACCTTTACGTACAATATTGATGTCTTATACTGATATAATCCGACCAGCCTACGTTTCGTGGAGCTACTACGCGCCCGATAGACCACTATATTCCTGGCAAAGAGGATAGGGATGAGGAAATGAAAGAGACTAGGGAATTTTTCACCTGCTTATCGAAAATTAGCATGATAGCCAACTAAGAGGTGTTCTACAAACATTTTCTTGAACTGGACGCACTCATGACCATGCAAGGCATCTTGCTCAGAAGCTCTGCTTATCCCCAGCAAACTGGAAAACGATATAACGAATGCATCCAACACCAATACGAAGACGGCTTTGTTTTAAAACTGGGACGGTAAATCTGAATTTCCGAGGGGTTATGCGAAGGGCCGCCCGATGCAGTATACGATATCCTCTCAGTGTCGAAGGACGAGAGTGTCTTGAAGATTTTTTTCTTCATGGCTGTTGATGCACCGAGTAGCTGGGCCAAATGCACCTGTGAATGCCATTGAACACAGCTACCATTCCCGCTGTATTCTTAGCCGTAAGCATAACTATTACGGCAACTGTCGCAAAAGTTATCATTAGGCTTCGAAAACACGAGTAGCCGGCGGCTAATTTTACGATGTTTGATCCATGTGGGCTGTGGAGTTCTGGGATGATAACAAGCTGTGGTTGCTTCTTTACTTGGCTACATTTTGTCAAAGATCAAGCTTCTCTTGGGGAACTGTCGCTTTGGCCAGCTCGTATTGATAAAGCCAAGGAGTCATTATCTTTGTTGTATGGAGTCCTCTGCGTCGACGCTCTGGCTACCGGAGATATTACTCGCGGAAGATATAAATACAGGGCTATCCTAGGCCCCCGACAAATTCCGACCTGTTGTGGCGGAAGAGCTGTCGTTCGATTGCAGGGTACTGCCTGATATCATGGTATCCAAAGCCTGTCTGGGGGTAGCCACGTAATAAAGCATAGTCGGTCGCTTGCTTACAGTGTTGAATAGGGTGTCATATATGGCCATAATGTTGTGAAGGTTCAAACGCAGATTTCACTATTAATTTATTTGAAATATTACTAGCTCTGCGAATATATTAAATGTAAGGCTATTGCTCGTATTATTGAAAGATACCATTACACAGTCATGAAATTAATAGAAGAGCCTCTTATAGCTGAGGTATCCTTACCCAACCATTGGCGAAAAGGATGGCTCTGGGTGAGGATGGATTATGCCGAACCCCTGAAGTGGGCGGAATCAATCTTGGCTTATCTTCATCGTGTGTCTCTGTGAACTCCTGTATCTTATTAACGTTCAGCATATCAACTGATCAAGCCTATGTACACACTTCATCACTTCAGTACCCCCAAATATCCAACACTTGAAGAAAGTTAAAATTAAAAGAGTTAAATTGTATAAAGTAATTAAACACCGATGCATACTGCGTAGCCAAGCCATAAGCTTGCGCAGTCTGTGCCGACTGCAGGGTTCCACGCATAAAAGTCATTCAGGGAAATGCCATTAGCATTGGCGAGATCCCAGCAGCCATCGCCGCTGACAACAGTATGCCATTTTTGACAGTTTGGAGTTACGCCAGCCTGTGTGGGTGCTGGTGGAGGGGTTCCTGGCTTAGTAGCTGTTGGCGTAGATGTTGAGGTTGCGGTTGGGGTAGGGGTAGGGGTTGCGGTGGGAGTCTGTATGGGTGTCGTTCGATACCAGTTTTCCCGAGGATCTCCCAAGCACTCTCCAACGGTAACGGCTATATTATCGACAAGTCAGCCGGGTGAAATTCATATTATTAGCTAGTGTGAACGGTTAAGAAATCACATACCCTTCAAACCCCTACTCTTCAACTCATCCAGCATTTGTTGTATTAGCACGTCGACGGTCGTTTGATGCACATCGTGGGCCAATACCATGCTTCCACCTGCGTTTAGCCCATTCTTGAAATTGCTAAAGCTGACAGAGGCACCAGCGGGCGTATCATTCTCATAGTCCTTGGTATCAATGTCAACTTCGATAACATGGAACTTGAGATCGGCCATCGTCTGTAGAACCAAGGGGCTATATGCGAAGTAGGGCACGCGCATATAGGTTGGTCGATATCCATTGGTTATGGATGCAAAAACGTCATCAAAAGTTGACATTTGAGAGACGATGCCATTACGATCAAGGGTAGATAGATCCGCATGAGAATATCTAAGAATCTGTTAGCGTATTGAATTAGATGAACGTCTTTGCGCAAAACACTCACGTATGCGATCCGATCTGGTGTCCTTCGTTAAACGCTCGCAGCACTACATCGCTATAGTCCGTAATGGTGCCAAAGTTCTGAGCATTCATGAAAAGCGTTGCCTTGGCTCCGTTTTGGTCAAAGATATCTAGTAGCTTGCTTGTATATTCGTAAGGGCCATCATCAAAGGTAATTGCGACGTCGCCTTTAACTGTGCAGCTCTTGATAATTTGACCAACCGGTATCACCGCAGCAGGTTGAGTGGGAGGGACTGTGGGGCTAGTTGAGGTTGAGGTTGAGGTTGAAGTTGAGGTTGAAGTTGAGGTAGTGGTGGGCGTGGCCGTAGTTGTAGGCGTGGCTGTGGTTGTAGGGGTGGTCGTAGTAGTAGCTGGTTTAGTTGTTGTGGTTGCAGGCGTGGTCGTAGTAGTGGCCGGTTTGGTTGTAGTAGTGATTGGCTTAGTTGTGGTGGTTGCAGGCTTAGTCGTTGACGTGGCCGGCTTGGTTGAAGTAGTAGGCTTAGGGAACAACCATGGAGGGAGCCATGACTTGCCCACTATGCGTGGTATTTCAGGGCGCAATGGTGTGGCTGCGACGTAGCAGGCAAGCAGCGCAGCAATAAAGAGGGTATAGAGCCGGATCAACATGATGCCCAACTCGAATGTAAATGTACAGTATCCAAAAGAAAATGTAAATGAAAACGAAGGGATGTCAAAAGAGCGTGTGGTGTATATGTAAAAGAGTGACAATTGATGGCGGACAGCCTCAACACATTTCTATAAAGACTACACGTCCTGGTGGGTGGTGCCATCTAGTATATATACCCTTGCCCTTGACGTTTTTGTCCGACTTGGCCCTGAACAGACCGCATGATTTAATATCGAAATCCTTGAAAATAGAGTGCTTCTCGTACTCGGCAATAAGCGAGCGGGTCTTCCAATCGTCCAACAGTGAGACAGCAGGGGTATGAAAGGTGTTGGAGAAGGAATTTCTAAAACATGGAGCAGGTGCACGGTTTCTGCCTCCTCGATCCAGAAGATCTCGAGAGGGAGTGGGCCGAACGCCATGCATCGAATGCTCGCTTCCATGCAGGGGATATCCAATGATGTAGCCGCCAAATTCTCAAAGTCGTTGGATATGACTCGTCCCTGCATTCTGCCAAGGAGACAAGAGTCATGGCAAGAATCTCTCCTGGTTCAATAACCATGCTAGTATCCATGGAGGTACCCATTCTTCCGGGAGCGAATGTGCGAATGTTGCACGTTGGGTTGCCTCGTATAGAGAACTTATCGGTGATATATCTGTTCCGCCTTAGCCGTCGTCTCATCCCTCGCCGCACCGTGGCCAGCATCCGTAAAATGATCTTCGATGAGAGAAAAAAAGTTCTGTCATCCAGGGGTATGTATAACGGGTCCATGGAGAGAGCCACCAATGGAAACGTCTCTGGTTGAGATCTTCCTCCTCGCGAGACGTGTGGATTGCTTTCAAAGGCGAGAAATCGACGATCCGATTTTAGATGCCGAGGGTGGCGACCGGTCATATTATCTCTTTGGGCATAATTACAATATGTGCTCCGTACTCCGTGTCAAGCATCTTTGGTTTTCCACTATGAGGCAGTCTCAACTAGTTAGCTGTAGCCGCAAAATGCCCCATCAACGGCGCCGTTCGAAGAGATGGCGACATCTTTGTGGAAAAGCTCCGGAGCTACTTAAGGCGTAAACCCGCTGGTCGTTTCACGATATCTTGGAGTACGATGCTCTCTCACATCTTAGAAGAACTCTGTGTGCCTTGCAGTGTTGGCGTCCGTGAAAAAGAAAAGAAAAGTCGAACAACTAAAATTTTATATAAAGGGGAAAGCAAACCTTAAAAGTATTATTAGTAAAAGAAGTTGCAAACGGTGCAAACATACACTGCTGAGTCAGCCTGGCGAGGTTTTACTTCTTCTTGCTCTCTTCTTATGCTGATACAAACTCCTTTACTGAAACCCAGGGCTTGCTTCTACTACGTAACCCTGGCTATTACAACTCGATAATATCTAACACTACCGCTCTCCCACCGGCGAAAGCCGCTGGCACTGTGTCCTCTTGTCCAGTTAAGCCTTCTGCAGGTCCCCAGGGATGCCAACTCTTATCATGACTTGGTCTTGACTCGATAAAACCCTCATAGCGGACATGGGTGAAGGGAAGCTAGGGGAACTCAATAAGGAGCTTCATCTAGAGGGTAAGGTATCCTATATACTTTTCTAATGACACTAAACTAATCTTTTATTGCTAGGTTAGTATGGGCCGTCAACCTTGAATGACGGTTGCCCTGATATCTCCTAGGAGGAGGAAACCAATATCCCAGTTCTTATCAAGACCACGGTCGAGAAGGAGATCACTGCGTGCTGTATTATTTATCCTTGCTACACACAGTACTTTCCTTCCATCATACAAATTCCCACAGTGAGTATTCTCTTTCCTCTTTTATATTCTTCCGTCCGCCTTCATACTGTTACTTGCGCCGCAGAGCCTAGACCTGCCCATTGTATTACAAAAGTAAATATACAATAAACCCCAACGCCATTGATACGAGTGCATAGAGAGAGTTTCGCGCATACATCGTTTTTAATCTGTTCCAATCCTTCCTAGACTGACCTTGTCGTAGGAATGTTGTTCATCCTACCGTACAACTTTAGCTAAACGATGATGGTCACCGTATATTCCCCTACCATGGGAGAATGAAGACGGCTTATGCTCATCATTTGCTAATTTTGTACTCCGTAGATGGACGCATGGACACAGAACCTATCGCTTAAAATAACGCGGACGGAAGCTACCATGTTGTATTAAGTGCCAGGAGGCTTGGCATGAGCCCGCCAACCAGGACCTCTTTTCCGGAGCTGGCCAGAGTTGAAGGTGAAATAATACGAAGTACTAACTCTTCGACCGAAGGGCGGAAAGGCCTAGTTTAATGGGAACCAATCTAATAAGCTGCCAACCCTTCCCAGCCGTGACATCCCCGGATTAACTATAACCCGACCTGTACGTCAAATAATATTACACAATCGAGGCGGTCAGTAGGACAACCTTAAGTCTAAATGCATCCAGCTGAGCCGCATCAACCTCCTTTTGATACTCCAGCGAAGTTGATCATCCGAAGAAGCTGGCTTTTGTATGTGTATATAAATATACATACATCTTCAAGAAGACGAGGATATGGGAAGCCACATGTCCAACCCCATCCGGACTCTAACCTTCAAAGAAGGCACCTCGGCTATGGCCCGACACTTATCGTTTATACTTCACACCGGAGGGCTCCGTCAGATAAGCAAAGCAGATACCCATAAGCCACCTTGACTGGCGCAAAGGCCATGGATCCCTCGCCTTTGACTATCACCAGCTCCCCCTTGATCATAACGCCTCCTTATCAACATAGTGTGGATACGTAAAGGTAAAGATCACCCAAACTGCTTTCCCCGGCTTTTCTCTGCCAACAAATACTCCTCACCGTCGGTGTGAACTAGGACAGGGCTATGAAAGTGTTATCAGACGGGATATCTAGATCGGTAATATACGTTATCAAAGGCGTCGTACTTTGAAAGTAACGGAGTGCTTGATGATATCCCGTTTGTTATCTTTACAGTTGTATTTAAATATTCGGCATGTAGCCTCAGCTGAAGCAGCAATAGAGCGGCCTTATCGATTATATCCTGTTTAGGTGATAAGACGGATGCTCTGGGGCATTGGAGAACAATGCCATCTAGATTCTCTACCTTTAACTTGTCGAGATGTCGACATCTCACACGTGTCTTTACATCATTACATGCTCTACATAATGCTGCTAGACTAGAGAGCTCCTCCTCAAGCCTTGCCAATGAAGATTTATTCCCGTCTGCTCCGGAAAAACGTACCTGGACAGCAGTCGATTTCTTCGCCTACTGGTAAATAGTTCAGGCCTCTCCCGTTCCGACGCCGCCGCTACTATATGGCTTTGTGACCGCTCCATTTACTTACTCTTAACTCGTACTTGTATAGGTGGAGTGAGTCTTGGGCGGTTGCAGCGTGGTCAATTGGAGCCTCCTTAATCACACTAGGAGCAACTATCAGAGATGCAGTGCTGATAGTTCTATTTGGGAATATCCTGACTTCCATTGTGATTGTATTGAACGGAAGGGCAGCAGCAGCATATCACATTGGCTTTCCAGTCCAGTCAAGGGCTAGTTTTGGAATATACGGACAATACGTTGTTGTCGTTATCCGTGCATTGGTAGGGATCGCCTGGGGTACGTGTCCGCATCCAATCCAAGGGGTTAACTCTCATTATACTAACATTGCACTTTGAATACCAGGTGGTGTGCAGCTATATTACGAGGGACAGTTTCTTTCCATATGTCTTCGTTGCATATTCCCTGGATGGAGTCGTATTCCAAACACTATACCTGCAGTAGGTATTGCCCTCACCTCTTAATTACTAGACTTAAGTTAAACCGCAATATTAGAACCAATCTATTACCGTACAAGGATTGATCGGTTTCTTCCTTGCGTTCCTATCTGCTCTCCCCTTCACATTTATCCACACAACAAAGATCCGGCATATGTTTAGTGTAAAGGCTGTCATAGTGCCCCTAGCTGGTCTAGGAACCGTATGCTGGGCCATCACTGCCAACAAAGGGATTTCTGCAGACAAGCTCGTGGATGAATCAAAGCGAGAGTCAACTTCCATCTTTGCATGGGCGCTTATCTCCCAGCTCAACGCTGTACTAGGTACCAACTCCGCTTTGATTGTCACCGTCCCCGATCTTGCTCGCTATTCGACAAATCGAAATGCACAGGTATACGGACAGGCGCTGGGGCTACCATTATCTCAGACCATATGTGCAGCATTTGGCATAATTACCACGGTAAGTGATAGAAGTAACTGCCTCTCTTCTCTGACTCAACTAACGGTTATACCGGGCAGGCTGCAGTGAAGAACATGTACGGGGAAGCATATTGGAATCCTTATGACCTTCTTAACGGTATTCTTGACCATGGCTATACTCCCCAAGCGCGAGCAGGGGTTTTCTTTGTGGCTGCTTCATGGGCATTCGCCACATTGGGGACGTCTATTGCCTGCAATGCCGTACCATTCGCTGCTGATATCACCTGCCTTGCACCAAAATACGTCAACATCGTTCGAGGGCAGTTCGTCTGGCTAATCATGTCACTAGCAATTGTGCCTTGGTACGTATGTCATCTACAGCTTTTCTTCCAGCATTTCTAAGTAAGGTATCTTTACAGGCGCCTTGTTGGAACTGCCAATAGCTTCCTCCGCTTCCTAACTGGATACTGCATCTTCCAGGGCCCCGTGGTTGGAATTATGTTGGTAGACTACTTCCTCGTCCGACGGGGCAATCTATACCTACCAGACCTATACCGCCACTCATCAACAGCGCGATACTACTTTACCAAGGGTTTCAATATTCGTGCTTTTGCTGCATTTATTATCGGCTCCTTACTTCCCCTACCAGGGCTGGTAGGAAGCATTGGAAAGTCCTTCTCCAGTGCAGCTGATCATATGTTTTCTCTAGGCTGGATACTTAGCTTCTTAGTTGGTAGTCTTACATATTGGGTTCTCTGCATGGTGTTCAAGATTCCCGGCGATGATGCTCTCTATAGGTTTGAGGAGAAGGTGGCAGAAGCAGAGGAAATGGTGCGCCGTGGAGACGAAAACTCCCCGTCTTTCGAGGTAAAAGGCGATGCATCATCACAGGCCGAGGATATTGAACAGCAGAGAAGGACATCAGACCCCTTGCGGGGCACTGTATGAATACATTCATCTGAAGTTTACCAGGCAGATACAATTACTTTCCCACCGTGCGTATACCATTCTATGAATATGATATGCTGTTACCCGTACGTAGCCTTAGATACATGATCCTAAAGGCCCAACCCTATGTACCAGAGAGGCTATAACATAAGTATATTTCTTTGCGTTAGACCATTAAACGAGATGCGTTGGTGTGGTATCCTTTTCAACGTGGCTGTCATTTTACGGACCCGTGCTACAGCACCCACTGATCCCGGAGGGTAGAATGCACCTACATTTAACTTGGGGGTGGTAAATCCGCAGGGCTAAAGGATGCCGGAAGCAACTAATAGCGGATACTATTCAGTATATCAGGTAGTCAGAGTGTTTCATAAGAAAGACGGGGACATACCTCTCCCATGGTCTGCAGTGTATACTTCCCCTGTCCATCATACATGTAGACTGGAAAATCCAAAGGACAGAATTGACGCATGCTGGTGACAACCGATTTACCCCATCGAGGCTCTCTGATTAGCGTACGCATTACTCGATTAACCTGACGAAAGGGAGGTAAATGCCACCTACAACTGCCGACACATGCCACACGGGGAAGCTCCGGGAGTGATATCGGTAGCTACAGCAATGGCCTTGAACCTGGTATGGCCAGCCGCCTTTCATCCATGGATATTAGCAACGACGGTGTTCGCGTGAGGGGTCTCTGACGCATATTCATACCACTGCAGTCCCCATCGCGCATCGCTCAGCACATACGCCAACCGGGTAACTGACATTCTCGACGTTGACACCGGTGATAAACTCCCCGCTCTCAGTAAGAAGACATGCACCAACACGGAACTTGGAGTATACGCCTATCTCGTTGTTAGTCACCGGGTATTACGTTGGCGGGGGGACCAACGAACAGTAGGCACGGTCTTTGGCCGCAATGGCCTTCTGGCCGAGGGTCTCTATCTCTGCATCGGTGATTGTAAATGGCATCTTGGATATGGTGATGTGGTGATAAAGCAACTGATCAGGTTGAGATTGTTGTCTCTAATGTATGTATGTGTGTGGCTGTCAGCATTCAACATGGAGCTGCTGTTATACAGAAAGTTTCAAGGCTAGTACCAAGACGGAGTCCGACGACTTTAACCTCTAGAGAACCAAGCTGTGCTCAATCATGGAGTCTTGATGGCGATATCGGTATTTTAAATCGAGCTACTTTTATTAGGCACATGAAAATAGCTCACATCCTTTATTTTTACGAACGATATTTCAACACGGATCTATGGGAAACGTCTTATAATTTCATACGTATCCCCGCTTTGCATACCGATGGGATCGGGAGTACTTTCTGCTTATCCAGAAACCCCAAACCCAACCATCGGAAGCTTCATGTTGGTATATTTGTAAAACACCAAAGCCAGGTTATCGACACATATTATCTAGTGGCATCGGAATCCCTTTATATCAGTATCTCCTAGCAGCTTCAATAACTCTTCCGTATTAACAAACCCAGTACCGCGAAGTTCTCTGTATATATCATATATACCTAGAAATTGTTGGAGAACTGTATTAACAATATTCTGAAAAGTTGGTAGAGTAATAGGATCTGCACCGATAAACTATATATTATTAGTATTATACGATAGGTCTTTCGATATAACATACTTATTGTTCTCTGAGGCGGTTGGTATAGGGGTCATATATTAAAATCCTCAGTCACTTGGGCTGTCTAGTAGTTTAGTTTGAGTTCGCTATACTTGCTAATTAACTAACTGATCGGGCGATGGTAGCTAGCCTAGGGTTTGCGCGAAATCATCTGGATGTCTGCTTGTTGATACCTCTTCTGGCTAAATAGTGATTGCATTATTTCCAGTTCCGGCGCCCCGTAGTTAAACTGATCCCCGTTATCTTGGGAAGCTAGCCGTTTATTTGGCGTTGCTGGAGAGGCCTCGGTCGTTAGATGATGCTTCGGACTTGGCTTCGATTGGCAGGCCACTAGGCACCTAAATATTGGGATTCTGTGGGTCGACTATACACGAATGGGCTATTTCGAATTCAAAGCGGTGCTCACAGGCCGTCTAGCAAGGAGACTTTTCCAGGCTAGAGCAGCAGCCGCTGGGATTCCGACCTCCACTTAGCTGCCCGACTTTCAGCCTTGGTAGGTGGAACAAATCCGCTATAGGGGATATTCGAATTAAAGAGTCGACCCCCAGAACATAGAACCGCTCGTATATTCGGAGGATATCGTAATTATAGGAAATCTGCTTATAGATATCCTCTAGCCTTAAGCACCGTTAGTTCAAGGTCATAAGCGTGAGAGAATCGGACGTACGAGACAAGTTTCCCAACCTGGCACTTAACCAAAGGAATGGCAGTACCGCAAGCATTTGATTGTGACCTGATAGTATAGATTGTCCTTTTACTTTGACTCCCACTATAAAAGCTTCCACACTCTTATCGTTTGCGCATAGTGCTTTAATACTGCGTGGGGGTTCATCTGTCTGTTATTAGCTATAAGCCATGTAATTCGTTGGGGGGGGAGGGGTTAAGTATACCTATAAAAATCTCAATAGCTCTTCACCACCCTTCTGCTATTATTTGTAATAACACGTAATATGTATCTATCAGCGGGGCGGTTCCTTATTGTTTGAGTAGTATGGACGGTATAGTTCTAATAGTCTTTCCTCATATGAGCAGATAATAGTAGGAGCAATGGCCTCGTTCTGCTCGCTGTCTCTATCGTCAAACCAGGCCTTACTGTGAAGTAGTAGCTAGTTCGGATCCTCGTAAGTAAAGGCTCCGGATGTGCCCTAAGAATCTACCTTTGGAATGTCGGAGAGAATGCGATGCAGGCCCCTTCTGCGAGCTGCCGTCATCACGCGCGAGATTCGGCGGCACGGGAGGGATATAGATATATGGGTTATAGGGGATGAATGCCAACTCGTCTCGGGCGTCAAAAGAAGCATCTGCCCAACATGACGGCGATAATGAGCATTGTCACCATCGAAAATAAACCGTTGGCGTGAATATATGCCTATAATGAATATTGAAGAGGAAGATGAGAAAGATGAGTTCCAAGGGACATGGAATAAATAATATTAACTCACGGGAGGGGCCGCCTTGGGGGATCTCAGGGGCGACTCAGCCCCAAGCCCAAAATTCGGGCTCGCCTTTGATGTATAGAAAAAGGACACCACTCTTCGGGTTTTTGGACTATGAAGGATCTGCCTCTGTCAACAGCATCTCGGCCTTGTGCTTACCCATGGATTTCAAATCTGGCCGACTAGTGGCCTAGTTGACAAGATACCATCGAACCCACCAAGCGCCTGGAGATGAACCATACAAATGTCTCGTTGCTTAGCCACCTTTCTTCTTATCGTTGGTAAGCCTCCGTGGCAAAGATGCATGTCTTCGTTAGGGGTTTATATTTTGTATATGGAGAAGGCGTTGAACTGCGGCCCTCATAGAGAGGCGGATTCCAATGCACCCTCTAGGCCTAGGGCACTCGTGTAATTCAAAGTGTGGATTCGAATATATGAGTAATATTCCTACTCGAGGGCAAGGGACTTTATGTATCAGTCCAGCGTAAAGCTCAAGGTGAAACCGTCAACAAGAGCCGTTCGTACATTCAGGCCAGCAAATGAAGACGCAGAGCATTGCTGGAAACCTAAGAATCTGCCTATATCACCAGAGAGCATCGAGAAAGTGGTGAAGACAGCAAGAGGAAGCGTAGGAAAGGTGAGGATAAGTATGAAAAGATGCTGAGTGATTTCAGGGGGTATCTTAGAAAGCTCTCAACAGTCATGATATGTCTGCTCTTCGGTAAATAAAGAGTACATTAAGGCGATGTGTGGGAGAGCTTCCAGGGAATAGCAAAAGAAGCCCTGATGAATCTCTCGGCGTACTAGAACAAGAGTGGAGGAAACCTCTGTGTTCAAGATGGCGAGGAATCAGACATGCTGTTCCTAGCTTACTATGTAAGCGGCTGAATGTGGCCTTTTCAGGGGACTGAGAAGGATATAGGTATCCTGGCCAGAGAAAAGAAAAGCACTGGAAAGTATTCCATATATGGCATTGCTCCATTCCGTCTATCTAGATTCTTGGTTAGGTTGCATAGACTTTTCAATAGATCAGGAAAACCGATGGTAAAGTAAAATTGATCATAGAAGCAGTTGAAAAAATTGTCCAAAGAAACACCACACTCCTATATCCGCCAACCGTCCAATGCAAATGTGTATTATATGTATAAAATACCACAGGTCTGAGACATATGGGTATAAAAAGTAGATGAGCAAGAAAATATATAAAGAGGATTGTGGGCTACTGGAAATAATCCTTCAAGGCCTCGTATATAGCGAATATAAAGGCAGAGCTGGGTGCAGATCGAGCGACGGTAATGCCGCACCCACGATACAAGCCAGCGACGCCATACTGTTTCCAAACAGTTCTCCCGACAGACCAGAAAGAGGGCATCTTTGCACCATTTTTAGCTGAGTGCGATGTGATATCCTCCGTCTGGATCCGTGACTTGATGGTGTCTGCAGGGTAAAAGATGAAATTGTAGAGAACTCCGGCCGTCGCTCCGGCGATCATCTGCTGATATATTGGTAGATTTACCTGGTCATCTGTAGTTCCCAGCTTCTCCTGTGGCGGAGGGTTATAATGTCGAAACAACGCAGAGACACCTTCATAACCGCCAAACCAGGATGCAGAGCCACCTGTTTCACGGATCAAGGTGCCTAGTTGCCCGCGCCAAAGCCCTAGGATACCATGTGTTCGAAAGACAGCCGAAACGATAGCTAGCGGGCGTAATGTCTTGCCCTGCGGACCGCTGGGGACTTGCATCTTGCATTTGACTAGCTCGACAGGGGTGAGAAGGAGGGAGGTGAATGCGCCCGATGCCGCACCACAGACCAAGAGGGCGGTGTATGGAAGCTTCTCCAGGCCGCCGTAGACGTAGTCTCGAGCCAAGCGTTGCGTGAGACGGTAGCTGAAGAAGAGAGAGCTATTTTCAATCGCGGCACCGAGGAGGGGAGCGCTGATGCCACGGTAGAGTCCTTGTATGCCTTCTTGGCTAATGGACTGACGGAAACAGTCGATGGGGCCGCTATAACGGAGGGGAAGACCATCTGGTTGAGACTGGAGGCGCACTTTGACGGTATCGAAAGGGTACTCGATGCATTTTCCGACCATACCGGCGATCTAGGAGTGGTTAGCAGGAGCCATGCATACACGATAAAGAGTCAAGACTCACGGAGCCAAAAACGATGTCCTTGGCCGCATCGATGCCATGATGCTGTGCTCTCACGGGAAGATCGGAGAGCTCGACGTTCATGGTATGAAGGGTGGGCTTCTGCTTCACCGCCGAGAGAGTATCCCCGTCCATGGTCGACGGCGGTGTCGCTATAGATTAGGGAGAGTCAGAGAGGAATCAGGCGGGTTGGATATGATGCTGGACAGGCCGCTATCGGAGGGACATTATAGAACAGTTGTCTGCAGCGAAGCCAACCATTATTCCAGTAAAAGTGTGCATACACGATAAACAAGCGTTTTTCTGCACTGGTCGAAAACTAAGGCGGTGCGAGGTAGCTGACTTTAAATAGACTGGCTTGGGCGGCTGAGCATCATGCGAAGATAAGAAAAGGCGAGACCATCGGCACAAAGGAAGTATTTGCGTATGTGTATGCCGTCAGTATTGTTCCATCACATACTTTTTCTCTCTTCTTGTCCTTCTTCAGCTTCGTCGACTTTCTTGACTTCTTCATCTTCAGCTTTTTTTCTTTTTCTTTTCTTTTCTTTTAGAGTTCTTGATTAGTCATGGCGTGTGGGACTCTTCGGAGCCGGCTCCACTTAAATCCGTTTATCTGATCGAAAAGATAAGCTGATGGCGCTAGTCCTCTTTTGGACGCTTTTTCTTTTTTTTTTTTTCTTCTGCTGAAGAAAGGGAACAAAAGGACGAGAAGACGAGGAGGAGATAGAAGTTGAAGACCAGCCGAAGGAAAGATGACAGAAGCGACACAGGAACCTGCCGAGATGGCTTCAGAGAAGGTCACCGTTGCTGGCCCCCTTCCCTCCGCTTTGGGATCGACGAAGCCAAAGGGGATGCGGAAAAACGGTATGCTCCCCCTTGGTTGCTCAACTCTTCTGACGGCCTTCACAGGTCTCCGCTGACACCTCTCGCTGGCATGGTCTAGGTAAAAATTGGCATGCGCCCAAGAAGGCCTTTAGACCCACTGCCGGACAGACCTCGTACGCGAAACGCCTAGAAGAGCGAAAAGCCATGGCGGTGATGAAGGAGAAAGAAAAGGAGATGAAGGAGGAGAAAGAAACGACAAGACAGGTCAGCTACACACTTAGAGGCCCCTACGGGCGATGCAGCCAGCTAATTACTTCCCTCATAGGCACGCATACAAGCCATCAAGGACCGAAGAGCAGCCAAGGAAGAGAAACAGCGATATGAGAAGTTGGCCGAGAAGATGCATAGGAAACGAGTCGAGCGGATGAGGAAGCGCGAGAAGAGGAATAAACTGCTCAATTCTTAGACTACATGATTATTCGACGGTTTACTTTGCATGCACTGGAGTACGGAGCTTATGACTACATTTATAAAAGTCGATTTCGGGACATTTTGGGCGGATATGAAGACTGAGGATAAAACAACAACATGGCTACAGGAGTATGACATGGGCTTGAATTGCCAGCCCGAGCGTATATAGACATGGACTCCTCTAGGCCATTGAGACCTTCTCCACATGGCTTTATGACAATGAAACATCCTTCAATGCTATTTCTGATATTCATATGGCATATACTGTAGCCTAAGACAGACGGACCACAAGCATTTATCAGTAAGATTGGTAGTTTGGGTAGAGATATATAACTTCACAGCCCTATCTACCACCCATGCTGCAGAGTTATGTTCACACTGCATCATTGGTGGCAAGCTGCAGAGCTCAGGGATGACGTACCTAGAAAAACAAATCCTTGTTAATAAAAACTATTTTTAACTAACAAAAATCACCAACAACCACCTGCTAAACACCATTGCAGTGTGGAGTGCATGATCCATAACTAGCTATACTAACTAAATAAAATATTGAGACAGTGGCTAAAAAAAGAGAGATGGAAAACATCAAGATACCCCCTTTAGCGGTGTCTGCCGCGCAGCAAACAGGAAGCAGCCCCGATGACAGCACAGAGATGCACACAGCTTCACCCGGCAGCAAGACAGCTTCAGCTACACCGTCACCACAGCGATCTCCTCTTCATGGCAGACACTATCCCTCTCTCAACAACAACCTCTATATTCCTCACCAGGCAAGCGTACCCGACCCGTCGCTCTTTTCGCCCCCCAGCCAGCCAGAGGAGAAGACCTCGGATGTCGAGAAACGCGGTCGGCGACACAACAGACACCATAGATCACGGCATGAACGCGAGGAGAAACACTCGAGGAACCAAAGCTTCCCTATAGAGCATGTGACGGAGATGCCGTTCCAGCTGGGCAAGAAGAAAGCTCGCGCAGCGGCTGCGGAAGCGGAGGGGAGGGCAAAGGCGAGAGAAAAGGTGCTGGAGGAGGAAGCTCGCCGAGTAAAAGAGGCAAAGGAAGCAAAGGAGGAGTTGGCTGGTCGGTTCCCATTTGCCAGAACGGAAGAGGTGCTCACCCAGGCTGGCCTCGAAAAGCTGCGTGAAAAGAGACTCAAGGAAGAGCAGTATGTCTTTTCTCTGTTTATTTACGGGGTCTATATACTAATATTGTGTACGTAGAGCCAACTCTGATGCTCTCGGGGATATTACGGAGCAATCAGCTTCATTCTCTCAGCGTCTTGACAAGACATGCTACAGCCTGCTCGAGAACGCCGCAAGCATTCGTACCTCTATTCAATCCGTCCAGGCCCTTACGCAACGCACTGTAGAGCGTCACAGAGAATTCGATGCCCGCTCCTCCGGCATGTTACGTGATGCTAGAGCACAGATATTGAAATTCAACAACTTTGACCGACAGTTGAAGAGTATCGGTGCGTTGGAGTCACGGTTGGAAGCTACTAGGCAGCAGGCAGCAGTACTGGATAAGAGACTTGAAGCCGTTCGCAAGAGAATTCTAGACTGGGATCACGAAGAAGACGTGTGGCAGGCGAAGATCACCAGACGCTCGAGGATGCTGGGTGCAGCTCTCTTAGCCATGTTCGTTGTTTGGGTGGGCATGAAAGTCATGGGCTGGTGGCACCCCGGGGCTCTTTTTGGCAGCTTCCGTTCTAAGACAACTGTTGCCCCGGAGAGTGTGGAAGCTGTGGTGTGTTTGCATGGTGTCTCCCCGGACTGGAGCTGTTTGATGCCCTCTGATGGTGGGGGGGATGCCGCTGCAAGTACTGCGTCTACTGCGGCTGGAATTGGTCAAACAACATCTATGTTTACAGCTCCCATTGAGCCAATCGCCTTAGAGGAACCGTTGCAGCGGATCATCGACGAGCTATGAGCCTGTTCTTCATTCCAATACCTTGGCAAGGAGAATGCCCGGTCCATGTGTGAAGCACTTCAAATAGTTGCAATGAGCTATGACCGAACCAGGAAGCATGGAGTTGGAGGATCTTTTGATATAACCCGGCGTTTTGTTATATATATATTACATTAGCATATGATACCCCATTTGAAGTTTAATAATGAAAAACAAGTTGTCCATTATGCAAGTATTGAATATTTATCAAGTTCGTAGATATACTGTAATTCCATTTTATATAATAACACGGCAAAACCCTCAACCATAATATGTCGTGACCCTTCATATGCATAAAACCAAAAGATGCATTACTCAAATGCATGTTCCAAGAGGAAAAGAAAAGAGAGAGAAAAAAGCCTGACAGCAAGTTCCCAGAATATCATCACCGGGAATCAAGCCGCCTCAGCCTCCGCCACTTCAAGCGGCAGCCGCCCCAGCCGCGGCCCCGGACTTCTTCTTCTTATCCTCTACCAACTCAAAATTATCCTCTGGCACATCCTTGTAGTTCTCCAACAGCCACTCCATCACTTCCTCGCTGACATCTCCCTGTACGGTGATCTCTTCGCTCGTGCCAGTCGCAGCAGCAGCACCAGTCGCCTTCGTCACCGAGCTCCCGGTAGCAAACTTCTTGCCTAGCCCCTTAGCTACCTTCTTGTTATCAAGCCCATGCGCCTCTAAACCTGATATAACAGTGACAAACTTCCGCTTATTCCTTTCCACGCGTCTAATTAGGATCTTAGAAGCTGCTTTCTTCTCGTGTTCACGGGTCTCAGCCTGAGCGGCTTTGGCTTCCTTTTTGGCGGCGTCCTTGGCTGCGCGTTCACGAGCTTCTACCGACAGTGCTGAAAGGTTTGCGGCAATTGTTTCTATTTCATGTTAGGCTTGATGAGGCGGGGTCTTTAAAGGGAATATTCAGGTAGTACCGTCTGAGTATAGCTTCTGGTAAAGCTCTGGATGTGATTTCTCAAGCCATTCTTCGCACTTCTTCGATGTCCCGCCGAATTCACAGTACTACGTAATGATGTCCCTGTCAGTCACGCGAGTCTCCTGAATGTCTCGAATGGTGTAAAAAGTGAGAAGATATAGCGATATCCGGGAGTGGGCTATATCTTCCGGGAAAGCATTAGATACCTCTGGGGGAAGAGAACACACTGCATGTAAACAGATCGTATATGTTAGCTCTTCATCCCACCATAGCTATGGAGGGGCAGACCTCAGGGCATAAGACCGAGCTTACCTCCACAGTAGACTATATGGCGGGCTTGAGGCTCAACAGGAGCGTCGCCATTCTCCGTATCAGCCATGATTCGCCTTTATGTCTTTGTATATTATGGGGTAGAAAAAGGCAGAGAGGTAGCTGTTTTCTTCTCTGCTTCTAACTGTAACTTTTTGCATGAAGATGATAGAGATTATGTAAGATCACATGCTGACTAACTCGGAGTCCGGAATATATATAATACGAATATAAAAAGTCGCTGTGAGCGAAACTTGAGCTTGAGGTCATCACAAGTCGGTGAAGATTGAGAGTGTCTGTTTGATACGGATATCTGACATCATGGCGGTTTTTAATGCATCTCGCAAATGTGGGAGGCTTTCTCTTCATCCTTGGGTCCTTCGCAGCCATGATAGCATAGGGTGGCAGCTTAAGAGAGAGGGTGTCATCCCACTAGAGCCTATCTAGCCGGGCAATCCCTGGTTCGAGTTTACATAGTATGGCGATGGCGGTCGATAGTGAATGAGGGGATGTCTGACAAGGTAAAAGGCCGGTGACCAGCTAAACCAGGGCTTGGACAGTCCTGATTCCTGAAGTTTTGAATAGGTGATATATATGAAGTATACTACAGCGACCGAAGCGATGCATGCCCTGGAGGTGTTGCTAGCTATGTTTTTCAAGAACTTCGAAGATCTCCGCGGCAGGTACACAGTTCGTATTTCTATGGAGTCACTCTCGATTCCTAGCTCATATATGATGCCGAACGAAGTCGCTTAAACCACCCAGCCTCGAGTATCTATACATACATCGGTTTCGCCTGGTTTTATCTAGGGTTCCAACCTGATTTCTTTCCAAGCCATTGCTCCTATAGTCCCCCTTGTCGATAATAGGAAGCCTTTCTCAAGGCGATCCGTCTTCGTAGGTTTCAGCTTCAGCTACGCAACCGATGTATACACAGATGCTGCTCTTGATCATTCATCTTTACATGGTATAAAGGTGACTCGCTCCCACGACCATAAGAACAGGTTGGATAGCATGCACGGCCGTTAAGGCTCATGGTTCGCTCGGATTATCTCTGGCTGAGCATCATCCAACCACAGCCGCTCGACGGGATGGGCTTGTCAGATGGCTCAGAGACAAATTTTCACCCACGTCAAGGAATATGGGACTCCCATACAGGTTTCGTTCGTATTGAGACTTGCAATGCTAACTTGTTCGAGGAGCCATGCTGCCCAAGAATGTCTAGAATGCCGATTGAGGCGGCATATATCCTCGTTTTATACCACCGAATAAAGGATAAGATGGACATTGCATAACTATATAATATACTCCTCTGCCCCTCCTCAAAGCCTCTTGTCTAGTCTGTGGTACAAGTATGCATCATGACATGGTAAAGCCCTCTTCGGCTATACGTAGCAGATCAAGCAAGGTGTTTGGAAGAGTCAAAGAGCAGCCGTGCCGTAACTTGGCCCTTATGCCGGTCAGAATGACACCATCAATGGGTTTGTATCATTGTCCCCCGCAGTTCATAACGAAAGCCGTATCGATAGGCTAGGGCCATCGCCCACCTGGCGGAGCATTTCGGGAGAAGGCGGGAATCTCGATTGCTGCATCGAAGAAAAAAAAAACAATAGACCAAGATGGACTAAAACCCCCCGATAAGCATACTGAGTTCGATATCGACTCTTCGACGCCAACATCTAAGACAGGAATAACAAGCAGAAAAAGCCAATAACAGGCGGTAAACTAGGCCATCGACTCGGCCATCAATGAGCAGATTTCCCGTGCCTCCTCTCTCCCCCTCTTTCTACTATGTATGGCCCCAAGGCATAACAGGTACACCGTAGCACAAGCCTTGATGCACACACGGCCTGCGCGGCCGATAAAGGTCGCACCACGACACTGGGAGCGAAAAGCAAATACCGAGTTTCCAACTTCGCTCGAAGCTTGATATGCTGTGTCCTCTCATTATGGAATATATGTTATACTCTTGTGTATATACGCTCATCCCAACCACGGACAATATCCACACGTGGAGTAAGGCTATGGACGTCGATATCTCGCATCCCTTGCCAGGTCTTTTTGATAAATTTGCCTTCGATGTCTGACTCGGGCTGAATATATTTTGCAAAGCGCCGGGGCGGGGCCGTCACCTTGGTAGAGTGCCATAAGACAATGTAATAAGATATTAGTTATGTTATTAACGTGGGCTAGCCATACTCTAGTCTGCTTCATCGTGGCGATAGACCGGCTATCTCTCGTAGACTTTTTTCTCTTTCATGCAGAGTCTCTGGTGGGCTCTCTCTGCTTGCTGTCTTTGCCTTCTTCCATCGTGGTGGAGAAGAGAGAGACGACTCTGGATCGCAGTTGGGATAATGTATACATAGCCTTCCCGAAGGACAAGGCACTCCCGGGCAGTTTCCTTGATCTGTTTGTCCATCCTTCAGCTAGTTATCGTCGCAGGAATGTGATATTGGGCGGGAAGGACAGGGAGCCGGTCCACTCTGCGATAAGCGTCATATCTAGTTAATAGATGAAGGTGTAAACATATAGGGCCCCCCAGATTAGAGTCGCAAAATACGGAGGGCCAGTGGAACCGATAGAAATCTCTGTCTCTCTTCTATTTGCCTCCTGACGGCTCTCTGATACCGCCGTCGTCGGTATGTAGATTAAGTGGATGAGATACCTAAGGAAGAGTCAGAGAAACGATCAACAGCTTCAGAGACAGAGAGCAAAAGCATCCATGTTACCTTCAGCGAACCAAGCAGTTCTAGATCGTACCTTTCGTGTCCCTCTTATCTTTTTGCAAGTTGTTATGTGTATGTTTGCTTTTTGCCTTCTGCGACCTCTTTTTTTTTATTTTTATTTTTTTTTTTTCCTGCGCTTCCACAGGCAAACCTGGCCATCGCTAATCATAACTTCTGCCAACCATCCAGGGCGAGACATCGCAAAAAAAACATAAATTATCAATAGTAACGGGAGCTTTTATATATGACGGTGCCAATTGGAGATCCAGCGAATGTTACTATACACCCCTACGTCTGTTCCGGCTCTTCCACTCCATATAGATACTTCTTCCTGGCCCCCTCCCTCCATCCCTACACCGACACCGACATTTCTCCCTCCCCCTCCACCCCTCTAACAGAACCCGCGAGCGATGCCAGTGTTGACAGGTTGATTATCCGGCTTCACTCTGCTCGCTTTCTCTCTCCTGAATAACCGTTGGACAGACAGCCAGGGATATGGACATGGCGTGCAGGGCTGCCGATGACAGCTTGGTGGAGCGAGAACCCTCCAGGCATGTCGACTATCTATCGCATCCATGGCGGGAGGAGGACGTTTGGAGCTCCTGGAGATACATATCGGCCAGAAGGGATGAGTACGAGAGTGGACACAGGCTGGAGAATGCTGCATGGCGTTCCTGGGCAAGGATACGTTTCGATCTTGGGTCGTTCCCTGCTGAAGCTCTGAACTGGTGAGTTGATATATACTTATCTACACATATACTGAATACCGTGCTGATAGATCGGAACAGGCAAAAAGACATAGACGTCACCTGGCTCTATGGCCCGTTACAGGTGCAGGGAGACGAACCGGATGACCGGTCGAGCACTTCGTCGCTGGCTCCCTCATCGCCAGCAACCTCGAACTCCTCCTGTCTTATCGATAAAAAGCCGATCCTGAAGAAACGGACCATTTCGCAATCCATACTGCAACGACCACCTTCCACGCACACGTTCCTGCGACTGGCCAACGCCCTGATCAAAGCACAGGACGGCGCGGATGGCAGATACGTTGCCGATTACCCCGTCACCCGCCAGGAGTTCGAAAAGTCACTGGGAGGGGTGTTGTCGGACAGCTCCATGTCAAACCTGTTCTTCCCGGAGAGCAACGCTACCGTCCCAGACAAACGGCACATCAGCTTCAGTAACGAGGTTGCGCAGTGCGTTGCCGTCGAAGATGATGATGAGCCGTTCGACGGAGATTATTATGGCTACTACCAGCCGGCCACGGACTGTTCCGTTCTGGAGGACGACGAAACCTCCGACGACGGTGTCATGATGGCAAGGCACTATCCGGAGAGACCGCCGCTCAGCTCGCAGAGCACACCACGAAGCAGTTTCAGCAGCGACAGCAGGATCATCGCACACCTACCGTCCACCACTCTGAAATACCGACCCGATACCCCAGAGCCCAAGCAGGAGGCCGCCACCACCCCGCGGCCCGTACGACCTACCCTATCCCGCTCCTCTTCAGCTGAAACTCTCCGTCCGTCAAACTACGTTGCTGCCAAATCCTCTTCCCACGGAGACTTCTTCCTGGACGAGGAGTACGGCCTCGACGAGGATTGGAACACAGGCTGGGACACAGACTGGAAAGTCCAGCAGCCCAAACCGGTCAACCCGGCCACTTCTTCCCTAACAGGCCAATGGTTCGGTAACTCCAAGGCCAAGGCTACCACATCATCGAGCACAAGTGAGCAGGGGAAGTACCACTCCTCCGCCGGCGTCTTCATGCCATTTGGGTACGGTGACAGCAGCTCTGACGGGGAATATGAGTGGTCTGACGAAGTGGAAGAGGGAAACTCTAGTCGTGGGGTTATCGATCGGGTGATCGATACAGTCAATACGGCCAGAGATATCGCTCATGTCATATGGAACGTAGGCTGGCGGGGCTGACTAGCCGACCTGTGTGCGAGGGCACGTATGCGTTCAATGGTTCCCTATACCTCCAGGATGGACCAGGTTACCGCTCAGCTACGGCATCATCTCCGCCGTGCTGGCTGACACTGCAGCTTATACCCAGCCATGCCAACAACACACATGGCATCAGGATATTACTTTTATCTTCTGGTTGTTTATTGATATCGTATCAAACGTTCTTACGTTTACAGCACTATCATTATCGACGGAGGCCCAGCTACCAGGAGTAGCTACATTATCCGGCCAATCCGCGAAACCTGTCAACCGATACATATACCGTCGCCGTCTGGCCTCGATAAAAAGCATCTCATATCTTATGCGCGATGGTCAGAACAATCACAACTCTCTGAGAGACCAGGTGGCATCCCTCACCGACGCCGTGTCAAAGTGAAAACATCTCTCCCAGCACTGAGACTCGATCAATAGAGAGATAAACGTGCTTAAATAGGTGTTCCGGCCACGAACCCGCTGCTCATTACACCACCAGAGCAGGGAAACAGAAAAGTGTTTTGGAGATAGATCTATGAAATTATGAATAACGACGAGAGGGCGCCTTCTGCTTGTTTTCATGGTTCTCTTAGTCTTGAATATTCTAATTACCCTAATCATAGTTTTGCTCTCTCTTCCTATATCTCATTGAGAACAAGGTCCATGACATAGATACTCCATCTTCCGTTCTTGAAGAGCGTCGCTGAAAGGTTGATAGCCCTTCTATCAGCTAGTGTAAGCTCTCATTTCGTATGAAGCTGGATTACAGAAGGTCTTCATCTGGCTATGTATATCTCAATCATATAACTGTTAGATGGAATGGCTGTGTCTTTTCGTGACCACCGTATACAAGTATCAAGGCCATCGCCTACTTCAACTCATCTCCTCCCTAGAGCTATCCCCTTCTATCTCTTGTAAATAAATCAATGTTAATGGCCTCCTCTCCCTTCCCTATAAGGTCATGTGACTATAAAGGGGAAACTTGGATTTTGGCGCAAGAAAGTCGAGATTTAAAATTAACTAAATAATATTAAAAATAACCAATATTAATACATCTGCTAAGACACCCCGTACGCTGCCATTGAGAGACCACAGCAGTGCTGCGACCTCAAAGACTCTGCTGTGCCCCCTTCAGACTGCTTCTCCCGGGCCGTGGCTGTTATTTCAATCTCCTGCGTTTCCCCCTTTTACTATAGTCAACTACATAGTTGCTTACCAGGAACACCTTCGTACCCCAGGAACCTGCAGACAAGCCCCTGCAGCAGCGCGATCGATCTTCTCCCTGCAGGCCAGCTGGCGACTATAACCGCCGCGGAGAAGTCAGCGGCCAGCTGTCAAAATCAATTGCGCTCCAAGACAAAGACAACAAGCACATACCACACATACCTCCTGGAGAGGTACAAGCACAGCGACATGGAGAACATCAATATATCGGAGCTCGTGGAGCGACTGGGGAGCGATGAGGATGCGGTACGGAAGATGGCTGTGTTCAAGCTGCAGTCGAATATAGGGGACCCTTCGTTCGCGGACATATTCATCTCAGAGGGAGGGTTGACCAAGTTGAAGCACCTCGCGATGACGGCCTCAGGGAATACCCTCGCATACAGTCTTACCTCGTTCGCAAGATTGTTGGAAGTGGACAAGGGATGGGAGTTTGTAGAGACCGATCTGATTGAGAGAGTACGTTTCTTTCAAGCTCTTATACTGATATTCACTCACTGACCACGCTGCTCTAGATTGTCCAGCTTATCGTCACGCATCCCCTTGTTAATATCCTTCGCGGCGCAATGTCTATACTCGTCTCGATCGTTTCACATCCCCATACCTCTGGCCGCGCATCGGTACCTGGAATGTTTGGCTTCCACGCCCTCAAACCCGCCATCGCCATCCATCCGCAGTTTCTGGAAATGCTAGTGAGAAGGCTATCCTCAGCCGACCATGCTCTGTGCGCCAATGCCTTGCAACTGATCAATTCCTTGATGAGGGACTCCATCTCGAACCAGGGCGAGAACGAATGGCCCAAGTTTATCAAGCGATTACAGGATCTGGGAGTGATACGCGCTGTATACGTGCTTATGCAGGGAAGTGCTTTGCAGGATTTAGCTCACCCGCTCATTGAGTTTCAGTCCCTTACGAAAGTGCTATTGCGGAAATGGAGAGAGGTTGCCGTTGAGCTGGAAAGACCGGAGCACCGGCGGGCGCTAAAGGGAATCCACCTGGCTAGTAACCCTGATCGAACAGAGAAGGATTCCGCTCCTGAAAAGGAGCCCACTGCTGAAAAGGACGCAGCCGAAGATAAAGCTGGGGATGCTTCTCTTCCCAACAAGTCGTCCAAGAGGCATCATCCTCATAAATGGCGACGGCTGGGCTTCGAGACTGAGAGCCCTCAGTGGGAGTTCCAGGAGATGGGATTCCTGGGCATGATGGATTTGACAGATTATGTCAGGAGATATCAAGATGAGTTCCAGAAGATGCTCCTGGAACAATCTACCCGGCCGGCTGAGCAGAGGTGTCCGATCGCTCGTGCCTCGCTAGCGGTAACATCCGTGTTGTACGAGCATTTCGAAGTAGACAAGGCCGAGATAGATGACCCAAAAAGCTACCTTGCCCTTGAAGCCAAGACGAATTTTGATAAGCTGTTCAAACCCATTCTCCTCCACTGGCCTAGACTGCATGTTGCTGGTTTGCACGCATTCTTTCGACTCTGGAAATCAACTGCGGCCGAACTGGAAGACTTCTCTAAGATAGTAGAGCTGGTTCGAATATTGGTCGAGAGTGTCATAGGTGGAGCCTCGCGTGTCAAGGACGTGCTGGAAGTGGAAGAGGAAATGGCTGATTTCGAGTATCAGCGGCTAAGGGAGCTTCAAATGGAGCTGCTGGAGCTCACATACGAAGACGTATGGGGCCAACATCTGCATCAGGTTCGGGAAGAACTGCACCATGAAGCATTGCAGTTTGTCAAGGAGCAGCGTGTTAGGTGCTTATTGCAGGGTGCGTGGTTTCCAATTTCCGAGTTGAGCTCCAAGGCGACCATCGATAGCAATGGGGCGTCGGAAAAGCGAACAGCGCCAGCATACCATAGATATATCCAACTCTCGCATAACCGAAGATACCTACACTACGGAGATTTTGAATCCATGAGTGATAACTTTAAGCCAGAGCTGGATTCCTTATCTAACAAGAGTATGTTACACCTTATATCCTTTCACTTATTTCGTATATACAGCAGCACTAACTCACACCTCCACTAAAAGTTGATTTGAGCCTTGTCTCTTCAGTCGTCTCAAACGTATCAGCCTCTCCGGACGATTCATCTGGCTCGACAATCAAGACTCTCCCTCAAACGGCGAGTGCATCAACGAAAATTACCATCCACGGCCTTGCCAAATCTAGCTCATCCCACTCACACAGCACTCAAGGCCTCAGCCGGTCAGATAGTAGAACAACCGGTTATCATCGTCGTGATGATGAGGAGACCGATGGCCAAAGTGAAGTTGCCTTGCTCACTCTTTACCCACAATCACATAGTATAGCATCGGAGTGGCTGGACGGGCTTCTGATGATTCTCAATCAACAGCCCATAACGGCAGAAACTAATAAACTGATCAATTTGATCAGCAACTACGGTCTGAAAATCAGACTGCTGAACGTACGGTTTGACGATGCTGCCTTTACTGGTGACTGTCCCGAAGTTCCCAGTCGGGAGGGACTGGACGAGGACTACTATTATGATATTTTTGGAGGGAACTGATTTGCTGCTACTGCTGGAGAAGAAAGAATCTATATACCCTTTTCCCTTTACTTGCTTATCTTCTTCTTGTACTTAATATCTTTTTCTCCTGATGTATTACATTATTGTATTAGCTACCCATAGTATATACCATGCAAACCATGCAAACAGCGACCGCCTCACAAGTTAAAACGCTTTTTAACTTATCAACCCATCGACAAGTTACATTTCCATCACTCGCTCAAAGATGTGTTCAGCAAGAGATAATCGAGTCGCGTCGCTTTTTACGAGGCATTGAGAGCTCAGTCAAAGGATGTAGCCGTCAATTTATCGGGTTTTCAGCTTCTCGTCATGGGCACTCCACCCCCTCGAAAGCGGCAGCGGAGACTCATAGTTCTCTCTTCAGACGACGAGCTCGAAAGCCCAGCTCCAGTCAAAGTAAAGCAGAATACGCGAGTCCAGGGGATACCGAGCCAGAAGCGCTCTTTAACCACATCAAGATTGACTCCAGCTGAGGCCGCGGGCGGCAATCATCACAATGGAACTTTGCAAACTTTGCAACTTTCGCTAACGAATCTACCTACACGACCATCCATACAGAATCGACCACCCCCACCAGGGAGATCCATAAACAGTGTACTCAAATCCCCGAGTAAGGCGTCTTCGGTCCCTTCAACGCACACAACCCCTACATCATCTCCTGAGAAGAAACGAAAGACTGTCGCAAAACCCAAGAACAACGCCAGGGAGGAAAATATTGAAAAAGGGGATAAATCACTACGAAACTTTTTCCAACCGGCTACTGCAGAGGAAAGATGGAGCAGATTACAACGGGAAAAGGAAAGGGAGAAAGAAAAGGAGAAGGAGAGGCATATGTTCCTGGAACTTGAAAATGATATACTGGAAGATATGATTGAAGACGACGATTCGTTGGATGAGATATTATCTCAGCCGCCCCGGCAGAATGACAATAAAGGTGGATTAGCCGGTTTCCATGGATATCCAGCGTTAGACCGGCGGAAGAGTTCCCTTCCAAGTAGGGATGCGGTTTCAACGGTTAAATTAGAGAAGAAACCAAGACCTGCGAAGAGGTTTATACTCCATGCAGATGGCAATGGCCTTGGACCTTCATCTCAGTCTACTATTGCGTCACTTGGGTCATCGACGCCAGCACAAACGACCGCTAGAAGACCATGGGCGGAGCAATTTGCTCCGGTCAATTTGGATGAGCTCGCGGTGCACAAGAGAAAGGTCTCAGATGTGCAAAACTGGCTAAACGAGGTTTTCGCTGGTCGGAGTACACGCGTAGGTAGACACCCTGGTCTTTATTGTCCACCTTTATGTTGGAAATAGCTTTGCTAACTTGGCTATAGCATATACTTGTCTTGAAGGGACCTGCGGGCAGTGGCAAAACCACCACTGTTTCGTTGCTGTCTAAAGTCCTTGGATATGATATCGTAGAGTGGAGGAATCCTGCTAGAACAGAATACCCCACACAGGAATATGCGTCGACCTGGACACAGTTTGACGATTTCCTTGGTCGTTGCGAGAAATACAACTGCCTAGATTTAGATGGTGAACCACCTTCTTCGGCATTTAATAACAGCACCGCTGTACAATCTTCCAGACGACGTGTAATATTAGTGGAAGAATTTCCTCCGTCATTGAGCCCCGGATCTTCTGGTTTAATAGCCTTTCGGTCAGCACTTCAGCGCCATGCTGCCTCTGCGTTGCCTTCAGTAGCTACCAGAACGGCTTCCGGTTCCAACTCGACTACTCCCGTTATTATCATTGTTTCTGAGGCATTACTAGGAGATGGCGCCTCTTTATCAGATCATTTTACTGCCCATCGATTACTAGGACCGGAATTATCCAACCATCCAGGAATTAGCATTATCGAATTTAATCCAATTGCCCCAACATTCCTTACTAAAGCTTTAGACCTCGTGCTAAAAAAGGAAGCACGCTTATCTCAACGGAAACGTATCCCAGGTCCTGGAGTCCTGAAGAGATTTGCAGAAATGGGAGACGTCCGCAGCGCCATTTCGTCACTGGAGTTTATCTGCCTTCGGGGCGGCGACTATGAAGGATACAGTGGGACAGTTAACAGCCGCCCGAAGCGCTCGGGGCAAACGGCCGTTCCGCCTACAGCTATGGAAATTGAGACCCTCGAAATGGTCACCCAAAGGGAAGCCAGTCTAGGGATTTTCCACGCTGTTGGCAAAATCATGTACAATAAAAGAGACGATGCCAGCTCATCAGCGTCAACACGCGGAAGGCTAGGGGCTGGGCAGCCGGCCTCGCAACCTAGAGATCACCACCACTTGGTATCCCAAGTTTCCGTGGAGGACTTGATGAACGAAACTGGAACAGATATCCAAACCTTTTTATCCGCATTACATGAAAATTACCCCCCATCTTGCCATGGCGATTTGTTCACCGAATCTTTTGACGGCTGCTCAGAACAGCTGTCTTCTGCTGACGTTCTAGGAATCGGAAATCGTATGACTGTGAAATCGGCCAGAGGACTTGGGTCTGCACGAATTACCTTCCATAGCGCAGGAACGGGTATCGACATTCTACGTCAAGACGAGATCAGTTTCCAGGTTGCCTCGCGGGGTCTCCTCTTTCATCTTCCTTATCCAGTTAACAGACGCGGCCCCGATGCACATAAGATGTTCTACCCCTCATCGCTAAAGTTATGGCGCCAGTCTGAAGAAGTGGATGGATTAGTTTCTCTTTGGATGCGGCGGATAACAACTGCAACTATGAATCTAAGCATCCCTGATGAAGCATCCCGACGATCCGAGCGGGTTGAATCCTGGGGAAACCGCGCTCGGTTGTCGGATATTTTGCAAGACAGTGGCCAAGACAGCTATGGTGCGGCAAGATGCATGGTATCCCGTGGCGAAGCCGTTCTAGAACGGCTTCCTTATATGAGGCTAATATCCAAGGATACGGCTGAACGGAAAGAAATAGAAAGAGTAACCCAGTTAGGTGGCTCGATAAGGCGTAGCCAAGAAATCGAAGAGGATGATCTTCAATTCAGCCATGATATTCCTTCCAGTTCGACTAGGAATTCACCTGGAAAGAATCGAAAGTGGCAAGCAAGAGCAGCAGCATCTGGTATCACTGGCTTACCTTCCGTTGAAGAAGCAGTGGACAAGCTAGTCTTGAGCGACGATGATATTGAGGATGATTAAAGCCTTTGGTACCTCAGACATGATGTGCATGTTCAATAATCTATAACTTTTTAATACTACCACCTTGGAAACATTGGACTATGATAATGTTCTATCTGCGGCGTTTATTCAAATTATACTATACAAACCAGTCAATATAAGATATACCACTAACTGTTTTCCGAGGGTTAAAATCCGGAGATAAGAACAAGATCCGAAAGATTAGATAAGAAATATAGTTTTTCCGTTCCGGCTATCTGGAGAACGTCCGTGCACGGTGATATCTGAACAGTTTTTGATATTACAAGCAGAAACCTTTAAATGTGGCCTATTTCAGGTGCAAATATTCCATTGGAGATCGATATCATTGACACATAAAGGTATATAAAGTCTCCTATCTTTCTGTAGCTTGCCGCTTAGCTGTTTATCATTCTAATTTTGCGTAGGGTTCCAGGTTAAGCGTGTCACGGTGATCTGTCGATGACTGGAACGGGAGAAGAACCGAGAGGTTCTTCCCAGATAAAACCCCGATCTGATATCGCACCTCACTCGCCGGGCCTCGAACGGATCAAAAAGCCAAATAATATAACCACATCACAATCATCCGGCGAGAATGGGAATAAGCTAAGAGGCGTAACATCTGCAATTGTGCAATCAACTGTGCCAACATGGATGAATATTGCTATCGTCGCTACATTCATATTTGGAGGCTGTTGCTCAAATGTAGGTGAATTTTATTGGGCCCCGTTTAAATAAATCTGGATGTTATTGGCTAACGTGTGGATAGGTATTTGCCCTTGAGGCCTTAATAAAGTGAGTGACTTTACGCATCAACTGTTGGACTACGGCGAATTAAGGTATGGCTAACGGGTATTTTTTGTGAGTCTAGAGATGATCCTAATTTTGGTAAGCCGCCGTACATATGCTCCTAGTTATAATTGCGTACACTAATATATAGTAGGGACACTTATCACCTTTGCGCAATTTGTGATAATCGCACTTCTTACCTTACCAACTATTTTGTCCCCGAGCGCTGGGGTCAGGTCTTTCTTCATTTCGAAACCCACAATTCCATTGAAATCATGGATCATATACACTGCATTTTTTATGTCTGTAAACTTACTAAACAATGCTGCCTTCATCTTTAAAATCTCGGTACCTCTGCATATCATTGTTCGAAGCGGTGGGCCGGTCGCCTCGATGATCATTGGATACCTCTACAATTCCAGAAAATACACGCCCACGCAAATTATCTCAGTTGCAATCCTTTCCGTGGGTGTCGTCGCAGCGGCAATTGCTGATGCGAGCGCGAAAGGGAAGCCTTTAGATCTCGGGTTGGCGGCAGGCGAAGGGTCTTCACCTATCCTGACCTTGTCGGGGTTTATGATACTTGGTTTAGCGATGGTTCTGGCTGCCTTCCAGGGCGTGTATGCTGATCGGTTATATCAACAATATGGCCGTGATAACTGGCGAGAGGGCTTGTTTTACTCACATGCCCTATCAATACCATTCTTACTTCCCTCATATCCTCAACTATACCCACAGTTGAAGTCTCTATGGGCGTCCCCATCTGTCACCGGAATTATCCAAACTACCTCTGCAACCGCATCTGTTTCCCCTGGAAACACATCTCAATTTCTCATGCCGGTGCTCCAACCCCTGCAAACTATCTCCAGTCACCCATCGATACACCCAGTACTCTCAATGATCCCCGTTAAAGTTGCCTATCTCCTCCTCAATGCCTTGACGCAGTACCTTTGTATACGCGGCGTCTACCTTCTATCAGCAAAGACCTCTTCTCTGACCGTGGTTATTGTGCTGAATATTCGCAAGCTAGTTTCCTTGATCCTGTCTGTTTATCTTTTTGGCAATGTCCTCACTTCTGGAGTACTTGCTGGCGCTTCCTTGGTGTTTTTGGGGGGCGGAATATACGCTTATGAAGGAGCAAGACTGAGAAGGCAGCAAGCCAAGGATAAAGACGCATAGATGTATAGACTATAAACCATTCTGGCATACATTGCTCTAAAATCGCCCTTAAATATATATATCACCTGCATCTCTTGACCAAATGTTACTTCGATGGATATCCGGAGAAACACTGGTCACGTGTCGCTCTTTTTCCTGAAATGTGAAAGTGAAGACGAAAAACGTTCAACGTCAACCACATTCGTGAACATGAACTTGCCTAAGTCCAGTTATACCCACTGCAACTTTGAGGCCTGCGATATAGCCTTGCCGGCTGTGTTTCAATATATCATTCAATACCTTATAACAATCAATACCCTGGTTGCGAAAAGTATTTGCATTTGGTCTTATCTGACCGACTTTAGGATGTTCATTATGGATATATATGCGGGCACTTTATTCACTCTGATACTTGCAAACGTTGGCCTTGCATCTTATCGCCTCAATGGCAGCGAGGGAAGGATAAACTTGCGGAATATAATCAGCAACATTCATGGATTATTCAGCCGTCGAAACGAGAGCTGGCCGAATGATACAGGCCTCGTCCTTACTTTTCTTCCTGTCTACGTACTCGTCATGGCTTCAGATTGGATGCAGGTTGGCTAGCTATTTCTGTCTAATATAATGAGCATCTTTCCGCCAAGAAATTCCCCTGTTATGGTATATGATCTGACTGAGAGGTATCCTCACACCAGGGTCCATACTTTTTTCCATTATACAAGGAAACTCTTCAACTACCCGATCATGTTATTGCAACCCTTTTTGCCACAGGGTTTATCTCTGGTGCATTTAGTGCTTCATTTGTGGGAAATCTTGCCGATAGATATGGGCGACGAATAGCATGTCTGTCGTTTTGTGTGATATACAGCCTATCATGTATCATGACAGCCTCATCCTCAAATGTCGTTATTCTTTTCTTTGGACGAGTCCTGGGGGGAATTGGGACCACTTTACTCTTCACTGTTTTCGAAGCGTGGCTTGTTGCCGAATTTCACCGTACAAAATCCACGGAAGAGTCAACGGAGCTAAACCAGCTACTAGGAACAATGACCGTACTAAGTGGAATAGTTGCAGTTTTATCTGGGCTGTTGAGTAATTTTCTAGTTTCGCTCACGGGCTCCAGGCGAGCACCATTTCTCGCAAGCCCCGTTTGTCTTGGTATGGCCTTTTTGCTGATATCAGGGATATGGGTACGTATTTACTTCATGTTCCAAACTAAGAATAGAAACTTATACTCAGAGACACTATAGAATGAGAATTATGCGGGTGATTCCGGTCATTCTGGAGTTGAAGCTATAGAACAGCAACACACTCGATTTTCAGCTATATTGAAAGGTAAGAGGTAAAAAACCTCCTTGAAGAGAGCACAGAACTAAATATCTAGTTGGAGACACCCGCATCACAATGCTTGGGCTGATTACAACGATATTTGAGGGCTCCATGTACCTTTTTGTCGTTTTTTGGTCACCTGCAATTATTTCTGCCAGTAAGGGCGATGGTGCCCCTGACGACCCCCCATTCGGACTCATCTTCGCCAGTTTTATGACCTCCATGATGCTGGGATCTCAAATATCATCCCAATTAACGATCCCGACCCTTGAGACTCCGTCACCATCGTCATCGCCACCGCCTCCGACCACTTTGTCATGCGACTATGATCATAGTAGCGTATCCCGATGCTCTCGTTTGCTTACCATTCTTTTCTTTGTCGGAAGCATCAGCTTGATATGTGCTGTAGTATTTCCGACTACGCTATCCACTCTCTGGGCGTTCTGCGTCTACGAATTCAGTATTGGCATGTACTACCCTAATGTGGGTGTACTCAAAAGCGTCCTCGTCCGAGATAAGGATCGAGCGAAAGTATACGCTTTATTCCGACTGCCGCTTAATTGTTTTGTTATTGCTGGTCTAGCATTTACAACAGAAGGTGAGACATGTATTCCGTGCTGATTCTTGATCACTTAATCCATTCATGGTCTGATACTAAGGAATTATGTCGGTGAAGGCGGAGGATATAGAAACAAAGTCTTTATGACTTGCAGTGCTTTGCTTCTATTCGCGATGATACTTTCGCATTTCTTACTTCGTTGAAGACTCCACGATGCCATCCTTTAAATGTTCGATTTGGCTATATAAAACTCGATTTCATTCTCCACTTGAAGTCTCATTAACAGTTTCGGGGTTATCTGAGACACACATGCTAGGAGGCCTGGAATATGTTCAGCTGGAACTCCTATCCTGGAACTCAGGCTATTCTTAGGTAGTAAGGATAGTGCTATAATTTTCGACATTTGGGTTACGCCGTGCAAACAGAGGATTCAATCCTTCAAATCAAATGGTTCGTCTCTCAATCATATGAGATGAAACTGTGGCAAACAAGAAACATTCCGGGTCTCCAGTTTGAAAAATTCCTCGACTCGGTTTCGTCGAAGATGCAGAGCGCAGTCGGGCTTGTGTTTATGGCTGTGGGGAGAATATACATAGCAACATGTAGCTCTGCAGTCGTGCAGCTTTTCCAATCAAAGCTCTCTGCACCTTTCGGGCCGATCAATCCGGTGCCCATGCGACCAATGCTTTGCCTGCCACACTTTTTCTTTGCATTGCTGATCTGCAAAATGAACTCACGTCATTGGAGATCGATATCCCCAGCAAAGCTGCTGCAAGCCTCGTCATTTCGACTGAGAAGTGCAATATGATCAGTACATGTCCCTAAGCGCTCGTGGAGGATGAGGATTGTAGGATGGACTGTCTCGGAGTACCCTGAGACATGACACACCAAGCCGAAGCAGCCAACAGCCAGCTGGTGGTCCCTATACCCTCGATTTCCTACCGTGTTTGCTTTTTCCCCTGTGGAACCTAAGGGCGTTGATATGCGCCCAACAGATGGCGGCAGTTCAGTATGAATAAAACCAGCACAGATACTTTGGAGGAAGCTCTCTCCTCAGTCAAGACATAAATAGAAGGCATTTCCTGCTCCGTTCAAACATAACCAGCCCAAATATTCCAAGACCTACTCATCAAACTCCTGAAAACAAACTAAGAAACCCTTCTTCTTCTGCCTCTCTCCCCATAGCAATATGCATTTCTCCAGGATTGTGGCTTTGGCCTTCACCATCATCCCCGCCTCTCTTGCAGCTCCAGTCGAGACGCAACCACTGGTGAGAATACCGCATCTATTATCGTGAATCACGATTTTCTTGCTAAAACGTAGCCTAACATTGCAATATACAGGCCACCATTTATAAACTAGCCAACTTTGAAGGGTACATGCAATCAGTCACCGCTTCAGGAATCTGCTCTTACATGCTCCCCGATCAGTATGTCTAACTGCACTTCTATTCACATTTCTTAATATTCGAGATTTGCTAACATAGATGAAAGCAATAACCCCATCGGATCACTGAAAGTGACATCGGGAACCACCTGTGAATTTTATGCGTAAGTCTTCCTCTTGAAATGCTGTTTATCGATAAAACTGTGGAATTCCTAACGCATGTGTATAGGAGCCGCGGTTGTGGTGGAGAGCTAATTGGCAAAGCCACATCGGATCGACCAGACCTCGTAAAGGAGGGTCTTACCGTCTACGGAATCATTTGCTCTTAGGCGCAATCCATTATCCGTCCGCAATGGAAGCCATAATAGCAACCAGCTGGCTTTTCTTTACTATTTCTGTGTACCTCTCTCATCAGACTTAATACTAATGCATTAATGAATCCATCTTAATATACCAAGCCGCCATTTCTCTGTTCTCTGGCATGCTTCCACAGATTCTTTTCAAGCAGCCCAAGATATATTGTATACCCCAGAGAGCTACTTTGTACTCCGTACAGGTTTCCCCTGGCGCTGGATGCTATAGCTGTATTTTCTTAACCACATATAAATAGGGTCATATACAAGCTTGCTCTACCCTCCCATTTGTCTCACTAGATAAAAGATCAGTGACAAATAAGAGTCATTTGCTCGAGGCCCTAGTTGGTCTGCCCCTGACTGAGATCCTTTTTTAGTAAAACTTGTATTGCTTTAAAATATACTAAATTCTCCCCAATATGGCACCAGGAATAACCATGTGTCTACTATGTACATAGTGAAATACATTGTTAAAACCAAAATGTGGAGATATGTCAAAAAACCTCATACTATGTCTAGGAGTGCTGGTGTCTATAGAGCACAGAGTAGCCGTCTCCAAGGAGCAAAGCGAGGATATGAATACGGAGTACTACGTATACATACATAGTATATATCTACTATAGGCCCACCAATTTAGCCAGCCTCATCCTCCCACATAGACCGCTTACTTTTCGAATAAACCGGAATGGTAAGAAGCTCTGGCATATCATCAAGTGATTAAAACCTCCCGGTTTATAAACAAAGAATATCCTCTGTTTCCCATGAAAAGTCATCCTCCTGCTCATTCTAGCATATTACATTGATTGAATGGTTTTATTCTCGTTCCTTGGGTGGGTCCTTTTAACCCTGAGGTTCAGGGGGCTTTGAAAGATGCCTGGGATTGCATATATGTATGTATGTAAAGTGTACTCCGTACTCCGTATAGTATGTATATTAGCGGAATTAATGCAAGGATTAACTAAGCTTATGAGACCCGTTTATGTATAAAATGTGCTATGTACATACTATGTAGTATGCACAATCATGATCTACGATTAACTTCATGAGGAATATCATCGTGAACATTAGTTGCTGGCCTGGAAACATAATTCTGGTTAAATTTCTCTATTTACCCATAGCCGTCAAGGGCTAGGGATATTGGAACTTGACACTTTTGCCTGGGCCCATGAAAAAGAAAACTGATGATGAGAATAAAAAAAATGGAGACATAAAACCTGGACCAATCGCGTAAATGCAAACAAATAACCCATGTATTCCCCCCTGCTCCCTCTTACTCGATTGCGGAGACTCCACCAGGTTGGAGGACAGGGTTGACCTCTTCGTCCTGCCACTTGAGTTTGAACTCTTGCCCTAATTCCTTCTTCACTGCTGCCTGGACAGCTTCAAGAACATTGGCAAAAACTCCGAAGTTTGCTGGATTATTGATGTCGTTATCGCCTCCCTTGAACACGCCAGTGCGTACCAAACATGTGTTCCAGCCATACATGTTACCGCCGCAGATATCTGACTGAGGGTTATCACCAATCATGTAGATGTTCTTGGGAAGGGTATGTTCATTGTGGATTTCTTTCATCCATTGCTGTATCACGGTGTCCGCGTACTTGTAAGTTGCAAGCTCTGGCTTTCCATATATAACACGCTCTAGATCTCCGCCTGTTAGAGTCTTATATTGAGATTCAATGGCAATTCTGAAGGCCCCTTGCGTCAAGCGTGGAAGGGCATGCTCGGTAGGGAAAACCAAGTCACCCTGTGAAAAGTAAATTGGGATTTGGTTGGCAAGGGGGTTCTTTGCCTTGGTCTTGAGTCGGCCGTTTTCACTAAGGAGAAGATCTATAATGATCTGCATGTCGGTTTGGTAATCCCTTGAGTCAGCAAAGACCATGATGGCGTCGAAGTTCAAGTTGTCAAAGTCGCGGATCTTGGCTTGTTTACGCTCTTCGTCCGATAGTTTGCTCCAGGGAGAGATTGTAGGGTCCCATGCTTGAATGTCCTTGGTGTGAACAACAGTCTTGAATCCATAGTCTTCAGCTACTTGCCGGACTTTGAACCCCTCACCGCCACACACAAGAACAGTATCATAGTACTCCGACAATGCCTGCATGGGAGTGTGGGACTGGATGAACTGATCTGTGGATATTGGTGATTTGAGGATCCCTGAGAGCTCATCAACTCTGGCGCTCTCAGTCTTACCCCCACCATTGGTTAAGAGTATGTATGGTAGCTTTATACCAAGCTCGTTGTCCCCGTTCAATACCTCCATGACTCTGGCAGCTTCGGGAATAAGTTTGCTACCATGGACCAGCACACCGTCAATATCGAAAGCAAATGCCATATTTTTGGCTGCCTCCACCTTCTCCTTAGCCATGTCCTGGATCTGCGAAGCAAGTACATCTCGCTTGAGGCTTGCGGGATCTCGAGATCCAGATAGTCTTGAAGATCGTGGAGACTTAGGAATGGGTAGAGCCATGCCAAAAGAATTCCGGGACCCCCGCCTATCTTGAAACGAGGGGGATAGGCTCAGGTTATGCATGAGCGAGCCTGCATCGCTGATCGAGCTTCTCAATGCTCGCACTTCGATTGCATTTCCTTGGTCTGATGGAATGCTGAGTTGCCCTCGTTTGACTGCGCTGTCCCTTCTGCGCCATTCTCCATCTTGTTGAAATTGAGACATAGCTTCAATAGAAATTGAAAATTGGGAGAGAGAGAGAGAGAGAGAGAGAGAGAGAGAGAGAGAGAGAATTAATGATAGACTTGTGCTGGATATGGATACTTCAAATGAAAGATACTGAAATCGAGAAGATTGAAAGTAAGCAAAATATCCCTCCTGTCAGCCCTTTGAATATCAATTGGAGGCTAGGTCAAATATATATATATACCTATTCAAATGGGGTAACTTGTCTTCCCAAACTTCATTATGAAATAAAAATCAGAGACTTCTTTTCCTCGGAGATCATCACAAGTGGAATCCTCATAAGCATTGCTTTTAACCATTGTAATGGTTCGAAACAATGATGAAGGCCAGGATGTGACGTTATGTGGCAATTGATTGGACCCAAACAAATATGAACTCACTGCCAGTGGTGGAATGTCTGTAAAAGGTTGCCTGCATGTGGATAGTCTGATACAACATCGAATTGTTTGTCCGTTTCCTTGTGAAGTGTGGATAAAAAGGATTATATGAGTACGGTTAATGTCCGAGTTGAGCTGTAGGGATCGTTTCCTTCCTCGTCTCCACTGCCCGAAAGCCACGACGATCTAGTGGGTCTTCCTCCCCATCTTGGTAATAATTGGACCCTCGACCTAACTGGTTGGTGGTGACTGAGATTTTTTCTGGATACTCTTTAAGGGCGCCCGTCTCCCTTGAATCCACTTCCAGGTTGGTTTATGGAGGTTGTGCATGGGAGACGGCCTCACAGTGCATATATGTACTCCGTACATACTCTGGACAGTACATAGTAAGCATATATCCACTAGTACCCGCTCTTCTTACATAGTAAGTAGGAAAATTGAGTTCACAATAACGTCATTGATGTAGGCCGACGGAGTCGATTCTCCATACCACGAAAATTCTAGGGCGGAACAGAGCAGAAAGCAATAGGATTCGAGGGTTCAGACACGGTTTCAACTCTATCATGCAGACCTTCTCCGAGAAAAATATCCCTCCCGCGGTTTTCAGTCCTTTTTGAAAGAAGATCCCATCTCTAGAAACGGAAACCAGCGATTATCCGTACGAAGGAAGATAACAGCCGTGGTAACATAACGGAGAGCTTCATAGTGCATTTACCATTGCATTGATAAAAAACCGAATATTTTATTCCGGCATGTCTCGCAATATCACTTTCAAATTGAGCAACGGTGTCACCATTCCGGGGTTGGGATTTGGTACATTTTCCAACGAAGGGACCAAAGGAGAGGCATATAAAGCCGTTCTTCATGCATTGCGGACTGGGTACAGGCATCTCGACTGCGCCTGGTTTTATTTGAACGAGGATGAGATTGGACAAGCCATCCATGATTTTCTCAAGGAAAATACCGGCGTAAAGCGATCCGATTTATTCATCACTACCAAGGTCTGGAATCATTTGCATGAAAAGGAAGAGGTGGCCTGGTCTTTGGAAAATTCATTGAAGAATCTTCAGCTGGATTATGTCGACCTCTTCCTAATCCATTGGCCTATCGCCTGTGAAAGAGATGACAAGTACATGCCAAAGATCGGCCCTGATGGCAAGGTATGATAATCCATTGAAGGATCAGTGCATAGAGGGTTGAGATACTAAATAAGTATTTTGTGAGCAGTACGTTATTAAGAAAGAGTTGACCAAAAACCCTGAGCCCACCTGGCGTGCAATGGAGGAGCTGTACGAAGCTGGTAAGGCGAAAGCGATTGGACTATCGAACTTCACCATTGCAGGTGTGAAGCAGATCCTCTCATTCGCCAAAGTACCGCCACACGCCAACCAGATCGAAATTCACCCGTTCCTTCCAAACACCGAGCTTGTCGAGTTCTGCTTCTCGAAGAACATCATGCCACAGGCATACTCACCGCTTGGATCCCAAAACCAAGTCCCAACAACTGGTGAGAAGGTCGGGACCAATGCTACACTGAATGAAATTGCGAAGAACGGTGGGCACACCTTAGCACAGGTGTTGATAGCCTGGGGAGAGAGAAGAGGTTATGTGGTTCTACCAAAGAGCTCAAACCCTCAACGAATTGAAAGCAACTTTAAGGAAATCGAGCTGTCCGACGAAGAATTCGAGGCTGTCAACAAGGTATCCCAAGGTAGACATACTCGATTTGTTAATATGAAGGACACTTTCGGTTATGATGTCTGGCCAGAGGAAGTTACGCAGTAAACTGCTTGCTTGGACGAAAGGCCAGCCTAAAACCCGAATATTGAGTCTTCGGATAGACTCATTAATATATAGCGCAACGAATCCGCCATATACAAAAAAGTGGTTTATGCTCGGAATAATTAGCATGATCCTTGGCAATGAATAATTAATAAGATGAAGTCCAGGCAGTATCTTTTTTCTGTGGTTCGAGATCGCATGATGTTGGAAACTCGCCCGAATGTGCCACTTTTCCGAATATTGGTAACAGTGATCAGATCGGGTATTAAGTTGTCCTCGGATACATATCTCAAGAAACACCAGATAACAGTCTATGGAGATCCGAAGAATAATAACCTTATCAGGTAACGCCCTGTTCAGCGGTTCTGTGCACATTTCCACGCTAGCTTGCCGAAACGTCGTGTCTTCTCAGCCTTCAAAGGCTCATGACTTTTTTGTGTGGGATGGCAAGGGTCCAGTTTCCAGCAATGCTGCACCGCCATGTTTCCCACACGATTAGCGGGCCAAATTATCGACTTGTAGCGCATTAGCCTTCAGTTTATCAGTTGCCCAACCCCATCATCCGGCAGCCATAGTCTGGGATGGCGTAATATATTTTGGTTCTCATAACTACACTCCGTACATAGCACATGGGGAGGACTCCTGATCACTTGGTTGACCGAGATAGAGCAAGCTGGAGAGTTGTCGGTAGTTACTCGGCACAGAGTGAGCAGAATGATAGATAAGAAGCTTGCTTCGCCCACCCTGTGCGAATCTCCGTGACATCCGCGAGATCTGGTGTGGCTCTGCAGCAACAAAAGCTGCCAAGGGACATGGATGGCCCCGTATGCTGTGGGCCTGTAGCAGTCCTTCGGTGCTGTGCAGCCACAATTCCATGACGATTAGTTGATGCGCATAGAAGGGGGGTACCTTTTCCACGTACACAGTTGATGGAAATCACTGACTGGCCGAGTTGAAGGGCATGGTAGCGTTCAGCTGAGCCGTTAGAATCCTTCGAAAGAGCTAGATCTCTTTAATTAGAAAAGTAACAGCGTAGTTTCGGGGGTGTCCGGTTTGTGGGCGGCGTGGAGTTGCTTGGTGTTAGTTGTAGTTTTAGTTGGAAGCTGATGTTTTTGGACCCCGATTTGGTAAGTCGTCATCATGCACAAAAATAAAAATAAAAATAAGGGCAGGTTTTCCCTCTTCTTTTCCACCACATTTACATATTTTTATCATCCTTCGTTTCTTCGTTACGTTTCTCTCGCGGGTTCGACGACGAGTTTCTCGAGCAGGTTTGCTTATATACGGTCGTTTGACTGCACTTAAAACCCCTGGAGAGCTAGCCAGCTAAGCCAGCAAACTACGTATATGCAAGCTACTCCGTGGCCAACTGCTAAACCAACACGGCCGCTGCCATCCTATACCTCTTTGCCGGCCGTTCCAGCACGAAGTAGAGCCTGCTAGCAGGCCCTGTCGCAATTTCCATCCTTAATTCTCCTATCCGCGGAGCTCCGTTCCAATCCGCAGACTTAGCACGTACATGCTTAACCGCAACGCCGGCATCTAGATATCAAACAATAGTCGAAGAACTACGAGGATGGGTGTCGATACTAAGAGTGGTGTAAACGGGGAGAAAGAAATGAAGGGGAACGGAAGCTCCTCTGCCCAGATACTGTCCGGAAAACAGGAACACTGTATGTACTTTTCCGAAGGATGGCCTCTATATCTCCAGTAATGCTCACAGGCCGGCTAATATTTTCCAAATGATTCTCAGACCTAAAGCGAGAATTGATCGGTAGCCAAGTTTCGAGCGAGATTGTAGAGCTCAACTCCCCTACTGCGTTACGACGATTTGGCGCACCGTTTAAATCAGACTTTGGAGAAATAGCGCCTGTCGACTCGGAATTGCCAATTCTACGCTATATATTCGTTAACCATGTCCGGAATTTCCCCTTTTTAGATAAGGCGCACGAGAAAGAATTCTGGCAGGACCGGCTACAAGTGGTACGTTTGAATGCTGCAGGCCAGCGGCTGGTCCCTAGATAATGCCCGGTGTCTGAAGTACCACATAGTATCTATACTGATGTTCATCCTGTCGAGGTATTAGTTTCTAGAGTCCTTTGCCAATAAGAATATCTCGTCAAGTGAGGATCGTCATGAAGAAACTAAGAGACGGAAACTTGCGAAGAAATGTGAAAAAGTAGTTGAGCTGATGATGGTTTCGGGGATACCAACTTCCTCAGGATATGAGGAAAGAATACGCTTTTCAGAAATGGAGGTCGTCGACAGAAGTGCAAACGAGCAGGGGTTGCTTGTCAATATGCCTGAAGGGAATGTTATAAACGGCTGGGACGTGAACATTGCCGCAGTTAGGACGACTCTTGTAAGACGAACTTTAAGGTACCATCAACACGCGGTATGTAAACAGCCTCCCGCTTTTGTTGCTTCAGGCACTAGTTCTCATTGATGATTTGCAGGAATTCCTGATTCGAGTTCGTCAAGAAAATGGCTCCAGTATATACATTGGTCGGCGCTTTGGTGACTTCGCGAGATTGCACAAAAATCTACGAGCAGAGCTCCCAGGGAAGGTCATACCTCCTCTCCCAAGGAAAAACAAAAACTCAGTATCGTCATCGTTTCTTGGTTCAAGTATAGATGACGATGCATCGTCGACATCGTCCGTCAATACCCTAGAGACAAGCGAGAATCAGTCTACACGAAATCTTGTTGTTCCGGGAACCCTAAAGCACAAGTCTTCTATCTCCTCTCTTAAATCTATAGGATCACTGTCACCCAGAGCATCAGGGGAATTGCAGAGTGAAACTGTCTCGTTGTACAGAGAAGAGCAACGAGTCTCCCTTCGCGCTTTTTTGAGATTAATTCTACAAAACAATAGAATAGCCTCGTCAAAAGCTATGAGGGAATTTCTAACGGACAAACCGATTACCTTGAACGAAGAAGAACAAATTGATATTGAAAGAAGAAAAGAGCTTGATGCAAAACGGATTGAGGAGCAAAAGCGCTTTTATGAGATTGCGCGTAAACGTGCCCGTGAATTAGACGTCTACATGGAGCAATTCAGGCAAGATATTGTGGAAAGGAGTAAGTCAACTACTGTTTAGCAATTTTGCAGCCCTCTTCTTGGGATACACAGTTAACCTTTCCAATTTTTAGATGGCCTCACGAAGCTCTTCCAAGAGATCAGAGAAAAGGACTCCGTAGAAGCTTTGAGCCCCCAATATCAAAAATTTGCAGAATGGCTGCGTATTGAGTAAGAATTTCACTCCCTCTTCGTATTTTATTTACTGCGCTTTATGTTTCTAATACCGACAACCTACAACAGGGTCGCCGCCACATTATACCATATTTTCTTAGCCGAGGATAACTCACCCGAGCTATTTGCTCAGGCTAAAAGAATACATTCTCTGGTCCCTTATTCCATCCTAAAGAATGTCATTCGCATTGCTAATCCTGCCGCTGTTATGGCTGGGGTACTAGATCTTTTCCTTGCTCAGCCATTTGGGGCTAGATCACTCCTGCAACGTATTTTCTCCATGGCAATTCAAGACGGCGTGAAAGCGTTCCAGAAGTCTGTTGATAGCTTAGCAACTAGGATTGAGGATAATATCCTAGTAGACAAGCTTCGAGCATTTACGGAAGCTGATGAGGGAGTGAAAAATGAACTTCGTGCTGAAGCAGAGGCAGAGAGCGTCGACATCGTTGTTGTAGTTCTGCGGTCAGAGTATTTTCAACCAGAACTCACAGTACGGCAGATTGAAAAAGTGTTCAATTCTTACGTCGCTTGGGTGAGCGCGGTTGAAAGTGTACGTTTTCTAACCTCCCTTTATGTGTCCTGCTCTGCTTACTTACCTATCATAGCTCCATGACCCTGAAATACAGCAAGGTGCCCAGTGGTTCTCGTACTTAAAGCAGCTCTTGAAGGTGCTTACAAGGCAGAGAGATAAGACAATGATGCTGAATATCATTGAAGAGGTAAGGCTACTGCTTTCGTTTGACATCAAAATTATGTACCTACTGACGTTGGAGCAGCCTGTGACACTACAACTTTTCCGCGACCTATTCACCATCTTTTACGAACCGTTAGTCCGTGTTTACAAGTCAGCAAACGTCTATAATAGCATTACGGACTTTGCCGACTTTGCAAATGATGCTATTGCTGTGATCGAACGCGCTCAAAGACAGGATATTTCCGCTGACCCAAACCAAACCGTTCAGTCGTTCATCGACCTTTGTACCCGTCATCAACAGAGTTTCTATAAATTCGTTCATGAAGTTCATATCCATGATAACGGATTGTTTGCATCACTGATGACATGGCTGGAAGACATTCTCAAGTTTCTCCGTGAGGGGCCAGAGAGCGGAGGCACCCTTGACATGAACGCGCTCTTCCAAGGAGCTGTTTCTGCTGGCCAAATCGATAAGAACATTGCCATTGCAGAGATCGATGCTATCATCAAATGGCATTCTGACAGAAAGAAGTGGCATCAGGATAAGACTCGACAGAAGATGGCTGCTGAAGGCTTTAATGAGCAAATACCGGGTGCTACAACGTTTAAAAGCAGCGATTTTGGACTCCATGAGGTAAGCTAGGAGCCCGTTCCCTCCATGTTACTCGCAATGCGAGCTTCATAGCGTGATGTGAATGAACTGACATATTCTCGTAGGCCGACTTGGAAGACCTTGTGATTGAGGATGACGCTTCTGACCCGTCTGACGAAAACTCAGAAGACGATGATATGGACCCTATAGCATTTGAACGTAAACGCCGCGCTAAACACCAAGACCGCCTGCGTCGCACTGCAGGTGAACCTGTGAAGCCTAATGTATCAGAGATATTGAAGTTACGAGAATCCTTTGGGTCGATGTTGAGGATGGTCCTCGCTGGTTAGAGAATAGGCTATGGAGTTTCTCTCCATTTTCTGGCTCTAGATCTCATTTTGTCGGTACTCTTTGGGTTATATACCCGGTGGCCTCGATAGGTATTAAAAGCATTCGAGGAAGAGTTTTACAAAAGTGATGAAGCATATAGGAAACATGTTCGAGGCATCGTGCGGCGAACTTCTTTACATGTAAAAGGTGCCTGCTAAACATGAATGTATAACCTCGATATAAATGATACACAACTACCCCTGACCCTCGTTTAGGCTTGCGGCTCATGTAGAGCGGCCTTGGCCTTGAGCTAGATGGATAAGATAAGCTGGTTGCCATGACTACTGCAAATATTCGACGATATAGCATATCTGACGGCTTTTGCTCGTTTTGACGCTCATGACCTACAGATCCTGGGATGTCGATTCAGGCTGGCAGCCAGGCTTCTCCTAGTCAACGGCCTTCCTGGACCGGGAGGAGGCCTGAAACCATGCGAGGCCTTCTCGTCGAGGGGAAATGGAAGTGCGATTGTGAACCTCGCCGAGCAGCAAGTCATTTAGAGACGAAGAACGGAGGCAAGAATCACGGACGTTGGTGTAAGTGAATAATCCTCTCTCCTAGGAGATTTTACTTCTATTGACAACTACTTGTGCGTCATAGTCTACACTTGCTCAAAACCACGGGATAAGGGGTGTGGATTCTTTCTATGGGATGATGCTGCAAAGGAGAGGGAAGCAGCGCAGAAACCAGTGGATGATGGAAAGGATAACGCCGACGTTCCAGAAGCCGCATCAATTCAAACTCGGCAGGACAATGCAAAGTCACGGCCCATATTACGAACACCAAAGGCGAACCGCATCCGTGAATCGATACTTCGTGGTGGGCTCTTGACGCCAGAGTCTCACGAAAAGAGGAAGAGAGATGCAGATATAACTGACTATTTGGATCAATACCAAAGTCCTACCAAGCGAGGGAGACTAGACTTACTCACCTCACAAGCAATAGAACCGGATGTCAGCCCCTTTACAGATAAACAGGACATTTCATACCCATCTTTAGCTTCAAGGCTCGATGTCATGGATGCAGAACCGATTTCGCGACCATCACTATTCTCTACCCCCAAGAAAGCCACCACTCCCCCAAGAAGTGTAGTGCACACAGATAAGAAAACACCCTTAAATCTCCCGACAACACCGACTCCTTCGCGCTTTGTATCCTCGTCCTTTTACTCTAACTCTTCGGAGGGAAATAATACAAGAGCTCAGCACTGCGAACTAACGAAGAAGGCTCTCGATATACTAGAGTCTCACAAAACTGATTTATCTCCCAAGGCGAAGCAGGATTTGGCTGGGCTGCTTGATAGGAACGACCTGCGAACTCTAGGAATCATCAAAGGAAGGGATATTTCAAGATTAGCTATCAAGGAACGAGAGAGTCGCATAAAGTTGCTAGAGAGAAGAGTGGCACTCTTGGAGGCGGAGAGGGAATCCTGGAAGGCATTATCATTAAATGGACCTTCTAACCATCCCGATATTTAGAGTAGCAACGACGGAGAATTCAAAGAGGCTCAATAATGAGATGGTATGCTTTCATATATACGGCAAATTGAGCGCAGCTTTAGTGAAATTAAGGAAGAATTGTAATTTTTACTTTGAATTATTATTTTCATTTCACATGTAAAGATGGGCACCAATACAAAAATATTCACAATAACAGCTTAGCCGATGAGCCCCCTGTGATAAATAGATGGTAAATTTTGTAGCAAAAAAAGTAGTTCATCTGCAAATTATTTGGATAAAACGCAGTGAGAATAGAACAAATATAACATTATGAATGCATGAAGTGAAGTGTGTATATATTGGTGTGCATAATTATAATAGTGGAACGTGAATGTTGCCGGTAAATGAAGGTATGGCAACTAATTTAGAGGGCAGCGATCATGCCCAGGCCACCAGCAAGGATGGGAAGGACATTGGCAGCGAGGGAGCTAGCACCGTTGTTCTGAGGAGTATCTGGTGAAGACGATGGAGAGGATCCAGTGCGGTCAGTGGATGTTGGGAAAGAACTTCTAGAGGAAGATGTAGCGGTTGAAGAGCTGGAGGAAGAAGTAGTGGTGCTATCATCGGAGCTAATACCTCTGCAGTCAGGGTTTGTGGAGCCCTACTTAGTGTTAGTAGGGGAATATTGTACATTGGGTTAATATTATAGTGGATTGGAATGATACTTACAGGAGCACAGCAAAGAGTTCCAGACTTAGAGCACTTCCTGCCCAGATCACAGTGGCCTAAAAAAAATAGGTTAATATATGTTCGACAATTTTAATGCTTCAAGTTTGAGTGAACTTACTGCCAGTGTTGGCACAGCAGGTTTCTCCCGCGGTAGGATTGTAGCAGCTGTCAGTACCGCACACTTTGTTACCGGGTCCATAGGTGCGAGCGCAGCTTTCATCGGTAGCACCGCTGCTACCAGAGCCACCGGAGCCACCAGAGCCGCCAGAGGAACCGCCAGATCCACCGGAGGGGTTGCAGCTAGAGTACTTTGGGTCGTCTGGGTTGTAGCACTTGGTAGAATCACCAGGGCATTCTCTGTAACCGCTACCGAAGCAGCTCTGGCAGGTAACACTTTTGCCGGAGCACGAGTCAGAGCCACCTGCGCTTCCGCCAGAGCTTCCACCGGAGGAACCACCAGAGCTTCCGCTGCAGCTAGAGTAGTTTGGGTCGTTTGGGTTGTAGCACTTGGTCGAGTCATCAGGGCATTCCCTGAAGCCGCTACCGAAGCAGCTCTGGCAGGTAACACCCTTACCAGAGCAGTGTTCGTCGCCGCCAGCGCGAGCAAAGATGTTGCTACGGGCCTTCAAGTTGTTACCAGTTCGGCTGAGAGAGTGAGCGCTCCTGGAAGAGGCAGAGGAATCGTCCGGGCCAGAGCCAGCAGCGACCAATGTCGCTCCAAGGAAGAGGAGGGATGCAAAGGAGAAACGCATTGTAGAGGCGAGATATTATATTATAGGGTATATATGAACAATGGTTATTTACCAAGAAAAAAAAGAACGACTGAAGTTGGTAGAGTTGAGTTGGACTGCCCTTCAGCAAAACTGGGTTGGAAAGGCAGAAGAAAGCGAGAAGGAAGTATTATATACAGATTGAGCACCTATCCTAAAAATACTTATATCTCAGGTATGATGCTGGATGGCTCCGCAGCTATTCCGTATTGGGTAGTAGCTCGCTTCAAGATCCCATGCATTTTGCTGTGGAAGATGAGGCTATGTTCTGATCATCAGGGTAGATATCAATATAATTGGCCGGGAAGTGAAGCCCTCCATTCAGAGCGATGGAGGGAGGAGGAAAACTTTGGCTCTGGCTTGGAGAAAGGCGCATGTGGAGTTGGGCACTAGTCTAGGGAAGGGAAGAGCTCTATTGCTTGGAGCCCCTTTCTCATCGCTCCTCGTATCCGCGACGTTGTTAGCCTTGACAATATCTGGTATCCACAAGGCTCTATCACAAAAGGAACTGAGGAAATAGGGGCAAATACGAGCTGGAATGGCTTACTATGTAAGTGCCGATCGGAATTAATATTTTATGCAGTTTCCCGAGTCATAGTAAGAAGCCGTTTGGTTCGAACGCAGCAGAGCGGTCCAGTATAACATATCATCTCGAGTATGAGACTTGTCTTGCGTTCGCCAGGGCCTGCAAGTAGGCGAGGTGAAGGAAACTCCATCCAAACAAACAAGAGAGCCCAAGCGGAAGAAATAAGTAGGTTAAGCTAAAAGCTTGGCACCTTTGAGCCTCCTTTTCTTCCCTCGTCTTCTCCGTATCGCCCGCGCAAGGTCCAACCCCTGGCACTCACAACACTGTTCGCTTCTCCTTTCTTCAGCCTCTTTTCTCGTGTATCCTCTACGGCCGCTGTTTAATCCGCCCTCTCTGTGTTTTATGTCTGATAGTATAATGGCTTCTGAACAGAGGGCTCCGTACTCCGTAGAGTTGGTCACCTTTGCCTTGGGGAAAGTAAGATGCTAATTAAACTAGTGTATCCACTAGTTTATTAATAGCATCTCAGCCTACCAAAGTGTGCCAGTCTGGGGTATTCTGAACGGAATATTTAGATGAGGATGGGACATCTTTCCGTCCCAGCTGAGGATGAGACGGATATGCTCCGCAACCTAGCACCACCTGCCAGTCAGGATCGGTGTGTTTGACAGTGCTCGGTTGAAAAGTTTTGCTACCTCACCCTTGATGGGTAACATTCTTGGCGACCTCGTTCCGCCGGTTCGATGACTGGTGGTTTAGGTCCATCGCAAGATATTCGGTAAACCTAAACAGCTCACTCATTTCTCTTTCGAGATCACAAGCTACAAGCTGAGGCTCAGCGGTCGTTATACCAGCCCGCGATAATTGGCTATTTTCACCAAGCCGAACGCCAAGACTCAGCACTTACTCTGATTCGGCCTTCTGCTGTTGTGAAAAAAAAAAAAAGACCAAACATGCAGAGCACAGAGCCCAAGGATGCCGTATCTGTCCAAAGGAATGGAGCATATACTACTATGTAGGTGGGTGCTGGGCCCTCCACCCCGTATTGAAGGCAGGAAACATCGTAACTGAGTCAGGCTCTTTGGTGCAACTGACAACGCATCACCTGATCGTTCATCGCAGCGACTTTTTCATATCTGTTTGTTCTTTTTCTAGCATGAGACTTTGTCGCCATACTATGTATGGTGGCGAGCGCACCAGTCAAATATGACGCTGGTTTGGAGAGAGCTTGTTGTTGTCAATATTTTACTACCAACCGCCAAGGAAGCGTTACCTTTGGTCCTGTCAATCGTTTAATAGTTGCAGCCAAAGGTAAGGTGATCTGCGCCACCCTCCGATCGTTATCCATTTCGAGACAACATCATGTTTCCTGATGATGATGCGCATACCAGATCATCTGGACGGGAAGCGGAAGGCACTCAACATTCCTTTGACTTCTAGCTCTGGAAATATCAACATTCTGGAGTGGCAGAACCTCCCACGAAGATGATATGGCAAGGAAAAGCCGCCTTTTAAAACAAGACCGGCCCCTTGCATACTTTTTTATTGCATCTGTTCCTTCATGCCGAGACCAACTTGCGACGGGTTTCCGTTTGCACTCCTGGAACAGTTAATAATAATGGATCAGTCAATCGCAACGCAAGTAACCCGTACCTTACCCAGGCTTCTTCTTATCAAACCCGATATTGATGTCCTCCAGGCGTTTGCCAGTTTTCTCAAAGTCAATAGCAACAGTCGTCGCTGGCGTATGACGGAGCGAGACGTCTGAGAACTGATTAGATAATCACCTATTATTTCACGTGATGAGGCTCATTATTGCCAAACCTAGTCCAGTCTTTATAATATCGCTAAAGAAGAGACGATTTTACTGGAAAGGTGTTTCCAGGTTCAAAGGATTTTTGCACATCTGCCTCATTTTCCTCCAGACTTCGATTTGGTCAACACATAGCTCTCAAGAGCTCCTCCTTGAAATGAATTTAGATATCCCAATTTCAATAATTAACCCGACTGGCCTCGAGCTGTCTTCTGATAATAACTTGGATTATCGGAATTGGTTTAGTTGCAAAGAGGACCATATCTCCGTGCTCATCCTCGCCTAGGCGTATGTTCTTTCAACCCGATGGGCGGAGCTGATGCCTGGCTCTGTTATTAGATATTCCGGTGGCCAGTTAAGCCTGAATGACGACGATCGGGGTGCCATTTTGGTAGATATCGGCGACGTCAATAGCGAAACAGCAAGGTGGTGGGCGCGGTTTTGGCTCTGAGGGAGGGCTGGAAGGCTTATATAAGTTCGGACCAGGCCATATATAGATCTCCATCGTCGATACTATTGCAGTTGGTCCCGGGCTTTAGGTTGCCATGCCGTGGATCAGATCCTCTAGCATCAACTGAGGCTATATCATCCGCAACTGCACTTCGTCACCTTTTTGAGTACCGTAACCTTCACAATGATATGGATCAGGGCTACGCAGCACTATCTGCAGCCTTAATGCTTCCCCTCTCAAACTCTAGGAGGCATCACATTCGCCTATCAATACCTAAGCAACATGGAGAGAGTACTGGATTAAAGGAGAGGCAAATCGACTATAAGTAGCTACAAACACTCTATTATTTGGATAAGCTACTTATCCTAAGTTGTCATACCAGAGGCATGCACTCATCGTTATCCAGCATCTTCTATGATCTTAGCGTAGCCCGCAATGTGGTAAGCCCATGGCTACAGGCTATTTTTGCTATCCTTGGCTCTGTTGATGATACCACCGATATATATCCTCACAAGAGTTCCGCACCTCGCTTTTCTATGGCCTGGAACTAATCATAACGGGCATCCATAGCAATATTTTGCGAGATGCAAGATTAGGCCTAATCCCAGTTGAACTCCATGCGGCTATATGGACCGGAACAATGCAATCGTTTATACAAGAACCTATAGCCCGACCTCCAATTATAGGGGGCCGTATTTCACGCGCACATGAGTGCCAGCTTTTATATATTATGCAGACAGAATATCATACTCACTAGACACATGTTAGTGGACGCCGTTTGGTGATACAGATCTTGAAGATACTGATGTTAGCATTCACTCTTACGTCAATAATTTTCGATGCAGACTTACATATGTAAGATGGAAATGGGCTAGCGAAGATGGCAAACCAATTCACCATACTTATGACAAGGGGCTCACACCTACTTTCCCAGAGCCACCACAGGAGCTACCTCACATCCCCATCAGTTACAAGGCTTTTGACCTCGAAGAGGAGTCTGCGTCAGAGGATGCTACGCGAAACTTATTCTGCTGGCTATGGCTTGAAGGGTACCCTGGGAACGAAAAGGAAGTATACAGCCACGAGTGGTTTGACCTTGGTGATTCGGGCGAAGCGGACGAAGAAGCGTTATGTGGAAACTCTGAACTCTCCTACTGCAGCAGATGTAGAAGCCTGGGTCGGCCACAGCGTCTTTTAATTTCATGTGAAAGCTGATAATCTTTTGAAAGACTAATTAGTAAAGAACCTCCAGCAATCACATATTCAACTATCATATTATTTTCCGTAGACAATCGCCGTCACCCCCGACCTCAGTGCTATAGTAAGAGTTTTATGAACAACCTATTTTGCTTGTCTGGGAGAAATAGCTCAAGTGTTAAATAGATAGTGGAGATACCCCATTATAGAAACGGGGCCCTGCCGCGGAGTGTACAGCGTACTAATATGTAGACCTGGGCTGGCTTACTTTAACAAAGTTTGTCGTCGTTGCAAGCCAAAATTTCCTCGCACGTGACCAAGATTTGACTGATATCATGACTTTATACGACTTTGATAATTTTATCAATATCAACCGGCCTGACTTTGACTCGAATTTTTGAATAGTTAGTACTGGTATGTGTCAATTTTGACATATATAAAAATTTGATTTTGACTATATCTCCGGCAATGTGCTCATAAACAAACAAATCACCACTCTATATTGCAGAAATTTCTTTCTTATCGATCAAGTTCTTAGATGGATTTGCACACTAAAGTATGGACGATGAATAACCTTCTGAGACACCTGGTATCCTTCAGTAATCAATGAACTAACCGTACTACCTCTGCGCAGACTGCAACCCTCCCGCACGACCATTCTCCCGGCTCCCGAAGCATGTTCCGACCTCCTATCAACCGCGCAATGCGCATACTGGACCGATCTTTCTTCAAGAAAACTATACCTCTCACAGCTGCGACAGTGTTTGAACCGAAGAATCTTGGTCGGATCAAGGATGAACTGGTCAAAAGTAAGGATATACTGAATGCTCCGCGGTTAGCGGCTATTCGATATGTTCAGAACCCCACTACGGAGGAAGACAAGAGTAAAAAGTGCATCTTGTTGCAGGAGAAAGTAAAGGCAAATGATGCGGCTACATGGTCTCCAACAATACAGCAGTTGGTTGAAGCAAAGTCTATGGAGTTGAACCCCTACGATCTTCACCTGGATTATGATTACTGGCTTTATCGTACGTTCACTCAGACCTATCTATGCGATACAACTTCTAACGCGGGATCTTATTCTCAACAGATGATATTCTTGCTTCAATACTGCCAGAGGACCATCTTGAAGAGACACCAGCAGGTTTCAACCAAGTTGGCCATGTTGGTATGTTAAGAGCCCAAAGCCAGGAAAAATGATATACTAATTGCTTGACAATAGCACATCTTAATCTGAGGGAGCAATACCTTCCCTACAAGCTCTTAATTGCTGAAGTTATCCGGGATAAAAACCCCACAGTTAGAACAGTTATCAACAAGGTTGACGATGTTGGCGCAAATAGCCAATATCGCACGTTCGCATACGAACACCTTGTAGGAGATGAAGACATGAACGTTATCCAGCATGAGCAAGGTTGCGAGTTTTCGTTCGACTACTCTAAAGTATACTGGAACTCACGGCTAGGGAATGAACATACCTACCTTGTTGGCCGTTTTAAAGAGGGCGAGGCAGTATGCGATGTCATGGCTGGCGTTGGCCCATTTGCCCTCCCGGCCGGCAAGAAAAAAGTGTTTGTCTATGCGAATGACCTCAACCCTCATGGCTACGAGAAAATGAAGGAAGGCATCGCTCGGAATAAGGTCAGAGAATTCGTCAAGCCATTCAACATGGATGGAGGTGAATTTATTCGGCATGCCACACAGGAGCTATACACCAACGGGCCGCACCCAGTGAAAATATTCCCAAAATTGAAACGCAGCGAGGCAGCCGAGAAGAAAAGAGCTCCTCCACAAATAATCGAATGTCCGCCAACTTTCGATCATTACGTTATGAATCTCCCAGCCTCTGCGATTGAATTTCTCGATGCGTTTATTGGTGTTTATGCGGGCAAGGAGTCTCTGTTTGCACCCAATACCGAACGTAAACGGCCTTTTGTTCATGTGTACTGCTTCTCAACCAACTCTGACGATAATGCGATTGAATATGCGGATATCTGTCAGCGCATTTCTGATACTATACAGTATAAGATAACCCCTGATGATATGCTCGGTGGGACGGGCAACCAAGACCTAGAGCTTGAGATTCGTGATATCAGACTTGTCTCTCCGAATAAGAGGATGTTCTGTGCCTCGTTTAGACTTCCTGCTGAGGTCATCTTTAAGACCTAGTTACGTACTGTGATGGGGCCTTCAATTTGCGCCGTCTGATTTTACGGTTGGTTTAAAAGTGAGCGACATCATTTAGCCACTTCAGCATCTTTAACATTTCTTTCTTTCTTCTTTCTTTGTGAGCATAGAGCTGTGTACGATAGAGTATATATTTCCATACCCTGCATTAAACTACCATCGGCATGGAGTTGGGGGGGAGGCCTTGGATTTTTAAGACATTCCTTTCTTAAAACGTATTAAATTTTCTTTTGCATAAATCCCCTTGAATATATTTTATTCTTCTAAGCTTCTAGCTAACAATGAATATTCTCTTTACATGATGTTGAGCATTAACCATGATAATATCCTTTTCCTAACCTGAACGCCTTGCATAATGCTAAAGTAGTTTTCCCCATCGCCTCAGCTGCGCCTCCCAACCTACTAAGAGCTACTGTTGTCATCCTCTTTGATTATATTGGTCATATCTGCACGGTGTATATCACTCTACGAAGTTCCTTAGTTTGGTGAGCTCATCCAGGAGTTCCTGCAGGTCGGCATCTGAGATCTTGTTTCCAATACTTGGGATAAGAGATTTAGCTTCCTCAGCGTTATCACAGCACAAGCTCCCTGTCATGATAGTTAGATGGTTTGGCAGTCTCATCAGGCGGAAGCCGCGGATCCACGTACCTAGCTGTGACCGCTCAAAAAACTCCAGTTCCGTATGTGCTGACAGGAGGCGTTCAACAGCCTCAATATTCTCTTTCTCCTTGAATCTGGCAAATACTTCGAGGTAGTCTTGTGTTTTGACAAGGGTTCTGGTAAAGATTCCGGGTTAATATGAGGAGTACAGCATCCCAGACAAGGATAGCCAACTCACTCCCGCTCTTCAAACTTGTTGTCTCCCTTTCTTCGCAGGTCGAGCACCTTGTTAATAACTAATCGGGCTTCGGACAGAGATAGGGTCGGCACATGCTGGAATTCGCCGAGCTTGAGCTGTGAGGTAGCTTCGAGTTCACTCTGGGGGAGCTCGCGTTTGCGGTGAGTGGGCTCGGGGAGTGGCGTTGAAGAGCTCATGGTGCCCGTGAGCGTGATGCGGTGTCTCTCTGCGCTTCCCTGGCTGTAAAAACGTAGTCCTCTTGATCCAAGCCGCCTCAATATCAATCTTGTGTCTCTTCAAATCAACCATCGACGTCGCAAAGAGAGAAATCGACACGTGACACGATTAGGTAATGCCATCTTTTCTGTGGCTTTTTTTTGCTTATTGAAGAGTCTCAACTCTTTATATATTTTGTTGGCACAAAAAAGAAAGACTGCAGGAAAACAACCAATTGATGTTTGAAACAATATATATCCCGACCATTATGCCAGTTTCTTATAGATGGAGCTCATCAATTTACTGTCCTGGTGAAGATACGATGCGCTAGGGAGGGTTACGTAAGGTGAGGTTAGTCGCAAATAGGCAATCCATCGGTGCTGGATCATTGGGATTTCAACTTCGATGTTCAAATAATTATTTCTTTTCGCCCCTCGTTCCCCGTCCCGAAGCATAACCAATACGGCACCCTCACGCATATTCCATCTTCGTCGAAGCCGTGCGACTAACCAGCTAACCCTTTGTTATATTCTGCGGGGGGAAGGGGTATATAGTCGGAGAACCTCGGGTTATCATGCTTCGTAATGAGCACGATGTGGAGTTCTCCATACAGAGTTACAGCTGGCCATCCCTGGTGCCAGAGAAGATGGAAGAAGCCAGCTCGGTTACGCGAATATATGCACTATCCGCGCTTGCTGCCAAGGCATGGTCGGGTGTTAATATAAAAAAGTGAAGTGCCGGAAGTGAATTCTAGTTCCCACGGCGCCTGTTGGCCTTTTTCTATATATGTTAACCTGGTTCACCACTCAAGACTTCTTTTCCCTCTTCTTACTCCATGCTGCCCTTTTCGCCTTTTCGTTACCCCGCGTGTTTCAGTAGTAAGAGGGGAAAAAGGGCGTGGGAAGAAGAATAATCTGGATGATGATGTCGAGGGCATTCGAAACGTATACCATCGGACCAGAGAGCCCGGATGTCCGCAGCAAGTATCAGCCAACGGACGAAGTTATATTTCGGAGCCCATTTGGGCCATTCCCCAAGGTTGACCCTGATCTGAGCTTGCATGACTTTTTCTTCCCTCCGGAAAAGCCCCTTAATCAGCCTGACCATGATCTGTACATCGATGGACAGACTGGAAGATCTGTGTCGTTGTATCAGTTCTATGATAAAGTGGTATCCCTATCGAGAGTGCTGCGGCATGATGGACCTAACCCGGTGGGATTAAGGAAATCGCCGGTCGATGATAATGGAAGTGGTGAGATCATCGGGATATTATCAATGAACCATCTCTCATGGCCGCTGCTGGCACATGCATGCTTCCGGTCAGAGCTTGTGTTTGGTAGTATCAGTCCAAATTCGACCCCTTATGAGCTCTACCATGTCATGCGCAAGATGCAGACAACTTCGGTGGCCGTTCATGAATCTCTGCTTCCTTTGTTGATGGAGACTATCCAGAATGGTCCACAAACTGGCAGTGATAGCACACTGGACTTTGTTCTTGACAGTAGAAAGATAATAGTGATAGCAAATGATCCGGCATTGGACACTGTCCAGGGTTATCCCACGGTCGAGTCGTTGGTTCGGCTTGGCTCGACAATACCGGAACGGCCAAGGAAAAGGTCAGGGGGTGACAGGCTGTGCTATCTCCTTCAGTCGTCAGGGACATCAGGATTCCCAAAGGCTATGATGATATCACACAAGAATGCAGTACACACCACCCTGCAGGGCATGATAAACTCGAGACGGACTGCTGAATTTGTAAGTATTCGTATCTTTGATAGACTTTTGTACATGGATATACTGATTATAGATGAAATAGCTTAACATGGAACCGCCATCATCTGTGACACTAGGGATTATCCCAGCGTATCACTCGTTTGGTCTGACATTATATACTCTGCGGGTAAACGTGTTCCGGAGTACCAACATATTGATGTCAAAATGGGACCTAGAGACGGCCCTAAGATTTATTGAGAAGTACAAGGTCACCCTACTCCCGCTTGTTCCTCCGCTTGTCCGACAGCTCGCCCTCTCACCCCTGACGGAGAAGTATGACCTTTCATCTGTGACCGCCGCGGCGAGCGCAGCAGCATACCTGCCGCCAGACGTGGCACACGCACTAGGCAAGAAACTGCCGCAAAATGCTCCAATCCAATCCGGCTACGGCCTCTCAGAGGCTCTCTCTGTCGCCCAACCGGTGGCCGAGGGTCTCTTTGGAATCTCACGCTCCGAACCCGGCAGCATCGGACACCTGATGCCCGGGATAGAGGCAAAGGTGGTTGACCCAGATACGTATGAACCTGTTCCTAAGGGTTCCAAGGGCGAGCTCTGGGTACGTGGCCCCATCGTTACCCCAGGATACTTCAAAGATCGAACCGCCACCGCAAGCCTATTCGCTGAACCGGGCTGGCTGCGAACAGGCGACCTGGTGAGGCGGGGCGCAGACGACCGACTTCACTACCTCGACCGCCTGAAGGAGATGATCAAAGTGAAGGGTCTGCAGGTCGCAGCGACAGAGGTAGAGGATACACTGCTCTCTCATCCGGATAAGCTGGTCCGAGACGCATGTGTCGCCGGTGTCGACAATGGCCGGGGGGACGGAAGCCTCTTCCCTCGAGCGTGGGTGGTTCTATCCGACGAAGGCAGACGACGGCGACCAGACCAGGTCATCCAGCAACTCGACGACTTTGTCAAGAGCCGGCTGTCAAAGTATAAACATCTTGCCGGCGGTATCGAGATAGTCGACCACGTAAGTCAAGCCACGTATCTTTCCTTAATATATAATAATCTTTACTTACCTGGTGTCTAGATACCACGAACACCCTCGGGCAAGATGCTGCGCAGGCAGATGCGAGACAGTTACCACGCTAGGCAGAGAGACAATAGAGACAAGGCAAGGCTCTAGCCGGTGGCTTAGAGACTTCTTTTTATATCTTCTCGCTGGCCCTTTGATGATCATCCCTTTTAAAAATATCTCTTCTTTCTTGCATATTTACCCTTATAGACCTTTAAGCCTTCGAGATAAGATCTGAATTTAGAGTTGTGTTTCATATCTAACGCCACCGGTTGTAAATATAGATTTTTCTATCCTGTAGCTAACATGTTTCATCATAATCCAAGGCTGCAGAGTTGACTGTGGCGACGTGTCTGTACCTGAGTAGACTTGTTCCTGAGCTGAACTATGGTAGAGCAGCCAAGCTCATCTATGCATCCAACTTCTTTTCTTCTTCTTCCACCTCTTCTTCTATCATCTTTGCTTCTTCTTCCTCCTGTCCACTCCTATATAGTCACGTGAGTCTGTTTCTGTTTACCCTCTTTAGGACTAGCGCGACCTGCCACTTTGAGACGAAGTTGAAGCCCCAGAAAAGGAAAAGAAGGGAAAAAAAGACGGAGATGGAACAACAACTACAAGAACAACAACCATCTCTGGGTTGCTGTTAATCCACACGCGCCTCTCTCTCTCTCTCTTGTTTCTGTCTTACACTAGAGAAGCTGGGCTACGTCGCTAGGCCCTTAACTATCGGTCTGCATGCCAAGCAGCTTCGCCGGTTGGTTATCCCTGGGGGAATCAAAAAGCAACTACAACTCCAGCATAAAACTGCTCCTTGACATCACCAGCCCTGGAACCAGTGACAGCACCGGTAAAAGTCGCGAGCTGCTCTGCAAGGTAAGCTGTGGAGGATGCAGTCTTTATGCTTCTGCCCTGCTTTTCATAATATATTATTGCTTTTGGCCCCCATTATCTGCTCTCCTTGTCCCGCTAGCCGCAGCCCAAGAAAAAAAGCCGTTAACCTGCCCTACTCTTGATGACCTTCTGCTGACCACTACAGTATATGGCTTGATAGGATCCTGATAATTGACAAGAACTCCTTCAATTTACGCTCTCCATTGTCTCTCCTTTGACCAGCTTCTGGCTCTTGCAGAGTTAACGATTTAACGAACCACCATCCCCCCAGAGAGGTATTCCCCACTAACCAGCCTCCTAAGATATTATTGATGAAACCTCCCAAGAACCCCTATAGATATATGTTTCTGACTTCTGATAATAACTAGGACTTTTTAGAGTCTGATACACGCGCATACACACATATACACACACTCGTTCACCTTGCTTGACCGTTGAGAGATACACAGACGACATCATTTACCCCAGGTTTTCCTCTACCTTATTAATGCTTAACTACACCTTCGCGTCGCCTAAACTTCTCCTTCTGGCCTTCTAAGCGCTGTACAGGCTGCTTTATCGCGTAATTTGCCCGTCACTTCACGCTCATTCACACCTTGAACCGACGCGCCGTCAACTAAGGGATATATTTATCCTCCCTTTCTCCCCCCTTATTGCTTAATCGACCTATTTGTTGGTACCTTCCGAGGGAAAGACAGCTTTACAAGAATATTAACCTCGGGCGGAGGTTGTTGACGTAGATATGGCGTCTGCCGGTGGCCGTCATATCCCAGCCAACCTGCTCCCGGGAAATCGAGGTGAAGATGGCGGTTTACAGACCACGAACACAAGTGGATTCCAAAGCCAGTCCCCCATAGACAGCCCAGATGCAAGCAGAGGTGCCCCTTGGTCTGATATACCTCCATCTGCTCCTAGCGAGTCCACTGTCAACCCAGAGGAACGATCTTCCAGACAGCCTGATTCCTACCGAAGCCCGGGTAGAAACAAGTCGCGCGATCGACATGGCAATTCAAATGGACCTTCAACTAGCAAGTCTCCCAGTGGTAATACCAGAATCTGCAGAGTCTGTGGAGAAGCTCTGCTCGGACAGTTTGTCCGTGCTTTGGGAGGTACATTTCATCTGGAATGTTTCCAGTGTAAAGTGAGTCTATTTCCGCCATCGAATTGTGTAAAACACATCTGACCATGCAAACAAAGGACTGCGGAGAGATTGTCGCCTCAAAGTTCTTCCCTGTCGACTCCGAAGACGGCACTTCCCAACATCCCCTTTGTGAACGAGATTATTTCCGACGACTGAACTTGCTGTGCTTCGAGTGCGGCGGCGCCCTAAGAGGATCTTACATCACTGCCTTGGATCATAAATATCACATTGAACATTTCACTTGCTCAGTCTGCCCTACTGTCTTCGGAGCCCAGGACAGCTACTACGAACACGAAGGCAAGGTATACTGCCACTACCACTACTCGACGCAGTTCGCTCAACGCTGTAACGGCTGTCAAACTGCAATCCTAAAACAGTTTGTCGAGATATTTCGAAACGGCCAGAACCAGCATTGGCATCCTGAATGTTACATGATCCATAAATTTTGGAACGTGCGCTTATCCCCAAGTGGGAAACCGTTTGAACCTCCAGAGATAGACAGGGATGTCACTACCGAAGAACGAGAGCAGATTCGAGATGATGAAGAGAAGATGGAAGAAAAAGTCTACCGCATTTGGAGCGTACTTTCTGCGTTTGAAGAATCGTCTGCGGCTTGCATTTCTGATATGCTACTACATGTTAGCAATGGTGCATATGTCGATGGTGTAGTTGTTGCGAAAAAGTTCATTTTCCACATCGAGGTCTTGTTCAAGGGTACAGACCAACTTGCGGCTCAGATTTCATTGCTTGGCATAAAAGGTTAGTCTTTACGCCCTTTTTTTTGATACTCTATCGATGATCCATTTTATATTAACACTGGTATAGAAATAGCATATGGCAGAGAGGCGAAGCTTCTTTGTAAGAAGGTTGTCTCCTTCTTTTCTTTACTTTCAAAGACTCAGGAGACTGGCGTTCGGAAACTTGGTGTTACACAAGAACTCCTTGCTCTTGTCACAGGGCTTGCGCATTACTTGAAACTTCTCATCCGCATCGGTCTACAGGGCTCTCTTCGACTAGAGCGTGAGACAAAGTCTCCAGAGGCACTATACAATTTCCTAGATCTGACTGCGGATCTTGAAGAAGTGAACAACATTACAGCCAGTGATCTAAACGCTGATACCTCCCAGCTGGCCAATTCCCAGTCTGATTGCTGTGCCGCTTGCACAGAGCCAATTGATGATGAATGCATTGTTTTGGGCCGGAGACTGTGGCATAAAAAGCCCCCCCACCTTGTCTGTGGTGCTTGTCAAGATGATTTGACCCATAGTCTTGAGCGTGCAAGATGGAGCGAGAAGAATGATCGACCATTCTGTCAAAACTGCGCAGTGCAGAGGGGCCATGACCCTCAGGCTGTTGCTGGATTCGAAAATGTTACGAAGCTCCAACAATATGTCTTCCTCCTTCGAGTGGCCCTTGCAAGGCTCCTTTCCGTCTTGCGATCTGGCGGTACACTCCCACATACATCTGGTATGCTTTTTTACTTTCTACTATTATACGCTGTTTCCCCGATTACTGACAAAATACGTAGATGACCCTAATCTGAAGCAATATGAGGCAAATGATGGCCACCGCATTCCTCCACAAGCTGACCCGCATCTCCCGCCTCAGCGTTCAAATACCCGCTCAATGTCATATACTGGCGAGCCGAACTCAGAGCCCACTCCATCTTCCCTAGAGCAGACAGTTGGCGAAATGCGAAGACTCCGGTCCACTAGGAATGAACGGGCCATATCCACTACATTCAAGAAGGCCCGAACTTCTCGCATAATATCTGGCCCCGAAAGCAGCAGCGTCCAACCAGGTGCTCCTGGTGGAGCTAACAGCTCCCAAAACCAAAATTTCCAGATTGTTGAAGAACGGGATGCTGATGGCGAGCCAGTTGCCGACCTTACCTTCGGAAACCAAGATGCCCTCACATTGGATGATATCCCGAGAATTGTTGCCGCTGAGCAGGCCAAAGAGCAGCGTCCTAATGCCTACAAACATGCTGGCCAGAATCTCATTGGCAGCGGCGGCCCTGCTGCAAAGCTTGTCAATGGTCACCAGCGAGGAGTATCTGTTGACCAACGAGGAGCCATGGAACGGCCTAGGGCAAAGAAATATTTTTCGGAACTATCTGCTTTGGAGTATTTCATCGTTCGACACGTTGCCGTACTTTCCATGGAGCCTTTACTGGAAGGTAGTTTCAATCTAGAGGAACTCTTGGGCCTCATCGAGCCTCGCAAGCCAACTATTTGGAATATATTTAACCGCGCCTTCAAAAATGATCCTCGAAAAGTCGGCAAAAAGAAGGGAGTTTTCGGTGTAGCCTTGGAGGTAATCGTCGAAAGAGACGGCACTGAATCGACTCATGGTGTTGGACCAGGTACACTGCGAATACCCACTTTCATTGATGATGCTATATCTGCCATGCGACAGATGGACATGTCTGTCGAAGGTGTCTTCCGGAAGAACGGAAATATCAAACGTCTCAGAGAAACCGCTGAGCTTATTGACACTAAATATGAGGCAGCTGAGCTGGATAAGGAGTCTGCGGTTCAAGTTGCAGCTTTGATGAAGAAGTTCCTTCGAGAGATGCCTGATCCTCTTCTTACGTTTAAGCTACACAGCTTATTTGTTATTGCGCAAAGTAAGTACATTTTCATCCTATGTGTAATATCTCAGAATACCAGAGCTGATAGCAATTATAGAAATCGCTGATCCGGTGAAACGAAAGCGGGTTCTACATCTCACTTGCTGCTTGCTTCCAAAGTCACACCGAGACACGATGGAAGTACTATTTTCATTCCTTAACTGGGCCTCTTCATTTTGCCATGTTGATGATGAGACCGGTAGTAAGATGGATATTCACAATCTTGCTACCGTTATGACTCCTAATATCCTCTACTCTAATACAAAGGTTGCTGGCGTTGATGACAGCTTCTTGGCTATCGAGGCAGTTACATCCTTGATTGAAAATAATGATACCATGTGTGAGGTAAGTGCCTGCTATTATCCACCCTTTGCATTTTTGAAATCGTCGTGCTGATATTTATATACATTTTACAGGTGCCAGAAGATCTTCTATCCATTCTAACTGATTCGACCCTTTTCAACGGCAGCGCTGAAATCACTACCAAAGAAATCCTGAAGCGTTATGGGGCCTTGGGCAAACTCCCCGTGCCCCAGAGGGCCCCGACTGTCGCGGAAACCATTCCTGTGCGTTCTGGCTCTTCGAAAGGAAATAATTCTCCCATTGCCGCTCGTATTGACACCGATCCATCACAAGCTACAGCCTGGCAGATGCAGAGTTCTGTGAGGCACGTTCACGGGCCTCAGGACCCTAATG